ATGTGTCCGTAAGAGGCCCCTGGCATCGGTCCGACCGACCTCGCTGCCGCCGTCGAGCTACGTTGCAACACCGAGTGAGCAAACCCCACCGCATCGGCCCAGTTCTCTCGTCCTTCGCGTCATCTCTGCAACAGCCTAGAGCCTCACCATCATTCACGCTGCCGTCACTACAGCCAGACCTTGCCTTCTCCCAACTCTCCCTATCAGCCGTATGCCAAAAGATACGTCGATGGTCCTGCATCTGGCTCAACGGCCGCAGAGATTGTGAAAGATCTCGGCCTCGAGGGCAAGCTGCAAGACAAGGTCATTTTGATTACTGGAGCATCGGCCGGACTCGGTCATGAGACTGCTCGCGCCCTTCACACCACTGACGCAAAGCTCTACCTAATAGGCCGTGACCTAGCCGAAGGCCAAGCCGTCGCTGATGGGCTCGTTGCAAGCAATCCTAGCGGCCAAAAGCCCGTCCTGATCGGCTTGGAGCTAAGCAATCTTGAGAGCATCAGGAAAGCAGCCAAGCAGTTCCTCGATCAGCAAACACGCCTTGATGTTCTCATCTTGAATGCTGGCATCATGGCAGTCCCCTAGGGTCGCACCATCGATGGTTTCGAGACTCAGCTTGGTACCAATTACTTTGGCCACTTTCTGCTCTTCCACCTCATCAAGTCCGCATTACTTGCGAGCGGTACTTCAGAGTCTCCCAGTCGTGTCATAACCCTCTCCAGCGCGGGTCACAAGGCGGGAGGCGTCTTCTTCGATGATTTGGACCTGAGCAAGCAAGGTTACAACCTCATGGTCGCTTACGCCCAGAGCAAGACGGCTACCATCCATCTGGCAAATTTCTTCGACCGTCACTACAGCGCATCAAACATTCGCGCTGTGTCCGTTCACCCGGGAATGATCTTTGAGACTCAGCTCGATCGCCATATGTCGCAAGAAGAGCTTGCTGCATTCGCTCCCATGGCACCCTTCGCAAGACCTACTGCACAGGGTGCATCAACCACTGTCTGGGCAGCGCTTGATCCTCACTCCAGAAAACACGGTGGTGTGTACCTTGCCGATACAGGTGTCTCAAGCGCCGCTACAGAAGATGAGCACTTCATTGGACCTGGATATGCTCCTCATGCATATGATGAGGCAGCTGAAGAAAGGCTGTGGAAGCTTAGCTATAGCGTCGTCGGTCTGAGAGATGATAGTGACTCAATATCCTGTTCTGTTTGTTGAGAGATGTTTGCATGAATACAGCTCCCTATTAAACTTGGATATGTGCTCCATTGGCGTATATCCTGTCTTGAAATGGTGTTTTGAAAGACGTGCATGTGTGGCAAGAGGAAGATGAACCAAAGAATCTCGAAGCGGTTGCACGCTGGAACACGACGCATCATCGATATGACTCTGTGTAATACATGTTCAAACCTTCAGGATTGTCACCCGCCATGTCACCCACAAGTTCACGGTCCATCTGTTTAAAATGACGATCTTCTTTTCACGGCAACATCTCTCTCATCAGATAATTGTCGAAGACATTCAGAAGCTCTCCGAGCAACGCATCATCGAGTGTCGGTCCGAGTGCTCACACCACCGAACTTGCAACGCCCGAAAGCATCGACGGATTCTGAGCGCTGTGCGAAGCATGCGATACTGGTGAAATTCAGCCTTGAAGCAAGGGAAGCAGGAAGCGCTTCACGTAGCTTGTAGTCCTCGGGTCCAGTTCATTAAGAGGATCTTTGACGCATCATCGATCCGAGCTGCTCAACTCACCAAGTTCGCGACACCACTCTGTGTTCCATCGACGCCCCTTGACAATCAATCAACACGACATGAGTCGCAAGAATCCCGCAAATATAGTTCAAACCCTCGTCGTACGAAGCAACACCAGCAGACCTGAGTTTCGCTTGAAGATGGCGGTTGGCGGAAATTTCGACAACGATCCTGAGTCGTCGCTCACGGACGTTTTGGTGTATTCGAGAACCGCATCCACGAGCAAAGAAGTGGCGCAGGATCTGACGTGAAGATGGCAGAACATGGCCGACCGACGTACAAACACGACTCGTCACGCGAAGAGAGGGCCATGATGGACGCATACAACTGATGTCGGCCGATCCGCAAGAGCGTAAGGACCACACATGAGAAGACGATGCGTCTTGGCAACAACCCTCCGTCGTCAGTTGAAGAAGACCGGCGGCTATGGTGGTATGAGAGTGTTGATTCGCGATGAGGAATGACGCAGCCGTATGATACTCGGGCATGTGCGGTGCGTGGCCGGTTGTGATAGCCAAAGCACTCCGAGACTACGCCCATACCATCATCCACTGGAAACCGAATCGGCTACGTTGTGCGAGAAATGTCACAATGCTCTCTACAAGTCCCAGTTCATATTGGCTAGCAACTCATTGAGAAAAACTTGTTTCTATGGCAAGCTTTACGGCAAAACCATATGGGGTTGTTACGCGAACAAACCCAAGATATTTTTGCACGACCCAGAATCGTGTCTGCAGTGTGCATGGAAGGAACTCACCCAGTCTTCCCTAACGCAGTGAAGCTGCCAACGCGCCTCTCTAAACTGACAAGCGTCAAACGAGAGATATATTATTAGCACGTGTGCGTACTCCTCTCTATGCAGTCTGAATTTGAAGTTCAACCATCTGAAGGTGGGGTCCTTATGTTGAATGAGATCCCTGAGCCTTAGTCGCAGTGCATTCAGTCCCCTCTCCCGAGTTGCGAAGCTCGTAGCAAGCCTTTTGAAAAAAAAAACCAGGACAAGCTAGAGCAAGGCAGTAAGGACAACAAGAGTGTGTCTTATTAGACGCCCCGAAGATAAGGTCAGACACTGGTATAAGGGGAAGTCGTCGAGTGAGTGAAAGAGAGTATGAAGAGAAAAGAGGAATCCAGAGGGAGCGCGGGCTTTTATAGGAGCTATTGCTGACTAACACAGCTATTGCTTACTAACTCACACCCACGCTGTCGGCGAAGGCAACGGTGGTGTCTGTTACCGAAAACTTGCGCATCGCAAAAGCGGCGAAGCGCGTGTAGACACACGCACAGTGACACGAATGCCCAGAAACCATGTTGATTATATATGGGTGAACTGGAAGCAGAATAAGTACTCGAGTATGTTGCACACGGACTGACAAGTGAAAATCTGCCAAATTTGTGATAAATCAGAACAGGATCGAGGCACATCATTGAGTTGATGGGCACTAGTCCTAGGGCTACGTGGTCTACCGTGCAATCTACGAAGACGGGGCTGCATGGACCAAGTCGATGCGTTGTCTACATCTCTGGAGGATAGACGATATGCATTATATAACGGCAGAATATGCTCCACAAGATGATCTGGGCTGTGTTCGACGACAAGAAGCGCTTCGATGATGCTAATGGAGCAAAAGTTTGTTAGCAGTTTCAGGAGTGGACAGAAATTCCAGTTCCAAACTAAACAGTAACAACCTGGGCAAGTCGGCGGTACTCCAGTGAGCATGAGTCGCTCTCCATGACACAAACATTTGTGTGAATCAATACAAAAGCACTCGGATCTGCCGTACACAATGCCTCTTCGCCCTCTGGTTTCGAAAAGGAGAAGCAAGGCTGGATAGAAGTGATCGACAAGAAATGGCTTCCGTGGCAAGGGTTCGGTTTTCGTAGGAAGAGAACCGGACCCAAATGTTTATGAGCTGATTGACGGTGTGAGGGAACACAATGTTGTGTGGGTCAAATATCCTTATCCCAGTGTCGTGACATAGTACTACATGCTGTTTCAGAATCCCCAATGTATATATCGTCAATTACCAATGACCACCGGCTGTAACTGGACACCCGTGGAAAGCAACGTTTTGTTCTCCCTAAACTGAATACCAAATGTCTGAGGAGAGATTTTGCATTTGAGATTGTCTGAGAGCGATGCTCTCCGCTCGAAGCACTCTCGCGACAAAGAATGTGTCTCTTGTAGTCTCTTCGATAGCAATTCTGGTCATGATTGAATTATGGTTCAGGTGATAGCTGGGGTGATACACTTGCTCACCGCAAAGCCACGTTGTTGCAGATTCTGACAACTGGCTTAAGTCGGTGAGCTTTGCACGATCGGCAAAGTCGAAAGTGCAACACTTTGAAGCCTGTCCTCAATCCAGAAACTTCCCTGTCCTCAATCGAGGATCTTGCGTATGAAGAGGATCGTATTCCATGAGCTGGTTGAAACTTGAGCCATCTGATGTCGAGCGTTTCATGAAGTGTTCGTGGTGGTCTGGCTGTGATAGCAGACGTCAGACACGTGACCAGAGTCAGGCAGCGCTTTGCATGTGTGCAACCGTGCGTTTGGAGCTCGGGCCGGTGTCCCCGCCGTCTGCACCAGATTGCGCGTGTTATCAGCGGGAGCTTCCTCGTCCCTCACAGTAATCGGTCATCATCATCAACAACAAAGCCCTGTCTTATCGAGAAAGACATGGACAAGTTCGACTCGACAGTTTTCCTTGCGACATGAACTAGGCAGTATCCGATACCTTCAGCATGGAAGAACGACGAGTCGCATCCTTCAGCATCGACGTCTTTGCCGACAAGGCCAACGCCAAAGACGTCGTCACTGCCATTCTTCACACCATCTTCTGGTATCGCATCTTCGCCAACCTCGAGCCCTCGTCGCACGATGTGCTAGACATTCCCATACCCTGGATCCAGGACGTCGACCTCCAAACGCTTGTTGAACAGCGCGTTGATCAGTTCGTCCGTCAGGTCGACGCCGACTCCAACGACCAGAATCAAAACACCCGCGGCCAGCTTGTCGTACAGTTCAGCGAAAGGGAGCGCAGAAGAAAGAAGGGCTGGTTCGGCGCAAAGGATGAGGATCTGGTCTGGGAGACGTGGACGCTGAACATTGCCCTCGCTTCCCCGCGCACTCATCAAGGTTGGTTTTCTCGTCAGGACTTCTCTATGCACGACTGACACGTTGATCCAGAAGCGGCCACCTCCCGACGAGCCATAGAAAGATCCCTCAGCAACGCCGTCCTCAAGATCACCGATATCGTACAACAGAACAAAGACCATGTCCCGCCCATTACCACCCAAGACACGAACACTTTTCCGTATCATATCCTGGTCAACCCTAAGAACGACGGCTGGGGCCAGCGTATGGGCATTTTCTAGAAGAGACTCAGGGAATTCGGCAACATACATTTTTGATCAGCTCTTACCGACGGATGCCTTCTGAACGCCTGGAGCAGGAAGGCCATTTGCTTGGATTAGCTTATAACGCCGTCAATTTCGATCATGCCAGCCATAACACGTTTACCAGCTCATCAGCAGTTGATAATCCTGCCATACATCCTCTGTATCCGCCTCCTTCCATTTCTCCATACCTCCCACGACTCCTTGAGCATCAACCTTCCATTTTCCCTCTTCGACCATGTCTACCCACTTCCAAAGCACATGTTTGAGCTGGACATCATGTGCCTCGATGAAGTGATTGTATCCAAGCTGATACAGCTCTGTACTCTTCGGCTTGATGCTAGCTACATCGATATCCCCATGAGAATGAAGTTTCTCCCCTATGAGTGCGCCATCGCTGGTTCGCGCACACGCGTTGTTACCAAGAGTGAATGGCAAGACTAGTCTGCAGCCATCTTCGAAAGGGTGCGTCTCCTGAGGCTCCGTTTCTGTTAGGTAGAGACCAGCTGGGTAAGTCGTGATGGAGTGGAATTCGTGGGGAAATGGTGAATCGAATATGTCTTCGCCCCAAGGCGCACGGCGAGTCTCTCGATAGGCAGAACGAGTACTTCTGAAGAGTAGTAAAGGGAATAGTTCAGCCGACTCTTCTTCCAGCGGCACTGCCGCGAAGGGCTGATGATCTGCAATACGCAAACCTGGTGCGATGTAGATGAAGGGCGGTGCTTTCGCTTGAGAGAGGAAACGATATGCGAAACTGTCAGAGGGCAAGCAATCCAAGTCACCACCAGTGACAAGATCAATTATACTGTTCTCCGTGTGCTGTATCTGAGTCGGCATCCTGGTGCTAACTGCATCAACGAGGGACCGAAAGGCCTGAAGAGTATCCTGGACATCTTGTTCCGTGTAGGGAGGCATAATCCATGGTTCCGTGCGCTCTTGTTCGCCATCGTAGTCTTCGTCGACAGCGACAACCTTGCCTTGCTCTATCATGTCGATGAGGCCATCAAGGATAATCTCTAGTGGAAGCCAGGTTTGCCGGCCGTTCATGGTAACATCTGTATCGTGTATCGACATGTGCTGCATGGCTGTACCATCTTCCTGATTCAGTACGAGTCCAAGGGGATGGCTAGCACCCAGGGCCCAATTAGCCATGTAAAGGGTGAGGTAGCGCTGCTTGTTTGAATCATCCTCGTCTTCAGCGTAGTTGACGTTCTGCCAAAGCTGTTCTGGTGAAGCTAGACCAACAAGATATCGATGGAATCCGTGACGTAGCTCCGAACTGTCCATTGCAAACCCATGCCAGGCCGCCTGCAGAAATGAGATGACAGAGCAGTCCAAACGAGCAGAAATGCTCGCGAGAGCTGCATCACCACCATAACATTGCCACCATGTTCGTTTGTCGAGTTTGTCCAGTGCGAGGCCTCGTTGCGTCCAACCAAGCTCCACAATCTGATTGTGGAGTGCCGCACAACGTTCGTGGTCTAAAGTCTCGAGCTCTCTCACGGGCTGCTCATCCGTAATGCGCCATTCCGCCATGCCAGCACCGTCCAAAAGCTAGAGTGGGAGGGAGGCTCGCGACATGAAGATCCCGGTGCGAGGCATAGCAGCTGACTCATACATTAGACGCACAGCCCGGGTCATTCTGCAACACCGTTTCCTCAAGAGCAGACGAGACGCTTGTTTTATACTGCACGCCTGTCACAGATTCACAGGCCAGCACCTGCCATAACATTCACGGATTCAGCGTAGGGCACAATGCCTTGCAATCTCAGATGGCGTATCAACATGTTGAATTGTACCGAGTGCAGGCGATGTTTGGGTTGGCGGAAGAAGAAGGCAGGCTCGATGGCTTGTGGCTGGACGGCTTCGCGATGTGGCTGAACTGTGGCTGTGGCTTTGGGTGCGGAGGAGCTTTTGAGTCTTGCACAACCTTGATGTTCACGCTCTTTGCGACTCTTCACACCGGCATCATGACACAGAACAAGGGTGCCTCGAAGCCGCGCAAGATGTCGCGTCTGNNCCCAAAGGTGATAGCTACTCTCAGTTGCTGCTTACTGCATCCTCGCTCACACTGTACAGACTACAAAGTCGAAAAGCGCCCATTGCTACGCCCTCCAATCACATCGCAATATGCCAATGCCGACGTCGCCAAAATCATCTATGTCTCTACGAAAACCCCCTTCATGTCTGCCGTCAAGCGTGTACAGAAGCTACTGGCTCAAGCCGAGAAACGCCTTGCCCAATCAGCTGCCGATCAAGTCTCTAACAGACTAAAATACTCCCGCACCAACGATGAAATTACAGACATTGAGCGTGTAGCTGCCACCATAGCCTCTCAAAAGCAACATCAAGATGAGATTATCCTTAAGGCTACAGGCAATGCCATCGCAAAGGCACTGAGTTTGGCTCTCTGGTTCCAACAGAGAGTCGAGTACAATGTTCGCATCGAGACAGGCACTATTGCCGCCATCGATGACATTATCCCTCCGGAAGATGCTACGGAAGATGCTGCAGACGACGAGGATCAGAACATGAAGGACGACGAGGAAGACGTACCAGAGTCCAGGATCCGCTATGCCAGTACCATCCAGATCTTTGTCTCGGCCGCCTCATGAACCCACCATACACTCGGCTTCGATCCTAACAGCTTTACTACTACCTCATCTGTATGCGCAGACCAAGGACCGACTGCATTATGGCTATTACGACCAGTCCAAGGACGTAAATCTGGCAGTCAATTTCTCCGGCTTGGAGACCTACAATCAGTGGCACTCAGATCGACATGCCTCGCGCTAGTCAGGAGCGCATCGACGTCCTATCCTCAACACTATCGCTCTGTATGAGACGCTTGGTCTTGTCGTCCGTTTCCAGCACTGCATCGCACGCCCACCAGCAAGACATGCTTCTGGAATCTTTCCGTTCGCATCCAAGCTTTGTTCAAGTCATGTTCAAGTTTGATTTCTGTCATTGATGTCGTGCAATTTCGTGGCTTGTAATGGTTATATATGTGTCCATCGTATGATATCGTTCTCACCAAGCTTCCCATTTTTGGCCGCCCATGGCGACGAGTCGGTTGAACAGCTCGTCTCTGAGGAACATGGCAGTGACGGTGAAGACCTCGCCAGTCTTGCTCACAATCTCCATGCCATCAGCGACTTCACGATCGAGTGCCCATCCTACAACCAGCTTTGCCTTCCATCCAAGTCCGCCGACCTTCTTTAACTCTTTGATGTCCGCGATCGGAACGGTCCAGACAGGATGCAATTCTTCCTCGCGCCCAAGCGATCCCAATTCGGCGACCTTCTTATCCAGAGTGAATGCTACACAAGGAACGGCCGATCTGCTGGAGATGACGGTGTGGCCCTTCTTTCCGTGGTAACGACAAGCAAAATCGACCGGGCCATCGACGTTGTAATCCTTCGTCTTGGGTATCGCGCCCAGACGTTGCTTGGAGGGCTCACTTCCCGCCTTTGCCTTAAGCTTGTCGGCACCAAGTGCGGTCTCGACAGTACCTTTGACAGTGCTCTTGAATAATGATATGAGTTTGTGGCCCTNTTTGCCGTGCTTGCTGTCCTTGCTATGATCGATATCAGCACCAGAGGTTTCGTGAGCAGTCGTAGGGTCGTGTGCTATGGCTTCATCCAATTCTTCCTGGGTCGCATTCAAAGGCCAATCGGCACCAGTCGCACGCAGCTGCTCGTCGGTGACTTCAGTCGGCACCTCCGGTGTAGGCTCCTTGTTATGGGGCGGAGGGGGAAGAGGAGCTTTGTTCGTTTCGCCAATGCGAAGAAGAGTGATAGTGAGCTGAGCATTTGTGGGGACACCCTTGAGCAAGGTGTTGCGAATCTCAAGCAATCTCTGCCAGTGGGGNNGGAACGTGCGGTTGAGCCAGCGCAGACCAGGCTGGATTACGGGGTCGCCAAAGAAGCCAAAGCCGACACCGAAAGTCACGCCCTTGGTGAACATGTAAGCCGATGTGANAAGAGAGACGGCGACGAGTGGAACGACGACACCAGCCAGGCGCAGGCGGTAGAGGTCTTGGGNGAATGGCGGCGTTGGAGAGAGAGCATTGGCAAAACGCTCCCAGGTATCGGCCACGTCAGAAAGACCGTGCATGATAGGCCTCATCTTGCTCCACATGGCGGTCTCCATAGGCACCTTTGTCTTGTCGTGCGTCGATGCAACTGCTTTTCCTTCGGCCGACGTCTTTGCAGAGCTGGCACCGATAGCGATCGATGTGGGATCAGGGATGCTATCCGCGACGCCTGCTTGTCCTGGCGGTGGTTCTGTCTGCGGGTGTTTACCGCTGGCACTGGCAAGAGCGACCGAAGCGATGCTGTTGACAAAGTTGCTGGCCTCTGCTTCGGCAGCCTCGCCCTTGTAATGTTCTGGGGCTCCTGTTGCTGTATCTGTACTACCCAGCACGCCGGCCTTTGGCTTTTGCACGCCGCCAGTTTTTGCGTCTACCAAAGCGAGAGGAGCGGGAGGGAACATGATGTCACGCGAGGGCGGGTAGACGATCAGGACGACGAGGGTGATGGTGAACAGCGGGATGAGCATGTCGAATAGCCAGGCGACAAAGTATGCGGCGCAGAAGTAGGCGGTGCGGTTGCGTTCACGCCATGATCTTAGACGGCCAATCTGCTTGATGAAGCCCATCAAGCCCAGACCGACCGTCATATACAGTCGTTCAATGGTGGCGCGAAGCTTGTCGGGCGAGAACTCGTCTTCGTCGGCAATGTTGAGGTCGAGGTTGCCGGGCACGGGATAGGGATACTCCTTGACGTGGTACATTTNGCTGTCCATGTCAGATGGGATGCCACTGCAGGACAGGAGCTGCTGTGTACTCACCTTGTTGAAGCGACGGACCAAGACCCAAAGCTCCTCATTGTCCATACCGCCAACTAGAGGGGCAGGAATCTTGGAGGGAGGTTCGTTCCAGCCCAGGTCCTTGACATCGGCACCATGGGCGAGCTGTGCGACACCCTTCTCATCGACATCAGCCTGGGCAAGGGCGTGGCTGGCGGTAGGCTCTTCGGTCAAGTTCTGGGCGGCATCCGTGACATTTGTCGACGACGCAGTGGTCGTAGAGGCTGCTGTCGTGTGCGTACCACGAAGCTCTTGTTGCGCTGCAGGGTGATTGATGGGGTGCAGGTCCTGGTAGACGACCCCGGTCCCAGTCGTTGATTCTGACATGGTGCTTGCGATGTCTGCTGGGAATCAACACAAGTCCAGATTGCGGAGAGGCTCTAATTAATATCGGGGACGCGCCAGCATGACGAAAAGGCAATTACGATCCCTGCCGCCGTTCCTGCCAACAACTGGAGCCCCACGACCTTGACGTCACACTGACCCTTTTTCATCAAGTCACCATGGGATCAGAAAGTCGTGAATCCAGTTTGGTGAGGATTTTGCCAAGCCCACCTTAACTGGATTCACGACTTTCTGATCCGATGGTGAAGTTTCGCTTTGGCGCTTTGGCACATTGAACATAAATTTATGCAGCTTATGCGCGATTCCGTGTTGTACCTTGAAGCCTGAGCCCCGGAACCGTGCCACACATGGTCCAGGCTATGGAGTAATTAATTAATTGTCGGTATTGATATTGGTGCCAATCTATTGCAAGAGGATTTTGTTCTGAAGAAAATCTTCCCAAGAAAAATTCTTGAGAGGAATGTGCAGATGGTCTATTGGTCTGTGGCCATGTCCCCATGTGTCGCTTGCTACCGATTTCAGTCCCTCTCCTTCAGTTCCTGCATCTCCAGATCACGGTCCACGTCTCTCACCCCGACGGTTTGTCTCATGCCTGGGCTGTATTTGGCCCAGCTGCTGACATCAGATCTGCTGTCAACACTGTTCAGTACGCCCAGTCTTTCTCTTGCAGTGGGCTGCGATGTCGTCTGAGATGGCGACCATTGATGCGCTTCACTGTTCTTGCGGAGGGTAGAGCCGGCGGTGCTCGAGTCGACAAGGAATTTGCGATGGAAGTCGTGTCCACGGGCGGCCTTAGATGGTGAAGACGCGTGAGAAGCAGCCCAAATCGACGTCAATGGCAGTGAAATGCAAGTTGCCGTCAGGATATTTGTGCCAATGTTGGGAATATTCTCAGCTTTGATGAACTGGATGAGCGAGAAGATTGCTTCGAGATGTCAGCTGTGATGCAAATTTCGTGTGACAAGATCAAACGTACCTGGAATGAACATGGTTTGAAACCCACCAATGAAGATAATTTGCATGCTGCCAAACTGCTTCATGCCCAGCTTGCGACGTTCGCGAAGCGACCAGCCCAACTTGGCGCAGAAGATTGCACTGAAGAAACAGATGCTCACTGTCAAGCTGATGTCTTTTGCCTTGGCGAGCCAGGTCGTGTTGCTGCAAAAGGCATCCGCTTTATTGTTGCACCTCACCGACACGACTGACTGGGCGATACGAAATCCCATGGCTATGACTACCACAAACGAGGAGACGGCCAGGATGGACATCTTCTGCCATGTTTTCAACGTGACGCTGACCACGTGAACCTGGAAAACCAACGAAACCTCGATGCACAGGGCCACAAGTGTGACAAAGACAGCGACTGCCACCGTCAAACGTTGTGCTGCTGGCGTTACCACACCGTAGTCACCCACCAAGATGGGGTAGATGTCCCACCAGCTGCTGGTCACAATGCAACATTGCAACAGAGCGTAGATGATGTTGAAGAACAAGGCGGCGGTGTTGAAGACAAAGACAGGTGAGCGGCGCTTGTCGTGCTTAGAAAGAAGTACCAGTGCGAGAAAGATGATCAAGCTGGCACCAAACTGGACTCCTGGAATGATGCCATGGATGACGGCATCCACAATCAGAGTGTCGACGTACCATAGGGGAAACTGGCTCTGTTGACCATGGCGATCAGTGACAGCGATGAACTGATTGTAAACGGCTGATTTGTTGAGGAACTGGTCTGCTGAAGAAGGGTCCATTGGTAACGGGATTGATGATTTGAGCTGGAAGAATGAATGGGTTTGATGAGCGGATGATCCAAGTAAGGGATGTAGAAGAGACTTGCTCTGGCCGAAGACAATCGACCGTTGGTCAACACGGTTCAGAAGCGACAATCCAACAAGAAAGAATACGAGAGAATAGCTGCGCAATTGCGAGAATATGCTAGCAGATGATTGTTCTTGAACAATATACAAATGAAGTGATAGATAGAAAATCAGAAACAGGGGACAAGAGAATAAGAGAAGAACAATACAAAGAAATGGTGACAAATGCAAAAGAGAGGGTGGTAAGGACCAACCTAGACATATTGTCTCCAATTCAGACCAGAGGTTGGCTTGAAGCGGCGGTGGCCTGGGGAAGTGGAGCAAGATACATCGCTCAGCACCAACCATAGAAATACTTGATGTGTTTGAAATGGTTGATTGCGACATACAGATGGTGGGCGAGCTCCCCAGTCTCAGGTGCTGCAGCTTAGTATTGTTCTCTAGCCTGACTTGTCTCTCAGATCGCGTTGGGCCCACGACGTGCTTTGTCCGTGCTGCCGCCTTCGTAATCAATGGAGTCAGCTCATGTGGCCAGCCTCAAACCCAAGAGAGTCCCTCAGGTGTCGACGAAGTCGCATAAATAATTGAACAAGACTCGCGAAGCTCACAAGAGAGGCGGTCATGTCGCAGGAGAACGCACGGACGGTGGTCACTGCGCGTCAGGAATTTTGCTGCTCTCCGTGCCATGTGCTCACCCCAGGACGCTTCTTGAGTCTTCACCTTTTCTACGTCCGTTTCCTACTAATCCAGGATCCATGGGTTCTCCTGCCAGAACTTATCCTTGATAATGTCAACGTGCTCGACCACAACTCTTGCTTTTTGTTTTCTCTTCTTCTCCTTTTCCAATTGTGTTTTGGATTTTGGCTTCTTCTTTTCTTGATCAGTGGTTGGTTGGGGAGATTGGTTCCCCAAAGCTGCTTCTCCGGTTGTTTGCCTGTCTTCGAACTATGATCACTGTCAGCATAAACCCGAATGGAGGAAGGGAAGCCATACTTTTCTGTACACAACACTGCCCTTCTTCCAGATCTCATCTTCTGCATTGTAGTTGATGTTGAATTTCTTGAAGAGGATCTCGTTCTTGTCCGCTGAGAAAGTGCNCCTGTTCAATGCGCGTTAAGCCAACGACAGATCAGAGAATTCAACCAGACTTACCTTCAACGCCAGCTCAGCTTCTGTAGGAGTCATAGCTGGTGTCTCTGTAGCTGGATTTCCTTTGACCATATTCCAGAAAGTCGTGTTGTAGAGGTTGTTGACATNGACCTATCGCTTCTGGTCAGCAAAGGTCATCCTTGCACGCTGGTGAGAAAGGTACGACTCACAATCAGCTTGCCTCCAACTCAAATAGTCCCTCAATATTCTTTTCTTGGGGTACAACACGCATCTTCCGTCGAAGGTTGGAAATGGCCTCTCCAGAGCCTGTCCCGGAAAATGCTTATCCCATTGCATACAATACTCTACAGAGAATGCTGTTGAGATACTCGTTGCAAGTTTTGCTGCTCGCCGTTCGAAAAGCTGGCAGTCCTCGTGGAGCACGAAGCTATATTCGTCGGATTGACCGTACGCAATGACAATATCGGTAAATTGCTTCACGACTTCGACAGCGGCGGCGTTCATCAGGTCTATGGCGCGACGATCATTGGGTTTGGCGAAATTTTGTCGTTTCGAGAATCTGGCAAACACATCAATGGTTGGTTCCAGCGATATAGAATCAACGGTGACCAGGAGATTGTCTCGAACTCGTGTAGGTGAATGGTACACATTTTGCACGGCGATAGCAGAAAAAACCGAAGCAGGCCTGCTTCTCCCATCCGGCAGGATCTCGCTATGCTTTGGCATTGTCCTCTGCAAGCAAAGCCATCATCTCTACCAAAGTTGAATACACAACTCCTTCTTGCCCTGTGTGCCATCCTCGCTCTTCCCAGTATCTAGCTCACCCCATTCTACCAAACAGCAGAACAACTGAAGAGAATTCAAAGAACAGAAAAACACTTACTTGCTGAACCCTCTTCCGTCGATTCTCACGACAATCCAGTTACTAGGGGCAAGCGCGTCCCAATCTTCAAACTTGCGCACATATTCAAACCTGCCTTTTTAGTCTTGCTCATTACAGAAGGCACACATATGCTGGGCTCAGCAGAGTTCAGACTTACTCGCTGTTGGCCATGTTGCTGGTCGCTGTTTGATTTGGGGATGCAAGTTCTCCGCGTCAGAAACTCTGCTTCCGGCACGTGACCATCGAAACCCTGCGCAAATTGTGAGTCGAGCTGCGAGCTGTGAGCTGCGACAACAAATAACTACATCGAACACGGGACTTGCAAACTCGAGCCTCGGGCAGAGTCACGAAAGTGTAGAGAGAGCAGAGCCGACGTGGGGCACCTTTGCCGAGGATCACGCTCGCTCGCTCTATTGTTGAGTTCGACAGCGACGACACCGAGAATCACCTCCTTCACCCGAAACTGAGCCTTCCACTGCTGTCAGCGAGTGCGCAAAGCGTGACTCGACCCCCCTTGACCACCACAACTCGAATCGCGTTCCCAAACGCACAGCACCGACGAGCTACATCACTCCTCCATTTCGCCTTTGTCGCTCGCCTTGCTGTCATTGATCCTCGCTCATCGACTGTCCACCGTTGCGCACCTTGCATCCTCAGGCTACCATCCACCTACAGAGTCCGCCAGGGCTGATCGACCGCCACAATACACCTTGAAGAATGGCCAAGGGTTCTGCCAACCAGACGAAGAGCGTGCCCAATAAACACTTGCACGCACGCATCGCATACTTGCACCAGGCTGCCACCCATCTCGCCCTGAAGCAACAATCTGTAACCAAGACCGACTCATCCGTCGCCGACTCTCGATTGCAACAGCACGGTCTGCCTCTTCTGCTCGCCGCCCAACTCCAGGCTGTCTCTCAAAAGGCCCAGATTCGTCTGTCTCATGATATGAAGCGCTCTATCTGCAAGGTCTGCAGCACTCCTCTCATGTCAGATACGACTTCGAAGACGCGCATCGAGAACAAGAGCAGAACCGGGGGAAAATCTTGCGCCGATGTCCTTGTAATCCAGTGTCAAAACTGTGGGACTGAAAAGAGGTTTCCCGTTGGTGCCAGCCGTCAAAAGAAAAAAGCAGAACGCAAAGCTGCACTTGCCGAGAGACAGAACATCGAGGTCGTCGAGAAACAGAACATCGAGGTCGCCGAGAAACAGAACACCGAGGTCGAAATAGTCAACGATTGAAATTCCTTCGATGCCGTCCGTCCCCAGCGCTTTATCGAGCCATGATCCGCCTCGCTCCACCTTCTCTCTGGGCTGTTCAGCCTACTCTGCCCGCTCAAGCATCTCATACAAGACACCTCTCTCGTGCCTGCATTTGGCCACTGTCGTCAAGCTCAAGAATTGCATAGCAGGGAATCTTGTCCATCACCCCAACCAGCCTCTCTCGCGCAGAGCCTGAGGGTCTGTCACGCCACAATCTTGTCACTTTGATACACCGAGGTCTAGGGTCTCGGAGATAAGTCATAAAGGAAGGCTTCATCGTTTCTCGACAGCTTGATCTTCTTATCAGACTGCAGTGTATCACGCTGTCGGACCAGATGCTGAATCTACAAGATGTGAGACGAATATCGGCGCCTCCGCTCTCAGATTCTAGATGCTAAACCTTGTTGTTCTTCATCGTTGTTTGCTGGCTATTTTCGGCCAGGCATCGGAGAAGAAACATGGCTGCGAGAACCGGACCTTGTTCAGATGGTGCTATGCTGCTTTCTATAGCGGAGGTCTTATGGGGATTGTCTGCAAAGTGCTGCTACTTCGCGTCCATGAACAAGGCCGATCATCCTTCCTATCAATCAATCACAGCCGTAATGGCAAGCCCGTCCAACTGTCTTCAACAGCGATGGACACAAAGTTTCTTCTCACTTGTTTGTGATCAAGAATCAAAACATGGAGGACCCTACAACCACCAATACAAGTGTGTAGGCAGACAATATGGTATGGCTTTCAAGTGTCCTCTCCATCAAATCTGAGCGGCTATCTTCAATATACTCACCCATGAATTATGATCTGTTCATCGATGATTCTGTTAGTCGAACTGACGAAGCCCTTCGAACACGCACTTGTAAACAGGTGCCCATGTGGTGATGGCTAGATATCGAGACATTTACCTTTGTGCCTTTCAGACAGATCGTGCTCTTCTGGTGTAAAGACAAGTCTGCATCTGTGCACTACCTGATCATTGTTGATCTCAGCGTGCAGGGTTGCTCTGCCAACATGGTAAATTGATCCGTGCAGAAGAGTCTAGTCTTGGCAGACAAAGACGCGTCTGACCAACGACTTCTGGATGCACGACTTCGCAAGTCCGCTCGTGCTTGCTCCTTGCTTCTTCCTTCCTGAGATCCGCCACGGCGCACGAGCTGTCTGACTTTACCGAGTAGATGAGCCAGGAGTTCTCAATAGAGAGCGCGGGCATCTGTAATCTGGGCGTTCAGGGCTTCGACGCGGCGTGGATCGGAGTCGTGGGCTGAAGGAAGACATGTTCTGGACACGGGTCTAAGGCGACTGCTCTTTCAGGAAGTGTTGAAAATCAAGTTGGTCGCGTTGCTCTAGATTGTTAACTATCGTGCCTTCCTCATGCCTAAGCCGTTGTCCTACCCGCTTCGCTCCAGTGAGCTCATCAGCCCTGATTGGAAGCAAATCGTCAAAAGCAGAGGCAATGCACGCCCAGGATATGGAGACGAGGCTATTGCAGAGGGTGTTCGCGAAGAAGTCTCACAGATCATCCAGAAAAATATGCTAAGCGACATCAACGAAGAGGATATTGATAGCAATCCGGATATTCATGTGTTTGGATTGTCAAGAAGTTCTAGCAAACCGCTATCGACTCGTGGAATGTCGGCATCGGCAGCCGGTGACCACATCCCATCGTCCCCTCCAGTGACATCTAACAACCACGCTGAGGAGCCAATCAGAGGTAGGATTTCACACGACAACATTGCCAAATTTGAGATAACAATCCGGCAGAAACGATTGAGTTCACGCCAGATCTGTCGCCTACCCTCCGCTTTTCTAAGCTTGTTCCTTCCGTCCTTTGCGAACGCGAGTCTAGTGATGCCGAGTGCATCGAAGAGTCTGACCAGGAAGAGCCTGTCATAGAAGAATCGGTTAAGGAACATTCGAGTAGCGACGACTCTAGTGACAACGAAGAACATTCTAGTGAAACCAGTGAAGAAGATCTTATTGAAGGCGATGGTAAGCAGTGTTGGTTATTGGCACAATCAGACGCTAACTATACGTCACAGAATTGCCCTCTTGGATCAACCGATCTCCATCTATTGAGCTTTCTTTGTCACCTAAGACTAAGCAATTTGCTCGACACGAGTTATCTCTCTCCCCTAAGACAGAGCCATCGTCATCCTCCATGGAGCCATCCTCTAGCTGCCCCGAAATATCCCCTTCCATCGAGAGATCTTCTGATCCCGCTACTATGGTGCCGCCTTCTGACTCTTTAGTGGATCTACCTCCTCCGTCTCTTTTCAACTATGCAGAACACAGGGTGCTTGGGGACGAAGACGATGTCAAGATCTACTCGATCTGTCTAGACAGGTACCTCGATGAAATGGACGACGATCACGAGGCTTTGACAGAGACATGGCTTGCGAAGGCTAGGATATACCAGCGCCCCACCCTTTTCCCCCGCGCCGGCAACAAGTTTACAATGAGAGGCCGTCACCACCAGTTTAGTCGAGCAACAACCAAGCCAAGGGAAGATCCATTCGCAAAAATCAAGCACCAGAAGAACGCCCGCACGATCACTCTCACCGGAAAGGCTTTCTCGCAGCTCAAACCTAGAGGCGAGACGATCACTACCTCAGCTCGCATCTCATCAGCAAAGGCCATCTCGACCGAAGTTCCAAACTACACTCACTACACCAGAGTCAGCGGGAACGTCCTAGGAACAAACACTCGGCAACTACAAGTCTGGCCATACTTTGGAGAAGACGTTGACGACGATGGAACCATACGTGAGAGGTTCGATGTCATTGTAGAGGATCGCCCTCGCAAGGTTCTCATCTCACAGCAAGTCAGTACTTACGGCCCTTACTTTGAGGCATTTCTTGAAGAGATCGATTGCCCTATGGACACCATCCTGAAATATCTGCTTGAAGCATCAGAGGGGCCCGATGGCCTGCTGTCCAGATTGACGAGCTTTACGGATGAACCTGGATTCGCACGGAACATGATACGCGCCAAAGACAAATTCTGCAAAGACGACTTTGATCGAACAAGCCAAAGATGGGTTTCTGTAGCCTCAAGTCTGCCGGAGATTGATGACGAAACCTTGTGGAAAGCTGCTGTCGTCTGCCACACTTTCTGGATCCGGACAAACTTCAGCCCCTGGCAGATTGCACGAAAATACGCCAAGTTTCCTAACAACAACATGATTGAAGGCCTTGTCACTTTCGACCAAGCAAAGAATTACGCCAGCGTGGCCTGTAGTATTTGTCAGCTCCACGATTGTCCTTTTCACGGCACCATCCTCGAAAGACCAGAAGCTAAAGAAGAGAGCGACGAAGAAGACGACGCCAACTCTGTGGACGCCCTGGACGTTGATTACCCACCGAGAGTCAATTTCAAGGAACTCGCTACAGCTCCTCTGGACAGAGAACCATCAGAACAGACCTCACAAGCTCAACCTAAGAAATCTCTTAATTGGTGGATGAATGAGGCCAACAGCGTGACCTGGGATCACAGCCGACGTGGACCCTTCTTCCCTTGCAGTCATCCAGGATTATCATGTGAGGATGCGCATTGTACATGCTTCGAAGCAAAGATCTGTTGCGAGAAGACTTGCGGGTGTTCGAAGAACTGTAGCCGACGCTTCCAGGGATGCTCTTGCGCTAGACGAACGAAATGCTGCGCCCAAGATGAGTCTTGCAGAATGCTACAAGATGAATCGAGAGTGCGATCCAGACCTCTGCGACTCATGCGAAGCGCATGTCATCCTGAATCCAGTCAACAGGTACGACGATGAGCATCTTGATCAAAGATGTCGGAATGTCGCTATCCAGCGTGGCGTGCCCAAGCGAACTCTCCTCGGCCGCAGCCTCGTTCATGGCTTCGGTCTATACGCTGGAGAGCCCATTGCTAAAGGTGAATTCATTGGCGAATACCAAGGAGAAATCATCACTAGAGATGAGACCGAGCGCCGAGGTGCCATTTACGACTTCCAGAAGTTGAGCTACATCTTTGACCTGAACAAAGGTAAACAGTCCGCAATCCTCATACAGTAATCGGCTAACAGCAGACACCGAAACAGATCAGACAATCGACTCTCAACGGATCGGCAACAAAATTCGCTTCATCAACCACTCCAAAGCGTCCAATCTTCGAAACGTTCGCCCTAAGATCATGTTATGCAATTTGGCTCACCGGATTGGCATGTTTGCCGAGAGGAATATCAAGATTGGCGAGGAATTGTTCTTCAACTATGGTGATAGCTATCACGACAAGCTGTACGGCGAGGAAGAACAAGCTCAGAAGGAAAAGAGCAAGGGAAAAGGCAAAGCTGCGGTGACACACATTCGACCCTCGAGAAAAAGCTACCAAGCACAGCCAGAAGTTGTTGTGGCTTTACCACGCAAAGAGCCCAAGGACATCTGGCAAGTCGAGTCAGATGAAGACAGCGAGGAAAGCGAAGACGAACGTCCGACCAAGCGCAGAAGAGTGAGACAAGGAAGAATCTCATCGCCCAGGAGACCGAAACCTTCGCCACCCAAGAGACAGACAACAGAGTCAAGCGCGAAATCCTCTGCCAGAAAGACTGAGGATCGATCGCGTGTGCGTAGAAGTGAAACAGCTTCTACAGTTGGAAGCAAGGTACCAAGCTTGAAGGCCGCCATCAAATCCGCCCCTCGAACAAGACCATTAAGCCAGAGACCCCGGGTCGTGGTAGATGAATCGGAAGATGATTCGGAAGAGGACTCGGAGGAAGATTCGGACGACGAAGAATTGGAGGTACCGAGACGTAGCAGTCGGCCACGCATGGTATCCAGGAAGCTCAGAGACGAGTAAACACTTCACGGCGTGATCCGGAAAGCGGTCAATCGTGCAGCCTGAATGTAGCACCATATCTTTCTATCACATGCAATCTGGTGAGATGAAATTGCAGGCAGACTGTGTAATGTATGAAAAGAACAAAGAGTAGTTCAAAGTACAAGAAAACGATCGACAGAGGGATGGGCAGAGGGAAGGGTAGAGGGGAGGGCAGAGGGGAGGGCAGAGCGAAGGGCAGAGGGAAAGACAGAGGGAAGGGCAGAGGGAAAGACAGAGGGAAGGGCAGAGGGAAGGACAGAGGGAAGGGCAGAGGGAAGGACAGAGGGGTGGACATAGAGACCGATGCAAGGTACAGAGTCATCATGGTCAACTCTGGACAGAACGTAAGACGACGTAGGACGAGGTGGTGAAGACGTTGGAACAATGGAACGAGAGACGAGAGGAACAAAAATGACATCTCAAGAACAACAAGAACAAGAGAGTACCGAAGCCCCTGCACGATTAGGGGAGTCGACATGACATGGTGTAGCTCGAAGGTCAAGATGGAGCCTCGAGGGCCTCGAGGATGACCAAGACCAGGTTGACTTGCTGTGAAGGCTACAGTAAATATAATCAGCCCCCATCCACTTTGACCTTGAGACTTGTTTGAGTCCACAGATACCCATTGTGATGCATCTCGATGGTGAAAACAAGCGTCGGAGACCAGAGATCGGCCGAGGCCTTTGCCATTTGAGCTTTCGGGCTCTGTGCATGGTTGGTGTGGCCTTGATCATCAAATCTACTTTTTAATCTTTGAATTTCTAAGCTGATGTTGGGCATGTAGAGATATATCTGCGTCCTTCTTCCTTCTGCACAACTGAAATTAGCAGGCAAAGATCCCCTGGCACCAGTACCTAGTCAATCAAGTTGAACAGAAGCTTGTCAGGCTCGAACAAGTCGATCGGGTCAGGTTCAGAAGTGCAAGGCTGCTTTTTTACCCTGGCCTTCTTCATCGCTTTGCTCGTCCCTGCTTGAGCTTTTGCTCCCGGTCCCTGTCCGGCATTGTTTGACATGAGACAGAGCACAGGCAACCAAGAGAGACTTGAGCGTTCCTGCAACGGGCTGTATTGACCTATCACATTAGCGATTGTCTGCTTCCAATCTAACTTCGAAGGAACTCGGGGGCAGTGAGGAACACGTTTGCCATTGTTTGGTATACAGAACTGGATCTATACTTTAGTGCTGTCAGAGCTGTACAAGACGGGCAAGACCGCGACCTGCCATCCCATCAAACTCTGTAAAGTTTCCGGTAGCTTCGAGTTTTCCTGCTGCAAAACCTGATAAAACAACTCCTCCAAAGATGGTGACAAGGTCAGGGTCTCTATTAACAAGTTGCCCGCTCGAAGTGTCTCGACATCTTGACCCTCTTCTCTTGCCTTGAACAAGACCTTCATGGCTTGCTTGGGTTCTGAGCACTCAAGCGACGAGTAGGCCAGGTTCGTAGAGAATACCCAGATCTCGTGAGGAAGAGTTGGGAAGACGAATTTGCGCACGCCTTGAGTTTCTATTGCTTGATTGAGGTAGCAGGAGAACCAATGTGCTGCGTCGTAAGAACGCGTGGTGCTATCACGCTGAGATGAGAGGGCAAGGTATGGCTTCTGCAGGCGAATACCTTCCGTCTGGGGATCGCGATAACCCAGAATCGTATCGCAGTCCTTGCAATGAGCTTGGTAGATGCTGTCGTTGTTCTCGAGTGACCGGCACTGCAAGACTCGTTAGTTTCAATCAAGACAAGTATGTAATGAACGCTGGAATGTGCCAATCTGATGTATCTAATCATGGCCAACAACTCTGAGCTGAGACATTGATACGTAGAGGCAAGTCGACGTCAACACAGTGAGCGACCCATCTAGCTAAGCCGAGGGTCCGCGCACCAGTCGAACGACCGGTCTTGATCTTGGGCTTTTGTATCGGAGTGACTTCTCATTGAGATGATACAGAGTTCACAGAGCACTCCTTCTTGAAACCCGCGAAAGAGGGAGAAATGGAATGATAAGAAAGGAGTGGAGTGCGTGGCTTACCTCGACAGTGCAATCATCTTCGGAGAGAAGGAAACTCATGACATCCACAAGACCAACACCGGCTTGAGCTCTTAGCTTGTTACCAGCAGCGTAACCTTTTTTGGCTGGTGCGTTGTCGTGACCATGATCCGGCTCGTCAGGTTTGTGGCAATGCCATAGGTCCATCATCTCGGCCCAAGCCTCGGACGGCAGGTTCTTCCAGTCACGAACTTTGTCGCTTGATACAAGGGCATTGCAGTGTTTGCAATGCACTTTCGTTTTGAATCGAGGGAGTTCGCGGACCACAGAGCAACAGCTTCTTCTTCGGCAAAGAAAGATTCGGCTGGTATACGATTTGCGCATTGCAATTCGCCTGTGCCTGGAAGCTGCAGCTTCTGTAGTCCTTGAGCGGATATTCTCGCTGGTAGCGTGATGCGCTCAGTGCGATTGTTGTGCTCGAGGATAATTTGTGTGCGGTCGCTCGACAGAGATAGGGCAGTGGTGTCATTCATAGGCGTGTCCAGTACCGTAGTGACGGTGAGAGTTTTGATATTGGGCAGGTACTCGGCATAGAGGTTGGCCATAGTGAACGAGCTGGACTCGTAGTTGTCTCGGTCGTTTGTTTTGGTCATGACAACGTCCAGAGCCCTCCTTCCTAGCTCGACGGTATGTTCTAATGCGGCCAACTTTGCCATGGCGCTGATCAAGCTTGGATCCTGACTTTCAACCCTGACCTTCTCTTTGACTCTGACTTGGGCGCCGCGGTATGTAAAGACGTCTTCGGCCTCGTCGTGGGCAGGAGGTCGCGGACCGGCACCTAGTGCATGTGCAAGTCTGTCGCGGAGACCGAAGCCAGTGAATGAGGGGCCACTACCAGCCAGTGGTGTTGAAGATCCAGTGCTGGAGGCGGGTTCGAGGGTGCGGATGTGGAGAAGCAGGGCAGCGTCTGAAATGCTGAGATGGAAGGAGAGATTCGGCGGAGGAGGAGGGTCAAATATTTTATCGTCGAGGGGGTCGGATGCCCAAGTCTTGTCAGCTTCCGAGGCAGCAGGATCTGCTTTGAGGGCAGCTTTGGCGTCGCGGATGTTCTCGTGCAGCAAAGTCAACTGGCCCGAGATGAAATTGGCGTCGCGCTTGTCGCCAGTCCATGTAGTAGCATCAACGACATCCAAGCTTGAGTTGATCAGAGTCCTGACTTCGGCGATTTGTTTCAGTCTCAGAGCAGGAGCAGAAGGCGAGGTGGAGATGGAGAGCTTGTAGCTGGTCTGGCCGCGAGGAGGCGGTAACGATGCGAGACGCAGCTGGACGTCGCCTTTGGTGATGTTGGAGCCATTTCGGGTGATGAAGCCTTTGACGGCCTCGGTTCGGTGTGAAGAGACGACCAGGGTGCTGCCTTGATCTCGTGGTGCCAGTAGCGCGCTGCAGTCTTCGAGACCGGATTTCAAGCTCGACAGGGTTTCCTGGAACGCGTCGAGCAGCCACGACAGCTCACGCTGTCGCGTTCCGTCTGCTTGTCGAGCGAGACTCTGCGCCGAACCATCTGGCAAGGGCGGCCATAGTATTGTTGACATGATGCCTCGCCCAACATCGTCGCTCGTGTCCTGGTCGAGCTTCGCCGTGTGCCCCAGAATCACGTGCAAACTGAGCTTCCAAGCAAAGCAATTCCCGACTCATCAAGGTGCTCCACCATGAACCAATCAATCTCGACACTAACACGCATATTTCGTGACCCTCTGTGTCGCTGCAACTGAAGAACTGACATAACAGACTTGTCTATGAATTTGGTCTTATTCGCTATTCTAGCTGAGCAGGCCAAAAGTGATATCGAAAGTTGAAACATGTTTATTGTTGCTGGGCGAATTCCTCCAACCACTTTGCAAGCTTCTCGACCTTTTCCACGCTGACGGCGTTGTAGTTGCTGATTCTGCACCCACCCACACTGCGGTGACCCTTGCAACCAAGCAGCAGCCTCTCATTCGCTCCAGCCAGGAACTTCTTCTCCTTGTCGTCTCTGTCATTCTCGCTGCCAATTCGGAAGCAGATATTCATCTTGCTGCGAACAGACTTGTCCGGCACTACCTGGAATACTGGGTACTTGTCAAGGATACCGTACAGTAATGAAGCCTTGTGCTCTGACTCGCTTTGCTGCGTCGCGATCTTGGCTCCAGAAGTTGAAGCCTTGGAGATCAGAGATTGCATCACCTGGCCAGCGATCCACACGTCGAAGATGGGAAGCGTGTTGTAAAGGGAGTTGTTCTTTGCAATCGTGGGCCAGTCGAGGACTACGGGACCAACGGGCAAGTTCAGTTTGCGGAGGAGATCGGGTTTTGCGAGTTGAGTGAGGAGAGAGTTCTTGATAATGGCAATGGTGATTCCTGTTGTGCCGACGTTCTTCTGTGCACCGCCGAAGATGGCAGAGTATCGCTTGACGTCGACCTTGCGGCTGAGGAAGTTGGACGACATGTCGGCAATGACTTGGTACTTGTCCGAGTCGATGTTGGGGAAAGCAGGGAACTCAACGCCGTCGACCGTCTCGTTGTCGCAGAAGTAGACCATGGCGCTGTGGGCCGGGTTGGGGGTCAATGACCAAGAGGACTCGGTGGGGATGGTGCCAAATTTGCCATTGTTCTCCTTGCGACTGTCGACAGCGACGTTGACGTGGTTTGCACCGACGAGTCTGGCGGCTTCTTGACTGGCCTTCAAGGACCAGCTACCAGTGACCAGGTAGTCCAGCTTGAACTCTTCATCGACAGCCTTCCTTAAAGCCTCAAAGACCTTTGACTCATTGTCCTCTCTAAGCTCTTTTACGATTTGCTGTCTTCTCTTCTCGACCCAGAGGGCAGTCATGTGGTAGACCGAAGCACTGAATTCGCCGGAACCTCCGCCCTGCAGGAAAATGATCTGGTAGCCATCGGGGCCTTCTTGGGTGGGGATGTCGAGCAATTGAGCCAATGCCGACTTTGTGTCTTCGAGGATCTTTGCTGCGTCGCCGGAACGGTGCGAGATTTCTGTGATGCCGATGCCAGAGTCGTTGTAGTTGAGGAGGACTTGTGAAGCCTTCTCCAGTACCGCTGTGGGCAGAGGAGCGGGACCGGCGCCAAAGTATGCTGTTGCTTCGCGGGAAGGCATGTTGTGTGTGCTTGAAGGGAAACAAAGTACGCAAGGAGAGAATCGAAGAGTTACAGCTGTTTCAATTGACTCATTTGGCGGCTTGACTCATGGTCAATTTTCTGGAACGCCATGACGAATTCACGCCAAGAGATTAGATCCATCAGTTCATCAGTCGCAACGCCGCACCCTCCTCCGCTTGGAGACCTCTGCATATCAAGACCCTAAAGACACCCAACCAAGTACCGACGCGTAACCTCCAATCCCAGTGCCAAGCAATTCTGCTATACAAAACATGTGACAGGTTTATGTCATGCTGGCTACAGCTGGCAGGTGCAACCGATAATCATAACACAGTTCATCCAAAGCATCACCGGCACGCTGTATGTTTGGTTTGTTACAGAGAGTTTTTGGCTGTGCTTAGAATCATCGCGGGTAAGTTTTCTGTCTACTGGGGCAGGGCAATAACAACCGAGAGGTCATGCTCTCATTTTGGCACGAGAAAAGAGACAGCGGGAAATTATTTCATGTTGAGCATGTTTATTGATTCTTGAATCTGAGGGACAAAGAGCAAAGATATTTACCTACAATCGCGACAACGTCCACGATACAACACTCCTTTGGGCTCCTTGCGGCAGACGCTGCAAGGATCCATCATTCCAGCTGGTGCTGTGTCGGCAAAGACTAGTCTTCCGGCTTCATGGTTCAGCCTCAGGCGACTCCCCACCTGCTGAGCACTGTGAAATGCGTGCCGAACGCTGCTTGTCATAGAGCTGTCTGACATACGGGATCTGGGAGTAGCAGGTGGACACTGAAATGACTCACACGATGAGACACTTCCGGATCGTCTTGGAGAAGCTTCACGGCGATCAACGCTTGATCTACCTCTTGAGTGTCTGCTCGCTCCAGGTTGGGTTCTTGACTCAGCGAGAGATGCGTATGAGTTATTGGCCCGATTCTCCTGATTCTGTTCGATCATCTCTGTCACCTTGGGGGTGCTGAAAATCTCCTTGACAGGCGTAACGACTTTCTTTTCAATCCAATGAGCAGCTCGATCGATGGGACTGGCCGGGCGCGAAGATGGTTTCTGGTCAGGCAGAGGAGGTAAAGGCTTGTTAACGTCTGGTTTATTGTGCATGTAATCGCGGATATAAGTGTATTTGAGCTCCTCATCTCGGACAGTGTAAGTAGCTTCGACGTTGACGTCCATCCTACGAAGAGGTACACGACGTCTGCCAGCGACGCTTGATCGAGCCTGTCCTGCAGGACTTCGAGTGAAGGTTCCGTAATTTGGATTTCCTGACGGTTCCTGTCCGATGGTGAGATTAGATTGTGCTGACATTTTTGTTTCTGTTTGATGTGATTTGAGGAGAAATGAGTTTTTGCAGACTTCTGGAAAGGCAAGCACTGCTTGGAAACAGAGAAACTTATATCGTTATTGTTCTTGTGAACAATCGGCCTTTCGGTGGACAAAGAGAGCAAGCAAAGAATTGTCTTCGAATTTTCTTTGTATGTAGTTCAGACTTGCTTTTGCAACAAACAACTTGAAGAAAGACACTAGATGATTGTTCCATGGGCCCTTTGAACGTTCTGTTCTGATAATGGATACTTTTGAGACAATGCATTGTACATCCAAGTCAAAGTAACTAGGCGTCATAGCGTTGTCCGGTTGGTCGACTCATCCTTGTGTCTCGTCATTCTTGAGAGAGTTCTGTGCTCTCTTTGCCCGACGAGCTTCGCTCATTCAAGTTGCAAAGGGAAAGCCCGGCGTGCAAAACCCAGCACCGCTTCTGAGAGCAATACTTCGGGCCAACACCCGAAAGAGCTTGTATAGTAGCTGGAGTTATATCTGTATTGATCTTGGGCAGCTATCGAACAAAGAGTATGAAAAAGGCCGCGAAATGATATGGCATCAAAGCTTACATAGTAGCAATAAGTCGCTGGACCTTCAATGTCCGAGTTTGAGCATACAGGCACACGAAACAAAAACTTCGGCCATTTCAACAATCAAGCTTCAAGCATCGCCAGACGACAGATCTGGATTGTGGAACTCAGTTCAAATTGCCAATACCCAGGATACTTGCCACATCAAACGATTCCGAAGGGGCTGCAGTTGACGAAGGTCTACATTACGTGTCAATGATGTTACCTAGTCTACGCATCGATGACTTACTCAGCAGNNCTGCGTCCGTCGTGGCGTGAGCACCAGACACGGTTGTTGTTAAGGTGCCTCCCGAGATGTAAATGGTCTTCGTTACTCGTCGAGTATATGTGCTTGTCGTGCGACTGCTATGCATGTCAGGTCGACTCGTCAATCCATATACGCATATCATCTTACACTGTGGGGAGTGAGTTCTGGCTCAGAGTGTATGTCTGTGTAACAGTAGGTCCAGTTGATACGGTTGGCCTTGTGGCGATATTTGTCGTCTCTGTCTCCACGGAGTATGTCAATTCCATGGTTGTTGNNACATTGAGAATGTGGTAAGTATCTCTGTCACGTTGGCCACGAAGGTTTCCACAATGATCTGCGAAGGTCCAGCCACAGTCGTAGTCAGGTTGATAGATGTGACTGTGGTCATCGGAATGGTAACCAGACTGGTCTCCCAGACGTAGTACTCTACGACACACTTCTCTGTACCGTTGGCAAATGTTGCACAGATCTTCTTATCTACATCTGTAGGAGGGCCGGCACTCGTGAGTTCGTTCCACGGCGCGACATAGTACGTGGTGAGAGGCTGTACAGTAGGAGGTGGAGTGATCATTGCAGCTGTACCGTTGGCATCCGTCGCGTTGCTTAATGTTGCGCTGGGCGTCTCGAGCACGTATCCGAAGTCGCTTGAGAAGGTGATGTCTTGGTTACAGGCAGTCACGAGATATACACGGTCGATACCAGTCAGGGTAGTAGCGCATACCATTGTGACTGTTGGACTGAATATCGTGGTACATGTGCCAGGTCCAGGAGGCATCGATATGGAGTAGTTCTGATACGGAGCTGTAGTTTGAGTAGGTGTAGCCGTGATGGAGGAGAAAGCTTCTGGGGGCAGTGCACAAAGCGTGAACAGAGGCACATCCGATGATACCAGCTGGCTTTGCTGAGTAACAGGAATGGGCGAAGCGCCTGGAGAAGGCGTAACGTATGTCAACACCGAGCCTGCGGCGCTGGACTGAAGTTGAGCATCGCTGCTGGCGGCGGCTTGCCTACGGCGAATCTCGATAGCTTCGTGCCTGAAAGGATGGAGGGCCGCGGCCGCATCACCTAGGATGGCCGAAAGGGGTAAAAAGCAACATGCAAATGAGCGTCCAAACATGATAGCGAAAAGGAGTGTGGTCAAAGGACGACGAGCCGTCTGAAGGATGGAGTAAGCCACATCTTGTCTTTTCTTCCGAGCCATAGTGGCATTCCTGTGTCGAAGTGGCATCAAAACACGGGGTATGGGGAATGAATTGGAATGAACTCACATTGCATTCCTCGTGTCTCACACAATTGGCTATTCTTTCTCATAGCGAAGAATGTAAACATTAGATCGACCAAAGATGACCTGGGTCGCCAGCCGATTTCTAACGCATAGCGATGTAGTAATTTCCTCGTTGCAGTACACACAGTGATGAAAAGTTGATAGCAAATTCAGTTCAACCATTGAGTTGGGTTTGATTTGGTCTACACGATAAATGATAAACACATTTAGTGACATGAATTCGTAATTTGTTAAAGTCATTATTCGGCATCAAGGGGAGCGACAGGAGGGTTGTCGTTGACTTGAATGCCACCACGCTTTCTGTGGGAACTGTCCTCAAAAGGCAAGGTCCAGCCACCCTCAGTATCCGGGGTGGCCAGCCAGAGTCTCATAAGATGACGTCTCGGCAGCGGAGGGGCGTGGTCCTTGTAGGCTGTGCGAGCGTGCAAGACGTGTTCGTTACTCAAGAACTGGATGTCACCAATCTCGAGAATCATATGCAGAGATAGACGCACGCATGTGTCTTCAAGAATCTGAGCAGCACGAAGTTGTTCGGCCGAGAGGGCTGGAATGACGCCGGCATCGCTGAAACGGGTGAGGGACTTGACGTAGTAAGGGTCCCACTTGGAGTAGACGCGACCATTGGGCTTGGGTTCGAGGTAGAAAACGGATGTGCGGATCCAGTCTTGCTGGCCAACCGACTTCTCACCCTTGCGGTCAAAGTACCAAATTGGCTGGGTCAGCAATTCGGCTACATCAGGATTCTCCTTCTGCAATGCGTTCCACACGGCGTGACTGGACACGAGGTCAGACTCGCCACCCTCAAGGGCGCGAGCTATGCAGAGGAGACCGACAATGTCGCTGTCATCGGCGTGGAAGAATTGACGGGCGTTAGTGCGATAGATGCGGACCTTGTCGATCTGGCTGCTGTCCTCGCCAACATCCTTGACGTGGCCCAAGACGTGACCACGGCTGTTCTGGCTGACGAAGTAGCCGAGGTATGTACCCAGGCCCATGTAGGCAACAGCCGACTTGTGCAGACCCCATTTCTCGACGGGGAAGCCCTTGAAGAGGATGAAGCCTTTGCCGTTGAGCAGCTCGTGACGAAGCGAGTGCAGCAGGCGACCGGTGGCAGAGGGCAAGGGGAACTTCTCCTTGGTGATACCGGTCAGGGGNNGAGTGGATGAGGCGATGAAGTCGTCGGCAGCCTTGCTGATTTCGGCAATCTCATCGTCGCTGAAAGGGTGTGTCCAGCGCTCAGGGTTGTTCTTGTATTCCTCAGCCTGCCATACTGTAGGGCCGGTTATCTCCTTAGGGAAGGCCGAGTATGGGGCAAGCTGGTTGTAGAGAGGGTCGAACTGGCCGGCGGTCTTGACGCCGTCGGGGAAGACCTTGGATGAAGGGTTGTGGTATGTGTAGGAGGAGGACTGAGGCACATCAAGCGGGGATTGGACGGCGGTCGGAGCCATGGTGTGGACGAGGATTGCGGGCACGACGGGCAGTGTTTTGAGACAAGTCAAGACGATTGATGGGCTTGGAAAGCAAGTCAAGGTAGTGTCTTAGGCGGTGTTGTTCGGCGGTTGCGAGGCCTTGATACAGCAGCAGAGACAGCGAGTAGACGAGTATATAATTCATGGCGGCGGTGGGTTCCGAAACGGGCGTGTTGGCCGTGGTGAGTGTAGATAATGCCTGATAATGGCAGGTCGAGGGATGGCGTGCTCGACGACTCTCTCTTGCGCGATAATTGCCCTATCGGAGCCGTCGCTGCTGGCCGCTGGATGGCGCGAGTGCGGGGTACGAGCTCGTCGTCAGGGTTGTGCTGAGCGATCTCGCGATTGGCAAGTGATGAGAACACTCTCTCTTATGATGGCGTGCGTCTGCGAGACTTGGACGGTCGTCGAGTGCTGTGGGTTTATATCTGAGAGAAGGCCGGTCATGGGCTGAATGCCTGTGGAAAGTGGATTCCAAACGTCGTCAAAGCACGCGAATAGAGGCCCGCGCGCTGCTATTCTCAGCTCAACGTCACTTTGACCGTCCTGCATACGCCTCGCTATCCAATTGTCTGCACTTCTAATTTGCTGACCAACAGCTTGCAATCAGTGCACGCATTCCTTTCAAAGCCACACATGTAACATCCTACCTGTTCTCACTCGCTGTACATCCATACCATCTATCGCTATCTCAATACTCGATTGACTCGCGCACTCTCTGGTCCAGAACGCGCCGGTCATGTTCATGCGGGGTCAACGGCAATATTCACTATACTTCTCGGCTCCCGCGCTCACCGTTTTCCGTTGCTTTTCAGCTCCATCATTCTTCAGCTCTCGGAAGGCCCGACACCTCGGTCCAAAGAGCCTTGCGCCAGGCATGAGTTTTTCCGTATCAAGAACGAGTCTGGAATCTCCACACACATTCAAACAATCACGACTTGCCAATCTCCTTGCTGCGATATCATAACGCTGCCTCTTTCGTACTGTACAAGGGACAGGGCGAACTACATGTGGTTGATCATGACTTGGCGCATGATGGTATATAATTGAACAAAGCTCAGCCAGCTTCAACAAAGTCGCAGTGGTTTAGTGGTAAAATTCGTGCTTGCCATGCACGAGCCCCGTGTTCGATTCACGGCTGCGACATGTCTTTTGCGACATTCATAGTCTTCCCCTTTGCTCAGCCATCGACCATGATCCTCACCGACAAGTAGCTAGCTGATCATGCTTCAGAGCGGGTTGTGAATAGTGGTGCTACTTTTTCTGGTGAGAGTGCTTATAGACCAACGGCTGCATGAGAGTCCGTCAGCATCGCGGCACACTTGAGCCTTTCGACCCCATCACCTCACGATCATGCATTTTCACGATTTGCTATTTATGTCTAGTGTTCCACTGGTTACCTCAGCGGAGAAGCGTTTCTTGTTCTTGATCTACCATCTATTTGTGTCTGTCGTTATGGCATCAGTCACTGGCACACTCCCAAACCAACGACGACCCAGAAAATCAGGCCCATGCTACGTGGAATCTCCGGCAGGATCGCCCATGCATCCCATTCCTCGAGCTTCTGCTCGGGTGTTGGTCGCCATACTTCGAATGTCTGATCGTGAGACTCGTCCTCCAGATGCAGATGAAGATAATCCTCGCTTTCCTTCGCCTGTGATCTTGGGCGAGCAAAGTCACGATCCATCAGGTCCCGTCGCTCCGGCATGGTCGGAGGCGAAACGGCATATACGATTGGCCTGAGCGAGGCGAAATGATTACTCCATGCTGCACCAGGAACCAGTACATGTGTTAGGAGGTAATGCAAAGTGCCGTGGTTGTTTGCTTTCACAAGTCCCACTGCGAAGACTGCTGCTGCCACAGCAACAACAACGACATGGAACCACAGATCCTGGTAGAAGAACATCACTCGTAGACGTTGGCGAAGTCCGGGCCGACGATCAGGGTGACGTTCTTGAATCTTGGACTCTGCCAAAGCGGTCGGGATGAACCCAATACGCTGTCCGGCCAGTGACTTCGGGATCAGGTCTTTGGCAAGGGCGAAGAATAAGTGGGTATGCAACCAGTGCATGCCTTCGATTCTCCGGCGTAGAGCCAAATAACCACAACCTGTACTTGCAAGCAATTCTTCGACGAAAGCTGTGATTCTGGCTAGAAGGTATACAAACAGTATATTCTGTAATTCGCTCGGCTGGGCAGTAATGAGTGGTTGCCCGGAAGCAACAAGCAGAAGAATGAGCCAGGAGCAAAGTGGTCTGTTCATCATGGATGCGATAGGTGAAGCACAATGACATATCGCGCTAATCCGCTGCTTCCAGGTCATACCTTTTACCAGTGGCGAGTTTATGGCGCAGTTGAGCCTGCGAGAGTTACGCAGCCGACCGACGANACTGGAAACCGTCAGTGTTCTTGTACAAAGAAAAAGGATGCTGGTCAGATTGCTTACCCATTTCATTCGTTGCGTGACATGGGCCTTGAAGGTGTCTGGTACGAGACCAAATTGTAGCTCTTCGCGGCAATATACAACCTTCCAACCTCGACCCTGAAGTGTGAAGCCAGTCAAGATATCTTCGGCTAGGGCGTTCTCCGGGAAGCCTCCGATGTCCCTAATCGCTCTGCAACGAAACACGACACCAGGGCCGGTTACCCATGCGCAATTCATGCTATCGCGTTGGATCTCGTCGAACTTGCCGTCCACGTTCAGACTTTGGTAAAGTGGGTCGTTAGTCGGTACATTGTAGAACCTCTGNNGAGGAAGAAAGTCATCAGCTTCGGTCAAAGAGTATCAGGATATTTGCTTCTTTCTCACCTGTGGAACGACAGCCACTCCAATTTGATCATCGTCGACGAGGAGTGCAAGCGTAGCGCGAAGAAACTCTGGCTCGAATATCATGTCGACATCGCAGAAGGTGCAGAACTCGGCCCCGCCAAGACTGTGCAAGTAATTGAGCGCGGAGTTCATGTTTCCTGCTTTCATTCCACCTTTGGTTGGTCTTGCATAATACAAGAGTGTGACCGGAGTCTTCGTAGCCATCGCTGCTATCTGCATCTCCAAATCCGGGTTCGCAGCATCGTCGGCAACCAAGATCCTGTATCTGTCTGCGGGATAGTCAAGATCGCATGCTGCTCGGACAGTGTCCATGACGACGTCAATCTCTTCGCCACATGTTGTGACGATAACATCGGCATAAGGGACTGTTGATCCAACAAGCCGGAGTCGGGGTCGTAATCGAGGATTGGTGCAGAGGAATCGCCATCCGTCGTCAGCCACTCGTGCAACTGCCTGCCTGTCAGTGCTCGCTCAACAAAGAGGACTGATGCTCGTCCATACTCAGCAACGATATTTGTGTGGCGAAATAGCATGTAGCAACAATTCCCGGCTTCCCGTTGCCGTCCCAGAGAGATCGCCAAAGCAACAGCAAGAAGCGAAGCGAGAAGGCCCATGACAAGAAAGAAAGTGGTGTACCGATCAGGTGGGGTAAAGTCGTGGTGCACCAGTGCCATATAGGTGTGTGATCCTCGGAATCGGAGAGCTCAACGATATCATAAACTTCTCGCGGATCTTGGGAGAGAGGTCTTGATTTGTCTTCGAGCAACATGATGAGATATGGTTTCGATATCTGCCATTGAGAGTTGATCAGGAACGATTCTCAGCACCAGAGTGAAAGTTATAAGAGACCCAACATTGCTTACGGTTGATAGGCGTGTCGAAGCCAAAGCAGGATCAACGAATATAGGTTACACAAAGGTCAAAGCAAGAATTACAAGCTCAACGGCTGGTTGCCAGCCACGCAAATATAAGAGAAACGTGCCGATGCGGGCAAATAAGGAAGGACAAGATAGAACATTCCATGATTTCCAGATCTAATCAAACCAATGCTTGACGGGAGTGCACTGGTAATAGGAGAGTTAAACAGCACGGTCGAGACCTCAATGGTGTAATTCGCTGGGACTGGGGAAAAAGGAGCGGATGTTCGGGAAGCTTTTGCCGAAAGTCGCCAAGGTTTGCCCAATCAGGGTCCTTTTCAAGGGCTTTTGGTTGAAACTTGACACTGCGGCCTCCAGACCGTTCGCTCATCCGTTCTTCTAAAGTAGAAACTTGATAAAGCCATATTCGAGCAATTTGCTGAGACCAGTAATCGAGTGGCATTGACCCACGAGGGGCGACATAGGTATTCGTGACTGTGTTTGAAGCGTCGAATATTGAAAAAGGGAGTCTATTTATACTCGTCAAATTAGGAGTACGAATTTCTTTCCAGCCACGTCTACGGAAGCAAACCTTGTAGAAGCATTCCCGATAGATTGGCCTTATATAGTTAGCATGTTGCCGTCGTGGTCGTTGCATTTTTAGAAAAGAGTTAGTTTGCCTACGTAATCTAGCTCGGAAGAAGAGCTTCGAGCGTTTCTACACTGCTGGCTTCTTGAACACCCAACTTTGGATCCTACCAGAACAGCTATACATACTCTTTAGCAGCCCTTCTTCTCTCCCTTCTCTTCTTCTTCCTTCTAATAGGCAAGAACAATGGCATAGCATGCAAAAGATGGGTCTCGCCGGGAATCGAACCCGGGACCACTCGCAATTGGCTTAGAGTTCCTCCCGAGGGCTTGTAGAAAGCTAGGAGCCCATCTGGAACTGATTGCCCAGGCTCTTGCGTGTGTACCCGACAGCCCTACCTGTGTAGCTGTTCGAAGGTGCTCGCAGAGATGCTGTTGAGACGAAGCGCACGACGGATCAACCATGCGTCGTTTTTGTATGGTTTTTGCTTCCGCATCCTTCTCTTGCAAGCTTGCTATGTTGGTTGGGAAAACTTCTGGGCGGAGGGGCATTCAATGCTATAGAGGAGGAGAGTAGCGTGTCTTGGGAGGTGTGGGACAGTTGCAGATGCATTCATGGCGATTCGACAGCGGGTATGGTCAAGCATTTAGGCAGTGCTGTCTGCGAGCATCTCAAGTGCCAGCTGCCTCGATCGAAAAGGTTCGCTGTGCGCCGAGGAAATCGTAAGGTGACAAAGGCCACGACATGGATGTTTTGGTAAGCGATGACGAAGACGAAACCATGGCCAAGAGGGGTCTCTTTGACGAGTCAGGGGGGCTCGTTGAGGCTGAGAATAACGAGCGGAGATTCGGTTTCGTAAATTGGCGGTCAGCAATGTCCGACACCCTCTAACATGCATCATAGCACTGCATAAACTGGTACTGTGCGCAGTTTCTCGGGCAGTTTGTCTGGCTAAAACCAAGGACGAACAGTCTGAAGTGTCACTGTGCTGGGCTGGTCGACTGGGGATGAGTAAAGTTGGGTTCGTGGTTGAGCTGACGCAGCCGCCATGTCGCGTGTCAAAATCCCCAGATTTGAACGGGTGGAGAATGAGAGAGATCTGCACTGTCACTCTTCAGGGGACTCTTTGATGAGCTTTTCTTTTCTTGCATTGCACAGCCTCAAACGAGATGTGGTGCACCGTATACGCTGCGTCCAATTGATTCGTCGTACGTTTGCGTAGCTGTTCGTATTGCAAGAGAGTCCCGACCCGATAGCGCTGTGATTGCTGCATGCCGATACATGATGAAACACGTCCGTCTTCTTTGTTGTCGCCCACGCATCTTGCTCTTTCATCAATTGACTGGGCTCACTCGCTCGCTCTGACTTACATTCCTTTCTTGTCTGCTTCTTTGTTCATCTGCTTTTCACTTTCTGCTTTTCGCACTCGCAGACGCCTTTCTTCGTCCGAGTCAATTCATTCCAGCCGACTCGAGAATCCAACACCATGGCTTCCTCTGATTTTGCAGCAAGCACTACGACCACCATGTCTACAGGCTCCCCCTCAGTTAACATCTCTCGTGAAGCAACATGGAAGGCACAGGGTTATCACGCCCGCAAACCCCAACCTCACCACTTGGAGATGGAGGACTATTTCGCCGGTCCTAGAGATATGGCAAGACACTCCAAACTGCCCTTCTTCATGCGCTTGCACGGCAGTGTCTTGCCCAAGATGCTCCTTCCCCTGCTCTTCATTGGCGGCTGGTCAGTCCATTCTTCTACCTCATGATTCATCACCATCCACTGACTTCGATCAGGNGCAACTGCAATCACCTTGATCTCAAAATTCACTCGCGCCAAACTGGGCATCAACTCCCTCCTTCTGACAGTACTGGGTTTTGTGGTCGGTCTGGCTCTGTCCTTCCGCTCGTCGACCGCCTATGAACGCTACAACGACGGACGCAAATACTGGTCGCAACTGATGCTATCTTCACGCAACCTGGCACGTTTGATCTGGGTACACGTCGAAGAAAGACATAGTGAGTCTGAGGAGCTGGGCAAGCGCGACCTGCTGGCGAAGCTGAGTGCTATCAATTTACTCAATGCTTTCTCCGTTGCTCTCAAGCATCGTCTGCGCTTCGAGCCCGCCATCGAGTACCCAGATCTGGAGCCATTGGTCGCCCACCTCGATCTGATGGCTGGCACGGCCGATCAAGTCGCCCTACGCAAGAAGAAGCAAACACCATGGAAGTCTGCCGGCGAGTACCTAGGCGTCTCATTCGCAGAGTCCAATCCTCGTAAACTGATCAAGCGCGCAAACGATAATCTTGGCAATCCTCCTGCCGAAATATTGACATACCTCTCTGCATACATGGAACACGTCATCCAAGAAAAGACCATGAATGTGCCGTAAGTACAACTGAAAACTGCCATATACAGGCGTTCTATAGGCTAAGATAGGGCTAGGATTCATCAAACATGGGCCTTTGCAGGGGTTGCATCGCTGGCAGATGTCCTCACTGGCTGTGAACGTGTACTCAACACTCCCTTGCCAATCGCATACACCATTTCCATCTCTCAGATAACCTGGGCCTACGTCCTTGTCTTGCCCTTCCAGCTGTACAACTACTTGGACTGGGTTACCATTCCTGGCACTATGCTCGCCGCCTATATCATCCTCGGTCTCTCTAAGATGTGCGTTCTCCCTGTTTTCCCTTTCCTTCACTCTTCCTCGTAACTGACTTCTTGCTAGNNCGGCACCGAGATCGAGAACCCCTTTGGCAACGACGTCAACGATCTGCCCCTCGACGATTACTGTCGCGAACTGGCTGCCGATATCGATGTCATGACCAGCACACCCGCCCCCCGTGTCGAAGATTGGGCATTTGCTCCTAACAACCGTGTGCTACATCCCCTCAGTGCTACTGGTTTCGAAGGTTGGCAGCACAGAAGTCTTGAGGAGATCCGTGAGGCTCTCAGAGCGAAGGCTACTACTTCTGTCAAGTCTATCCACGCTGAGAGGTCTGAAACCCCTTTGGCTGAGCCCAAGATTGCAACCGTCTGAGGGCGGGATACATTGAGCAAACCTAGTCATGATCAAAAAAGTTTTTTCACTTTTGTTCGTTGAACCTCCACGCTGAAGATGTATCGTCACCAAGAATCTCTATGCGTACCAGTGTTAGGCTGCAGCTCTGAGCTCATCTCTTGCATGCTGCAGTAGTATTTTCGAGAGAGCCCGTAGTGTTATCAACAACAAGGGTTCATAAGATCGGCAAGAAGCTTCGAGATTGCTGTCATCAACGGTGTCTGCTCGAGACTACCGGTATGTGTTGGTGAGCTTCTGCAAGCGGTACCACAACAAATTTGGCTGCTGGTGTTGGCTGACAGCGGCTCCATATAATAATCATCAGGCGGAAAATCAGTCTTTATACTCTTTACAAGAACAAAGAAACCAACGCTTCTTTGTTCTTATGACGTAAATCTCATGCGCTATCGCTCAACACGGTAGATCACATGAAAACTCACACAACTATAAAAGAGATACCCCCAGCAACGACTTCTCATAAGTCCTTTATCGAACCATATATGTAGATAACGCAAAAAGTGCAAAAGAAGGGCCCAACCGGGATTTGAACCCGGGACCTGTCACATTGGCCTTGCAGAGCAAGAGGTTTTACCCGAAGCAACAATCATACGACTAGACCATTGGGCCGCGTTCAAACGATTGATCAATTTCGAGCGTAAACGATTCTTCGAGATATTGACACGAGTTGTGCATCCAGATTGATCACCCAACACGTAAATCAGGCCTATCCTTTAAAGAGACACTGACCATATTTCAGGCGAGGCTAAAGAGTCTTATACTTGGACAAGCTTGTGAATAATTTGCAATCACGGGTTGGCGGGAAAAGAAGAAAACGTGATAAAGAAACGATGTCAAAATATTTCTTGAGAAAATTCGGAGTTGCTTGGCGAGCTTCTTGCCGTCCTTCTGCAACCAGCTTCGCGAGCATTGAAAACAAACACGATACTCTAAGCAGCAGTACATTCTCGCGCTTCTCATCAAAAACCGTTTCAATTTTCACCGTGGCTTCGAAAAGTCTATGTCCGACTAGGGAACGCGAGGTACTAGTCTGTGATGCGGGCTTTGTGACGTATATCGTTCACCAAAAGCTACTGTACTCACACACGGCGAACATACAGTACACGTCTGTCGTACTCAGAATCGCCGACGGACGAATCACCTCAAGTCACTTGGGCACACCGTATACCGTACAAGATCATATTGACTTATGCTAAAAGTCTATGGCTGTCATCTTACACTTCACAGATGGGCCGGGTCTGTTCCGTTCGCTCAATCAGCTAGTCTACATCCTTTTGCTCTGAGGAAAGTATTGCTGCAGGTCGGCCGCTTTCGAAATTTCGGTTTTTGTTCACACGCCCAGCTAATGAATGGTATGCTGCATTTTTTCTTTCGAAAATCCACTCAACAGGTAGATGCAGCTCTCCATACAGTAAGTCATCATTCAAATCACACTGCTCTCGCTCCTGGAGACTTGAGCGTTCTCACTTTGAGGAGAGATCCGCTGCGCAATGGATCCAATATTCATCTCTAGCCATCCATATATTCGACACCGCCACCATACCGTCAACGCTCTAGCCAGGTACCGATCTCCGCGACTGGCTCTATATCTTGATTTTACTGCAGTTGTATAAGCTTGGTGGGATTGTGCCACTGCCCTATGCTACAGACGAGTAAATTGGCGGAGTAAACTACGAATAAAGTAGCACTTGCCTAAAGACTATTGATCCCCTGGATCGTCCCTGGTTTTGGCAACACGAGAACTCAATGCGACGAGCTTCCGTTTTGACAACATTCTGTTAGAGACACTATGAACTCTTGGAACTATTCAGAAGCATGCCATCATCAGTCTGTTGTTGGTATCATACAAAGTGGCTCCTTGCTTCACGATCTTTTCAGAAATTGCGCTTGTAGGGCTCTCTGGGAGGAGTTAGTGCCCACACGGTATTGAGACGATGCGCCAGCTCGCTGGCACGGGGACAGATCCCTTCAGCATATGTGTCGCACGCTTTATTGACCGGCTCATGGATTGCATGGATCTCTGGACCTTTCAAAGCTTCCACGTAGTGCCGCGTATCATCTTTGACTCGATCCTGTTTTTGCTCCATTGCAAGGTACTTAACATGTCATGGAATCCTGCTACTTTCTTGTCAATGATCTATGCACGGCATCAACTACACAACCAGGGCTATTCACTCGACGGCTGTCATCTAGCCACCTACTTTGACATTCGCACCTTTCGTACACTAATTATATGCCGGAGGCGGGGCTTGAACTAGGGATTTCACCAAACGGGTTCAAGCCGCGCCTTCGGCTGGCCTGAATTCCTCTTCGAAATGTTTTACACTTTGACATCGAAACTGTTCTCTGTCTTGTCAAGAATAAGTCATGTGCTCCGAAAAGCACTCTCACCAAGGTCAAGCACAAGAGATCACGAGGAAAAAAGCTGAATCAGCAGAATTTCATGTTCAACGCCAACCCTGTCCGCCAAGCCAGGCTTCACCACCAGAAATTTTTCAAATTTTTCCACCACATCCTTGTTCACCTTTCCCAACACAACAGAGGCAAGCAAAAAAAGATATCCGACAGCGTTGTATAGGAATAGCCGAAGGCGGGGCTCGAACCCGCGACCTTGAGGTTGTACTTTATCCAATGNATAAGAGCCACACGCTCTACCGATTGAGCTACCCCGGCAGGTCTGATGATCTAGTTCACTGTGTGAACTGGCTGCTGACTGATGAGAGCTCGGCGGACTGATCAATATATATACTCTGAATCATGAGCAGCGAATCAATAGACAAGGTCCTGTTGATGTCTCGATCAACATCCAGCCAATTCAACATCGTCTTACCATTTCATTAGTCTGACATCTGTTTCTGCAGCTGCCACAAACATAGAACCCATGTCAACTATGTATTCCGAGCAAAGTCTAGTAAGAATGAACGGTGAAGCCTCTGCGTCTATTGTAGTGCACTAGCTTTTGAGCAGAGCAGGTAAAAAAACACTCTGACAACGAGGAATAGGCAAGCTAGCTGGCACTTCAGGGGGATAGCGGAAATACGTGCTCTTGTGGAACTATTTTCAATTGATCTGGATCGCAAATCACGTCGTGATAGCTGGTGAGCAATATGAGCTGTGAGGGTCAGGGTGAGTACCCCGTCTAGTACACTTGGAAGAATATAACAGGAGCACAAGCACACGTGAGGACGAAGACGACCGCGAAGAACCACGAAGGAAGGTACAGGACTGTATGTATAGTGTACATACTCTCTAATTACGTAGTACAAGCGATAATTATTAGGAAAAGCAATTTCGTATCAGTCGTGAGACACCTCCTCTTTGCTCCAATCATTCGTTCCCTGCTCATCTCAACAGCTTCTCCACATCACCCAGTCTTGAAGACTTGGTCTTTCCTCTCTTATTGTCTTTCTCTTGGAAAGCCATCATCATGAGTTTGCGCTTCTCGGCTTGAATATCCAGCGTACGCTCCTCAATACTGCCTTCCATCACGAGACGGAAAACACTGGTCTTCTTCGTCTGTCCGAGGCGATGCACACGGTCAACAGCCTGATCTTCGATGGCGGGAGCCCACCAACTGTCGGAAAGTATGACTTGATTGGCAGCGACAAGGTTCAGACCAACACTGCAAACACCCAAGCTCGCCAGCATGATTGTACAATCCGGATCTTCCTCGAGAGCATGCAATGCTTGGTCTCGAAGTCTAGCGGACATGGTACCATCGAGTCTGCAGTATTTGAAGCCTTCGCGGTCGAGTCTCGCCTGCACGATATCGAGAAACTTGGNTCTGTCATAATCAAAGTCAGCGATTGCACGATGATAGAACCCTACAGGATTACATACCCATTGAGAGAAGACAACAGTCTTGTTACCTGTACCCTTTGACGCGTTGAGAATACCGATGAGTGCTTCAAGTTTGGTGCTTCTAGCATCAAAATCGATTGATTCGTCCTTGGCTTCATCACCAAAATCGTTGGCTGGTTGAACGAGGACTGAGTTGTCCTTGAGCTCCGCACGACACATCGGGCACTTCTTCTGTGTTTCGATGACTCGCTCAATACACTCTCTGCCAAACACATGAGCACAAGGTGTGATTACAGGAGTATGCAAGTCGTCGAGACAAATAGCACATTCTTCCTGTGATTGAATGCTCAACGATAGCATATCCTGCAAAGCCTTGAGGTTTTCTGGAGTCAGTTCGACGACTTTTTGCTTCTGGATTTGTTCCATCAGATTGGTCACACGCTCGGAGCACATCTGCCAGTGGTTGCAGACTTGACGTAGACGAAGAAGAATCTGAAACGACATGTTAGCAATGCCTTAGTCATCGTGTAAGGCACAATGTCTTACCTCCAGCAAGTATCGATATGTCTCCATAGCCTTTTGACCTTCGACCTTGCGGTAAGATGACAAGGTACCTTGGGCTTCCTGGAATAGTGCCATGTATCTTTCATTTTCTTTGTCTGCGAAGTCGATGCGATGAACAAACTCGGACAGTTCTGGCAGTTTAAGATCAACAAACTTCATCTCCTTGCGACGGCGCAAGCAGAATGCCGACATGATTGCCTGGAGAAGAGCTTGCGCACTAGGGTCATTGGCTTTGACTGGACGATCGAGAACACTGTTGAAGACCTCCAACTTCTCCAGACCTCCAGTGATACCAATAAAGCGAAGCAAGGAGTAAAGATCCTTGAGTGAGTTGATGATAGGTGTACCAGTCAATGCCCAACGTGAGCGCGCAAGTACGGCGGTAACAGCACTTGCACCTTTACTGCTTGGGTTTCGGATGTTGTGTCCTTCGTCAAGAATGATACGTCGCCAGCGGGCCGAATACAAGCCTTTTGATTTGGGTAGTTGTCCTCCTGAGGCCCAGTCACTCGCAAGCGTCTGGTAAGTGGTGATGACAACATCGTATTGCGAAAAGTCCCGAGGGCCCATCGACTTCTTTCCAGCTCCGTGATAGGTGTACACACGCAATGGCTGATCCTTACGAACGTGTCTTACAATCTNGAAGTAGGTTAGCGATGTGCATTTGAGCTCAGCCTACGAGTTTCATACCTGGTCGCTCCAGTTCGACATGACAGACAGAGGCGCGACGATCAGTGTAGCACTTAGCTCGTCTTGCTGACTTGGTGTAAAGTCCTCAAGATCTGTCACCAGTAGTGAGATCACCTCCAATGTTTTACCAAGGCCCATGTCGTCAGCTAGAATCCCCCCGCTTGCGAGAACAGGCTCTCTGTCTTTAATGGAGAAGTTGGTAGCAATATTTGTGAAGGCGTTGGGATAACGCTCGTGTCTGCGCCAAAGCTGTACGAAGTCTTTGGAACCTTTGGCGGGAACCTTGGGACTCTCCTTGTCAAGCATCCAGGCCAGTGCTTGTAGCTGGTACGGAAGCATAGTTGTAGCAAGGCGCATAGGTTGTTTAGCCTTGACCATGGCCGCGAGGTCATCCTCAGAGGTACCATACTGTTCTGCAGCTTTGCCGACGTCTCTAGGGTTGAAGCGTTCACTACCGCTGATAATGTCTTGCATAGTCTGTTCTTGCGTGCTGCCAGCAAGACCAGGTGCCTGTGAAGCTCTGAACTGAGAATTCGCAGCTATCTTGCGTTCCGCGGTCTGCTGCATCTTCTTCTGGTCCCGCTCATACCTACTAATGTCTTGAGTGGGCAGCCTGTCAACCATCATACGTTCGCGCACTTCTTCGCTCAAGGGTGAGCTCAAAGGAGGTCCGAAAAGATTCAAAGCAATGGGGCAGTCGTATTGGCCAATTTCTCCAGAAAGTGATCCTTCCATGAGAAGCCAACCTTTGTCAATGTACTTTGCAAGCTTGGCTGCCATATTTCTGCAAGCGTTGATTAGTACAAGGCCCCCGAGGAATATTGCTTATGTCATTAGGCTTTACCTTCCGATATGACCAATTTGTTCATTGATCATGTTGTCGATTCGAACNNTTCTAGGCTCAGCGAACTGTTTGTCAAGCTGCTGCTTGAATGACTTACTGGCATTGGGGTCATAAGGATTACCCGGTTCTCGTTTGATGGTAATCCTCTCTCCCACGGTTGCAAAGCCTGTGTAAAAGCGGACACCAACGATTTTAGTGTCCAAGGAGCCATACTTCTGGTATTGATCATGGGCTACAGGAGGATTCTGTGAAGATGCAACATTATCAAAAATGTCACTGTCTTCTTCCTGAAGCCAAGCGTCGCGTTCAGTCTGACTGTGTTGTTGAGGTGGAGTCCACGGCGGCACATAGGCTGTGCGACTCCTTTGCGACGAGGGACTTGGTTGAGTCCATGAAGGAGTACGAGCAAACTGACGCCTTCCAGCAGCAGAAGAACTTGGACCGGCAGAGCTTCGCGAATGTGAAGGTGTGCCTGCCGCCGAAGAACTGCGCGACGTTTTTGGTGGACGCGTCTCGGCGGAGTCGCCGGTGAGGTCAATCACATCACTGGAACGTTTACGCTTCGAAGCATCGGACGGCGCGCCTTGCTTCGCACCGTTAGGCGCCATCCAAGGAATGGATCTAGGCATCCTGCACGATTGTCAGGCAGGCTGCAATGATTAACAAAAGTAAAGAGACCTTGAACGCGTTCTTTCGGTGCTGCGCCTGAGTCGGACGGAGTTCGTCTGCGGAAGCCAAGACATATAAGCATACCCCGCAATAGCCCGATGTGGAAGGATAGCACAATGGGACGTTGTATTAGAAATTGTGGTCACTAGGTATCTAAGTGTATATATGCTGTACAAGACGCAAGCCGCACCCCTGGTGCTTGGTATCATTCAAATAAGAAAGAGTTGAATAGAAAAATGTCATCATGTCAAAAACGCCGAACTCGTGCTGGTGACCTGCCCTGCTCCAGTCTTCAAACTCCTGCTTTTGTGTCGATCTTGTTGTTCAGCTGCCTTGAACAGATGCTGCAGCAATCAATGCCATCAGAGCGGAACTATGAGTTGACGCATCCGCTGTGGCATATGGTCCAGACCACGAAAGCCCCAGACGATTTTGCGAGTCGCGGTCGTTCTTCCAAACGCTCTGGGCATTGGTCTCCAAGAATTGCTTGAGGCCAGGATCTGAAGTCGCTGTATAAAGCTGGGCGACGTTGCGAGTAAAGATGCCTTTGAACTGAGAAACATCACCTCCGCAGCCTTTTTCGCAGCTGTCATGTAAAACACCGTGGCTATCGGTGAGAGTCTCGATAGCAGCCCATGCGATATCTCTGGCGTTGACGAGGTACGAATCGTCGAAACTGGCTTTCGAGAGTTCGACCAACGCCCCAAGAATGACACCTTGATTGTAGGTCCACACAGTGTAACCGTTGTTCTTGCATCCGCCGTCCAGTCCGTCGTTGATGGTGTCGTTCTTGCTGATCAGTCCGGATTGCTCGAACCACTGCCATTCCTTTACAGCCCAGTTAAGGTACTTGATGTCCCACGTGCGGTGGGCAAGGTGGGCCGCAACACTCAGGAAGAGTTCGTTGGCGATGGCGTTGACATATGTCTTGTCCTTGTCCCACCAGATTCCACCATTGCAGTTGGTAGTCCAGCCTTTGGCCATGTCGTCAAAAAGCTGCTCTGCAGCACCGAGGTATTTCTGGTCATTTGTCAAGTCGTATGCTTTGATCCATGCCAAAGCCCACCAGCCTTCGTCATCGTAGAAGTCACTTTTCGTTGTCCAGACATTCTTGTTGATCTCGAAAGTGTTCTGAAGGGTGTCGTTGAAGTTGTGTGTTGGGTCAAGACCTTGCATGTCGGCGAGTGCAGTGATACATTCTGCACTGTTCCACCAGCCTATGCCATTGAAAACTCCAGTACCCTGATTATACCATTGCATCAATGCATCGGAAGAAGATCGGGCGTGAGAGAGGTAGTCGTAGGCATTGGTGCCCTGTGAGAAGGCAAAGGCCCCAACGAGTGTGAGAAGATAATTTGACAACCGGGCCATTGTTGAAGTACGCAATAAGATTTGGAGAACAGAAAGAACAGAAAAACGAATGTGTGCAAGGGACGAACCTGCGCATGGAAAGATCTTATAACCTGTTTCGAACCAGTGACATGGGTGAGCGGTTTCGACCCAACCGCATAGCTAGTCCTACATAGTCAGTTTCGTGATCAAAGCTATAGTGGTCAACCAAAAATAAAGAATCTGTAGCAACATTAGGCGGTGGTTCACACAAATCATTCGCCTTGGCTGTTACAGCATGCCTGATTCTGACATGGTTCGCGCAGGTGAGACAGTGACAGCAGGCTAGCGAAATCTGAAGGACAAGGCAGAGCTCTGGCTGTTCCAGGCGAATCCTAAGCTCGGCATATGCGAGAGTCATCGTTCAAGAGACAATCGCATACTCTGGACTTCCGGTCGCCTGTACTGCGGAGGTTGTGGTAGCGTTAGCCTTGTTACTTTCTCCTGACCTATCTGTATGCTGTGCTTTCTGAATTTGATCCTAGAACGGGGATGACTTGATTCTGCTACAGCGTGCCGAAAGGGCCGGTCGATCGTCCAAAAGATGGCAGCGTCCATCAAGCGAAGGGCCAAAATCGCAGCAACGGAAACCTCGTTGCGGTGTTAGGGCATTCAAGCATATCCCAATGCGGTCGAAGGCCATCCTATTGCAATTCCGGCACGTAGATCCGTTGTCGCAGATACCGCGATGTTAACATGGCGGATTTTCTGAAACACACGCAAGAATTGGGGCGAGGATGAGATGCCGAGTTCTGACGGTGGTGCTCACTGCTCAGCAGCTCAGCTTACCATCTGTCATCGCCGCAGCACGTTCTGAAGTTGGGTATTGCAAGTCCGACAGACATCTGCCTTGATTTTTGCTTTGCATTCCTCAATCATGTTGGTCAAGTGCGAGGAGCAATATGTGTAAGTCTGTTCCAGACAAGACGTAAAGTGCGGATTGAGTGTATGGTTAAAAATAGGCAAACTTCTCGCTCGTGCGGGTCATGGCTCAGGGACCAGGAGAATCGGAAGGCAAGATGAAACGGCCAAGTCCTCAGAAGCCTTTGAACAACCGCATCTCGAGTTCACCCCACTATCAGTACGACGAAAGCGAACGGCGAGGATGTGCGATATACCGATATGCTGTGGTGTGACTCTACTCACAGTACACCGAAACAAGGTCCAAGTACAATCCGCATAGCCGCAGCGGACTGTGGTAGGCCGCAGAACCATGTGGACGATGCACCGGCTTTCTGCACGACTTGCGCGAGGCAAGGTCAGATAACTGAGCACAGAAATGTTGAAGTTACATGAGGTTTGGCGTGGTCACATGCTGTAGATGGGGCGACAGTACTACAGTACCTGTTCGCCGGCATGTTTTCCAAGATTGTCTTCTGTGCAACATCGTGCGTGCGGTCGTTGGTGGTTGCGTGCTCATAAGTACATATTCCCAAATCGCGGCGAAGCTTACAACAACATCAGTCAATCTGATCAGGTCTCGTGGTCTAGCGGTATGATACTCGCTTAGGAGGTTGCCTCAAAGTGATCTTGAAAACTCTAAGCCAATTGCGAGTGGTCCCGGGTTCGATTCCCGGCGAGACCCATCTTTGCATGCTGTGCCATTGTTTTTGCTTGTTAAAAGAAGAAGGACTGTCAAAGAGTATGCTGTTCTGATAGGTTTCAAAGTTGGGTGTTCAAGAAGCCAACGGTGTAAGAACCCTTGAAGCTCTTCCGAGCTGGATTACACCTTGATTCGAAAGATTTGGATATTTTAACACCCAGACATCTATACGTATGTCCTTCTTACATTTACTGCTTTTCCTGCTTGCTATTTACTATACTTTGAAGCTTAGAAACTTATCATTCGAGCTTCTCTTACTCTGTTGTCTTATCTTACCAGTGATCAGGCTCTTGACTACTTCCTATCTTATCACAGATAGTCGCCGCGCCGATTCTTGGATATCTCATTGTACACCATGCTGAGGATAAATATGACCATCACTTTTCAGGACGATCATCGAACGTGTGCATGTTTGAGGACTTTAGAAACTTAACATTAACAAAAATGGTAGAAGATACATTATATACACAAAAGAGCCCATGAGATATGTCATCCCTGGAAAATGTTAACGGCAACAAAAGAGAGTGAGAAGAGAATAAACGGCAGCAATATCAGGCAGGATGGCTGAGATTCTTGCCTGACGTCGCTAAAGAATAGAATAGAAACCAACATATCTCGTCGGCCATATATCAACAAGTGACAGGCATGCTGCAACACATAGTCAGAGGAACGATGACAAAAGTGGGCGAGTTCTGTCGTGTTGAGTTCATCAAGAGCTTCCAGGGATGGCGACGACAGATCTGGGCAACGTCCACATGTAATAGATACAGCTTGCATGAGCACGGCTCAGCAATCAAAAGTAAGAGGCTGCGAATCGACAAAACGTGAAGGGTCCGTTCTCGCCATACACATGGTAAAGGCGAGAGCTTTAGTCGGAGAAAACAAAGTAAGCAGTTCCAGAGGTCACAGAAACCTTTCACAATATTAGTAAAAGGGCATTTTTGAAAGAAGAAGCAAAACTCACGGTGCATCCAGTGGTGGAGCTGCAAGAGTCGTAATTCTTGCCGCTGCAGTACTGTCCATCCTTGTATCTGCAGTAGCCGCTCATGTTGTCACCCTCGATAGTGACGGTGAAGTCGAGCTTTTCGTCGGTAGTAGGAGCGTTCTGGAAGATTGCAAGCCATGCAGCACCGTTAGAGTAACCAACACCAAGGTTGAGAGGAGCAAAGTTTCCCCAAGGGTTTGAGGGATGTCCCCATTGGCAGCCGTCCTCGGCCGAGACTCCAGCGGGGTTGACATAGTACTGAGCAGAGGTAGTCTTGCCAGTCCACTCGTAGTAGGTAGCATCAGGGCAAGTCAGGTTTGCAACACTGCCAGGGTTGGCGGTAACAGGCACAGTCTCACTCTCGGTTCCAGGGTAATCGGTACGGCAGACAGCAGCACTTGAGGACATCTCATTGCGAACAAGGACAGTGACCTCAGAAGAACCAGTGATGCAAAGAGTGTCGTGGTTGGGGTTGGTCTTGTAGAGCTTGCCGTTCTTGCAGAGAAGGCCGCCAACGGACTGACCAGTCAAGCCCTGAGTAGTGGGCCAATGAGCCTTCTGGTAACCAGCAGGGCAGGCGTATGAGCAGTACATGCCATCGGAGCAGCAGTTGCTGCCACCGCAGGTCGAATGAGTGACGGTCTTGATGTTGAGCATTCCAAGGAGGGAGCTTCCGAAACCGGGTGATTGAACTCCAGTCCAGCCACCGAGACCCAGGTAGTCAAGAGAGACGGCACCGTAGTCGGAGGGGAAATCAGAGCAGTCGATCTCTCCATCGGGGAAAGAAGTGTCCAGGCCAGTGGATGAAGATGAAGCGGCAGAGGATGTTGCACTTTGCGCGGAAGAGGAAACACTGGTGCTGATCGAGACGCTGGTCGAGGTGGAAGCTGGTGCAGAGCTGGACGAGGTCGAGGTCAACAGGGTGGTGCTGGGAGCGGCGACGCTAGAAGAGGTCGAGGGCACAGCCGAGGACGAGGGGGCGGCTAGGGAGGGAGCGCCGTCAGCCCAGACAAGAGTACCGTNTTTGATGCCCTCAAGGACATCAGCCTCGGAGATGATGTTGCCATTGAGCGAGTACATGACGACAGTGGGTCCAGCGACGTAGACGTCGACGTTCTCGGTCACAGTAGCGTCACGCTTCATTTCCTGGTGGTGTTGGTGGTGAGCATGGTGGTTATGGCGAGGCACAGCGGCGGCCAGGCCGAAGGCGGCCGAGAGCATGACAAGAGAAGACTTCATTGTTGGTCCAGTTAAGAATGTGAATTGGTTTTGTTGGTCGTGGTCTCTTTTCGAGGCAAGAATGCGGTGATCGAGGTGGTGCAAGAGAGTGACTGTCGTAAGATTCCAAAAGAGTGGATAGAAGCAAATGCCTCCGCTGGGTCGTTAGTGGTGTCCGGGGAAAAGAGTGTCGGTTGCTACAACATGCAGGTGAGCGGCGCAAAGGTCGAAGAGGAAGGANAGGAGGACGTGGAAGGGACGACCTTCAACNGAACTATGTAAAATGATCCTGCCCGTTNNTGAGCCCCCAAGGCTTGTCGCAAAGGAGGCAAGTTCGCGTGCCTGCCAAGGCAATCTCGCGCCAGTGAGCCTATTCGCATACATACTCCGCTCGTGGCGTGTGTTGCTAACTGCTGCCGAAAGTCTAGAGTGTTTTGATCAACTTGATCTTCACTGTCTCTTGCTTGAGCCCTTCATGCAGTAGATGTCTTGTCCTATCACCTTCAACTCGACACTCAAGCACTTATGCTCCCAGCGACTGTCAAATTGCTGGACAGCTGCTGTCGGCTCAATTCGTGTCAATCGCAGTGTGTGTGTTGACCTGGAAATCCTAACAAGGACAACCGATATCATCAAATTTCCCCATGCATGGCTTGTTGATCCCGGCCGTTGATGGTCCCAAAGTCAATTGATCGACCGTCAACACACAGACTCTTGTACGAATCGCAAGATCCCCCATTCACATTAAACCCCCGAGCTCCTGCAGCTCTTATGCGAACCATGCGAGTTGCAATTGACAGTCACTCTGCTGCCGAGTTTGCCGCCTTGCACACGGTCGAAATCAAAACCGCATGTTGCGACATCAAAGCGGCCAAGGGCACTACAATGTTGGAGACTTGGCGACCGGTGTCTGGGATATTTGTTGAGCAACCTATGGGGAATGCAAGACCTTTTGAAGGTATGTTCCGATGAGAACTACCAAAACAAGTGGAATTCCGTCCTTGTCGAGATTGATGCTCCTTTGTGGACGTCGCAATCTCGTTGCAATCTCAGACTCCTGCCGGTCTTGCCGCCCGGATAAGATAAAGGCATCGCTGTACATCTACCTATCGATACCTTTGTTGCAATATACCGAGATATTGATGGAGAACCTGTCTTCGTCCGAGTATATGCTTGCTGTTTGGCTCGTCTGTATCAATCCATGGGTAGTATGCGCAGCGTTATGGAAATTCTTTGCTGCGACCTCCATCGAGCATGACTCGGCTAGCGAGGGTGATATGAGCTACAGTACGTGGCCCCTTGACCTACGTTGGCAACATGACGAATGCACTCCCGTCACGTCGATAACGTAGTCGACACCCAAGCTTGAGACATGAGCTTGGTCGATTTCCCCAACAAGCTAGGGGGGTCTAGACCACGAACCACGACATTCCAAGCACAGCGTGGTGCACAAATTTATGTCTGCTGGGCCTTGGTACATCCTTTGTTGCGAACAGACTCACTGCCACAGGTACGACCCTGCTCTTTCTTGAATTATCCTCCCCGTCAGACGACAACGAGTCATGCGGGTTGCTTCTATGCTCCTTTGAAACTTTGTCTATAACTCAATCGCTTGAGTGTAGCAGTGGGTAGCTGTATGCCATTATTATCAAAGTTGACCGCAATATGGTAGACGGACTACGGGTGACCCGAAATCACCGTCTGTCAACTGGTCATTCTGGATGGAGCCTCGAGTGAAACACATATTCGCACGGCAACAGCGTATATGAAACATGCGCCCGCTGTACTTCTTACGCCCTGCTCTTTAGCATATCAAGAAGCCGCCTTGAACAGCATGCGCCAAATAAATTCAAGCTCGAGGAGACAATCGAGTATTTGATTTTCGATGACTGATATTTCAATGCGTCAGGTGTCACCCTGTTCGTGTTCTGCCAAGATAAGAGTACCGTGTCAGTATTTCCTGCCGCAATAGAAAGAGAACGCGCAGCATAGGATACAGATATCGCCTCAGATCAATCAAGTACTACGACAGATACGATGGATCAAAAAGTCTCACGAGTGAAAGAAAAGCAATGATACGATGTCAAAACAAAAATGCATCGCCCGACCAGAGGCTCGAACTCTGAACCTTGAGATCTCTAGAATTAAAAGTCTCACGCGCTGACCAATTGTGCCAGCCGGGCAAAGATAAGCTAAAGCTGCTCTCTAACATTCATATCCCAACGCGAAAAGTAGTCCTTCGACGCGAGCCAGCAATCATACTCGGTGGTATCTTGGTGATTCATGCAGCAAGTAGATAAAGAGGTATGCTCATAGGTATTAATTGAATATGTACGTGCCCAAGAAGCTACAGAGCAGGCCTGCTGCCATGACAAGAGATGATTTACGGGGAACGCGTTATATCCAAGATGTGTTCCTCGCAATCTTCCCAATGCTTCTCTCTCTTTTCAGCCAATCGACCGACACATACCCAAGAGCAAGCCTTGCGCACGAACGGTCTGAACAACTCGCTAGGCGAGCACATCTCACTCCCAGGTCCGACGTAATAATAGTCGACCCATTGCGCCCTAGGCACAAGGAACTGCTTGTTGCAAACAGAACAGTGTTGCATACCCAATCTTTTGCTTTCCATGACCTTGCTGATTGCCGTATTAACAGGTGGAGACGCATCATCCGGGAGGAGCGCGGACAGCTGCCCAACGTACTGGGAACGGGCGCAAGCGCGAGCACTCAGCTCAAAAAGAGAAGGTGCGGCAGATCGTACCGATGAAGGTGGTGAGGGGCGTTCGAACGAGGCGGAATAATCTGGCGCGGAATATGCGGTATATGCGCGGAAGCGTGGACGCACGACCGAACCATCGATCTCGAAGAATGTCGTGGACGACGAAGCAACATAAGTGGACGTGGATTTGTGCCCTTGAGAAGCGGTATATAATCGAGAGGCATAGAGACGATGGAGTAAAGCTTCGTGTGACGGCACCCTCATGTCGATGCCAGGACAGCGAATTTGCAAGCGATGTAATTCGCGCAAACAATCCTCGGTTTTGGATGGAACGATTCGGAGCATAGTCGAAGTCGGCAGAGGTAAAGGCTGTACAAAGGGATTCGGGCTCAAGGAAAGCTGGACAAGCTTATTTTCGATCAGAGCGAGTAGCTCGAAGGGNNGAAGGAAGGGAAGCTGGTTCCCAGCGACATTGAGCTCATGGAGGTTGCGGAGACGGCCAATCGAGGGCGAGATTTCGGTCAAGCAATTCGAGCGTAAACTGAGGACAGCCAGATTGCCCAGATTCCACAATTCTGAGGGCAGCTGCTGCAGATCGTTTTTGGAGAGGAACAGCTTGATGTTGGGGGTAAGTGGGGCGAAGTGGTCGACGGTGATCTTCTGGTCATCGTTGATGGGAACGGGAAGGCGGATTAACTGGTGGAGCGGCTTGAGGGTTTCATTCTCGATGTGGCCGAGGTGCATGTCACNTGCCAGGAACATCATTAGGTATGAACGAGACAAAGTCTGAGCACGAAGCACTCACGATAGATCGATCGAGTCCTTGCAAGCGTCAACCGATTTGAAGACGATGCTGGCGGCGCGTTCTTGGATCGAGTCTTTCGGCTTGGTGGGAGTTTGACGCTGGGTGAGAGGAGCGCCCTTCTGCATGTATTCATTGAAGGTCAGGCTCTGCATGCGGCGGCTACTGCCTCCAATGCTGTCGGTCGAACTGTCAGAGCCTAACCAGACACCGCTGTCGGGCTTGTGCGTCTCTCCCTTGACGCGTGCCATTGCCGGAGAATGAGCATGCTGGTACCAAGGGCCGCGCACGAATCGCTTGCGCTTGATTCCCGAGACTTCAGACTCTTCAGAGGCATCCTCACTGAATATCGGGTCGCTCGACATGCTGCTATCGTAGTCCCACCCCGCATGCCGCTTGCGAGATGGGAAGGCGGCTGGCGGCAGCGGCGGAGAGCTCGGTGGCTCGTTGAACACCTCATCGGGGAGGACAGGCGGCGACGAAGGAATAGACATGGCCGGGAACAATCTCGACGAATTGCCCAGAGAGAATAAAAGAAGAGAACAAAGTCGCGTCGCAAACCCAAGAAAGACGCGTGCGGACCAACCCCGCATTTCGACGGGCAAGTCGCCGTCATGGCTTACCGCTCACTCACGTGCCTGTATCTCGAGAGGGTTCAAACGGTGCCGGCCGCCTTCACAAGCCACTTCATGCCGACCTCAGCTGCTGTCTTCGGTACTATGGATGTCTTCGATACTATGTCTTCGTTGCTATGGTCAGAGGGACTGGAGTGCTTGATGTGTCGTCCCATCACTTCAAGCCTCCCTCTTTTTGTCCCACCATTTGTCATCAACAGGAATTCTTTCTGTTACTGTTCCATATCCTCTTCCTCTTGCCATTATATCAATATGCAGGTATTCCTCATAAACATATCCATCCACATTGAAGGCCCACGGTGCCTTCTCGTGCAATCCTTCCCGAACGCGCACAGTGAGCATGAGTCTGATCAGTGCCTCATCTGACGTCCTCTTCATAAGACGTCCGTACCACAACTGCCTCCTTCTCCATGTCATCTTGGGCCAACCATCCTTGTCGCATTCCACGACCGCGTCGCCTGTCTTCGAGATCCTTTTGCACACGATCGAGGGTTNGTGACACCAACACGGCTTCCATTTCTCTTTGTCGGCACACGGCCGGCCCTTCTCCGACTGTGAGGACACCAGAATGTCAGTACACCTGCCAGGACAAAGGGACACTCGAAGGTACAGCCATACCCATATCTTGGACACTCGACTAGGTTCAATCTTGATCTTCAGATCGCACGAGTCTTCACGTGTACTCATGTCAAGCAAATTTGGGTGATGTTGCAAAGTATTCCGAGGCATTGCAGTTGTCTCGATTGATGATGAGATTCGTCGCTCGTAGTAAGTTTCCAAGCCAGCTTATGTCAAGGTTTGTAGCACAATACACAGCAGACCAAGATCTCCTTGTCAGACACTTGTTCGCAGTGCAATTCGTTGGTTCCCTGTTGAGCGAAAACCCCAGCCTCTCAGGCCGACTCGATTCTCGAGTGTTCTATCTCAGCATTTGCTTGCCATAACGATTGGCAATGGATGCTCGGCTTAATAGTCTGATCCTGAGAACTAAGAGCCATGGCCGTGCTTTCGACTTTCTCCGTGCGCTGAGTATATCACTCAAAATTCAAAGTTAAGAGGGTCCACTTGAAGCAGTGACATTCTGAGCTGCCAACTTCCGCAGGCAGGGTCTTGTGGGGCCTCCACGACAAGCTCGAGCCAGTACGTCAAACTTCACAGGCCAGTTCAGGCATCCTACTTCCCTATCCATAGAGGCCAAGGTATCTATCATCTTTGTATACAGCTGTCAACTGAAGACCACAGAATCACTTTGCAGTTCGGGAACGAGAATACGAGGTGGGAAATGAGGGTTCTGTCAAGCACTTACAGTTGGCCCCGTTCGGTCGACGCTCGGCATTGACAGCAATATAATTGCGGCATAGCTATTTGACTAGAAAAATCTTTTCTGCTGGTGTATTACCCTGCGCCCTAAGACCATTGTCCACTAGGTAACCGTCATCGAGCGGTGAAGTCGACAACACGATTCCTTGAGTCTTGAGGTTCTACCCTTACCATGTGCATCCGGATTGAAAAAGTGTGTGACTCTGCAACGCACCAAAGATTGGTTCGATTCATCACAACGTGTGGTGGGTTGTCATTGCGGATTGTCTGATGAAATGACTCGTATGGCTACACAACGATCAGCATGACGGCGTCTCGATGCGTCCGTGAGCTGTCGCTGCGTGCTATACCACCAACCTCCCGACAAAGCAGTGATCTCAACTCCCAGCCTCCTCTTGAGATAAATCACCAAACTATAGAAACAAGTTAAATATATATAATAGCTCGTGCGAGCTTCAGATAGCCAAAGCACTTACCGAGTCCTCGTTCGTTTTTATCTTTTATACTCATACCGTACCTCGATGGGAAAAGCACGTATCGGCGGCGCTGAAAGCCTTTGGGTCACAAGGAACGGCATAGTCATCGATGATAACTGCGCAAGCCGACACGAGCCGTACCCCAAAAGATCGAAGCGCAGCAACACCAAAAGGTATGAGGGTTCTGTTGACAAGATCTGAGAGACTTACGATAGCCGTCTGACCAGCAATTACCACAGGATCAACTACACCGAATACAACGACCCCGATATCGAAGGCGAGACCAACGTCACACCAAACACCAACGATGGCGACCCCGATTTCCAGCCGGATGACCACGACGAGATTAGTGATGTTGAGTCTGACTCGGACGATGCTGCGAATGAAGATATATGGCCCGAACAATTTCCAGTCAAAGAGGACATCATGGTAAGTACAATTGGCATAGACTTCATTTGACACCAGCTGAAGGTAACGTACAACAGAAGCTCGAGCGCTATTGCAGACAGACCGAGCCTTTTCAAGTGAAAAGAAACGACTCACTGAGAAGCAGCGAAATATCCTATGGGGACGTCCGGAATTCGAACACATCTTGGTCGCATGGAGATATATCAAGGACGACCAGCTCCATATATGGTTGCCTAGTGCTTTTGATAAGCTTGGCAGGCCGTACGAGAAGACATGTGATAGAGTGTGGAAATCATGGCGGAGGTATGAGCGGGATATGTTTGCCAATGCGATTCCTTCAGTGGAAAAGATCGATTCGGAGTGTCCAACACCAGTGACGCTGGAGTTTCCTAAGCGTCGTTATCGACACCCCAAGAAAAGTACGAGAACTGCGGTTGGAAGTTCGGATGCATCAAGCGTTTCTGTCGCGTCGAGCAGTCCAGCTCCATCGAGCACTCCGGCCTCATCGAGCACTCCGGCCTCATCGAGCACTCCGGCCTCATCGATCAGTCCAACTCCAATCCGGAGGCAGAAAAGCAAGACATCCGAACGAGGCTTGAGATGCTCTGATTTAGTAAGGAACCAGCTGTCCAGGGACTTCCTGACTTCACTGCTTATAAAATTGGGCAGGTTACATGCGGATATGCTTAGCGATGAGGATGAGGAGCAGCTGCGCATCAAGAGTGAAGAGGCATTGCGCCGTATCAGGGACGAGCAAGACAAGGTTCTTCTCGATCTCAGAAAATCACTGATCAAGTTTCAGAAAAGCAAGAGAGTTTAGAACAGTGTAAATTATACGATAGAAGTTGTGGGTTCCCTCTGTTGTCTTACGATCATCATGTGAGGTGCTTGAGAGGGTTGTTGCCAAAGGATGTTTCTCCAAGGTGGAGGAGTGCGAGGGCTGGCGTCATGCTGGGCGGGCCGATGGCGGGGGCGGGCAATTGGTCAGCAGCAGAAGGGTGATTGCAACCAAATCATCGCCATCTTCCACTGTCGCATATCTTCGACTGGTCAAGTCGCACACAAGACGTAGAAGATGGACGCCCGCGTAGATTCGAGGGCCACTTCGGTCGAGGAGAACGACAGCACCGACATCAATGCTCCGCTCAAGGCCGCCCCAAAACTCGTTGCGCCCGAACCCGGTAATTCTGGCTCGCTCTTCGCCGCCTACTGTGGCTAACAATCTCTTATAGAGCATTGCCCCGGTCCCGAGTCGCAGAGTGCTGGCAAAGGTGATGCCTGCGCCGGCTGTCCGAACCAGCAGATTTGCGCCACCGCTCCCAAAGGCCCTGATCCCGACATTCCTCTCATTACCGCCCGTCTCGCCTCCGTCAAGCACAAGATCCTCGTCCTCAGCGGCAAGNNGGGTGGTGTCGGCAAGTCTACCTTCACCACCATGCTAGGTCATGCATTCGCCGCAAACCCTGACGCCCAAGTTGGAATCATGGACACCGATATCTGTGGACCCAGTATTCCCAAGATGATGGGCGTAGAGCAGGAAACTATCCATGTGAGCAACGCTGGCTGGAGCCCTGTTTGGGTGACTGAGAACCTGGGTGTCATGAGCGTCCAGTTCATGCTGCCCAACCGCGACGATGCTGTCATTTGGCGCGGACCCAAGAAGAATGGCCTCATTAAACAGTTCCTCAAGGATGTAGAGTGGGGCGAGTTGGACTATCTCGTTGTCGACACCCCTCCCGGTACCAGCGACGAGCATCTCAGTGTCAACAGCTTCCTCAAAGAGTCTGGAGTTGACGGTGCTGTTGTTGTCACCACCCCACAGGAAGTCAGTCTCCTGGATGTACGAAAAGAAATCGACTTCTGCCGTAAGGCTGGCATCAAGGTTCTCGGAATCGTAGAGAACATGTCGGGCTTTGTCTGTCCCAAGTGCACCCACGAGAGCCAGATCTTCAAGGCCACCACTGGTGGTGCTAGAGGCTTGGCTAAGGACATGTCCATCCCCTTCCTCGGCGCTGTCCCTCTCGACCCTCGCATTGGCATGGCTTGCGATTTCGGCGAGAGTTTCTTCGACAACTTCCCCGACAGCCCGGCATGTAACGCTCTCCGTCACGTCGTTCGCAGAGTTGGCGAAGAGATGGGCGTCGACACTTCCTACCAAGAGGACTGAGTCCTGGAATCCTGGAAGCAATAATCCATTGCTTTTCTGAATTCGAAACACATTCATGCCGCCCGCCCACATTGCCAAAGATGTGCATAACATCTGAGCAGGCCGTGCTTTGCATCATCGATCGAGCACTTTGTCGCACGTCGGGGCTCAATGCTCCAGATCGTCCTCTTCTCATAGATGATAGCTGGCATCTGGTACCCAACATTTGGAGAGGCAATGTACGCGGTTCTCTATACGCGAGACACGATTGTCTTCCTGCGGTGAAAGACAATTGTGACATTCAGACCTTTGTTTGATCCTTTCGAACAGGCAACGAATGGTGTAGGCGAGCATGATCATTGATCACGATGAGAGAGCCAGGGATTGACCTGGCAAAGTCTGTGTCTGCAACGTCGCTATGCAGCGACAAATCAATTTGGCCAAAGTAAACAGCGTTGCTGAACGCATATAGTAGGTAGACATTGCGAATTCAAGCCTTTCTTGACAGATCAATGATATCTTTCATCGATCATGGCGTATCTTTTGCAGATGATCGTGGGTTTGCTGACGAGAATTGTGGATTGATAATTCGTCAGCCAATGCAAGGAAAACCGAACGACTCTGGACAGTTCCGTGCAGTCGAGAAGTCGCAAATCATCAGGAGCGACAGCACATCGAGAGCACGACAGTTGTTGCAGCAGTTTGTATGCATCGTAATTTCTTTCAGCACATTGTTGTGTTTTGCATTGAGTGGAAACTTGAAAGCCAGTACTGGTGTTGCATAATCTGTGAGTAGCTGTTTATTGCATAGCACCAAGCGATCTTCTTTACAATTCTGACCACCGCATTCTTCGCTCATTCATAGCCACTCAGTCTTGAGCTAGATGTTTGCAAAAGCAAACGACTCTCGAAAACGGCCATTAACGAACATATCCCAGCAAGAACCTCATCCACTCCACCAGTCTCCAACAGACTTTTTGGTCTCCACCATCTACTCCACAGCAATCGGGTCATACCACGAGCCCATCGAGTCTCGGGTTCTAAGCTTTTTTTCTTGTTCTTCGGCTGCAGGCTAAGCTGCGTATGACTGGCGGATTCCTCAACCTTCACAACAGGATCGACTGAAAAATCTCGNGATTCTAGGCTTCTTCTTCTTCGGCTGCAAGCTAAGTTGCGTCTCGCCGGCAGATTCCTCGACCTTCACAACCGGGTCGACTGAGTCTGCCTTACGCTTTCCGGCGCGCCTTTCAGCCCTTCGTTTCGAGCACAATCTGTCTAGACGGTGACAACTGCCGCATCCACATGTGCATTTCTCACATTCTTGGTCCCTTTGACGATGCTTGCAAATTTCATTTTCGTTGTTGGGCATCGTAGCTGATCTCGTGCTGGTTGCTGTGTCTGGCGTAACTGGTGTCGTTGCAACTCTTGCTCTGGCTCTCTTGGGTGTTTTGACTTGTTTCGCCACAACTTCTGGTAACGGAGTCGACTTCTTCCTAGGCTGGAGTGACTCCGTGGTGGAAGAACTGACTTGTTCTTCAGCATCGTTGGTGAACAGCTGTGGGCTTGGTGGTGGTTNCGATGAGGGTGCAAGGAACCCATATCTGTGTCTCTTCTCACACATTTTGCAGATAGTACACCGGCCGGCATGCCATGCGTTGCATTTTGAACATTTACGACATTCTCCATAATGCATCGAGTCGCACTTCTCGCAGTAACGACAACCACCACCGACATGCCACTTGGAGCAGACATTGCAGCGATGGCACGTGTCTCGACGTCTCTTGCCGCAATCGCCGCAAACATGGTAACATTGGCCAGTGTGTGTCCTATTGCATGCCTCGCATGCTTGCTTTTTGTTTGTAGCCAGAGCTTGCGACGCAGCCTCGGGCGAAGGAGCAGGATCAGAGCATGATACAGATCCCACCGGCTGCTTCCCTGCTGTTGTCGAAAGTTGTGTGACCGTCGAAGGCAAGTTTCTGTAAGTGGAATGCAAGCGTGGCGTACCAAGTTCAGCCGAGCCTATTCCCTTGTTGCCTTCGGGTGGTCCTGGAGTCTTGGTACTCCCTCTGGTGGGAGATCTGAAATTGGCGGTAGACTTGGCGTATGGACGAGCGCTACGTGAAGATGGGCCAGGAGTTGGCGAGTACGGCATTCTGACCTGTCCAGCTTCATGTTGTGGAGGAGTTTCGCTGTTTCGCGTTGACTCATGAGAAAAGTGTGTGCGTCCTGAACGATCGAGAGTCTGAGTGAACGACTGATTACGAGCTGCAGCATTGAGAGGGCCAGTGTTGTCGATGAGAGGTCTTCGTAATGGATGAACCAGGTCGGGAACGTGCCATGAACTCGATTCGAACGCGGGAGTGGTGCTCGAGGTGCGGGAGTGTGTAAATCTTGGTGGCTGCATCGATGTTGGTCGAGATGGCGGACCTAGAGGAGCTCCTTCAGATTGCACAGGGGGNNTTCTTAGATTTCGAGACGGTTCCTTTGGAGTGTCTGAGTGTAGGTGAGAGAAACGAGCTGCTCGAGAAGGAGTGCTGTTTCTGGGTCCACGGGGAGCGTTGGNGGGTGGCTCCGCTTTCATTGGCCTTGCTATAGCAGGCCCCGATCCACGGTTATCTAGTGTCGATGCCATTCGCTTGACAGTGCCGACGACAGAAGTTGTTGTGGCTGGTTGCTGTGCAATAGGTAGGGATGCGTCACGAGCGCGACGCCGAAAAGACGTAGGAGAAGTGACCCATCTGAACTCTGCATATGGATCGAGGTCAGATTTGAAGGCTGTTATAATTAGCGGGATCCCTGTGAAAGCGCGGCCTTTCAGGGAAGAGGAAGTTACCATATGGAACAAAGCGCCAACAGCGTTTGTAGTAATATTTCCAGATTGCTCTCAGTTGAGAGTCGGTGTGTCTGTCCTTAGCCGGCCAGATGATCATGCGAACCTCAGGCTGTCGAAGTTTGGTGTTGTTCTTGCCCAAGATTTCGAGTGCCTGTTGAGGATTCCGTCTCTTCCAATCCTCGAGAGACTCCGCGGCTTTGATTCCATCGGCAGTCTAAGAAAGTCAGCTTCAATGCGTATCGATTGCAGGCCAGGAACAACATGCCGCTTCTGTCGGGCTCTCATAGCCTTCTGTTATGCGTTGCCAAGGAGGCACTTGATCCATCGTTCGGCGAGGGGACGTGAAGGATGGCACGTATATGTGACGAGTGCAAGTTGGCGAAGAAGTCGCTATGAGCGTGGAGGCGAGGAGAAGGGGCAGGCGCAGAGCAAGGAGCGGTTGCAGACGCAAAAGGATTTGCGGCAGGCGCGAAGACGGAAAATCAGAAGCGCTGCGGCTTTTCGCGAGATGGGGAGTTGGAATATCAAGAAAAGGACGAGCGAGATGGTCTACTTATCTGAGAGCCTTTGCGCATTGGACAATTGCATCGCGTTTCCTGTCCAGCGAACGCGCCAGTATTCGTGTGGCGGGAGATTGGTTCGCGATGGCCTGGGCTCAAGTTTTCGGAAAATCCATCTATCCTAATATGTCTGGTTTACCTAATTACCAGTGCAATACGAAGTTGTTCCATGCACAAAGGAAGCATTAAGCTTGCACCAAAACTGTGTGAACGACCAAACCCATACCAATAGCACATTCATCTAAGCCCTAACGCCTTCCTCTTGGTATCTCGCGCAGCGGACATTCATCCAGTTTCAAGAATACAGGCTCTTCGTCCTCGCGTGTACGCTTTCTGCTTCTGCTGGTGCTCAGGGCACAAGTCCTTGCAACTTCTCTCGAATTTCCTGCCGGACCACCTCTATGATAAGCAGTAGATGAAGAAGAGCCAGTAGGTTGATGATGCCGGGATGGAGCAGTGCTGACTTGCACTTGACCTTCGTCACGGTCAGACTCACTGTCCGCTCGGGACCCACTGGCTGGGATATCGCTCTCGTCGGAGCTGTCGCTATCGTCGGAGCTGTCGCTATCGTCGGAGCTGTCGCTATCGTCGGAGCTGTCGCTATCGTCGGAGCTGTCGCTATCGTCGGAGCTGTCGCTATCGTCGGAGCTGTCGCTCTCGTCGGAGCTGTGGATCTCGATGACCGTCACCGGCCGAGTAGACTGGCTATCAATATTGCTTGAACTGGTAGCTGTAGTCAAGCTGTTGGAGCGTCTATGCGGGCGATCATGTTCTGTGAGAGATTGTGCAAGCTGGGTATGGCAAGCCGAAGATCGCGGCTTCGGCGAGCAGACCACCGCGACCGCAGTGTTTCTGACTCTGCTTGCGGATTCCATCATGGTTGGATCGTCGGGTATAAGCGAGCCCTGTGGCATGTCATTGCTCACAGTAAGCGGCGTGGGCGGTGTGTAGCCAACTTGTGTGTAATCAATGGGACTGGCAGTGGACCGGAAAAGGGCACGGTCTCGAGAGTCAAGAGCCTGCCTCACGGCTGATCTGATTTGAGGTGCCATTTCATCCAAGGCCGATCGGATTTTGGATTCAAGAAATGCCATGATGTTTGTAGTGATATCCTCTACGGCCTCTTCCTGCAAACCGAGAGAATGGCTTGATTGCATCTCATCCCGATGATGCGATCTTGGAACGTCTGATCTTGGAGAACGAGCGTAATTTGGACCTTGAAACATGATAGAACTGCATAAGCGATTTTGTCGGACCTGGAAAAGGACAGGCAGCTTGGGGAGGCTTTGCAAAGCCATATTGAGCATTAAATAGTCCGCAAGTTCGTGAGCTACCGGATCACCAGGGATACGAGCCTAGATGTTGCGAGCCAGTGATTAGTGTAGAAATAAGGGACCCGCTGTAATGTCATTTATGAGATGTAGTCGACGAACCGACGTTGGAATCGGCACTGGAGCCGGGGCCGTTTTTGACAGCAGTTGCCGCGAAGCGAGAAGGTTTCAGGGTCTCACGCGGCGTCGACTTTTTTGTTCTTCAACAAACACCTCACGCGACATCAGCGAGCGATGTTTTCTTGGCCTGCTATAGAAAGGAAAGTGGTCAAATGATGGAACAATCTTACAAGCTTTCAAATCCAGTCAGCGTCATGAAGCGCACGTACTGCGACTCTGTTAGACTTTAAAAGGCTTTGACATCGCAGAGGCCCAAACACAGGTAGTGGAGTTGACAAGGGCGCGCGGTGGGGCACATGAAGCGACTATCTCCCAGCCCCCCAAAACACAAAGCTCTGTTGCTTTAACAACAGACATCATAGCTCCCATCTGGTGCGGGACTTGCGAACGCAGAGGCTTGCAAGCAGCATCCATATGAACCCGGACTCTGCAACACTCCTGTCTTTGACCAAAGATTGAAGCAGATACTTGACTGGCATCGCATGCTCAGCAGAGCGGCCGGCACTACCATGGTACGTGTTTTAGGAATTGTTGATGACCGACTTACGTGCATAGATCCAAACCGCGACCCGGACCGCGAGTGGCAGAGAGCTGTGACGCCTGCACTTACACTAGCCCAACATTTCGCACAGATAAAGGAGAAAGAGGCCGCTGCCTGTTTGTTGGAAAGCGTTGACAAAGCTCTGGAAATCTCAAGAAAGGAGGAGAAAGGTACTGTGCAGCTCAGAGGATCTGAAAATTATGTCGAACCACGAATCGACTACTGCTCAAGGATTTCCAGATTCAGGCCTGTACGCGATGGCCTGATCGTGCATCCCTCGTGGGAACGTCAGGACTTTTCAGCACTTTTGAAGATGTGGTGCGTAGAGAGCCCTCAACACCGTCACTCTCGTGCTGCTTACGCATTCAACCTGGACGGCACGCCAACAATCGAATACGAGAAAGCCTTGTCAATCTACGCTCAACAGCGTATGGACGCAGTGGAAGCTCACAGCCGTGACTACGCCTTGAAGAAAGCGGGCCGTGTGACAGGTCGCACTGTCTTGCGGCTTGCGACTGCCCCTGTGAGGAGCGAGGGTATACAGAAGCAACAGGTCAGCTCGCAGATAGACGAGGATGAGGAAGACAGAGACGAACAGCGTCGAAAGATTGTTGCAAAGCCGAAGGCTGCGATAAGTCCTAGACATGCGAGAGGCAGAGTCTCAAAACCCACAAATGCCAAATCCAGGCGCATGAACACGTCATCAAGAGGCGTACCGAAGCAGTCTCTGTCCCCGTCGCAGGATGGTGAAACACTGCCTCGAGGGCTGTGGTGTAAGAAACTGGAGGGTCGAGCTAACATTAACGAGTGCTACAGAAAACGCAGGGAGGACACACTACGTGAACGAGAGGGCCTAAGCCCTGATCCGCAGCGAGCAGAAGCAGAAGCGAAGAGAGAACAGCACGAGGCCACGGGTTGAAGGTTGATGAGAACGGTAGATGAAGGGCGTAGCATGTGCAACAGGGGATTTCTTGTATTGTTTTTGTAGTTGTATTTACAGATTCCAGACGACGACACGGCCATCAACACCGCTGGTGCTGATCTGACTGACGGCGTCTGGAGAACCAGCGTATGCGCGTACAGTGTTGATCGAATTCTGGTGAACAGTCTTGAGTTGTGTGTCATCAATGACTTTGCCGCGAAGGTCCATCTGTCTAAACATGTTGAGAGCAGACTCGTCGCGTTGGTTCGCTGAGCCAGACTTCGAGGTGCTGTCAAGAGATCCGACAAGCGACCAACCGGATGCTGAGCCCGAGAAACGGAAAGGTTCGCAGTNCCTGGAAAGGATCAGTTCAATGACATAACAAAGGCGACATCTGGCATTTCTTACATAGCCGGCACAAACAATCTCGCCCTCGGAGATCCAGAGAAGATCGGCAAAGGGTAGAACTTGGGTACTGATGTTGATGACTGCATGAGGAGGCTGCCCTTCTCCAGCAGGGTAAGCGACAGTCATGGTCGAGTCATGACTGACAAAGGCGACAGCATCTCCAGAGGGACTGAAAGCAACACTCTTGACCCAGCCTACAAGAAGTACAGGTTAGCTTCTGGTCTCTGGCACAATACATTGAAGGGAAAGTTACATACCGGCGGTCTGGTTCAAGAACTCTCCACAAATGGTGTTGAAGGGCAGACGCTCGCCCCAAACTGAGGGTGCTGGTCTCTCATCAACGCCCTTGATGAAGGCGCTGAGCACACGAGCATGGCCGTCAGTGCTGCCTAGAGCAACCAAGACACTGTTGGGGTGCCAGGCGACGCTGGTGACGGTGCTGCGAAGGGGCTTCTTGAGGTGCTTGGACACCCACCAATCGTTCTCTTCTTCGAAGTAGCAAATAGCAGCAACTCTAGCACCACTACCAACGGCGAACTTGGTCTCGTTGGGCGACCAGCGTACGCATGTGGCGGCTCTGTTGATACGGAGAAGGACGAGGGTGGGGCGCCAGGAGCCGTTCGAGGGCTCCCAGACGTATGCGTTACGGTCTTGAGAGCAGGTGACAATCTTGCCCGAGTTGGGAGCAATATCGACACCGGTAATGAGCTTGTCGTGGCCACGCAGCTCGTCGTTCAAGGCAAAGCGGGAGCCATTGGAAGAGTACAGCTCGACCGTGTTATCTCTAGCAACAGCGAGGGTCTTGCGGTCGGCAGAGAAGGAGTGGTCGGCGATTGGGTGGTGGAAGAGGTGATGGACTTGAGGAGCGGCCATGGCGAATGGAAGGACAGGAGTGTCTCTCTACTGTCGTTGTTGTACGGTATGAAGCGGTGTGTTTAGGGAAGGACAAGGGACAGCTCGGCCAGGACAAGGCAGTGACGACGATTTGGTGGGGAAGTTCCCGGCCGGGCTTGCGCTTTCCACATTCGGCTGCTCCTGCCTTGCTGCGCACGCTTTGCGACGCCGACAGACCTCCAGCTCTTCTCTGTACATTTCTGGCTCATTCACTACCACCCAACTTGCTCTATCTGCGTCTGTCGCCTCGGTTTCCTTGTCGCATCATCGCAATAATGGCTTCCAAGGCCGCTCCACCGACCGGCGTCCGCCCCAGCCATACGCTGTACTGCTCCAACTTGCCCGACAAGCTCCAGAAGGATGATTTGAAGCGTGCTTTGTACATGCTCTTCTCTGTCTACGGCTCTATCCTCGACATCGTCGCACTCAAGACCGCCAAGATGCGCGGACAAGCCCATATCTTGTTCCGCGACGTCTCATCTAGCACACAAGCCATGAGATCTCTACAAGGCTTCGAGTTCTTCGGCAAGGAGATGGTACGTTGAATCATGACGCTTTCCCTCTGCTGTTCGCATCGAGCTAATTCGCGCGTCAGNAAAATCACATATTCGGCGACAAAATCTGACACACTTGCCAAACTCGACGGCAGTTACAAACAGCCTCCCCCTCCTGAGGCTCCTGCCGCTGCTCAGCCAAACAGTCTTCAGCAGTCAATCTTCTCAGGTGCTCCAGGTGCCTCTACTGCCCCCGGATCCACCGCTCCGTTGGCTCCGCCCCCTACACTCGACTCGGCCGCTAGTGCTCCTGCTCAAACTGCTGGCGTAAAACGACCTAGAGACGAGAGCGATGACGAGAAAGAGCAAGAAGCCCCTATGGATATGGACGATGAGGCCATGGAAGAGAGCGATGAAGAATAGACGACCTTAATCAGCACGGCGCAAATCTGTGCTCGATACAATCAAGCCCACGCTTGCTCCAACAATCCCCAGCCAGAGAAGCATATAATCTCGAACATGAATGTCTCCAGACGTCGTGGCGCACATGGTGTCTGCAGTGCGGCAGGGGTGTACAAAGTATGCCGGCATTCCCGTCGAAGGATGATCCTGCGAGATCGAGGTCAGCTGGAGGAGTCAGTTCTACAGGATCAACATTACCGTCATAGACAGGGCACCCATTACTCCTGTTTCACGCATCGCGTCTCGGAAGTGATGTGGTACAACAAGGTCAAAGAAATGTGAGACGGATAGCGGAGGGCTGGCGGTCATGTATACCACGGGTACTCTGTAGCTGGGGGAGAGCAAGATGTCATAATGTACAGTGACAAACGAACCATTTTGAACATGTTTGACTATGGCTTCTTCATCGTAATCCCCTGGTGTTTCAAGATGTGAATCAACAGGTTCCTGGCCATCGGCGTTAACGACTGAAGCCGCAGCCAAGCGCCGGGTGATGCGCAAGTATGCAGAATCGTCAACGAACAGGGCGCTATCGGACAACAGAGGTTGGACGTGTGTGCAAGCCTTGACGAATTCGTCGGTTGTGAGGTAGGGAAAAGCAGACACCTTATCCATTGCAGACACACTTTGTGCATATGTTCAAGACGGGACAGATGGCTGTCCAGCTGCATCAACGAGTCCAACAAAAACCGAGAGATCGAGACTCTCGATTGAGTTATCCGGGGCTTGCTTGGCAATTCCATCATAGTTGGTCGCAGACTGCAGTAGCCAGAAGGTACGGCTTGCATTGGTCAGACTCTTAGCAAGCTCTCCTTCGGCGGCCTCTGTACTTGTATCACTCCATGCTTTTATTGATTTAACCAACCGTAATACTCTCCCGCAGCTAGTTCTCTTCCACTATAGCATCTCATTCCATTGCGCCGCATCGCATCCGCTCCGCACCGCACGAGTTGCAATCCTGCCATGGCTCCTGCCGCAGAAGAGAACCAGACTCCACTTAAGAGAGCGAGGGTGTGTTGGCTCGCCATGTCTTGTCTCTACCATTCCTCTCTCATACTGACATCCATCAGNGCGTCGACAGACGAGATTGAAAACGACTCGCAGAAGAAGCCTCGCTTCGTCCAACCCACCCATCTTCCGTCGCCAGTCACGCGCAAAGCCTCCAACTCAACTGAAGGCCAATTGTCGGCCTCGAACGGCGCCTCACAACTATCTGAGAAGCCCGAATCTTCTCCTCCCTTTGCCGCCGGCCTGCACTCGCCCCCTTCCGACACTCAACCCTACAGCCAGTTCTTGCCGCCACCACCCATCAGCTACGAGGTTGAAGATGAGGAAGCTGAAGGAGTGTGGGGTTATCTCGTACCGCTCGATGGAGTTTCGGAACCTCTAGTCTTGAGACGTCGAGCAGCATGCCCTGTACCCCAATCCAAAGTTGGTCGCACCGACGGCAAAAGCACAGTGTCGCGCGATGAGTATCTTAATCAAGAAGAGTCATACGAGCAGGAGAAGGCAGAAAAAGGTGTTCCTGCTGGTGGTTATCTGATAGGCAGGCATCCCGAATGCGGTCAGTGTGATCCCCGAACTTGACAAAGGTGCCAGACTGACCAACTAATGATCNNAGATCGTATCATCAAGACGCCTACTGTCAGCAATCGCCATTGTCTGCTGTTCTGTGAAAACAAAGATGGCGACCAGATTGCTGTCGTCGAGGACCTTTCAGGCAACGGCACGTACGTCAACAATGCTATTGTGGGTCGGAACAAGCGTCGTGACCTCTATGACGGCGATGAACTGTCTATTCTAGACGTGGCTCGCTTTATCTTCCGATACCCTAGCATACGCGACACCAATGGTTTCCGTCAACAATACTCGATCCAAGGACAACTCGGAAAAGGCCACTTTGCAACAGTCTACCTATGTACCGAAAAGTGCACTGGTGCTCGCTTTGCCGTCAAAAAGTTCGAAAAGCGTCGCACAACCACCAATTCACAGGCTGCCGAGGAGAGGAGCAGGGTCGATGGCCTTCAACAAGAAATTGGTGTTCTAATGGGAGTCTCGCACCCTAACGTACTCTGTCTCAAGGACACATTCGATGAGAGCGACGGCGTTTACCTGATTCTCGAGCTTGCGCCTGAAGGCGAACTCTTCAACTGGATTGTGGCAAAACACAAGCTGAGTGAGGCTGAAACAAGAAAGATCTTTGTTCAGCTTTTCCAAGGCATCAAGTATCTGGTATGTTGTGACCTTTGTGACCCTCGGATATTATTCCTAACACGTCATCACAGNCACGAACGCAACATTGTTCACCGCGATATCAAACCTGAAAACATCCTTCTCATCGACCGTGATCTGAACATCAAGATTGCCGACTTTGGACTTGCCAAGATTATTGGAGAAGAGTCATTCACATCCACTCTTTGCGGTACACCATCGTATGTTGCACCCGAGATTCTAGAGCAAGGCAACCGTCGCAGGTATACACGGGCTGTTGATGTATGGTCACTGGGTGTTGTCTTATACATCTGCCTGTGCGGGTTCCCACCATTCAGTGATGAGCTTTACTCCCCAGAGAACCCATACACGCTTAGCCAGCAAATCAGGATGGGTCGGTTCGATTACCCTAGCCCCTACTGGGACAGCGTTGGTGACCCAGCACTCGACCTGATTGACAAGATGCTCACAGTCGATGTTGGCAANAGAATCACGATAGATGAATGTCTCGAGCACCCATGGACCACAGGACGCGCAGATGGACAAATGAGCTTTGGAGCAAGCATGGAGAGCACAGATGGCTTGACAGGAGCAATGGGCAAGTTGGATTTCTCTAAGCGAAAGCCAGTCCGCGAAAGGACATTGCTGAGCTCCATCAACGACGCGACTTTCTTCAAGACACAGGCTACCGAAAAGGACGACCGAGACATCAAAATCTGGGAACAGAACAAGGACCAAGCCAAGAAGACGAATGTCAAAGAGGCGGCTCCGGCGCATGAGAGAAACCCAGATGAGTTTGTCAAGATGGGAGGCAAAGGAGATGAAACGCTTTACGGAGAGGAAGAAGTTGCGAAGCAGAAGGCCAAGGCAAAAGAGGCAAAAGCATAAAGCATAGAAGACAATGGTACGATAATTATTCACAAGTCGGAATCGAAAAGTCGAATGTTTTTATAAGATGAAGCAATGGCGTGTCATCGTACGTGAGTTGAGTGGTGGCTTTTGCGCAGGGGCAGCACGGAAGGTCAGATTTCCGGGGATCGAACCATAATTTTACTCGGAGTAGGGACAACAATAATACAGAGTTCACGACGCCTTCCACGGCGACTTGTTCCTCTTCCTTGCACCTCGGTCAACGAACAATGGGACTTCTGGCCACTGTTACCGACGCCGTTGCGGCAAACTTGGGCGACAAGCCTCTCTGGCTCGCCGTCTCGATTGTTGGCGGCGCGGCTTTCGTTCTCGCCATCGTCCTCAATGTTCTCTCGCAACTGCTGCCCGTCCGTCGCAAGGGCTCCGAGCCGCCACTCGTCTTCCACTGGGTTCCCTTCATTGGCAGCACCATCACCTACGGCATTGACCCCTACAAGTTCTTNTTCAAGTGCCGCGAACAGGTCTGTCGCCGTACCCGCGAACTTTCGATCGCTCTCATCTGACTTTCGTGATTGCAGTACGGCGATGTCTTCACCTTCATCTTGCTCGGCAAGAAGACCACTGTCTACCTAGGTACCAAGGGTAACGACTTCATCCTCAACGGCAAGCTCAAGGATGTCAACGTCGAGGAAATCTACAGNCCCCTGACCACTCCCGTCTTCGGTTCCGATGTCGTCTACGATTGCCCCAACTCCAAACTCATGGAGCAGAAGAAGTTCGTCAAGTTTGGTTTGACCACCGAGGCTCTTCGCTCTTACGTTTCCGTCATCACCGCCGAAACAGAGGACTTTTTAGCAAACTCCAACTGGTTCAAAGGCGATGCCGGTGAACTCAACGTTCCCAAGGCCATGGCTGAGTTGACAATCTACACCGCCAGTCGTTCGCTCCAGGGCAAGGAAGTCCGCGCAAAGTTCGACAGCACCTTCGCCGATCTATACCATGATCTTGACATGGGCTTCACTCCAATCAACTTCATGCTTCCCTGGGCTCCTCTGCCTCAGAATCGCAAGCGCGACGCTGCTCAGCGCAAGATGACCGAGACTTACATGGAAATCATCAAGGCTAGGCGTGATAGTGGCAAGACAAAGCCCGAGGACGGCGAGACAGACATGATTTGGAACCTGATGAACTGCGAATACAAGACTGGCCAGATGATTCCCGATAAGGAAATTGCTCACATGATGATTGCTCTGCTCATGGCTGGTCAACACAGTTCTTCTGCCTCCATCTCTTGGATTCTGCTTCGCCTGGCCTCTCGCCCTGACATTGTTGAGGAGTTGCTTGCCGAACAGAAGGCTGTTCTTGGTGCCGACCTGCCCGATTTGACCTTCGAAGATCTCTCTCGTCTGCCTCTCCACTCTCAGGTCGTCAAGGAGACTCTGCGTCTTCACAGCCCTATCCACAGTATCATGCGCGCTGTCAAGTCGCCTATGCCTGTCGAGGGTACTCCCTACGTCATCCCCACCACTCATGTTCTGCTCGCCGCCCCTGGTGTCACATCCAAGATCTCCGAGTACTTTCCGGAGCCCAATCTTTGGGAGCCGCATCGCTGGGATGCTGAGGCTACGGGCAAATACTCAGATCTCAAGCCTGTCATTGCTACGAACGCCGACGACGACGAAAAGACTGACTATGGTTACGGTTTGGTATCCAAGGGTACCAGCTCGCCATATCTTCCTTTCGGTGCTGGTAGACATCGTTGCATCGGTGAGCAGTTCGCTTATGTGCAGCTGCAAACCATCCTTGTGACCATGGTTCGATCTTTCAAATTCCGCAATCTTAATGGTCGCGAAGGTGTTGTTGACACTGACTATTCGGTATGTCTTGATCCGCTGTTTACTCCCTCTGTGATCCTATACTGACTCGTGTTTGCANNGTCTCTGTTCTCGCGCCCTCTCGCGCCGGCTTCAATTCATTACGAGAAAAGAGTCAACGAGAAAGCATAGACGAGATAGATCGTTACAGATTTGTACAGCTTTGTAATTCACGGCATGGTGATAGAGGACAACGTTTAGGCATTGATATCCCCCAGTGTGCATTTTGCGCCTGACGCATTGTTAATTCAGATTCTTTCTACGGTTCCTGATGATCATTCTCTTCTGCTCCCAAATATCCAGGCTATGGGCAGGACTGACAAGTGCCGGTGTTTGTCTTTGTTGAGTTGCCGTGAAGAAAAAGCTTGCTCTCGGATTTAGGCGAATCGCAAAAGTTTTGTCCAATTTGCGACGATGGAAGTTTTTTTCTCTCCTCTAATTTCACCCAGACCTTGCCAATGAACCTTTGAGCTCAAGCTCTAAGATCTGACAGATGGCTGTTTTGAACCTGTGTTTCATCACCACTTCCACAGTATGGCTGTCGTGGAAGCTGCGCACGCAGGTAGCGGAGCAAGTCGTGCGTCGAGATGGAGTGCTGTTCGGTATGAGGATCATATTGTTTGAAAATCGCACCGTTGCTACTAATCCCTGTGACGCAGCGGCTAGCGTGTCGTTCTTATAATTGCTCCAGTGGAGCAGATTATGCAATGCGAAAGTCGCGAGTTCGAATCTCGCTAGGGATACTTTTGTCTTTTGCTCATCAATTCGCATCACGCTGGATAAAAAGAACAATGCCTTGATTTTTGCATCACGGATCAAACAGGCGAAGTGAAGGTCGTCCACTGGGCTAGAATATTGGTCTGCTCTAGTTGTGGTTCTCAAAACTATACTTGGTTTTGCGACAGAGTCTCTGACGTGCATCAAGACACTGGCGTCCTGGTTCGCAATTCACAGCCGAGACAATTACTCACACCCTCGTAGTCATGCAAGCAAGCAATCGCCAGTCTTATCAGTCCAATTGTACACGTGCTTTTTGATCATTGATAGACAACTTGTATGACGGGCATACGCGTGAGACCGGCAGGCTGCGATGTCATCGTTTGTCTTCGGAGACGCGATCATAATATGGAGGGAAGGCAGCAGCGACTTTTGGGAATTCCTCTTTGTCGCACCGAATAATTCAATTGCACCGCTACTGCCTGGACTCCGGCCAATTGATAAACAACCTCCATTTCCCAACACACATCGACGACTAAATTACAGGCTTCAATCGCAAGCTCTCCCTCTTTCGCCTTGGACAGCGACACCGGAGTTAAAGGCATCGTCCTCCACGTGATTTTTCAGCAAAGATACGGACGGCAGCGACCCCTCATCCCGAGTCTCGATCGCATCCATTCACCCACGTCCCAAGTCATTTCCCACCCACAGACGACCAATCTCTGCCTTTGCATTTTTGCTTTTCAATCCTCGACCACTCCGACACCATCACAACGGCGTCTCTCAGGCAAACAAGGCTCGACTTCATCGCCCGTCACTCGCCCACCACGCCACCACCCCGCTGTCTTTCCGGCGCAAAGCCGCGACTGTCGCAACTTACGCTTTCCATATCCAAGAGATCACCCAGCAGTCGTCGCCCAATCTACCACCACGACCTCTCGACCACCTATTGTGCTAGTCCCTTCCAACCCCAGCCGTTCCGTGTCTTCCGGAACCGTCGTCAATACCACACACTCTCCAATCTCGTCGCAATGTCTTCTGAACCCACTGGAACCATGACAATGGACAACTACACATTCCCTACCGAACGCCTGCAATCAGAACTGAAGGACCCGTCAAGGACACCGCTAGTACTCGTGGCTTGCGGTTCCTTCAGTCCTATCACCTTCCTGCACTTGAGAATGTTCGAAATGGCCGCCGATTACGCACGCTTCAACACAAATTTCGAGGTTGTTGGCGCTTACATCAGTGCTGTGGGTGATGCATACAAGAAGAGTGGCCTCGTCAAGGCCGAACACAGAATCAACATGTGCAGTCTTGCAGTTGAGCAAAGCAGCTGGATCAGTGGTATGTTTTGTTGTTGAGATGGATTCCGGACTATCGTATCTCTGACTTTTTATTCTCTAGTGGACCCATGGGAGGCCCTTCACGAGGACTACCTTGAGACGGCAAAGGTACTCGACCACTTCGAGCACGAAATCAACACATCTCGTGGACCCTTCAATACTCCGCAAGGTCCTAAGAAGGCCAAGATTGCCCTGCTCGCTGGTGCAGATCTGATTCAAACAATGTCAGCACCCGGTGTCTGGGCCCCCAAGGATATCGACTACATTCTGAGCAACTTTGGCGCCTTTATCATCGAGGTATGTTGCTACTACTCCCATCTTTCCATCTAAGAAGTGAATGCTAACACAAGACAGAGAGCGGGTACCGATATCGACGAAGCTTTGTCAACACTACAACAATGGAAAGACAACATCCATGTTGTACAGCAGCTGGTGCAGAACGACATTTCTAGCACAAAGATCCGTCTGTTCCGTAAACGCGACATGAGCATTCGTTACTTGGTTCCCGAGCCCGTGGTCAGATACATCGAAGAACAAGGACTGTACGACGAGGACGGCGCCAGCAGCACACACGAGGCGCAGAACTCGAAGAAACCTGGCGAGAGCGCGGGCGCTCCTTCGCAGAACATGTAATATCTTGGCTGAGGTGTCCTTATGAAGACTCAACACACTTTCAACGCTTTCTCTCTCTGACCTTGAACTTGACGCCCTCTTTGTTGACTCCACCAACGGTGTTGTTCATGCGTGCCCGCTGATGCTGGAGTTGGCCCAGAGCGACAGACAGGTCACGCTCGCGGTCCTTGAGCGCTTCAAGATGATTTTGCAGCACTTCCTGGGCGCGTCTCTTCTTCCGTCGCTGCCTGATCTCTTCTTTTGAGAGGCCCTTGGTGTCGCTCTCCTCACCCTCGCTCTTGCTATCTTCACTACCACTGCCATGTCCGTCGATACCATCGAGATCATCGAGTCCATCAAGGTCACCCAGATCTGCAAGGTCATCGAGATCCAGATCCATATCATCGTCGTCGTCGAAGTCGGGCTTCGTCTTTGTCTCCTCGACCAGCTCGCCATTGTCGTCAAACACCTTTCTCTTGCTTATGCTAGACGCATCGACTCCAGTAGTCATCAAGACAGCCTGCTTCTCAATCTTTTCTCTGGCGCGGCGTGTCTGTTGTAGAACGGTCTGCAGGTAACCAGCATCCTGTGTCTTGAGCAATTTGACAATATCCATGTTCATGGGCGCCTGGGAGCCATTGTCTTTTCCTCTTGTCGATTGTTGAACACCCTNTTTCGTTGTTCTGGAGATCATGCCGAAAGCGAATTCATCCGGGTTGCGCTGGGCTGCCTTTTCGCGCAGGACTTTGAGGCGGCGTTTCTTTTCATTGTGGTCTTTTGCACGGAGGGAGTAGTCCTGTTACATCTTTCGTTAGAGGCTTTTCTTCTTCTGTAGATATTTGTATGTGAATTCTCGAGAAAGAGGATATTCATTTGCTGAGTGAAAGAAGGGAAAACCAACCTTGTGCTTTTCCAAGAGACCCCATTTTTGACGTTCGAGTGGTTGGGCGCGCTCCTTGTGGTTGCGCCTTTGGACTGCGTTGCGCATGGACGACATGATGGCGAGTGGTGATTTCTCTTTATTCTCTGCTACGGCGTGTTGTAGAGTAAAATTCCTTAGTGACTGGATAGATTGTGGGAGACGAGGTAGGTGCAGAGCGTGAGGCGAGGAGTTGTGTTGCGAAAGAAAGCCGGTGGTTTGTACAAAAAAAGTTCTGGGTCTGGAAAGTAAAGAGCGGCGGGATCGCGGGAGAGAGAGAAGGAAGGAAAGCGGAGAAGAAAGCTGGGCTTGGCGGGTTAGTTTTGAACGGTGATCTCTTTTGGTCACCCTGTCTTTGCACTTCTATAATTCAGAATTTCACATGTTACAACATTAAAGGCATGGTGAATGAATTTAAAATGATAGACATTATTGTAGGAGAGAAGCATGGCTTCGTGGTTCTTATGCATGTGCTATATAATGGCTAAGCTCGTAACGGCATGATCTCGTCTTTGACCTTTCTATTGTCGAACCTTCGATATGACCTGCAGATCCAGCATCTTGCCTGTCTTGCTGCTCGTATAGAGGCGAAGTCGAGTTGTGATAAGTCCGTGCCTTTCCAGGGTTCGTCTCACGCAGCTAGCTAGTTCTGCACTGTCTAGCAACAGCCATACTGCTGAGCGCTCCTGATTCCTTTGACTCGAGCTTGGTGATTCGTCAGCATAGCCAGCTGCAACTGCGGGCTCCAGGTAGTGCCTTGGACTATCCTCTTGTTATGTTCAAGCCAAGTTGTAGCAAGACCATGATGCCTGCAGACTTGGCATGCCAGCTATGAGACTGCTGCAGAGTCTCGCATCACAAGCCGAGCATGGTATGGTGTACAGCGTCTGAGCCTGACTGCAGTCAAGCTGGAGAGAAGACGAGTTATTGTAAAGTTCGTCACTGATCCATCTTCACAGATCTGGGTCGATATGCTGCTTGAACTTTCTGTTTGCACGATCTGCAGGCCTGTTTTCGAATTGTGACCCATGAAGCTCGAAGACGAATGGTTTGCGCGGCTCGGTCATCTGACTATCACCATCGCTGTCCTCTTCCGCAAAGGGGATTTCGAATCTAAAGATGGTGTATTCCTTGGGCACNNGGCTATTAAGCTGTCAGCATGGCGGCACTGTTGGTGGAATGATGAATAGCATACTCTTGAGCTCATTCTTTGCAGTGATGATTTCCATGGTGAATTTTGTGTCTTTGACGACTATGCCTTTTATTCCTACTCTTCCCACGCAGCGACATCTTACAACGTCAACCATGGCGCCGTGATAGTCTGCACTAGCCAGCAGGGGACCGACAGAAGCGGGGTTCACATAGCGTGTCTTGTCCATGGCTAGTATGTCACGCATGTAGGCACACCATAGCTTCCAGATGGGCAGGTAGATGTCGTATCTGCGCTGGTCTTTCGGAATGTCGTAGACACCAAGGAGTCTCTNTTGCTTCGCAGTCAGAGGACGAGGCTTCTTTGACTTGCGACTGGCTCTTTGTTTTTCTAGTCTTGCTTTCTGTCGTTGCGAGCGGACATCTTCGCGAGGATCGGGAGATGAGGGTCGGAGTAGAAGAGGACGGTTCTGGACCTTTTCGCGGAAGATCTGGGAGGAGGCGGTCGGCTCGTGGGCGCGGGCAAGGAGAGATTGAGCAGGGTGCTCCTTTTCTGCTGGCGGCATGTTCAGATAAAGAGTGACAAGGGAGAAGGATAAATGGGTTGGTCGCAAAAGTTGAGTGGAGCTTGGCAGGCATCATCAAGGTGATTGCGGCTTTTTGGCTTCGCGACTTTTTGTCCCGAATTCACATCGTCAACTCACATCAGACATGGCTCCCGCGACTCCTGACCTGTCGGCCAAGTACACGCTCCTGCAATTGAGTGTCATCTCGTCAAGCAGCATCTCCAACAGAACAACATCCCTGATCGCCCACATCAAAAACACACCGGCCGACAGCAAACCTGCCATAGTCGCTCTCCACGCCAAAGCTCCCGTCGCCAACAAGCTCATCAGCATTGTCGAGATCGCAAAGAGAGACCTGAAAGAGAATGGATCGAAAGTCTACCAGTACAATGCCCTCGGCTCCGAATTGATCCAGTCCACGCCTACCACCAAGGATGCGACCAATCAAGACGACATGAGTGATGAAGAGCCCGCTTTCGAGAAGGTTGAGCAGAAGACGGCCGTCAGAAACGTGTCCACAATGACAACCTACTTGAGTCTGACTCCTATCAAGGAGCTTAAACAAGCCTATGGGTATCCATATCTCTGCTCGCCATCCATGTTTCATTTTTGCTGATCCGCTTTGTTGTAGAGAACAAATCAGTTGATCTCACTGCCCACCTGCCCATTGAACCACTGCCACCGTCCCTCGCATCGCCATGAATGCCATGCCTAACACATCTGGTCCCTGGCTAGCACAGCCCCTCGAGCGAGGAGCTGTTCGACAACTGCTCGACCATCCACAAAGCTGCTTCCATGCAGGAGCCTCGACCACTACAACACGCCCTGGGGCCCGGAAGATCGAGAGTTGCAAGGCATCGTTACGTGCTGTAAAACCCTGCATGATTTGTGTCTGTTGCTGGCTAGATACAAGTATTATCGAGCCGAAGAATATCATGCTCGAAAATCCGCTCTCCTTAGAGCCATGCTCTCAAGATCCTCGTCGCTGTTCCATCCTTCACAACCTCTTATCTCCCCTGCTGCTATCATCCGGCCTAATCATAATCCAAGCCTCCAACAGGCCAGCCGTCTGCATCTTTTTCGTCTGCAGACGACGTCTTCGACTCCGATTCTGCTCCTGCTTGCGTTTCACTCTCAACCTCAGTTTCATCTCCCGACTCTCCAATCTCGCCAGCTTCGGAGAAATCGGCCTCACATTCCTCTTTCGTTCCTTCTTCGGCTGCCATATCGACAATCTTGCGGTCACATGGATCCGCTTCATGCATGATTTTTGTGAAGCGTCGGAACAGGTTGTCGTTGAGCGCCCAGTAACCTGCCAGGGCTGCTGTCACCGACGTGAATTCCAGATGACACACCCCGTCCTCGTCTCTGCTGGCATTAAGAACGCTGTCGCACTTNNGGAGTCCGCGATGACGGGTGGCCATGCAGAGACCCCGCATCGTGATGTCTGTGTGTAGACCGTGGACGGCCAAGCAACGTGTAATGCCGTTGTAAATCATGTCATCAGCGAGGTAGCCGTTGACGGGATACGTGGGGGTCTTGAGAAGACTGAACCTTGGCTCGACTTTGTCCTCCACAGATCTCAAGAAGTTGAAAGCGTCTTCGCCATGCAAGAATGTGATCATCATCGTCTTGCTCTTTGTTATCCATGTCGTGTCCATCGACTGAACCTTGACAATGATACCTCCAGAGACCATGCGCATCACGTCTACTTCTGATCTGTCCTTGGGTATGTCTGTGACAAGCACAGTGCGGAAGGCCTCATCGCTAGGAGCTGGGTCGTACATGACCAGTGCTTGGTTCCTTCGAAGTTCTGCCGCATGCTTTTGCTTTGCTTCTTCCTTCTGCTCCTCAATCATGGTTTCCTCAGGCTCTGCAACCACAGTGTCTTCGGACACATCATCAGTCTCGGGAAACTGCATCAAGTCTTCTTGCATCTCTGGCTCAATGACTTTCTTCTCTGTCGTAGCCCAGCTCGATGCGAAGATGCCCTTGTCTGCTTTTTTGGTNNGGTCTGTGTAGCGGTCTGAAAGGCTCTTGAGCGTGAGGGGTTGTTCATGTCTCGCCCTGACCTGTGCACTGGAAACNNCTGGGAGAGCTTGTGCATTGCTGTTGTCGGTCGGACGAGGATCTTCGCTGCAGAGACTGCCACTGTTCTCAAAGGTAAAGAGCGTGCCTTCTGTGTCCGTATCCTTGCCGATATCGACTGGCTTTGGCTTCGCTTCATTTCGCTCCAGGAATGCAAGGCATTCGGTTCTGAATGTTTGTTCGGCTCTGGGACCGACAGGCACAGGTCGTGTCTTGACAGGTACCAGAGAAGGCGAAACCACAGAGTCCACTGGCATGTCCTCGTNCGTCCTGGAAAGAAGATCTTCTGCCTCCGTCTTTTGCTTTCCAATGTCCATTCCTCTTTCTCCATCACTTCTCCCTCCTGCTCTCTGCTCGAGCTCTGGTCGGATCCTGGGCTCAGCTGCACGATCATATCTCTCGAGTCTTCTGCCGCGGAGCTGGCTTTCTTCTCTCGGAGCTGAGATGCCAGATGTTTGGATTTGTGCGGCCAGCTGTCGTGCCATGTAAGTGATGCACTGCTGAGCCAATGCATGTTGCTGCCTCTCGATCCTCAACTCTGTCTCCAGTACTGCCAGTCTTCTGATCATCTCCATGTTGTCGGCCATGTGGGGATCCTTTGTCGTGTAGGCCATGTCGTTCGGAGGGAATTGTGGAAGGATATGAGGTTGAGGAAGAGTGTGTCGAGGAAGAGAGGAGAAGGTGTGGTGTTGAGGAAGAGAAGTGTGCTGAGAGGAGAAAGCAGAGGGTGGTAGCTGCCACATGTTGGCTACACACTCCGAGGAGAAGGCTGCGAGTGAGTGAGAAGGAAAGCAAGCTCTGAGATGTGAGATGTGAGAGGACCGGTGTGAGGTTTAGTAGGACAGCATTGAAATGTGATTTTGCGAGCGATATATGGTTATGGTAGTGAAAGTGATTCTCCGTACGCGAAGTTATTCCTACCTGCCCAAGAGAGAAGTGATGATATTCTGAGGGAACCGATCTCTACACAGTGAACTTCAGTGCCAAAGCCTCCCCAAGCAGAAAACTCACACCGGCTGCTACGATGGACAATCGAGTCTGAGCTGAGAATGAGATGGCACTCCATGTGATATCCTGGTATCTTTGGGCTAGTTTATGAACACTCGCAACACCGAACCGGGCTACCCAGCACTCCTGAGACTTTAGAACATGTCCAGTAAGATTACAAGTAATGTCATTGGTATAGAATAAGGGTCAAGGATACAAAACCGACATATCCTCAAGATCTCTGCTCATGTCACCATTCTGTTGTGTCTTGTCAAAACTTACTCGGCATAGATCTTCAAGGATCTAGACAACCACGAACAAACAAGGATCACCGGTGTTCGACCGAAGCTCGCATACTCTAACATGTATAGAGTTTCTCACGTGGACTTGCCGTGTCCAGACCATCTCGGTACATACTTTTGTAGAGAATCGATATCTCGCGTACGACTGCTGTTCGAACGAGCAAAAGGACGCCAGGCCTTCGTGAGGTGCTTCATACAATCTTTGCACATTTTGGCGAATTCGAACACCTTGCTGGCAGTCTAAACAAGAGGCACTCATGCCTACCCAGGTCTGAAATGTCAACGGACTCTTTTCAGAGCAGGAAAGGAGAGAATTGTTTCCAATTCGAGAGTGCCGATACACTCTCGAATTCCAATGTTCCAGGTCCGCGGAATTTTGCAGCTCGCAAGATTGTAGACCTTCCACGGTCAGGGCACGTAAGTTGCCCACAGTAAAGTCTATCCCGTCGACAACTGTTGAAGAAAGAAAGATGGATGTCAAATAACCTTGCATCCTCGACAGAAAGGGAAAGCGCACCGATTTCGGCCGTGATGATCTACCCCGCACCCCCAGCATTTCTCCACTCACACCAAAACCTTCTGGGGTGTCAAGGGTGAACAAGCACAACGGAAGCCATGCCTCGCTGTCAAGAAGTGCGGAGAAGAGAGGCCCGAGAGATTGATAAGCTCAACGTCATACCGTTTATTCAGCCACGGCACGTTTTTGTGCGACTCACAGCATCTGATTGGTACGAATGCGAGCAAGGGCAATGGTTGGTTAAAAGCAAATAGAAAGAACGTATATAACGGATCACATGAAAGCATGAATTTGGTTGGAAGGATCGTCGGGTTATCTCGAGCAGAGCAAGCCGCTCTCTGGGTACATAGTCACGAGCATCCGCAGCGCTCGTTCCTCTTTGGTTTCTGTTTCTTGTGTTACTTGTCGTCCGTTGCCGAGAGAGTCTTTTGTAACAATGTCGCATTCCCCACTGGAAGAAAAAGCTGGGGTCTCCAAGCTGGAGACCATCGACACGGGCCTCTATGATCCTGATGCCGGACTCAGCGATGAGGAAAGAGCAAGAATAGTAATATCATCGCATTCCGTCGAGTTCAAAGAGACACAATGACTAACCAAGTGCTGCGATCAGGACAAAGCCCTCGTTCGAAAGCTAGACTTCAAACTTATTCCATGGGTCAGTTTCACTACCCCCTGCAGAAAAGAATACCATGGCTGATAATCACCAAAGCTCTCTTTTCTATACCTCATCTCCTTCCTCGACCGAACAAACATCGGTAATGCCAAAGTCGACGGTCTGGCCAAAGACCTGCATCTGACACCCGGCCAATACAACGCCACACTCTCCATCTTCTTCGTCTCGTACTCGGTCTTTGAACCCTTGACAAATGTCCTGCTCAAGAAATGGCGACCCAGCGTTTTCCTTCCCGTTATCATGACGCTTTGGGGAATTGTGATGGTCACTATGGGTCTTTGTCATAACTTTGCTGGCCTCGCAACGGCACGTTGGTGGCTAGGTTTTGCTGAAGCAGGACTCTTTCCTGGCGTGAACTACTATCTTTCGTGTTGGCATGTTGGAGTCCTGATGCAGTGTTCGAGAACGTGGTGCTGACTGGTTTCCAGGTACAAGCGCAAGGAGCTAGGTATTCGAGCAGCCATTTTCTTTTCAGCAGCCGCGCTTGCAGGTAGTTTCGGTGGTTTGCTGGCAGCAGGTATTGCTCAGATGAAGGGAGTAGGTGGTAAACCTGGTTGGGTAAGATTCATTGACATCGTACTCCTCAGTGATACTGATATCCCGACANNGGCTTGGATCTTCATCCTCGAAGGCTTGGTTACCGTTGTTGTTGGTATTATCTCGTACTGGATGGTCCATGATTTCCCTGACAATGCCACGTTCTTGTCTGTCGATGACCGTGCAAGAGTGATCAGAAGACTCAAGGAAGATCAGCAAGCAAGTGCCGAGCATGAGGTATGGCCAAAAGCAGATCCCGAGTATGATCGATTCTGTCCTGACATCGATATCTGCAGNGAATTCAAGATGACCTACTTCTGGCAAAGTGTGATGGACTGGAAGACATGGTGCTTTGCAGTCATTTACATGGGAGCAGATGGTGCACTGTACGCCTTTTCGCTGTTCTTGCCCACCATCATCAATGCTCTCGGATACAGCGGCACAACAGCAAACCTGCTCTCGGTTCCGCCATACGCTTGTGCTGCCGTCTTTACGATCGTGATCGGATGGATCGCCGACAGAACCCAAAAGAGAGGTCTCATCAACGTCTGCGTTTCTCTGCTTGGCATTGTAGGCTTCATCATGCTCATCGCATCGCAAAACCCTCATGTCAAATATGCTGGTACATTCCTTGGAGCCCTCGGAATTTACCCGTAAGTCTCAGACAGTATCTTGATTCGGAGTTTTTGATTGCTGACCAAGCCCTGCTGCAGTCTTATAGCTAACAGCGTTACGTGGTGTTCGAACAATGTAGAGGGCGCCTACAAGAGAGGTGTGACAATCGGTATTGTCATCGGTTGGGGAAACCTTCAGGGCGTGGTAAGTTGTGACACTCACAGACATCAGTGCGATTAGACTGACCCTCCCAAGGTTAGCTCGAACATCTACAGGGCCAAGGACAAGCCGAAGTACTACCTCGGACACGGTGTAGTGTTGGCATACCTGACACTCTTCCTGTTCTTGGGAAGTTTGATGACACATCTTCTGCTCAAGGCCGAGAACAAGAAGAGGCAAGCCGGCAAGCGCGACCACTGGATCGAGGGCAAGGATGAATCCGAGATCAAGATGCTGGGAGACAAGAGACCAGACTTCCTTTACGTCACCTAAGCAGAAAGATTGTCGGAATCAAACAAGAGGCGGACTTGGTTGGAGCCTGCTTCGAAAACCAGAACGGTCGAGAATTCGAAACATGAAAGAAGTGAAATTCGTATATATGGGGTATCAAAACTCGACATCAGTTTCTCCAGACACGGACTTGCTTGTCCTGACCTCCACTGCCTACTCTGTCACCATCGGGGCTCCAGTCTACGGCGAATACCTGATCCTTGTGACCGGGCAGATCCTCCTTGAGCTTTCCAGTCTTGACGTCCCAGACCTTGAGGGTAGTATCTTTGCTACCACTAACAAGCAGTCTGCTGTCGGCACTGAAAGCAACCTGATACACAGGTCCGACGTGACCCTTGAGAGTGAAAAGGAAGGTTCCATCAGCAGCATTCCACAACTTGATCAGATTGTCGAATCCAGCAGAGGCGAGAAGGGTACCATCAGGTGAGAATGTGACATGGTTGACTTGTTTTTGGTGACCCAGCAAACGAGTGACTGGTTTTGTTGAGGTCATGGGGGTCCAAAGGTAGATTGTGCAGTCATCACTAGCTGATACCAGTCTCTCGACAGCCTTTCCTCCATTCTTCTGGTTGTTAACACCAGCAGCAGCCTCGTAACGCTCTTTTGCCTTTGCACGCTTCTCTTCGGGCGTGGCCGGGACGCCCTTCTTACCAGTGTGATCGTAGAAAGCGGTGCGGAGTGCAAAGTCGGTAGAAAGAGCAAGGTGGTTGACCCAATGGGCGTGTGAATTGAGCGTGTGAACAAGAGAGCCAGTCTCGGCGGACCAAACCTTGATGGTCTTGTCGTGCGAGGCAGTATAGATGAAGCCAGCACCTCCCCAACGCACACAAGACACATTGCCCTTATGGCCGGTCAAGGCTAAATCGGCGCGCTTGCTTGTGACATCCCAGATACGAACGGTCGCATCCTTTGAGGCAGATGCGATTCGAGGTCTTCCAACTTGCTGCATGTGGTAGGGTTCCCACGACATCGAAGTCACCCACTTGGTATGACCCTTCATAGGACCACCCAAGGGTTTACCTGTCTGAGCATCCCACAAGCGTATTGTGTTGTCCATGCTTCCCGTAGCCAAAATGTCGCCATTAGGCGAGTAGCTGACCGTAAGTACCCATCCGGTGTGACCAGTGAGAGTGTGCATGGGAGTTCCAGTATCGCAGTCCCAGATACGAGCAGTCTTGTCACCACTGCCGGTCGCCAAACGCGAAGACGAGGATGGAGAGAATTGTGCTGCGAGGATAGCTTCGCCATGTCCGCTGATGGCGGCGGAACATCTTGTAACGGCTTTTACTCGGAAAACTGCTTCTGCACGACAGGGGATGTTGAGCTGGACTTCGGTGGTCGAATCGCCGGACAGGAAGGCCGAGATGATGGCTTTTTGGTCGAAATCGCCAGTGCCGAGGGGGTCGTAGAAGCGGTAGGGGAGGCGCTCGCTGGGATCTTCGCGGCCGAGGAGGGTGTTCAAGAGCAGAGACAGATTCTTAGGCGACAGTTCTGACAAGGGTACGGTCACGACAGGTCCTTGAGACTCGCCCGAATCGGCGTCGATGAATTGGATGCGCTGGATGCCATCGGGCATCTGGTCGGGCTCGACTTGCTCGCGGGCCCGCGCGGCCGCCGCTGTCTTCTGTCGCTTCGACGGAGGAGGTAGTTGTGTCGCCATATCGATTTCTTGTATTGGTGTGTGTTGTGTTTTTCTTGGTCGACAAGTTCAAGAAATTTTGGACCCCGTTGCTCGCGCCTGCCACTCAAACTCCGCAAACTCCGTGGTTGAAGCTTCCCTCACTGACTTCACGTCGCTGCTCGGCGCTCCTTCTTCGTCTCTCAATCAACAGACAAGCAAGAAAGAAGATCTTCGTAAACGAGTGCAAAATTAGCATTACTTGCAAGCGCATATGCTGCAGCTATCAGATATTGTACGTTCCATGCCCCATATGCTGTCCTAGCTAAGATAGAAAAGAGAATCGAGTACTTTTGTCCGTTCCAGTTTGCAACCTGCCATCGTGTCCGCCATTATCGTTCGTAAAAGCAAATGCTCCATATATATTCACTGTCTCTCGTTCTCGGTTAGTGCAATTCTTCCTTCTCACTCTCACGACTCCGAGATTGGTGCCGAGATGGTACCCTCGTTGTCCTCGTCTTCATCATCGTCTCCAAAGCTGCCTCCGTACATGCCAGAGAACAGAGGATTTCCGATGCTGCTTCCCATGCCGTATCCGAAGTAGTCCCATGTCGTCAAGGGAGATGGGTCGTACGAGAATGGATTGTTCTGTCCAGCCGGGAATTGGTAGTAACTCTGGCCCGTCATGTTCATGTAGGTGGGCTCGGCTGCTCTGAATCCCATGGGTGCTGCTGCGACGTACATCGGAGCCTGCTGATAGCCAGAGGTAAGGTGTGTCATGACAACAGGCTGCTCGAATGTGGCTTCTTTCATGTCCATCTGAGCATCGCCTTCCTCCTCGGCTGCGTCGATGGGTGCTTTCTTGCGCTTGTTGCGTCTGGTCTTGAGGGACACTTCCTCCTCGGCGGCATTCTCTTCTTGCAAAGCTGCATTGGTGATAGCAACGGCTTCCTGCTTGCGGACTTTCTTCTTGGCTACCAGGCGAAGAGTGGGCTTCGTGCTGGCGTTGGGGTCCTTGTCTTTCAGAGGCTTCTTGTCAAGAGATTTCTTGGCTTCACGAGGCTTCTTTGTGGGTTCCTTCTTGACTTTGGCTGGGCGGGCAGGTAACTCCTCGCCTGGTAGCAGATCGTCCTCAGGTTGTGGTTGGCCAGAGATGACTCTTTTCTTGCAGAGACTACCAGATGGGCTGAAGATCAGCTCTTCTTTCTGGATTCCCTCGGACATGGTGGCAAGACGATCGTTGACAGAAACGTCTTTCTTTTGGTTACGCTTCTTCTTCAACTCTGGAGTGGCTGCGTCGAAGAGGCCCATACCTGGCCAGACAATACCCTTGAGCTTGCTGGTATCGTCGTCGTCGTCCTCACCGGCATCTCCACCGTGAGACTTTTCAGCCTTGACCTTACGCTTTCGTGGCACGAGTGAGACTTCACTCGAAGTCTGTCGATCGTCTGCCTCGACGAATGCTGAGTCCTGTCTGTGGTAGAGGTAAGGATGTGCCGCCCAGCTATACATCGGTGCGAATGCAGCGTACGGGTGAGGGTAGACCGAGGCGGTGTCGTCGTAAGATGTCGACGAAGGAGTGATCGATGGCGAGTGAACCTNCTCTTTGATGGCCTTGAGGTTGGATTGNNATGCTCTGATGAGATCAGCTTATCAGTAAAAGCAGCTCAATTGGAAACATTGAGGAGTCAAGTAAGTACCGGTCTTGATCTTCTTGCGTTCATCCTTGTGCTTCATACGTTCGGACATGAAAGACTCGATGTCATTCTCGACGTACCATATGTCGTAGCGCTCGACGGATTGACGAGCAGCATCATCAGAACCCGAGCGGACCTTGAGCTTGTAATAGGTTGACAAATGAGCCTTGCTGCTGATGTGGGTGAGCAGATGGGATAGGTCACTGAAGGTGGGCTTGCGTGGGCATATTCCGCAGACGAGGGGGATGTTTCTGGGCTGCGCCTGGCTAGATGCAGGAACTAGCAAATCCATGGATGCCGGTCCAAAGAGAGAGAGTAAGAAAGTGGACAAAGGAAGGAGTGAGTTGATACCGAGTATCAGTGTTGACTCTGTTGTCAAGGCGTCGCCTGCACTCCGAGGTGTGGAAGGTGGTCCTCTTCTCACACGGAAAGAGCCACTCAATGACCCGCCCGGACCTCTTTGCACGGGCAAACCACCGGCGGTAGCAACGCGCGACGCCGACGACACCTTCGTACCTCTGACGTGCTCCTGACTGGTTATGTATCAGAGGACTGCTTATCATGATGGACCGAAGAGAATGTTTCGTCTGATAGTGGTTGTGGATGTTGAAGGCCGAAGCCCTCGGATCCAGCTCTATGCTGACTTCCATACCTCACTCGTCATTGGCAAGATTGAGGGCACCCTGTAGTTGTAATCCTGGCTCGAGCTCGTAGGCCTCTTCTAAGCAATTGCTTCGTGATACATCGGGCAAGATATTTCAAGAATATGCCTCTGTATAGCAGACTGCGTTGGTCTTGCGATCTTCATCGAGGCCTTTAGCTGAACGCTAGCCTACCTTCCTCGAAGGAATCACATAGGGACTCGACATTCAGCTGTGCGTTATCGACATGGATGATGGACGAAGAGAGGCTTCAGAAGGCTTCAATTTATCGTTACCATTTCGGCGTTAACATCGCTATCGCCGACAAGCGGACAAGACCCCGCATGACGTATCCGTATTGTCCTCTATTGATACAATGACTTGCTCTTCTGCTTCTCAACAACACTCTCTAGTACGCCATTGTACCTAAGCACGATATCAAACATGGGCTCCAAAAGCATTCCGAAAGAGATGAAGGCCATCCAAGTGGTCGAGGTACCATAAAATCTATGTCTGTCCAGGCGGCATTCCATACTAAAGTGATAACCTAGNTTTGACAAACCGTACAAAATCAACACTGTTCCTGTGCCCACAGATCTCGCTCCAGAAGATATTCTGGTCAAGATTGGTGTCGCATCGAATTGCCATACAGATTCTATGGTACAACACGGTACATTTGGAACCAAGCTTCCAGTAACAGCCTCCCATGAAGGTGCCGGCACAGTAGTCGCAGTCGGAAGCTCTGTCAAGAATTTCAAGCTCGGAGATCGTGTCATGTGTGGGCTACCCTATCATCCTTGTGGCCATTGCCAGGATTGCCATGGTCCGGAGACCTGGAGACAGTACTGCACCAACATCGCAGGACATTCGGGCGTACATAGAAACGGTTTCTTTGCCGAGTATGCGCTTGTGGATTCTAGAAGCTCGACTCCGATTCCAGATGAGGTCACACTGGAGAGTGCGGCACCACTTGCATGTGCAGGTCGAACAATCTGGAGAGGTGTATTAGAAGCTAACCTCAAAGCTGGCGAGTGGCTTGCCATAGTTGGTTCTGGAGGTGGTCTCGGCCACTTAGGCATCCAATTCGCAAAAGCACTCGGCCTCAATGTCGTCGGTGTTGATGCTAGAGATGAAGGACTTGCCATGTCCAAAGAAAATGGTGCCGATGTGGTCATTGATGCACGCAAAGGCAAAGACAGTGTGGTTGCAGAAGTACAAAAGGTAAGTTTCCTCTACTCTATGCAAATCAGGTCTTTTCTCACGTACTGTCAAACANNGGTGACTGGAGGTGCTGGCGTTGACGCATCAATCACTCTGAGCGATGCTGACGATGCTGCTGGAATGGCGTGTGCTATAACGAAGATGCATGGCTGTATGGTGATGATTGCACAACCAGACAATGTCACTATACCCTTCGCGGAATTTATTTTCCGTGACATCAGAGTCAAAGGCTCTTTGCTATGTTCACCTGAGCAGAGTGTAAGCATGCTCAAGTTTGTCGCAGAGCACGGGATCAGAGTAAAGACCAATCCCTTCCACGGCCTCGACAAGATTGGAGATTTGGTTGATCTGGTACATGGAGGAAAGATTCAAGGCAAAGCGATTATTGTGGTTGACGAAGAACAGATCAAGAAAGAGAAGGAATTGGGAGCTAAGTTTTGATGAGATCGAGGACGGAGCATCATATCTTGGACAGAGCAGTACGTCTTTGGGTTTCGAACATGGGACTGCAACGTTTGGTATGCCGGTCAGCTTCTTGGGGCACCCACAAAACACGGACAAATTAATGTATATCTCATGAATTCGCTAATAGCTCGAGCTTCCTGCGCTGAACAAAGTGGTGGTAATACAGGTGTGGAAGGTTAAGGTTGACTTGCTCAAAGCAGGTTCTTGTTCTTCTTTCTGGTAAAGGCTCTCTGGTCCTTCAGCCATCGCCTGTAATCAGCGACGCTGTTGATCTTCTCGCCGTAGTAATCAGGAACGGGGTTGTTAACAGATGAGCTGGCAGGGTCGGCGCGGAATCTCTTGATGTGCGAGTAGAAATCCCTGTCTTTNNCTGTGTAGAATTTGGTCAGTGAACGAGACTTCAATAGACAGCGTGCAGGAGCACGGCGTACCCTGGCGAACTCTTTCCTCACGCTTCCCTTCCAGATGTTGAAAAAGGCAGTTCCCAAGAAAGGACCCAACAGCCAACCAACAGCACCGACACCCATCAAACTACCGCCAATGATGAACATGGGATCCAGACCAGTCATCTGAGCGCCAATGTTCTCAATTTCGAACTCGGCAAAGGCGGGAACGGCGACGCCGACACTGGCAGCACCACTGAGAGCAGAGGAGCCAAGGTTGATGAAACGACGAGTACGACGGAGCTTCAGGAACTCATCCCATGTGAGCTGTGGTGTTTGCGACTGTGCGGAAGTGGTCGAGGTCGAAGCAGCGGATGACGCATGGCGCGAAAGGACGAGGGCCGAGGACAAGACTTGCGATCGTTGTGCGCTGTGGAAGATGGATGTGTGGGCGGAGTGAGGGAGAGGAGCAGATGCTCTGAGAAGGCTGAGTGGCGTTTGCATCTTTGTGGCAGCCATAGCTGTATGTGTGATTGGGATTGAAACGGACTGGCGTATGGCAGCGAGCACGAGAGCTTCCAACTTCTCTTCGGTGGTGCATGTGGAGAAGGCAGGTGTGAGTCTTGGCGCAGACTTGCCAGAACTGGAGCGCAAGCTGCCTCCGACGGCTGGAAAGAGCAAGAGCGACCAACTCTGTAATTCTTGCCATCCATCCATCATCAATTCGCAATCTCCCGTCGCATCCCTCCGCTGCTTCTCTCGGTCTCGTCGCAGCACTCGCGCATAGTTTCAGGACCACCCACTCTCTCTTTCGCACCAGTCGCGTTCGCGCGCATCGATCTTCAATATGGCCGCCGCAAACAAGCAGGGCAAGATGCAGGGCCTGATCAACTACCGCCTGCGCGTCACCATGATGGACGGTCGTCAGATGGCCGGCCAGATGCTCGCCTTCGACAAGCACATGAACCTCGTCCTCGCCGATACAGAAGAGTTCCGCCGAGTAAAGCGCAAGCCTAACAACAAGGCTGCTCCCGGACAGGCAGAGCCTCAATTTGTCGAGACAGAAGAGAAGCGTACCCTTGGTCTCACCATTGTCCGTGGTGCTCATATCGTCGCCTCGACTGTCGAAGGTCCTCCGCCTGCAGATCCCTCGGCAAGATTGGCCAAGGATGGCCCTGCTGGCCCTGGTGCTCCTACTATGACCGCTGGCCCTGGCATCTCTCGTCCGGCAGGTAGAGGCATGCCTCCCACTGGTCTCACCGGTCCTGCTGCAGGTGTCGGTGGCCCTGCTCCCGGCTTTGGTTTCCCTGGTGCTCCTGGAGGCTTCCCTGGCGCTCCTCCACCAGGTTTCGCTGGAAGAGGTGCTCCTCGTATGTTCTAATCATTCCTGTTCTCGAAAGTGTACTAACGTCTTTCTCTAGCCGGTTTCCAAGGTCCTCCTCCTGGTTTCCCTGGCGCTCCTGGCGGTGCTCCTCGTAAGTCAACTCACACGGTCGAGTATCCAGTTGTCGCAATTTTACTGACCTTCACACAGCTGGCTTCGGTGCACCTCCTGGTTTCCAACCTCCTCCAGGACAGGGCAGAGGTTTCCCCCCGCCAGGTTTCGGTGGTCGCTGAGAATTTCCTTGAAGAGGTCCGATCTCTCACAAACCAACCCAATTGTTCCTGCCAAAAGTACTCGCAAACGACACCAACACCACGAACTAGGGCGCAGGATATATCAGCGCCTGGAAACAGGCAAACATGGCGAAAACAGCCAGAGCAGACCCAGGCGTGCTACCGAGTGGTCAGAGCAGCTTCATCGCTCCTGGGAAAGAGCACGAGGAGCAAAAGTCACGACTGTTGTAAAAACAAGTATTTCCGTTCTATCAAAACTTCCAACCCGATTTTTCTCTCGCATTCGATGTGGTGAAGTTATGCCCAATTGCACTGTTCCATTTTTCTCCTGCAATATACTTCCCACCATGTGCAATGACTGTCGCAGTGTAGCCATTGCAATGCACAATGCCTTTGCGAAGAGTGTTGTTTCCACGTCGAGGTTCATATTGGAGGCTATCTACGGCCAGACTCACCACTGAATTGCAGCTGTGCATTACAAAAATTTACAACACCCTTGCTATTATGAAACAGTGCTCTCAATATTCCCTTTCCAGAATCAGCAGACCTATCACACAATCAGTTCGCAAAAATAGTAGGCAAGGCTAACATGCTACTCGCAACATCAATAGGTCGTGGCAACTCGAGCAATGGCTCAATCAAAAGCTGATATTAGAGACAGGGTGACACATGCCACAAACCACCCCTGGAATGGTAGACAAGCACAGCGAAAGGAACAAAGTGTATGAAAAGAAGTTTCATATCTCATCTTGCATGAAAGCAAAGCAGTCACTCAATTAGACCACGGTCATGCCTTCCTATCTCCTATTCTTCGTCTCGCAAAGAAAGAGCCACTTGATCGTACACGAAGGTCCAACCTCCACACCTTCCACTTTCTCCATTTTTTCTCTGTCCACTCTTTCATCTTCAACAACCTTCCAAAATTGCCAACCCAGAGAAAGCCCAGCAAAAGAAAGAAAAGGAAACCACAAAAAAACATTGAGGGGTATATCAACTCGTACATACAAAATCGGGAAAGAAGCAAAGAAAGAAACAAAAAACCAGGAATTCGATGAAAGTGATTAGCAAGAAGCCGTCATCTCGAAAGAGAACAAAACAAGGTCCAGCCTGATTGAGTATCTCATCTCGTAGCAACAGGACTGCAATACCTGCACACGAGCGCTCGCAAATGAGACAGCGACGCGATGTCGGCGTCCAACAAATCTCTTTACGAGTCGGATGGTGGTCCTCGATAAAGAGGGCTAGAGTTGAAGCGCATTGGCGAGAGGCCAGTGACATCAGAAGAGCTGCGCGTATTCTTCTTGACTGGCGTGATAAAGGGCTCGTCGCTTTCACTAGACTGCGAAAGAAGAGTGTGCGACGTCGCAGGGCGCTGTACTTCGGGGGTGAAGGTCCCGTTGGGAGGAGGAGCGCTGCTTTCGGAAGAAGAGATGGCACGCTCATTGGCTGCCAGACTGTCCTGGATGAATTGTGGATAAGGGTGCTTGAGGTAGTCATACTCTTTGACAAGATAATCGTTTTCGGTAACACAACCAGCCCAGCACAAACGCCAGTTTCCAACAAGAGTATAGAAGATGCGGCCATCGAGTTTGAGTGATTGGTTGAAACAACGATACAGGTTGTCCAGAGTCATCTTGTTCTTGTGCTGATACTCGAGCAACAGACTGAGATGGCAAGTAATGGCGAAAAGAAGATAGTAGTTGAAAGGCGGAAGATGCTGGAGCTCGCGGCGTAGTACCTCGGGAACAAAGCCTTTGTCGGGTACCTCGCTAGGAAGCTGAGATGTAATACGGTGCTGAGCATCCTTAGGGAAAATGTCCTCGGGAAGTTCACGGATCCATTCCTTGAAGAGAGAGGCGATGATGCTGGCGTCATACAGATCAGACTCATCCAGGAGGTTGATATCGAGCTCNNTATGCAAGGATCAGCACAAGTCTAGAACGAATGAGGAACGGAAGTGTTTACCGGTATCGAAGCGTCTCCTCCACTTTCTCACGTTGGCCACACCACCGGAGACTCTGTATAGGCCTTCTTCTTCACATTTGCCGTTCAAGTANNGCTGCGTAAAGTTAGCGAAGCATTTTGACAGAGGCAAGAAGACATACTCGATAGCGCGCCATGGCAAGGCGGGCATCCAGAATTCGGTCTTATCCTTGCAGTCGTCATATGATTGTGCGATTCGCGTCAGGCGCGTCTGCTCAACAAGGCCCTTATTGAGAACCTGCACAACATAGTCTCCATCGTCAGTGACAGGTTGGGGCTTGCCGTGGTTGCTCCCACCACGGGTGATCTTGCTAAGCAAGCCTTTGCTAGCCTTGGTGATACCGTCGGTCGCGCGTGACGAACTCTGGCGGAAGTCGAAGAAGGCCGATGTGTTGTTGTTCTTGTACATGTGACCCTCACGATCCTGAACCTTCTCCTTCTTGGCCCTTGATTTGTTTCCCGGCTCGAGGTCAGTCCTGTCCTGTGAGCGGTCGCGCATGATGCCCATAAACTTGCGGCTGTTGTCAGGAAGAGGCTTTTGCATGGGCGGCATTTCAATAGCTGGCGTTGATTTGCTGTGGACACCGTGCTTTGATTGCTTGACTACAGGCGATTTTGTCTTGGATTTGCTGTCGATGAGGTCGTTGAGCTGATCTTCAGCGCGCAGTGACTTGGATCTCCCCAGAACAGGCATACGCTTCTTGCTCGGCTTGGGTTTTGTGTTGTTCGAATTCAGATTAGACGTTGAAGTGGAAGGGATAGCTGGCGAGGGGTGTGGAGTAACGGCGGTAAAAGGACGCTGACTTGTATCTAGCGGAGGAATAGCTGGCACATAAGTNNAGCTGGTAGGCGTTAGCGTCAATCACAGGATACAACGGCAGGCAGCATGGGACTGACCAGGAGCGTCGTCGCTGTCTTTGGCACGGATGGACAAGGCAGGAGAGGAACCTGGAGGTCGGCGGTAGGGATAAATCCAGGTGGAAACTGAGCGAGAGCGAGACTCAGGCGGGGGATCAAAGTGAGAAACAGGGCCGTCGTCGGTAATGCGGCCAGCAGAAAGAGAAGGACTATGAGCAGAACGGGAGCTCTGGCGGTCGTGGTCTTCACGCGCACGCGAGAGGTCGGGCGAGGCCGAGGGTAAGGCAGACAGATCACTGCCCATAGTCAAGCCAAAGACATCGCGAGCGTCCAGGGAAGATATGTCGATTCCGTGGAGAGAAATGGGGCTGCTCATGTGTTTTGGGCGAGCGTCGGCCAGGGTCGAGGGGGATTTGTTGGCCATTGTCTCGTTCTCGGTCGCGCAGACGGGGCAGGCTGTTCGGAGGCGTATCTCGGAGTGCTGCTACTGCTGCTGCTTGCCGGCGTGTACGGATACACGACCCATCAACGTCTTTGGGTGAGAGCGAACGCGGTGGGCTGGCAGTCTTTCTTGTCGGATCAGACGCTTTCAACAGGGGGGCTCGGCTGCACTGTCCGACGCGCCTTTGTCTAGCGATGCACCTGAATGCACCAATATATGCGCCTCGGCAAAAACTGCTGTTGCTGCTGCCACGAAAGAGCGAAGTGGCAGGTGGTCGACAAAAATGGGAAAAGGAGCGTGTGGACTAAGTTGGTTGATGAGATGGATCAATCAAGTGTGTTAGGCAAAGTGTGTGGGCTGTTCGACGACTCGAGAGAGGCAGCGGAGCCTTGCGAGTTGCGCGTCAGGGGTCTCGAGGAATGAGGAATGAGCCCCGCGCCTTCTGTCTTTGACACCTTCCACCGCTGCTTCGTATCCACACCGTCGATCCTTCCATCCCTGAGTCTCTCATGTCTCTCGTCGCTGGCCCTGGACGCGGCGGAGTCTTGTCTGCACTGCCCGCTGAACTTCGACTCTACGTCCAAAAGCACGTCGACTACATCCAATCTCTCGATACGGTCCGCCGCCAATCTTCCCCGACCGCCTGCGCTTCTTACTGACGCCCCAAACAGCGGAAAGATGAACTCGAATACTGGCTTACCGAGCACTTGCGCATGAGCGGCATCTACTGGGGCATCACTCCGCTACACCTGCTCGGCCAACCTGATGCCTTGCCTAGAGCTGGTTTGCTGGACTTCGTTTTCTCTTGCCTACACGAGAACGGCGGCTTCGGTGCTGCGCCCGGTCACGATCCTCACATGTTGTACACCGTCAGCGCCGTCCAGATACTTGCCACTCTCGATGCCTTCGACGACCTGGAGCAAAAAGTACCCGGCGCCAAGGATCGCATAGGTCAATGTCAGCATCTATCAACAACTGCTTCGTCTGCATAGCTGACAATCTTTNNAGTTATCGCCAGCCTTCAAAAGCCCGAGAACGGCACCTTCGCTGGTGACCAGTGGGGCGAGACCGACACTCGATTTCTTTACGGTGCGTTCAATGCCCTCTCNCTGCTCGGTTTGATGCATCTGGTCGATGTCGACAAGGCCATAGAACATGTACAGTCTTGCGCAAACTTCGATGGAGGTTACGGAACAGGCCCAGGAGCAGAATCCCATTCCGGTCAAGTCTTCACATGCGTTGGAACGCTTGCCATCGCAAATCGTCTGGACCTTGTCGACATTGACAAGCTTGGCGGCTGGCTTAGTGAACGACAACTCCCTAATGGTGGCCTCAATGGCAGACCAGAGAAACTCGAAGATGTGTGCTACAGCTGGTGGGTCGTGAGTAGTCTGGCAATGATCGACAGGATTCACTGGATCGATCAAACCAAGCTCGCAGAATTTATTTTGAAATGCCAGGATCCGAACATGGGCGGCATCTCAGACAGAGCAGGCGATATGGTTGACGTGTTCCACACACATTTCGGTATTGCTGGGCTCAGTCTACTGCAATATCCAGGGCTGCAAGAGATTGACCCTATCTACTGTATGCCTAAAGACGTGACTGACCGTGTGCTCAACCGAGAAAGTAAGTAGCGTGTTCAAATTCAAACAATCGGCATCAGTAGCTTGTCACCCACCCACGTTGAAACCTTCGGAGCGGTATGCGGAACGGTACATTTTGAGGAGCCGTGAACAGTTGGTCAAGGCGTTGATCAACGGATCAGGGTCACTTGAAGCTAACGGAACGGTGGGTTAGCTAGGTATGTTAAGGTTAAAACAGACGTGTGTGCATCAAATGATACACTCCACGACTCGAGTGGTTGTTGAGGAGCTGAGCACACGATGTGGTGTGGACATTCTTGTCCTGCTAAGCGTGATCGAGAGAGAGAGAGAGAGAGATAGAGCAGATTCGATGCTGTCAAAAGTTCAGAAGCTTCCCCTCAACTACCTTAATCGGATAAACTCAAAATGCGTCGCAATTGCTTGCAAGTCACTTCGTCAAAACATCAACCAGATAAACAAAGAGAGCGCTTGTGAAGCAAAGATACGTCGAGCAATACTCGGTGTTGCCATGTATCACACCCGCCTGGGTGATAGACCAAAAGTGAGTGGTGCTTGGACCACTAATTAAACGCGTCTCTCCACAAGGAAGTCGCGCGCGCGTCACTCCGCCGGAAGCTTTGTCACTCCTTCCATTCCTTCGATCTTTCTGTACCACCTCGCGGTCGTTTCATCTTATCCTTCAACAAGCCCGCAGCCATGCGCATCACGGCTCGGGTCCTCAGGCCTCCCGCGGAGGATGTCAAGTTCTTTCTTTCAGTTGAGCCAGATGCCACCTTCTTGCGTGTCTGGACCCTCGTCCAGCAACGCTACAGAGAGAATTATAGCGCTGGCCGCAGGAAGTGAGTTGAGACAAGATGGCGCATCATCCAAACCAGCTAACACACCTCGGTNAGTGACACTTACTTCAAGAAATTACAGGACAGCAGCGGAGCCGATATTGATATGCGCGATAGCGTTGTCGACATCTTTGGAGAGATTCATGACCCCAATGAGCGTATTGTGCAGATTCGACAGTTACCTCTTGGTAGAGACGACACCGTACCCTTCGACTCACACCTTCATCCTCCGATCATACCTCCCACGCCTCAGCAACAAGAGGAAATCGACAGGCGGCGTACAGAGCTAGATCGCTACGGCGCTACGCTTGACAACCTCGATCCAGACCATCCAGTCGAATCTCACGAAAACGCGGGTGAGAAACGCATCGACCAAGATGGCTTCGCTATTCCAGCCAAGATCAACCGTCCTCGCGCCCATCTCCCACCATCTAGCAATCAGGATATCCCAAGTTCACAACTGCTTTCGCAAGACTCATATGAAGAACACCTAGTTCATTCTCCTGAACTCGGCTCACCACAGAAAGGTCCCGCAGCCATCCCACGTCCTGAAACCCCACCTGCAGCAGCCAACACAGCCACTCAGTATTCCACCCTCGATGCTGTGCCAAGTGCCCAGAAACCACCTGCAGCCTATGGATCAGGTATCAGATCTCCTTTGGACGCACACGCAAACAATGAAGCAACACTCGACTTGGCCGATCCCATCTCAGAGGACTCTCAACCACGCCTCAGCAGCTCCACAACTCGAACACCAGCCCGCTCAACCAACTCAAACAAGAGAAAAAGTTCGGATGGAAGCGAAATTCGGAAGAACAATTCACAGAATTTCTCAAGTCTATGGACAGAAGACGAGACAGACTTGTTGGTCGAGGGACTGGCCAAAGGACTTACTCCCGAAGAGATGAAGCAGAACTTTCTCCCAAACAGAAGTGTTGGTAGTATCAGGAAGAAAGCAGTTGCGTACACCAAGCTCAATCCCCTGGCTGTCAAACAACGACAAGCCAGTCTGGCCGTTTCCTGGACCGAGGATGACGATGCACACTTTGTCCGAGCCATACGTAACAACCAGACCTGGAAGACCCTCCACGACCATCGTTTCCGTCACCGATCTGACGATAGCGTCAAGGTCCACTTTGTTGCGGTTCGCAAGCGACTGCAAGAGGAAGACTCGGCGAAGTCTGCACGCGACCAATACCAAAAGCAGCTGAAAGATGGCAATCCCTCGACTGGCCCTAACGAGAAATTTACGCAAGAAGAAGATGACCTCCTTCTGGCTTGTCGTGTTGAGAATGTCGAGATGAAGCGTGTCGCCAAAGAACTCTTCCCTCTTCGGCCTGTGGATCAAGTTACCAACAGAGCTGGGAGCTTGTTTCATAGCGCAAAGAGAGAAGCGGCCAAAGCCAANCCCCTCAACACCGGGAGGTCTCCTTCTGTCGAATTCCTATTTGAGCATAACCCCGAAACTCGCGATAGAATCGAGTTGCAGCGTCAGAAAGCCAGGGAGTTCAAGAAGAAGTCGAGCAGCGCCAGAGAAAAAGAGTTTGAACAGAATTCACACCAGAAGTCCATGCTTACCAATGATAAGAACCGTGCAGAGGAACGAAGAGCACAGGAGGACCGACAGAAGAAAGTTCTTGAAGCTGCCGAGGACGCCAAAAAGCAAGACGAACGTGTCAAACGACGCCGCCTCAATGACGATATCAAGCGTACGAACGACTACATCCAGCAGGCCATTGCCTGGGAGAAGCAAGCAGAAATCGATAAAAAGGCTGGCCGTCCAATTCAGCCTCGTCCCGACCGTCCACTGGGTAGCAGCATTGGCACCGAGGTTTCCGCCACAACTCGAACCCCTGGTTCAGCCTCTGGCAAGAAGAAAATCTCTACTCAAAGCTCAGATTCGAGACCAAGCGCCACATCGCTGAGCGGTCAAGGATCGAAGAAACGCAGATCTTCAGACGTTGAGGTCCAGGTGGTTATCACTTCGTCCAAGAAACAAAAGACCACTGGAGTCTCAGATGCCACGCCTCAAGCCAAGTCGTCCGACGCAAAGGCGGCCAGTGCTTCCAAAGTTCCGCCAATCTCAACACCGAAACGAAGTGCTCCCGTAGTAGCAAGATCTGCTATGGCAAAACTCGGTCGCACTACTACGCAGCCTCAGAAGACTGGTTTTGATCTTAAATCTGCTTACGAGAGGCCCGTTGTTGCTTTCACCTCAATCTCTGCTACACAGCCTGTCAGACCAAGTGTATCAGCAAGACCTGCCAAGAACGATGCCGTTCGTAATGTGTCTTCGCCAGGCGTTCCCACAGCTAAGAGCTTGCGCCAATCGAAGTTACCTTTCCTGCGTAATGGTCAGCAGTTGCCAACAACTCCTGGAAGAAAGTCGACGCCTGATTCTGCCCGAAAGTCGTCAGCTGCTTCTGTCACTCCGCGTGTGTATGGCGCCATGGACGACAGCATATTTATCTCTTCTGATGAAGAATCGTCATATGATGACAAGGACATCACAGATGAAGAGCTCAACGCAGTGGCAGAGCGCTCCGAAGCCATGTACAGCAGTAGTCCTGTCAAAAGTCCACAGAGGAACGGTGTACACTCCAGCGTCCACCGCGAACATCAGAACCTTGTTTCTCCTGGCGCAAGCGCTGTGAGGAGTAGTCCACCTGTTGCTCCAATGCCGACACCCAAAGCTAAAGTTCTTTATGGAAGCGCGGCTCTCAAATCTGCCACTAAAGCAAGACCTTCTCTCTCACCGGCCATGCTTCCCGTTTCGATCTCTGAGATGACTAATCGCATAGAAAGGGAACCTCAGAAAACGTTCGTTGCACCTGCAGAACGTAGTGTCATAACCGCAACCCAAGAGGATGAACTGCCAGAATTCGAAATGAGCACGGCGGAGAATGTATTCAGCGACCATGGAGACAATGTTTCTATCATGGACGAGGATCAAATCGAGCACGCAACCAATTCCACACCGGTCTTCCCCAGCTCAAGCCCGCAAGCTGGAGCACAGGACGAAACCATCATTGAATCAGTAGGCCAGGACGCTGCCATCGATGAGTCTGCTGCTAACAGCGCCTTCGAACAACCTGCAATGGAAGCAAGCGAAGCCGTACTGAATCCAACATCAGGTGCAGAGAATGGTCGTAACAATATGGTCAACGGCAAGAAAGGAGATTCACACATACACTTGGAGTCGGATGTTGAGGAGATTGACTGTTACCGAAGCGATTCTAGAGAGGTTGAGTCAGAGGATTGGCCTAGTGAGAAATCCGACAGAGGAATGCCATTTCCGGATCGCTCTGTTGGAAACTTTGGCCCTCTCAAAGTATACAATAACAAACGCACTACAGCCCCGAGTGCTGCTGCTCAACCCGAGAGCCACCCCCAGCCGGCTACCGGAAAGTCTGCTACAACCTCGAAGGAAAAGAGCATAGGAGAACAAGCAATGGATGTCATCAACTCTCCAGCTGCGAAGGTAGTGCCTCCTGCCTCGACTGCAGAAGATAAGCACAACGTACCTTCAATGTCTCCTATGGCTCAACCCACCGAAGAGTCTCCAGACGTTGGTTCGAGTGGCAAAAAGGCACGTAGGNNGGGGCAAGGGCGCAATAAAGGAAGTCGTATTCTGGGTGATGCACATTTATTCAGGCCACCACCATCGACTGCACCACCTGACATTTTGAATGGCTCAGGCCTGAGGAAGCCATCAAAACGAACAGCAGAGAATGACCATGAGGCTGAAGCTCAACAGTCAAATGGCATTGGTGTCCCGAAAGACGCCCACAGTAAGGATAGACGTGCGAGCTCCCAGAGCGAAGCCCCTGGTAAACGTTCAAAGAAGCACTCCAAGGCAAAAAGACCATCTCTAGGATTTGATGAGTCTTTCAAGAACATGATAGAGAAGGGTCAAGCCTTAGGAGCACAATCTCAGGCCACACCTGGCTCCAAGGGAGGCAAAGGTAAACAGCCGGCAACGACCCAGCCTGTCAAGAAAACTACCCCAATCGCCAAACCCAACAGTGTGGGTACAAGTCAGCCGGCGAGCAATGCAAACGCAGGCCGAACAATCAACCCGCATGCATTCGACTGGGACAACGCGCAGGATTCAGCTGAGCTTATACGCCAGGCGGATCAGAGAATGCGTGATGCCGCAAACATGGCTCCGGAAGACTTTTGGCAGCCGTCAAACCTGGTTAACATGAACGAAGAACAAGTCTTGAGCCATATGATCGAACAAGGCGTCAAACGTTCCATGGAAAAACGCCAGTGGGAAGAGGAACACCCAATCGCAGCAGGTCGGGTGCTTGACGACTTTACCACTGGCGTGTCTGCAACACAACCAGTTCAGGAGTATGTGGCATCGCCTGTAATGAGTAACGCAATGCCGAGACCAGCAACGCAGCCTATCATGCAAGTCTCCAAGCATAACGTTGACGATGATTCTTCAACCAGCGAAGACAGTGATAGCGAGGACGAGGGGACCCGAGAACAGATTATGGAGAAGTATGCACTGCGCAACTTGAAAAAGCAGAGTCTCTCACTGCCTCACTGGAGATGAGCCTAGAGTATATGATCAAAGCAGTCGAGCACAATTCTGTAGCCTATGTATAATAATCGGAATGACAAGCATAATCAATCACGACTATTTGACACCAAAATTACCTATGGTATAGTAGGCAGAGCTGAACTGTCACTCTGACCGCATGCTTTTCGAGTGTGACAACTCACACGTCTTGAGCACAAATGACGAATGGTATTCGTGGACTCTTCGCAAGGTGTCAGAGCGGCAGGCGATGGTCAGCAGACTGCAAATCAGCTGTTGGCTTTCCTGCAGTACATACGCCTTATTCGCCGACAAGTTGCCTGTCCTCCCAGAACTTGTCAGCCTTGGGATCAGAAGACAAAACTAACACCAACAGGAACAGGAGCAACGATAAGGAGTAGGGATGCACGTTGGCATGTTTGAAGTTCCGATCCTATTTCCAAATACAGCTCCCGGGACCACCCCATACGTTGATCGATATCCGAGCCTCTGCCCTATGAATGCGACCGTAGCGAAGGTTCCGTTAGCTGCAGATGTTCCATGCACGACCCGATTTGGCAATGTAAGATTTTCGCGCGTATTTATCACCACACGATCTCTGCCCGCCCTGCTATTGAACTTTGTGGTAAGCGCTACGTGTCTCATTCGACATCATATATGAGAAGGGCAGAGATGTCATGCTTGAGTGTATGAGCACCTCAAGGTCCACGAAAAGACAAAAGGTCTTTTGCATCTCAAAGATCAACGCACCAATATCCTGATGGATCAGCGAGTGGGGGAGCCCGAACTTCCAAGAGTCTATTTTCGGAGACAACAGCCGGGAGATCGGCCTGGCCATTTTCTCAGCTTACTCTGCGTGTACTTCCAACACTCCATGTTTGTCCACTCTGCGGATTCGTCCAATGTCTGTCAACCTAGTTGGTACTTGATTGCTTCGGCTGCCGGGATGGTGCACTCTGTGGGAAGCTCGTCCATGTATTGGCGGCACAGCATTCCATATTCGCACCCGTCTCTTCCATTATCTTGCCGTATTCCCCAGTGTCACCTTGCTTCTCTGTCATGTCATATTTTTCCTCTTGCCCCGGTACATAACGCTGGAAGTCTCACAAGGGCCCTCAATTCGCGCTTGGGGCTCAATCTAGTAAACCCGATGTCAATCTGAATAAGCCTTCTAACTCATCAGATATCAACCTCCGTCAGCCTTGCCATGGAGTGTCAATTAAATCTCCGGACTTCTTGTCAGCTTGATAACGAGTGCAGAAGAAGTGTTTCAATCTTTTCTAGGCGGGGAACAGGCACTCCAGCACCTACAACATCATCCCTCCATGAAGCCATGGCGGACCTAAACCTTGGAACCAAGAAGACAATATCCCCAACAAGCCCAATGAAGACAGCATCACCAACCAGCCCGAAGAAGACTTCTTGGTTGAGCAAACTCAGGCACGCATCAAGGAACCAAGAGGGTACAGTCTTGCACGCAGTGCCACCTCGTGTGGCTGCGCGCCACATGTCGGCTCTGGACATTGCTATGGCTGTCTCACCGAATGAGGAAATCCTCCAAGCTATTGGAAAACAGAATTCGGTCAACACAGATTCTGCTGCTTCTCCATTCGACAACTGTATACTAGGGTCTGGCAGTCCATCGCAAGGAGCTTTTGATAGCAGAATTGGAGTCTGGCGTGATGGTGTCGCTTTATGGGACGTGGAGACGAGGACCAAGCAGAATTCAGAGACAATACTTCAGGTCCCGCTTACTAAGTCGTTGCCGACCAAGGCAGATAGAGCATCCCGACCTCGACTATCCGTAAGGATTCCAGGTAGTAAATTACGACAGATATTGGGAGAGGAAGCACCTGTACCACCTCAGCCATTCAAGCGTGCTCGAATCAGCCCTACCACGAACACTTCTCGAAGTTCATCGACATTGCAGACCACCAGCTTAGACCAAAGCTCCATCCACCCAGCTTTCCGTACGCCGAGTTCCGAGGTGGAAACTCAAAGAAGCGAGGTCAGATCTGTGTCAGGTCGCGAAAACAGTAGATCTTCAGTCTCGAGCAACACAGTTTTCCAAGATGACATATTCGACATCGTCTCCTGCTACAGCAGACACTCGTCGATGACAAGTGTGGAAGCAGAGTCGCCTAAGGGGGTTTTGCAGAGTTCACACTGGAACTACCTGGATGTGCCCAAGCGATCTGCAAGTGCCGCTTTCTCTATCACTGATCCTGTCAAGGCGGGTATCTTTGATGATGCAACAGCAGGTGGCAATGCCCCTTGTGCTACTTCTAGGTCCCAGTACCTCCAGGTTGCCATTCACCCGAGTCATCGTGCTCCGAGTCCTACTCTGAGCGAAGCTGTTTATGATCTGCAGAAGCAGCTGAGTACGATTACCGAAGGACTACCAGCAACACCGACAGACGATGCTGCTACTCGCAAGACACCCGACTACCATCCCGCCACCGAAAGCATTACTCGGGCTCCCACTCTGCCTAAGAAGTCTCGTAAACGCCAGTGGCTCCAGCCTGCTAAGCCAGCTCAGACCCAATCCATGCCTACAGAAACAGGCGCACCCGTACGTTGCCAGTCGGTACCACATCGGAAGCAACAAGGCTCTTGCGACACCAGCGACGATGTGCGCAGAGTCTCTAGCGTACGATACTCATTGGCTGATGTTGGGTCTATGTGGCTGTCTTGGAGTGCCTCATCCTCAAAATCATCTCCGGCTCTGGCGTTCGAACAAGAAGCTGTGTTCTCGAGAATTATGGCTCACGCGGCATCTTTCGAGGATCTGAAATCTTTATCAACAGTCAACAAATCCACAAGAAGATTCTTGGAGGACAACAAACTAAGACTATTCAAGTCAGTGCTCTTCAATGCGTCGCCACCAGCCTGGGAACTGAGGGAGCTCTCGCCCTTTCCCTTCGGTAATTTCATGCCGACAGACTTTCTTGAGAGTACGGAGATATCCCCTTCAGCCTACATGTCATGTATCGCTCATGATCGTGCGACTGTTCAAGAACTGAAGGCAGTCATTGCTTCAAGGTGTCAGTCATTTATTCGCCCTGAGACCATATCTAGTCTCATGACTGAAGGATCTTCAAGATTTGAAGACGCGATTTACCGTATATGGTCCTTCTGCAAGATGTTCGGCTGCGATAGGGGGCGGGAGAATGATCTCAAAGGCCAGACCGACTGGCTTAAGGGCGGTATACTGGCACACCAGAAAGGTTGTGCTGCCACTCTGACCTTCAGTCCGGAATTCGAGATTGACGGGATCTTGCTCAATGCTCCAGATCACTTCGCAGCTGGCAATGGTCATGGGTTATCTGCCGAACAGCTCTATGACATGTCAGAGATGTGGGAATGTCTTCACGCTATGCTGCAACCTTACGAAGAGGCGACAAGTAAAGCACAAAGCTGTGGCATTTTCCGTCATACAGGTGAAGATTTCACAGATCCAATTGTGCAAGGTCGTGTTATCGGGGAATGGATAGCTTACATCTTGTCTCTCGGGCCATCGGTCGTCCTAGAGCTCGCAAGATTCGACGACACGAGTGCCGGACTGGACTTTGCTCAGCTGAACGACTGGACTGACTGGACACCTCCGCAATCTGGTATGACTCGTCGACGATTCTTCCGAGAACCCGTTTCGCAGCTTTACGAAGAACAACTTCTTGCTTCTACGGCTGGTACGCAGATAAAGGATGTCAATAAGACGTTGCTTCGGAAGCGTCAAACAGCCGAGATGAATCTTGCTTACCGACAAATGTCTCTGAGCAACAGGAAAAGTGGAGGCCAACCATGTGCGTTGAGCCGCCACGACAGTGCACTCGCACCAGAAGTACACAAAAGACCTATCTCAAATAGATCTTCGACACCCACATCCCCCAGATCTCCTTCCTCGGATCTTGCAGATGGTCGCAGAGTGCAACCCGGGTCTTGGTCACCCAGGAGAGTGAGCCCAATCATTGAAGACAGAGTCGACACTTTCAACAGATTGAGCATGCTGAGCTTTGAGGGCTTAGCGGAGGACACAAGTGTACTGGCCATCAACAAGATTATGGATATCGGGTTTTCGAATGCACAAGCAAAGGAAGCACTACGGATCACGGATATGGGTAGTGGTTTGAGAGTGGATCGGGCTGTAGACTGGCTGTTGAGGCAAAATCGTTTCTAGTTATTTTCTTGTGACAGCAACTGCGAAAATAATCAAGCAGATGTTATCCTACCAAAACATATCACACGCTTCCGGTCTTTCTGTTGCGTGAAAATCCATTGCCAACTGTTTCGTCAAGCAGAAATGTAGGTAAGCGTGACAGGTTTACAGTTCTTGTCAACAGATGAAGCGAACCACAGACTACTATAGCCGTCTGCAGAGCAGATCTGAGCAACCTGGACCTTGTTGTTGGTGTCTGCAGTACATTGCAGCGAGCTACTCGCTGTCTGCTGGACGCAAGTAAGGTACTTGAGGTTGGACTGATCAACAGAATTGAAGTACAATTTCTGAGCGTTACTGCTGCTTGTCCAGAGACTAGCAGCGTAACCAATGCTTCCAGTTGCTTCGAGCAGGTAGCCGGTATTCTTGTCGAGCTGGAATTTGGTTGCCAAGGCGACAGAACTAACAAAGCTGGTATTGCCCATTTGACCGCTGCTAACGGCGATGTACTGACCAGTGCCGTTAGAGATGTAGAAAGGAGCAGTCAGGGTAGAGGAGGAGCTGGGGGAGGAAGTAGTGCTTGATGCAGGAAGCATGGTCGAAGTCGATGAGGCGGGCACAGTGACGGTCGTGAAGGTGCTGGATGCTGAGGTACTTGAAGCGGCAGTGCTTGACGAAGAAACGGATGGAACGCCGGCTAGCTGAGCTGCGTAGGTAGAGTTGACGTATCCATTCGAACCAGCAATCAGAACTTGAAATTCGTCGCGCCATTGGCCAAAGTTGTTGGCGTTGGCTGCAGTGACAGCACCTCCCCAGTAAACGCACTTTATATTGATTGTTGAATTGGGGTTGGCACAGTTGGGAGAGTCAGGATTGACACTAGGATCACGTTCGAAGTCTGATGTGGTTAGCCATACCGTCCATTCTATTCGAACTAGCGACTTACAGATGTTGACGCTATTGCATCCAGTGATTGCTGAACAATCACCAACGCAGGCGCTGACATCGTATGAGGACATGAGGGTGAATCCCATGTAGTTATCGGCGGAGTTGGAGGCAGTAAGGTTCTTGAAAGTCTCAGTAAAGCCAGGGGGAGCCTGGGCTTTAACAGATTGATCCATATAATAATGATCAGCTGCAAATGCGGCAGCAGTGTCAGGGTTAGAATTATAGCTAATTCCAGTGGGCTGCGGGATGCAAGTCGTCGAGTCACGCTTGATCAGACCGATGGAAGACGGGGTGGCAGAAAGGATTGCTGCGGAGGCATCGGCGGCAGAGTCAAAAACATCAGTGGCCATAGGGTCAGATACGGCAGTCGCAGTGGACGCCAGAGTGGTGGCTGTCAAGGGAGGACTTCCCTCTTTGGTCACATACACTACTGGGAGAGCGAAGACACTGGTGGGAATCGTGACAGAGATAGATTCCACGTCGATCGAAGTCGACTGTGCACACGCGAAGGCACCGAGCGCCGCGAGAGCAGGGATGACGTTGCGCATACCGAGCAATTTGATCGATGGTAAACGAGAGGTATGAGATGTAAGATGGAAGAAGATCTGTAGAATGAATGACTGGTCCTTGAAAGAGGGAGAATCTGTATGGCTCGTTGATCTGACTCTGGGTCATGTCACTTTTTATATCAACCATGTTAGAGTCTTCCGACCTGATCAAACTAAGACGAGCCGTGCCTCGAGAAGTCTCGATCTCTCAACATGCTTGTGTTCTACCTTTTCGGATAGTCTCCGTTCAGGATCATGGTCCATCCCGCGCGGTAGAGTCCGTTCAATCTGTAAGAATGCGGCTGTAGTGCTGAGAACAATGACGCGGAGATGCAGAAAGCCATGTGATCAAGGATAGATCTTGTCGATGTAAGCAGTGATCTTGGCACCGGGGCTCCCGACGGCGCAGAGTTGAACCATGATTTCTATGATCTGGGCCGTTGAAAGAGAATGAGCCCTATAGATGCAGTCCAGGCTAAATGGTGGGAGCGGTATAGGTGAATAAACCGAACAGTAATCTTGCGCTTTACGCAGCTGTATGAAATCAATTCTGAGAGGGTGTGAGCTTGAGTAGCGACATTAGAGAGTGACCGTAGAGATCTCTGCTTTCGAGGAGTGATACAAAGTGCCTCTGATACCATTTGCCGGATACTCACAAGACTGCCCGTTTCCAGAGCCGTGCTAATCCTTGCAAGCACGGCTCACAGATTTCAGCTCCACCCCTTCTGGTTTTTGTAATACGGATCTCGACGAGGATGTGCCGACTTTGCATACCGAGGAAGACGTCAGACTCATCTTGTGGCTCATTATGGACGAATGACTGGTTTGCTCCAGGAGCGAATGTTATATTCGCGTGGTATGAATCTCATCCCCGCAACATGACGATCGTCAGGTCCTCGATCAAGCCACGGAACGAGTTTTCAGATAATCGTCCATCAGGATGTTGCTGAGCGTGCAAAACCGGACGTCTTGGCGATGTTAGTTGCTGCAGGTGCGGCTCAAGAACCCAGTCTGGCGCTGCGTCTAGACTGTGGATGACATTCTCGCCTACTTCCGACATACTGAATCACAAAATAAGCTACCGAGATCGTTCTGCACTGCCAGAAGGGGCAGAGTAATCTGTCCTAACTAGTTTTGTATGCTGCAAAGACATCTCGGAGTGCTTCGATTGGAAGGGATATTCAGGAACCAAGGGCTGAAGAACGACAGCGAGCAACTTGTGGCGGGAAACTGGGGTCGATCACGTTCATCCCGGAGTTTACCCGTGGCTCTGTCTAATCACATTGACTGCATACAGGTCGAGTTTCGACCTATATCGAATTGCATCTCAACATCATCTGGCAAATCATAAGGAACGATCTGTGCTACTGGTGGAATCAACCTGTTGGATGGCTTCACCACGATGATGAAAGCAGTGGACTCTGGATACCAGATGAAATCAGTTGGCAAGAGATTCATCACTGGTGCCATAGCACCTTAGCAGTTAATATCATTCCCACTGCATATCTTTGAAAGTAGATAGAGCTGCCAGAGTTCTTGGAATTCAAAGCCCTTGTTTCCAATTGATCGCGCGAGAGAAGTGGCCGGTGACCATGTCGCCTGGTGGATATGAGTAGCGGCTTGATGGTAATTGTGAACCAAGTCGAGATCGGCTTTGAGGTAGTATTTGTTCAGAGACTTCCGCAGTATTGTTAACACAAACAACTAGAAACAATATTGCCTTGAGAGCCAGTCTACGGCCTGATCCACCATCACCTCCCGAGGGCACCCTAGTCTCAGATATAGTGCCAAGACAAACCAACCGAGTCCAAACAAACACACTTTTATACAGGGTCCTTCGAACTTACCACCGCAACCCATGCGTAAAGTCGCATAGAGCTCATCAATCAAGCAATGGCGGACTCTTCTGGCTCTGGCTCTGACTCCGACTCCGATTGGGAGACTGATGATTCTGAACCTCGTGCTACTGCGACCCGCGATTCAAATCAACGCAGCAACACCTCTGCTCGAAATCGACAACAAGCCAGAAGAATGATGCCGCCCTCCTTCGATATGTCTTCCTTTGACGACAGCCTCTTTGGCGACAGCGCTTTAGGTGACTTCATGTATGGTCTGGAAGCAAACGGGTTTGGTTCCATGCTCAGCGACGCTGGAATTCCGCCAATGGGATTCAATCCTCTTGACTTTTTTTGACGAAGGGGATTTCGACGATGAGGATGAGAATTACGAAGACTCTTCTAGCGATTCCTCCTCCTCCTCTGATGATCCCTCTGACGATAGTGAATCTTCCGATGATGAAGACTCTGAAGAGGAAGAATATCGCATTCGGGGACAACAATCCAACTTGAGCGAGCAAGCCCAGGATGAAAGCGAGAAACAATCATCCGGTAGCCCTACAAAGAACTCAACAGCAACGCAAACCTCAAAAGACATACAGAAAACTGGAGATGTGTCGCTCTCTGCCGCATCAACTGCTGAAGAGAAATCGGCGCAAGCCCGCAACCACGGAAACGATTTGTACCGTAAAGGTTTATTCGGTAAGGCGACAAAGGCCTACTTCGAGGCTCTGTCCTTGACTCCGAATGACTCTGCGCCGCTTTCGAATCTCTCTGCCGTACAATTCGAACTGGGCAACTATCCTGAATCGATCTCATACGCCGAAGAGGCGCTCAAGCTGCTCCAAAGCGAAGCAAACTCCAGTNNCCCAAAAAAGCAGAAGTTGTTCTCGAGATTGGCCAGAGCACAGGTCCTTCAACTGCAAGATGCAACGCCATTGGTAACCCAACTCGCTTCCTTGGATTCGGTACACGACAGTGCTGCNTTGATTCACAGCAACCGACGTCAGTCTGTATCGTGGAGTTCAGTTCTTGACGAGATACCTCGTTACAGGCCATCGCTGNNTGAGTCGCCCAAATCCTTATATATGATGATCATTGCTGACCCCCAAAGTGAGACTGAACCAGAATACTACCCTGTAGGACATGATTCTGCCGAGCCAGACGCAGACAAGCGCATGCTGGCTCTCAAGCAGAGTCTTTCTTGGTTGTTTGCAGGAATTGGCGACGCCCGCAACTTCTTCTCAACACTCATCTTCCTCGAGGGTGAGTTAGTGCACCATGGTACTCATGAATCGAATCGGTTCCATTTCACTCTGATCGATTTGAAGCCAGCTGCTATTGCCAAGATTCTCATCATGCTCCATCTGCTCGAGCAGAGTGAAGATATGGAAGCCGTAGCATGTGCCGTCTATGTATATGGCTCTCTTATCATGCCGCCCTTTGCTTATACAAGACTGCAGCAGACCATTGCCGATTTGATCGACAAGTGCAAGAACGGGGCATCGTTTACCGAGTGGCTTTACGTTGCGGAAGCACATCGCCAAAGCATCCTTCGTCACCTTCTAGCATGGAAGGAACACCTCTACGGAAAGTACGAGACTCGAAACTTTCGAGAGGATGGTTTGCGACACGCTCGTGCGAACAGAGAACAGCGTATCTCTGCACATGATGGAGCAGATGTGGCAATCTTGCCNTTTTGCGAGCATGACCATAAACTGTTCTGGACCTATGGTATCCTCATGCCAGACGTAGAAGAATTGGAGCATGAAAAGGAGCTCGCTCAGTTGCTTAAACGCACGAAGCTGCGACCACGTGAAAGATCGATTCCCAACCAGGATGTGTTGGACGTTATCGACAACACATGGGAGCCGAACGTCACGCTCGTAGACATTGACTGGGACCTGGTACGAGATGGTGGCCGCTCAAAGGGCGTCCCGGACTTCAACTTCGACATACCTGTTGTTGCTTACAATCTTTTCAGCCCAGATGAAGGCCATGCAAGAAACATTGGATACAGAAGTTTCTGGGACTGGTTCATGTTCTTCTTCGAGACGACTTCCATGGCCATTCGAGACCTTCACTCACGAATATGTGTCGAGCTTGTTATCGGTGAGATGAACGACTGTCTAGAACGACTACAACACAACGCTTGGAGTACAAGAGGCGATGAGCAAGGCAAGCATGATCCGGAACTTTTCCCAAAGATCTATAACCGCATTCACATGAGCAATGTTCCGTAGGTAAATCTGCGATAACGGATTCTCGTTTAGTAGCTGCGAGCTGTCGTGCTGACATTGTACAGTGATTATGTTGGAGGTGCTTTGAGCACTTTCCTCTATGGAGCTCCACTTCTGCATCCACACCGGAGCTCTGCCATCAAGTCTCGGGTCTTACTCAACAATCCTACATTCGACACCCACGGACAGTTCTTGACCGAATACACTTTGCTCACCGACGTGAAAAGCGTGGAACAGTGCTTTAACGTGAAACTGAGACGGGATTCTTCTTCGCTCACTGGTTGGGGTCTTCCCACAGTGCAGCTACATGACTACACTATGTGGACTGTCGGGTCATCGAAGCCATTACCTAGTGGTAAACGAATGGCCCGCCCTGTGAGCGAGAAATTTTTCCAAGCACATCTGCTAAAGACATGCCTGCCGTACCGTCGCAACACCAAGTACATTACCAGTTTCGATGTGCGAACGCCACTCAACCTGACAATCCTCTTCAGACTACTCATCCACTTCCATAAGATGGGATGTCCTGCGCACTGGCTTTCCGGAATATTGGGCAATATGCTCGAAGGTGTCATCACAACGTCCGCCAGGGCACCGAGACGCTACGCTGTGAAGATTCAAGAAGTCCGAGAAACTCATCCTAGCATTTCCACGTCTATTAGACCGTGGATTGCAGAGTTGAGCACCCTTACAAGCATTTGGCAGCATCTGCTTCCTTTCGGCCTGCTTTTCAGCAGCAACCTGGTTCCGGCTCTCGATATCGTCAGGCACTACAACCTCAAGTTTCCGGCACCCGAAGACGATTGCCTTAACAGAGCAGTATTCGCACTAGTATTCTGGGACACTGGTAGAGGATCGCCACCAACCAATCTGAGAAGCACTCTGCTGGATGACGAGCACGGCGATCGCAGCAAGGCAGCCAAAAGCATGCGGGAGTCTGGAGTTCACGTGCTTACAACGTTCAAATGGCTGCAGAAGACCAACACTGCTACATTCTGGCTTCGAAGCGACGTGGTTGAGGCAATGCAAAAAGAGGGGTGGAAGGCGTACATCTGGCGACTTGATACCTGGGAACGTGTCACTGCTGGTGTTTCGATCCGCGATGACCTTCAGGTAGGGGCCACTTGGACAGACATTGCGACTGAGGACCCTATCAAACCTCCCCCCAAGGATGACATCTCTACCAAGACTGCAAATTCGAAAGCCTCCGCTCCCAAGGCCACAACTACTCCGAAAGAGCCCGAGCCACAGACGCATGCGTCGATAGCATCGTCTATGCCAGCTCGCATCTCCAACGACGTCGATCGCAAGTTGGTCAAAGAGTACCAAATCACCCTCTCCCGTCTTGCAGACGCAGCCGCCGAGGACGCCAGAGAACCAGGCCTACCCAAACAAATCAAGAAAACCCGTCAAGCCTACATCCGCGCCATCGACGAACTGCGCCGCCGTGTAGACCCCAGCTTCACCCCTACTAAAGCCACGAAGTTCGAGGATTGGCCCTACATCGATCTCATCCATGAAGTCCGAGAGGTAGAAATGATGGTCATTATGGCACCGCTGCTGCCCAACGATCTGCAGTGCCAGTTGCATATTGCTAAGCTTGTTGCTGGCAAGGTGCCTTCGTTGGCGATACCGAGCAAGGAGTCTCTGAAGTTTGTTGAGAAGTTTGATGAGCATATTGAGAGGAGGAAGCGCTATGATGCTTTCAAGGAGAAGCAGAGTAAAGAGCCCAAGCGAGAAAGACAGATAAATCCGGATTGTGCTCCTCAGTAGGCATAGGTTCAGAAGACATGCAATGGGCCCCATGGTGCAAGCACCTCTAGACGGTGGCAGGCTTTTGGTTATTTCGAGCACGCGAAAATTACATAGACAGAAGTTCAGACCCGAATGCAGAGAGAAACATGATGCAAAAAACTCATTGTATTGACCGACCACTATTACACCTTCTATGAAACGAAACTTTGGCCTTGGTAAACATTCTTGTGCATTGGTATGATTGATCTCAGCAAAACCTTGCCAGCCAAAGTGATTGTGTATCGGCTGGGAGCACGCGACCGCATTCCGTCTTGGATCCTAAGCGTTGTACAAAGGAAATGTTTCTTTGATGTGTTGCATGGACAATCTCGATCATGAAATGTATGCATGCTGTTGAAGGGCGTTGAAAGCACACAGAGACTCTTTGTCGTTGTCTCAGACCTCTCCGATTGGACTCCCGTAACGTGGATCTCGTCCATGGCTACTGTGTCTTTCAAGCAGGTCCGAAGATCTTGTTGAACTTGGGCACCCACTTCTTGCCCAACTGTGTCCTAGCCCATGCGCGGAAGCGCTTCTGAGTCTCGTGGTCCTCGTGAGCCTTCTCTCTGCCCAGCTTGACCATCTCCTGGAACTTCTCTTTTCTGGCCCATGAGGCCCTGAGTTGAGCAGTCGGAGCTTCCTTACGTGACGGGCGAGCCTGTGCTGCAAACTTCTCACGTTTTGTGGCAGCCTTTTCTGCTCTTTGCTCTTTGTGTCTTAGGTTACTTTCCTTCTTGATCTTCTTGATGTCACTGCGTCTGACTCTTGCCGTGGGGAGGTGAGGTTCTTGGTTGGTTCTTGCTCGATCGACTCTTCTTCGACATTGTCCGCAAAGTCTGACGGGCGCGCCGAGTCAGGAGGGTTTGTGGCTCTCCATTCGTCGTAGACATCAATCATGTGAAGATTGTCGTTGAACTCTTCCAGAAGTTCAGCCGGCATGGTGCAATGGGTGTCATTTGAAGAGCGGCTTTTCATGAGATGTGTTTGGTCGACAATGTTGATGATGTTTTGAATGCAGTCAGTTGATGGAAGCAAGGGAATGCCCATGACCTNTTCGTCGATGAATCGGACGTNGTTGATCAGTTTTGCGAGGGAAAGACGATCGACTCCACCCTTGAAGTCGTGTGGCCAACTCTTCTCGATACGCTTGCGAAGTCCGTCCAGAAGATTCTCTTCCTGCTTCATCTCCTTCCAGCTTCTCTGAAAGGTTTGTACTGCAAGTTCGTCCTCGGGAGTGAGTGCTTGTTTCCATGACATCTTCCGCTGGGGCCAGGGTCGACGTGCAACGGACTCCGAAACCCGCATCAAGAGGGCCAGAAGTCCTTCCACAAGCCTACGCTCAGTTGGGTTGAAAGGTACCTCAGAGATTGGTCTGCTCAGCAGTTCCCGCAGCTTCTTTTTCTGGTCCCTCTCTGGCTGATTCAGGATCACCTTCCAGAGTCTTTTGCTCCACATCTCATCTAGCTGGGCAAGAGACCACTTGTTGAAGGCCTCTCGCGCTTCCCTTGTCCTCGTGCTTCTTTTCGTNNCCACCAGTTTGATCAGTACCAAGAACCTGTCGCGCTGAGACAATGATTCGATTGATTCAATCCTAGCGGCCTCGCTGAGCTCTTCCTTGACTGGCTCTTCCTCGGGTTCTGGTTGCTCCAGTTGTTTAAGCATTGGCTTGTCAATGAAGACGTTGACGTAGTAAGACAAAGCAGGAGAGCTGAAGGTCGAGGCTGCCCATTTGAGATGCTTGAGCTTTTCCACGGTAGAGTCGCGCAATTCAGTGTGCGCTTCTTTGGAAATGCGCGAGAGATTCTGTTTCGACTCTGTTGAGAGCTTGCTGTAGTCATTGCCAACTTGCTTGCCCAGATAGCCCGAGATTAGCTTGTTCTTGAATTTTTCGGCTTTTGTCATGCTTTCTTTTGATTTGGACATCCTTTCAGCACGTCGTTCGGCCTTTTCCTTCTCTCTGAGGGCAGCCTTAGCCTCTCTGCGGGCGGCCTTAGCCTTTTCCGAGTTTGCGTTTGCGATGGGTCTTCAAGGTTGGGGCATCATTGTTGGAGTGGCCTTGACCGCTGGATGGGTTGAGGTCGTCAGACATGTCGTGATCGAAAATGTCGTAGGCTCCGCTGGGAGGAGATGGGTCTGGGTAAGGGCCGTCGAAGGTGCCAAAGTCGCCGTGAATGCCAAAGGGAGAACCGCAACCACTGGCGGCGATGCCAGCGAGGAAGTCAGCTCTGTCAGACATGCCTGAGGATGATGGCAGAAAAGATATGATGGAGTGGGAGAGTGATGAGGGTTGTGGAAGGAAGACGGAAATCCAAAGTGAGAAGAACTGGCGCGTTCGTTCTGGCGACTTGTTTGTGCGCTGGGAAGTGCGTTGTTGTGACGATGCAGTGAAGTGCGGCTCTTTCATGTGACGGAGATTTTCAGATAGCCATGATAGTGCACCAAGTCTTCCAGGCCGGAGATCGTGGATTGAGAGAAGCTCGAAATTGGAAAGAGAAGACCACCTACTTGGAATAATTTCAAAATGTGTAGGAAGTCGAGTCGGATGACATGTCACTCTTTGGCACTCTCGCACCTGCCTATTGTGTTTTCTATTGATATTTTTCCTTCATCGCTTTAACTAGCTTGTTTCTGCTCTCATCACACATCACATGAGAGAGATTTGAGCCTAGAAAGCGGTCGAGGCTTGATGTGAGGATGTTATGCAGTGAGAAGAGCCTGCTCGACGAGGATCCGGGTAGAACTGGAAATGTCCCTAGGTTGAACCTGGATTGCATGCACGAGATCCTATTAACAAGTGTCCTTCCATGCGACATTTGTGATTTGGACGCGTATGCGTGAGTCACTTGGGAGAAGCTGAAACGTGAAGAGAACAGGTGGTTGATGTCTACTGGCCGTTGTTAAAAGCAGAATGCTTGCCGTGCGATGGAGGCTGAGTCGCCAAGGTCGGATGACGCGCACGATACAGGACACGTCAAGAAAGAAGGACTTCAACCACCTGTTCTTAGTGGTATAGCAGTGTATAAGAGAAGAGAAGAGGTCGCATTGACTTTGAGCTGTCAGTGCGCGACGGCCCTCTCCACACCCCGCAACGTGTTCAAGCAGACCCTTTGTGAATCTTGATCGAGACTCGACAGGTTCAAGGAGCTTTACCCCTGAATCGCAATCAAAAAGCACTTCTCCCATCGCTTGCTGCTCTTTCGACATCCCTCGCAACAACTTCAGACACAATGGCAGCCGTAGCAGCATCCGTCATCCCGGCGCTTGACCAGCGTCCGGTCAAGAACACCATCTGCCTCTTCGATGTCGATGGCACCCTTACCCCTGCCCGTAGAGTGTGTCTTTGTCTTCGCGAACATATGAGAAGGAAGGAGACTGACAGATATACANNGACGGTCTCTCCCGAGATGCTCGCTCTCCTGTCGCAGCTCCGTCACAAGGTCGCCATTGGCTTCGTCGGTGGCAGCGATCTCGTCAAGCAACAAGAACAGCTCGGCACTGCTTCCGTCCCTGTCACCAGCCTCTTCGACTTCTGTTTCGCCGAGAACGGTCTGACCGCATACCGCATGGGCGTCCCGCTCGCATCGTCATCCTTCATCAAGTGGATCGGCGAGGAGCCTTACCAGAAGCTCGTCAAGTTCATCCTCCACTACATCGCCGACCTCGAGATCCCCAAGAAGCGTGGTACCTTCATCGAGTTCCGCAACGGCATGATCAACGTCAGCCCCATCGGTCGTAACGCCAGCATCGAGGAGCGCAACGAGTACGAGAAGTACGATCTCGAGCACGGCATTCGCAAGAAGTTCGTCGAGGACATCAAGGCCGCTTTCCCCGACCTTGGCTTGACGTGAGTTGATCGTGGTATATTGTGAGAATGACACATGAAGCTAATACGACTCGCAGCNTACTCGATCGGAGGACAAATCTCATTCGACGTTTTCCCCAGAGGCTGGGACAAGACATACTGCTTGCAGCACGTTGAGGCCGAGAAGCAGTATGGCAACGAGTACACCACCATCCACTTCTTCGGTGACAAGACATACAAGGGCGGTAACGACTACGAGATCTACGAGGACCCTCGCACCATCGGCCACAGCGTCAAGACGCCCGAAGACACTGCTGCCGAGCTCAAGAAGCTGTTTGACCTTTGAACAACACCACATATAATTCGAAGAGCTCGATTGTGAAGGTTGGCGAAAAGGCGGATAGATGGCTATAGTGGGAAAAGGGTATACCACAAAAAATACAGGGAGCATGGAGTCTTTCGGATAATAGGAGAGAGGTGTTGAGGCCATAAAGATACCTATGCAGAGTTTTTCATGAATCACCAAGTCGGATTTTTGCTTCACTTCATACTCTTCCATTGTGGTTTCGTTCATATTTCAATGATGATTAGAAGAAGATGCGGCGATGCTCATGAGGCTTTCGGGGGTGAAGATGTCCCCGCATGTGACGCGCCAAGGCCGAGCGCGATGGATGGTTTGGCGGCTTCTGGAATTTGCGGCGACAAAATATTCTAAGATCGTCCTTTCTCTTCACGCCATTCATCACACACAACAGCAAAAATGCCTTCAACACATAACGTAGACAAGCCGTGGGACACGGACGACATTGACAAGTGGAAGGTATGCTATGCGCCCTGCAGTATCTTCCGCTCATCAAAGCTGACTTTCTCTTCTCCGCGCAGNATCGACGAGTTCAAGCCCGAAGACAACCTGGGCGGCACCTTCAGCGAGGAATCCTCCTTCTCCGTCCTCTTNCCCAAATACCGCGAAACATACCTCAAGGCATCATGGCCGCTGATCACCCGCTCGCTGGAAAAGATTGGCATTGCCTGTACTCTGGATTTGGTCGAGGGTAGCATGACCGTCAAGACGACACGAAAGACATACGATCCCGCTGCTGTGCTCAAAGCCCGCGATCTGATCAAGCTACTGTCACGTAGTGTGCCCGCACCCCAAGCCGTCAAGATCCTTCAGGACGACATGGCTTGCGACGTCATCAAGATCAGAGGCCTGGTGCGCAACAAAGAGCGCTTCGTCAAGCGCAGACAACGCATCCTCGGTCCCAACGGCAGCACCCTCAAAGCCCTGGAGCTACTCACATCCTGCTACATCCTGGTCCAAGGTAACACCGTCTCGGCGATGGGCAACTACAAAGGCCTCAAGGAAGTGCGCCGCGTAATCATGGACTGCATGAACAACATCCACCCCATCTACCACATCAAAGAACTCATGATCAAGCGCGAACTCGCAAAAGACCCCGAACTGGCAAACGAAAACTGGGATCGCTTCTTGCCTCACTTCAAGAAGCGCAACTTGAGCAAGAGACGCGTCCCCCACATCGTCACCGACAAGACGAANAAGACATACACACCTTTCCCTCCCGCCCAGGANAAGAGCAAGGTCGATTTGCAAATCGAGTCTGGAGAGTACTTNTTGTCCAAGCAAGCAAAGGAGAGACAGGAAAAGCAAAGGAGGGAAGACGCCATGCGCGAAAAGATGGAGGAAAAGAGATTGGCCAGACAACAAGACTACATTGCTCCCGACGAGCCCGGCGAGGAAAAGGAGAAGAAAGAGAAAAAGGAAAAGAAGAAGAGAAAGCACAAGGACGAGGATGGAGACGACCAAGTCTCGGAAAAGAAGAAGAAAAAGTCAAAGAAGCACAAGGAGGAGGTTGCCGAGGAGAGCGAGTGATCTATTCGTTGCTTCTTCGAAGTTGCTTCTGTTCTTTTGTTCATCTTTACAATATCCACTTCTGGCATAGTTTTGGGGGTTTACTGCTGCGTTCAGCGTTAGGGGCTTTTGTGTCTTCAGAAATCGTATCCGTGTTTCTTTTGAGATGCTACAGACTCGATCTGTACGTGTGAGCCACCAACAGTCTTCCGTTCCAATCTACCACATTGAAGTCCGACAAGTCAATCGATGTCATGTTCGTGAACTGATTCCATTGGAGTGCCACCAGTGCCTTATCCTGTGCACCATGTATATATATTTCTGCGTGACTTTTGACTAGAGGTTTACCCATTCCTAATCTTGCATCTATACCCAACAATCTATAATCGGTCTAGATGGTTCTCGAGTTCTCAATCTTGGTGACGAGAATGTCGGTGGCACCGATGGCAGTCAACTCGTCCATGGCGTTGGAAACGTTCTTGCGCTCAACCATGGCCGAAACAGCGACCCAGCCGCTCTCTTCCAGGCTGTTGACAGTAGGTGCTCGCTTGCCAGGAGTAATCTTGGCGGCCTTGTCGAGTTTGCTGCGCTCGACGTTGTATGTGCAGAGGACGTATTTTTGGGCNNGGCTGTCGAACAATGTTAGCATCTCTAGGTGCCATCAGGTCAAGAGTTGGGAAAGCGTACTGATGACACCACGAATTCTGGTTGCGATCAGGTTGACCAGATCGGGGTTGGTTGGGCTCTTGGAGCGGATCAAGATGGCGGTGGTCTCGAGAACGGTCGAGATGGCCTTGAGGCCTGCTGCGCGCATGGTCTCACCAGATTCTACATCATGTCAGCACAAACTCGTCGCAAACCTGAACAGCAAACTCACCAACAANNGATCGACAATGCCGTCTGCAACGCCCAGCGCGCAAGCGGCCTCTACACTGCCACCAACGTACTTGATGTGGGTGTCGAGCTTCTCTCCTGCCTTCTTGCCCTCGAGCTCTCTGAAGTAGACCTCGGCAAGGTTGGTGAAACTGGTGCAAATGCTCTTTCCGACCAATGACTTTGCATCCTCAAATTGACCCTTCTCAGGGACCTGGATCTGAAGCTTGCAGCGGCCAAAGTCAAGGTCAAGGACCTCTTCGACACCAGTAGATTCGGTTGGGGGCTCGGTGACCTCGTACTCTGCGACCTGGTCGCGGCCAGTGATACCAAGATCACAGCGGCCCTCAGAGACGAAGGTAGGGATATCAGAAGCGGGCAGGAAGACGAGAGCGATGGGGAAGTTCTTGACGAGGGCGATATCGAGACGAGAGTGTCTGTGGAACTGAATGTCGGAGCCGTGGAGAAGCTCGATACATGCTTGGTGAAGACGTCNCCTCTGCGACGACGTGTTAGATTGGCGTACGAAGATACAAGGAGGAGCAGTGAGGGGTCAATTACTCTTGGGAACGGCGAACAAGAGACGGTCGGTGAGGCTGAGAGAAAGTCGCGTCAGGACGGAGATGAGAGAGATGGCAGAGTCGCATTGACATACTGGTTGACGAGATCCATGGCGAACGAGAGACTTGGGTGATGAGACAGAGGTTACAAAAGGATTGGGTGTTATGAAGGAAAGCGCGATTGAGGACTCTCGGTATTATGACTGATGAGAATCGGATCGCATTTACGTGGGGCAGTCGATGCTTGACTCTCCATCTCTTGTTTCCAGTCGCGCTACCACGTGGTTGATCTAATTCATGTTGAGGTTGGATATTCACATCTACTACTACGTTACGTAGGTCTACGATAGTGTAACAAGCATGATTGAGTTAAGAATGGCATGCTATTCAGCAGTGATTGCAGATGGTCAACCAAATTTTAGCCATGTTTTACGGCAGCGATGACGGATGGCGGGAAGCGGCTCTTCGGGAGTCTTGGCGAAGCCCATGGGCCAGCGCGACTGCATCGTCACTCCAAGCTCCGGCGCTGAAGGCAGCATACAGCTACTCTACAGCTACCACCACTAGAGTTTGACATCCACCACCCATTCACTCCATCACATCAACAACCATGGCATCCTCAGTGACAGTCGCCATTCCCAACGGCCAACCTGGCTACTCCTTCTCCCAAGCCCCTCAAGTCACCGTCAACTCAGCGCCTCGCCAACATGCTGGTTTCTANCCCGTATGCATACCATTCATTTGCGCCATCGAGCCGTTTTCTAACATCCATCCCAGATACACCGACAATGGTGGTAGCACTCTCGGTATTTCAGGTGCCGACTTTACCATCATGGCAGGCGACACCCGCCACACCTCCGGCTACAACATCAACACCCGCTACGCCCCCAAGCTCTTCCGCATCGGCGGCGAGGGTCCTGAGAAGGACAGTGCCCGTATCGTCCTGTCCGTCGTCGGTTTCGCCGCCGACGGCAACGCCCTAGCCGAGCAACTCGACACCATCGTCAAAATGTACCGCTACCGCCACAACAAGCCCATGACCGTCTCCGCCTGCGCCCAGCGTCTTTCCCACATCCTCTACAACAAGCGTTTCTTCCCTTACTACGTCCATGCCATTCTCGGTGGAATCGATGAGGACGGCAAGGGTGCTCTGTACTCGTACGACCCTGTAGGCAGCTACGAAAGAGAGCAGTGCCGTGCTGCTGGTGCCGCCTCGAGCTTGATCATGCCCTTCCTCGATAACCAGGTCAACTTCAAGAACCAGTACATCCCAGGCTCAGGAGAGGGTCACGCCCTGCAAGCTCGTGTCCCCGAGCCTTTGCCTCAAAAGGACGTCGAAGAGGTGGTCATGGATGCCTTCACCAGTGCTGTTGAGAGACATATCGAGGTCGGTGATGGTCTGCAAATGATGATCATTACAAAGAACGGCATCGAAGAGAGATACATTCCCCTCAAGAAGGATTAGAGCGTTTCTTTATCGATCTTGCGTTTTTACATGTGTTCACGACGAAGGAGAATCTTTCCTTCCCTTCACTGGAGATGGAATGAGACGGATGTATTTTAATCATATCAGGCACGGCTTTTGATGCATGGCGCGCGGCGTTGGCTTACAAGATGGAAGGGAACCGTGGAGAATCAAAGACCATTCCACCACTCCAGGGACATCTCATTAACTTCTGTTGACTTAAAGCAGTGTGGAGTGTTCATGATTTCGTGATCTTCTATTCCCTTGACCAAGATCTGTACAATTCATCAATCTCGCCCTCGAACGCTGACAATGTCGCTTTGCGGTCTACAGTCCCCTTCGGCGTACGCGCCATCTTCTTCCCCGACCCTACGATTATCACCAACTCTCTCGCCAACCTCGCAGAGTCATGGTGCTTCTCATTCTCGGCTTCCACTGCTGGCCAGATCTCGTCCACAAACTCTGCTTTCTGGTCGTCCGTAGTGATTGGCAAAGCAGATTCGACCAGCAAGAAAGGTCTACTGCGATACTGGCCACCTACTACAACAGCTCCGATCGCCGGATGTGCAGAAATGGCCTCCTCGATAGCACCAGCATACATTTTGACCTCTCCACTCAGGAGCACAAGGTCGTCCTTCCGACACCTGTACTTCCAAAGCCCTGGCTTGGTAGGATGCGGCGAGAAAAGATCTTTCGTTCTGAATTCGTTGATTCGTTCTTTGGTGTCAAAGCCAAAGTGTGTTGCTAGATGTGATGGCGTGCTATCGATACAGCGGAAGAAGTTTGTGTATGTTTCTGATTGTGGTGTGCGTTTTATAACGAGTTCGTAGAGATCTGCATCTGTGTGTTGGAAATCGGGGGCCATGAATGGGTGCATGAGGAAGTAGCCTTGGTCTGCTGGGTCGGGTGAAGAACCTGTGAGCCAGAGTCCTCCTTCTGTGCTACCCAGTGCTGATGAAACTGTGCCGTTGAACTCGGTGGCTATGGTGCGGGTTGCCCATGCAGCTAAGGGTGCTCCGCCGTACACGATCTTTGCGAGCTGTTTGAGTGCTTTTCGACATGCAGGGTCTGCAATTAGTTCTTCCAATAGGCTTGGAGGGAAAGAAGCTGCGCTGACGGGTGCATTTCGTAACACTTCGAGGACAGTCTTCTTGTCGGGCCTAACCCCAGCAGGTCCAAGAATGATTATCGTGCTGAGGTAGACTGGTGTGAGGAGACTAGCCGTAATGCCAGAAGTATGGAAAGTGGGTAATGCACAGTATATGCTTTGTCCTGCCATTTGCGTTGCTGCACTTCCTGGTAGAGTATGTAATCTGTCGACCGAACATAGCATATCGTTGGTCCAGATCACGGGCTTGGGCAGTCCTGTTGTGCCGGAGGTATGCACTACCATCACAGGATCTGAATGTGCTTTGGAGTAAGGCTTCGAATATGCATAGCGCTCAAGATTTGCTGATGTGTTTGACTGGACCAAGAATGCACCAAAAGATGTGGTGCTAATGTACTTGGCACTTGGAAACCTTTCCTGCAAAGACTCTGCCAACACAGCCATCTCGGAAGCATATATCACAGCAGTGCATGACAGCGAGTCCAGAAGGGGAAATGNGTGAGCATCTGGCGATGCGAGATGAGAAGCCAACAAGACCTTCCTGCCTGTTTTAGCTGCTGCCACCACTACAACAGCGTATCCGAGATCCCGGGGTCCAAAGTATGCGAACGTTGGGAATGTGCCGTCGGCTTTCCCGAGAGTCTCGTCCAGCCACCAGGATAGGGCATCTATTGCTCGTGCAAACTCGGTGTAGGTGACATCCCTGAATCCTTTGGACATGTCTGCATCATATGTGGGAACAGATGCATAGATACGGTTCGGCGTAGTCGTAGCGATATCGTCAACGAGGGTGGGAAGCAATCTTGTGCCATATTCAGGACTTTCTCTCGTCATGTCGGCCGTGATGTTGACCTCAGTCGAGGAAGAAGGCGGGGCGTGAGGAAGAGGTACAGCTCCTGGGAGTTGAGACAAGGTACTCATGTAGGCGGCGTGAGACGCTTCCGAACTCGAGGAAGGAGACACGGCAGAAAAGAGCAGGAGTGAGAGCCAGTAAATACCAATTACCTACACGGCAGTATCACGGCTCACTCTTATAACAGCCAGCTGAGAAACAATAGCCCTAGAGGACCATCATGAACTTTGCTCGTGCTACGTACGAAAGAAGCCCCGTATCGGACCATACACTCGTTCTGAATCTGGCCAGCGCATCGCGAAGTTACATTCGTTCTGCCGGTCTGTGGGTTCTTTCGTACGAGAGGATTCTCACAAGCGCACAAGCAATCTAAACGGTCGCAGAATGATAACGCATCGGCAGCTTATACATGGCAAGGAGTGTGTCGTCGGGGAATGCTTCTTGTTGAGGTTAGAGCCTTGGCTGTTTTGTGTACTTTCTAACGAACGTTGTGCTCTCGTTTCACACCACTACTCAGAAAATTGCCAGGCTTAAATATGGCATGTTCTGTAAGCATAGCCCATGTGCTTTATATCATCTTCGGGTGCGTGCGGACCGAACCCGAGCCCGACTTCTCCAGTCCCACCACGCCATGAATCCTTCCACATGTCGCAATCTCATCGCAACGCGAAAGAAGAATCCAAGCAAATCTGACTGCTTGCGATCTTTGTTGTGGCCTCCGGGTTTCCAGATCCAGGCACATACCGCGAGTATCGCATCATGCAGCCAGCAAAGTAGCTACAGAGTAGCGCTGCTGTTACTCCACCTGTCAGGCCCCTAACCTTTTGGACGCAGAGCTTGTCTTTCACCGTCAATCCTCCGCTACGATGCATTGGACTTCGCATCTACCTGTGTCATGATTACCTGACTCGTTGTGGGGGAGGGGTATTGGTAGATACTACCTTACCATGCATGCCCGCCTTTTGGTCGAGATAGTACTCCTCTACTGACAACACTCAGCTAGACGTATGCTTTAGTTGCAACTGCTGTATCTTTGATCTATCATGCACTGGCTTCGTCAGATCTGTCCAATCGATGTATCTGTTTGGCGACTTGGAATGACACTGGTGCGCTTGAACATGCTGTAATTGCTTGCATCTGACGACAAAGATACCATTGTGTTTCGGTCTCGATAACATTAATACTCAATCCTTTCCGCGCTGCTAGAAACAGCATACACAGACATTTCAAATCTGGATAAGGATGTCGAGAACTACACAGCTCAGAAATTATAATCCTCATAGACTACTTCCTGCCCGTCCAACCATTGCAGGATAGTACCCCTTTGACTCGTGCCTGTGCAGATATACCATCTTTCAATCCTTGGCATCAGCGGTTCCAGGTCGCTCTTCTCCATACGACGGTACACAATCCTGACCTCGCGGTCATTAAGCTTCTGTAAGCCAGTATTTTGCTCTTCATTCTCTGAGGAAATTCGTGTGACAAACAGAGTAAGACTTGCAGCCAGATCTGGGAACCCTTCAAGCAGATCAACAGCGAGGCCTAGATCAACTGCTCGCAACGTCCAGAACAGTTGAAGGTTACTAAGCTTAAGCGAATACAAACATGGCATCAACGGCGTAATGCCTACACCAGCAGCAATGAATGCAATGGCAGACTTCTCTCCAGGCTGTTCCACCACGAAAGATCCTCCAAAGCCTTTGACTCCGATTTCGAGCTCGGAGCGATTCGCTTCGGGGCCCAATCCATGCTTGAACAGAAAGTCGGTCACTACTCCGACCTTGCGTATTGTGATCTCGAACTCGTCATCAGCGAGTCGCTTGCTTGGATGTGGTGGCAGACCAGGTGGGGAAGAGACAGTGAAAGTGCGCACAAAATCATCATTCAGGCTTCGGGGGTCATCGTCTCGCATGTGGCTATACCCGAGGTCCAGGTGATCCGAGACGTCGATAGTGACATATTGGCCCGCAGTATATGTAGCTGCATTCGAGAGGCTGAATCTAAAGCGTGAGATCGTTGGTGTAAGTGGTGTCTGGGCAAGCAGCTTTGCAGTGTTCTGGTTCGCGTTGTCTGCTTCTGTCCTAGTGCTCGCTTGCTCGCTGGCAAGATATCTCACGATTGGATTGTATGGTGAGAACTCGCCGGTATCACCACGAAATGGAAGTACTGATTCTACCAGCCGAGCTTTTGTGATCGTGACTCGAACCGCCAAGTTTGAGCGAGGCATGACTTCTGCCGCTTCCTTTCCAAAGAGAACTTCCGTATGGCCAGTCACAAAGAGACAACTTCCAGTGTCGAAGTCTGGGAAGCAGAAGCCAGCTTTGGGCTCTAGCATCATGTTCCCCATGGACTGGTAAAGTCTATTTCCACTATACTCAGGGTAGACGAACTGTGTGCAGCCGCCTTCGTGCGAAAGACAACGTACGAAACCTGGAGGACCGCCTCTATGATTGGTGTCCATGCTTGAGCCACTACTTGTGCTGAGGAACATGAGATCGGCTTTTTGGATGAGCTCAACAGCTCTCTGATCTAAGGGTACAGAGTCCGAGATGAGTATGGGATCTGTAATCGCCGGTGATATCTCACGTCTGTTGAGATATTTTGGACAGTTTCCTTGATCTGCGTTAGCTCATTGCGGTGAGCGTTAATGAGACGATTCGGACACACCTAAGCTCTCGTCAATACGTGCAACAAGTTGCAGTATACCTTGCTGTTCATGATCATCTGTATCGTTGTCTCCATCAGTGTTGCTGAGAGTCCCTGCAACCATCCGTCCGGCAAGCTTAACCCTCTTCCTAGTGTCAAGATCGATGGCTAACCCGCTGAGTAACCTGCCTTCTCCCTCTTCCCTCACGATCTCACCCTTGGCATCTCGACCAACCAACACCTCCACCACCGGATCTAACTTGGCAGCCACCGAAGTTCGAATGCCGATCATGCTGTTCCCAAGAGGTTGTGAGAACCCTTTGCGACCGCCCCAAACAGTGGTCCAAGGTCGTCCTTCGGAGTCTAGAGTGCCGAAAGCCAGTAGCGGAGCCCTCTGGAGCATGCTGGATGCTTGAGGTGAAAGCATGGGAATGGTAGGATTGTCCATCTCGGGCACTCGTAGCTTCTTCTGCATCATTATCTCGCCTTCGTGAAAGTCTAAGGCTTGGTAGAAAGCCATTCTTGCAAGGCGGTGATATGGATAGTTGATACAACAAAGTTGTCGAGTTCACACGCATCTGCAAGCTAAGAGAGAAGACGGTCGGTCGCGACACAGCTGCTGCTTACGAGATCAGGGAAGTAGGGAAGCTTCTGATGTCCCCGCTTTGCGCCATCTTGTCAGACTTCCCCCTTAGAGGTTGCACATGGCTTTGGTAGAGTTCTTTGTCAGAAATGCATGATGGATGTCTGCTTGTTCGGCCTCTTTGAATAGTCACAGCAACGCGAGAGTCAATGTGCAGACGACGAATGACTTGCATAATTTTATGCATTGACGTCACAGATCTGGCCAGGGTGACACCCCATACATGTGATCTCGAGCACAACAAGCATATAGCACATCCTCCACGATCGAATTATCGATTGATGGAGTGTTAAGAATATTTTTCGATGCCTTCAGAGCCTCACCTAAACACCCAAATTGATTTTTTGGTTGTTGTGTGGAGCTACATTGTCAAATGTTACGATTTGCAGTCTTGTCGCCCGAAATCGAGATCAAAACATCACGATGTGTGCCCATACTGTTGCTCCCACGAATCAAGGAACCATTGAGTCTCCGTGTCTGCCGCCCAGCACAGAGACCCCGCAAACATCTAATTACATAGCAGTTGGTCCTTATGCCTATATCTGACCGCAGACTTGACTATTAGCTGCTGGATGTCATTGTCGAGGAGCGGAGTTAAGCACAGGCTTCGCCTGTTTCCGACTACAATACTGTGTGTGCTCTCGGCAGATCGGGAGGATAAATCACGCTCGAGCAAGCACTCCGAACTTGCCGATAACAATGCCATGTTGCAAGGGAAAGCGAAGACTGCAAAAGCTGCGGCCTCGAAACCGCAGTAATGATGCACGGATACGTTGCTTTCCGAGGAATTGTTCACGGTTTGCGGACCTTGACGTTGCTGCGGCATGCCACGCGTGGTATCGATCACCGAAAGGATCGAACCTACCAGACCGCTTCCACCTTCCGTCGATTTGAGAAGTTGAGACTCTTCTTTCCAAGTACTTACGAATAGGTCTCGGAAGTCGAAGTATATTTCTTGCACATCTTCAAAAGCAAGAGCTGATGTTGTGAGATGGTTCACCACGCCGAGAAGGGCACTGCCGAACAACCGTGAAGTCTTGAAACAAGGACGACGCCGCTGACTGCAAGCAATAGTTCGCCGCAAAGCCTGCCGCCTTGTACACTACCAAGCAATGCCAGCCGTGCAAATGAGCGAATAGCAGAGGTGCGGGAGGCGTTGGGTGGCTTTCAGGCTGCATGGAGCGTTACCGCCACGTTGATGGTAGTCTTCGCCAAGTTATCAGTTTACAATTTGGCCGCATCCTCCGGCAAGTTCGGAAGACAGACTTTGAAGAGCAAACATCTTCACTCTTTTGCGGAGGGTTCGATACGTGTGGGTCGCCCTCCATATCTCCAATACGTGCTCTCCACTGGAGACTTTAGTGGAGCTTCGGGGCTTCGGCTTCTGGCTAAATTGACAATTGCGGATTCGAATGATTTACCCAGCCTCTCCTTGAAGCATTGACGACATGTCGGTGGCCTTAGCAGTTGATGTCGTTTCGCAGAGTGCACTGTTGATCGGACCCATGTCGAGACACATGCCGTCGAGGGTCAATCGCCTTCAGGCAAAATGCAAGAACGTATCTGGTCACCTCTGGGACAACAATGCTGATCAATCCTGCCCGGTAGGCCCCACTGTTATCATGTAATAAAGGGTTGACATCCCTCTCCACATGGGGAGAACCGCAACCCCATACCTCCTCCACACATCTCTTTGATCATGGCACCAGCAGCAACAGGAGGAGCGCCTGTCTCCGCCGCGAGAGCTCGCCTCTCCGGACCCCCCTGGAATCAAGGGTATCATAGCATCTGGCAAGACCACTGGTATTGCATTCTTCGCCTCACTGGGTGGCTTCGTATATGGCTACAACCAAGGCATGTTCGCCCAGGTGTTGACCATGAACTCCTTCATCAGAGCGGTAAGTAGCTTGGTTTCTCAAGCTGACGTATCTGGTCCCATCCTAACGAATTTCAGACAAACGACTATGCTAGGGGTACTGGTGTTGCCCAGGGCTTGCTGACTTCGATCTTGGAACTCGGTGCCTGGGTCGGTACCCTCATCAACGGTTATCTCGCTGATGCAGTTGGACGACGTTGGTGCGCTTTGATTGCCTGCTGCGTGTTCACCATCGGTGTCATCGTTCAGGCCTGCACTGTCAACAAGGATTATGTTCTTGCAGGTCGTTTCGTTACTGGTCTAGGTGTCGGATCTCTATCCATGGTCGTTCCGTTATACAATGCCGAGCTCTCACCTCCCGAGATCAGAGGATCTTTGGTAGCAGTGCAACAACTGGCTATCACTTTCGGCATCATGATCTCTTTCTGGATCGGATATGGTGAGCAAATGTTCAAAACACAGACTTGAAGCCCAAGGGACTGACAGATGACAGGAACGAACTTCATTGGTGGTACTGGTGATTCCCAATCAGATGCAGCTTGGTTGATCCCGATTTGCATTCAAATTCTTCCTGCTCTCATCCTCGGAGCAGGCATGCTGTTGTTCATGCCCGAATCGCCCCGTCACTTGATGAACATTGGTCGGGAGGAAGAAGCATTAAACACCTTGGCTCGTCTGCGAAACAAGAGCACTGAAGACATGGGCGTTCGCGTCGAGTATCTCGAGATCCTGGCCCTCCGTGACTTCGAGGTCGAGACTGCACGCAAGAAGTATCCTCAGTACCAGGATGGAAGCCGTAAGAGCAACTTCCTCATCGGCTTCTACGACTATGCCTCCTTGATCACCAACCCGTCTCTGCGAAGAAGAACCATAACCGCATGCTTGACAATGACCTTCCAGCAATGGAACGGTATTAACGCCATCAATTACTAGTAAGGCCCGGGATGTCAGTTGTTGCGTGACCTTGCTAACATCAGTCACCTAGTGCACCATTCATCTTCCAAAACTTCGGATTCCAGGGTAACACACTCTCGCTGCTGGCAACTGGCGTGGTCGGCGTAATCGAATTCCTCCTAACCATCCCTGCTGTCTTGTACGTCGACAAATTCGGCCGCAAGTCAATCCTACTTGCTGGAGCAATTGGCATGGCTACATGTCATTTCATTGTTGCCGGTCTCGTTGGATCCTATGAAGGTTCTTGGGCAAGCCATGTTGCAGCTGGCTGGGTCTGCATCGTCTTTGTTTGGGTGAGTTATATTCAAGGTGTAGACATCACGACTCGTGTTGGCGTTATGTCTCAGTCTGTTCGATGTCCTACGATCGATCTCACGGGAGCATCGGTCAGGATGCCGTCTTGCAGAATTGAGCACACTCGTCCAGCAAAGTTCTGGTGCTTCCGAATAATTGAATTTGTGGCATAACGAGCTAACTCGAAAATTAGATATTCATAGGCAATTTTGCGTACAGGTAAGACATCCAAGGACTTCATTTATTGGTGTTTGGACTGACAAAAAATTCTAGTTGGGGTCCTGTGTCCTGGATTGTCGTGTCCGAAGTCTTCCCCCTCAGCATGCGCGCCAAAGGCGTCTCTCTTGGTGGCAGTGCCAACTGGCTGAACAACTTTGCCGTTGGACTCTCAACATCACCCTTCATTAGCACATCTCAATTCGGCGCCTTCATCTTTTCGGTTGTATCACCGTCGTCGCTGCACTTTGGGTCTACTTCCTGCTTCCTGAGACCAAGGGCTTGACTCTGGAAGAGATGGATGAACTGTTTGGAGATGCTGGATTCGCTGAGGCTGATCTGGCACTCAAGGCCCAGATTGAAAAGACATTGGCCTCACCGCTCTCCTTTATGGAGACGAGGAGCCCATGATGACGGAAAAGGCGGGTGTACCGGGCAAGGGCGAGGAGAGAGAATTCAAGGAGGACACAAAGAGCATTAGTCTGTAAAGAGAAGGATATCAATGCTGTGCTTGTATGTAAGTTGACAACAAAGTCTCGAATCTTCTACTGCGTTGTTGTTCAGTGCTGCAATTCTCCGTGTTCGACAGGAGTGAAGTGGTGTCTTCTAAATCAGTCACTTTGTCAACAGCCTAGCGCCAAGTGCAATTCTTGACCACTAACACCCCAGGTTGCAATAAGTTGTTAATCTCCGCATCATAGCCTTCTCATCTACTAGAGGTCCCAACTCTCACTGTACTCCAACTATAGCAGTGAGCAAAGTTCATGCTGTAGAAATGCACAGTTCTATTCAAAATCGAAGAATGGCCAAAGAGAGCTGCTAAGAGATCGCTTCTCAGTGGACACTATCCTTTTGTAATCGTATTGTGCATTTTTACAGCTACACGTGTTACATCCCATCGCACTTGGAGAGGAGTGATCCATCGCTCAAAGCTTGAAAATCACTTTTCGTGCTTGTCAGGGTTCATTTGCGCTTTGGGTCCAGTCGTTTTGTCAACAGCCCAAGAACAAGGCACCTATCTCTTGTCTTGATCATCACCTTTGAGTTATCACTGTCAACGTGTAACCATCACAGTCACTCCGCATACACTGCCAACGCCTACTACCTCAGAGAAGCAGCTAATTTCACAAGCCATGATCCAGCAGTCGAAAATCGTTACTAACACGACTAAAGTAGGCATAATCGACTCCTGATTCCATCGCGGTATGCAAGCCATGTTTACGTTTATTGAGAGGTACTCGGATGGTGCGAGGAAGAGAAATCCATGAACGAAGGACCAGCAAGCCTGTGATACCCATTCGTACCCACCTTTACAAACCGCCGGACCACGCCTTGGCCAAATCGGCATCGCCATGAGCCTTGCTTTTTTTTGAGATTGCCGAGTCCTAATGGAAAACACCATTGCAGGAGGGAGATCAGGTCCAGACTATCTTCGGCACCCCTCATGTCAAACGTCGACGAGGTGGTCGCAAAGGCCGGTCTCTCCTCCCGCTCACGCAACACCATCCAAGAGTTCATCTCCGAGGCTCGCGTCGCCGTCTGTCAAGTCGTTGTCGAGGGAGGAAGAGGAGGCTAGCGAAGGCGAATCAGATGAGGGAGAGGATGAAGAGGAGGAGAAGGTCGAGCCCAAGTCCAAAGGTAAGGGCAAGGCCGCCACCTCTGTCGCCGTTGTGATTCTTCCAAAGACCCCCAAAGCCCCCAAGACGCCCGCTGTGAAGCGCGCCCGTAACCCTGAGGATGAAGAAGGCCTCCAGCTGGTCTTTCCTGTCAACTCTGCCGTCAGTACCCAGCGCAAGAGGTCCAAAGTCGACAACACCGATTCACCTACTGCCAACAAGGCCAAGACTAAGCCTAAGGCTAAGCGGAAGAAGACCGCTTCAAAGGTTACTTAGAAGCAGTCTGACGACGAGTACGAGGAGCAGATCATACATGCGATCTTTCTGATCAGCTATCGTTTGCGCGCGCGGTTCACGAGGGCGGTTTCAGCAATCAATCTGCATCCCCCCAGGACCCCTGACCACCACCAAGCGCAGCTTCGACCCAAATGCACAGTGCTGCTGTCTCCCTGAGCCTGGCTGCCTTTCAATCCCTCTGCAACCTGACATTGACATCTCCACCTCCTGCACATCCTCGCCTTCCAGCGACAACAAAGTCAAAAGGTCCTGGTGGGAACATTCGCGGTCTGTCAACAACACCTCGACGTTGAGTCTGGTCTCAGAGAGGCGTCTGTTCTGGACGATTCTTGACCAGACGTTTGTCTCTGCAACCTGATAAACGCGGCGGAGCATAGGGCATCTGTCGGCCAAGGCAATCAGAATCTCCTCGATGTCATCTGTCCAGGCTTGCTTGGTACTGTAATAAAATTAGTCTTTGAAACCTTTGTATGAAAAATCCACACGTACCGANNCGCTTCCAGTNNCGAAACCAAAGAGTAAGACAGAGACGCCGGCACCGAATGCGTTCTCCAGGGCGCGGAGAACCTCTGCACGGAGAACCATGCTGGTGACCAGTCTAAGATTGTCGGTCTTGACTGTTCCCACTTGGTGGGAGAACACCGCGTTCAAGGCCTTTGTGAGGATGAAATTTATCAACGAGTCGTAGGAGCCACGAGGGCCACTCGAGCGTCCACGCTGACAGTACCAGGTTATGTACTGTTGGTGAGCCTGGCTCTCCGTGTCCTGGAGCACTCTGAGTGCGTTGGTGAATCGGCGAGCCACACCAGCGTGCTCGATCAGATTGAACACTTCTGCAATGCCCTGAGCAGCCTCTGTTCTCAGGCAAACGATGATCTGTTGGCTGAGACGAGTGAAGGGGTTGTCCTGTGCGATAGGAGCGTTGATGGCAGCATGCCAGGCGTCGTAGTGGTCCTTGGATGCTCTCTATCTTTCGGCCAGTATGGCAGCTCCTTTGCCATGCGAGCGAGAGAAGATGTCAAGCAGAAGGTTTTGCAAGCCTTCCATGGACTTGTGCTCTGTTAGGTGGGATCTGAAGATTCTGAGGAGCTGAGTTGGCCACCAGAGCTCGATGTCTTGGAACGGCGACAAGGCGATGACTGTAACTGACTCTACCAAGGCCGCCTGGGGCAGACTGCGCTCGTGCTCGCGCACCAGAACCATCTCCTCATCGGAGTCATCTTCTGGCTTTTCATCGTCCTCGGATGTGATCTCTTCGTTGCCGGACTCGTCGTCTGGGATATCTTCTTCTTCTTCATCCTCCTCTTTAAGGGCTTTAATCATTGCTCGAGCGACGCGTTTGTACTTGAGTGGGACGCCCCCAATTCCAGCCAGAGTCTCCATTACACCCGCCTGCTGGAGAGTGGTGGCCTCCATGATGATGTCGGCATCGCTTTCGGAGGCGGCGGTGGTTGTTTGTTGTATCAGGACGTTGAAGTACAAGTTATCCTCTGGTAGCGCCATCGACATCCACAACCAGAACACAACCAACTACAATGGCGGAAACTCTAAAACCGTCAAGGACTTGTGCAGTTGCTCTGATACATCTTCTACTCTACACGAAACAAGAAACCAGGTCGTCATGCTTTCATCTCCTTTACCCATCCCTCATACCTTCACACCACCATCCTCATCGTCCTGCACCTCTTCAGGAACCTCCTCCTTCTCCTCCTCCCTGACCACCAAGAAGCGGGAGAGTGCCATGCTCACAAGCCTCCTGCTTAGGAGAGGCAGGGGCAGGGGCCGACAGAGCAGGCAACGAAGCCTCCAGAGAAGCGACGGCGAGGGGCTGCTCGCGGATCGGCAGGGTCTTGAGGAGGGGGCCGTCCGGGAGAGGGAGTTGACCCTGGAGGCCAGGTTGCTGACCAGAGCTGGGGGCGGGTAGGGTGGCCGGGGCGGGCGAGCTGGCAGAAGTGCCATTGACGACAGCGAGGGTGTCGCCATTGATGGCAGGGGGGGTTGGCGGGAGCGGAGGAGGAGGCGAGGACGCGGCGAGGGAACACCTTGTTGTAGAGATGGTTGTGGGCGCTGTGGACGCGCTCCGGCTGTACCACTGTGATAGCACTCGTCAGCAAATATCATGTTTTGAAGCTGTAAGAGATGACGATATTTGTTGGAGCAGGGATGCGATTGATGGAGCCGTCTCCTACGTCACGAGACGCCATCGTAGAGCCATAAAAAGGCACAAAGTTATCATGGATTGGACCTGTGTCCAATGAGAGTGCGCAAGACTGTTTCTCTCACTGGACGACCATATCAAACGCAAACATTTTGTGCCTTTTGATGGACCATTTTGGGAGACCGGTCAATCGCGGGATGATTGGAAAACAAGAAGTGAAACTTACAAAGTGTGAAGAGCGGGATGACTCCTGATTGAACAGGACCAGTGCGGAAGAAGCGGTTGTAATAGAACTTCATCTCGTAAAGGACAGCAGCACCACTCAATGGCTCTGCAGTGAGCGTCTCGCGCAGATGGCCCAGGTGATCTTTGATCAAACGACCATTGTAACACCTCAGTTTGTCCATCGTGCGAGCGCAGTAATTGATGAAGGAGCCGTAAAACTCCATGCCCAGGTTTTTACGAGCCAACCAGGCGGCGATTTCGGCATGTTCGTCACACCAGAGGAACTGCTTTGGAGGTGGTTTGGTGGAAGCCATTGCGTTATCGTGCTGGTGCTTGTGTTCGATGTTTGAGGGAGCGAAGCGTGTAGAGAATTGAAGGCGAGGTGCGTTCTGGCAGTGAAGTGAATTGTTTACAAGCGCGCGTTGATCGCGGAAAGTTGTTGTTGACTCGATCGGAGCAAAATTAGAAGTCCAGTCGAAGAATCGAACCGATCACCTCGTGATATATCCAGATGCATCAAACTACTCGCGGATCGCTCATACACAACATGGTCAAACCGAAGGCAAAGGGGAGGATAGGAGGAAGATCAAAAACAATACGGTGAGCAAAAAGAAGGAGCTGATTGTCCTGACTGACGATTAATCCCGACCGCCACTGAGGTATAGTGCACCAGGTGGACACCTAGTTTCAGTCAAGTTCAGGGGGGAATCATTCCGCTACACCAAGTAACACGGATTTCATCCTGCTCTCCCCATCTGATAGGCCAGCGAAGATTTTTGATTATATACCCTCACCACTCCGTCAAGTCTTGGCAGTCACATACAAACGAATTTCGGGGACACCATCTCTTTTTTAACAATGTTTTTTTTTTTCTGGGCGATGATATGAAATTGGACTACTTACAAGACACAGCTATCGTGCAGCGTAAGATTGTCTACTTTCTGCGCATGTTTTGTCTACCTGTTGGTACAGTCTTGGAACCCGGCGCCTTCTTCTGAGGAGTCGGCACCTTTGCCTGCACGACTGAAGGTGGTGATTGAGCTGGTCGCACCACACTTGCAGGCAGCTGTGGTCGAGTTGGAGGCACCACACTCACAGGTGTTGACAGATTCTTCTTGGACATGTTGGCGACGGTATTCCTAGTGATGGCCTCAAAGACCAGAGGCCAAATTTCAGGAGCACGGCTGTTCTTCCAGCGAGAGGCGACCGGGCGAGCGTAGAAACGCTGCAGCGACCACCTTGCCCACTTGGGAACCTTGGAGGTTTTGTCAATGGCGTGGACCTGCTCAAGATTGGCCAATCGACCCCAACCTTCGGGGCGAAGTCTCAATTCTCCAACGCGCAATGTCTTTGTCCTGGGTACAGCAAGGAGACCTAGCGTCTGAATCTCCAAGGCAGTGTCTAGAGGGAGACGTTTAGCAAAAGAGATCAATGCCTCCTTGGAACGACGGGCCGTAGCGGGAGCGTCGATGAAGATGGTGGCTACGGAAGGCCTCGTCAAGACGTGAAAGAGAGGGAGAAGAGTTGCGGACACGACGATGACTGAACGACTAGTCAGCAAGAGCCTTGAGTAGGACTGAGATGTATTACCTGCAGGGGTCATCCACAGGGGACTGGACTCGTCGAAGTAGACATTGGGAGCAATGACAAGACAAGCCATGGCGAAGGCGCCCAGGCCTGTAAGTTTGATGGTACCTATCGTCGCAAGCTCCAGCGTCGGTGCACGATATATCAACAGGCGCCGAGGGTAAGCTGCTAGAGTTAACACAGGGACTAGAGGTCAAGGTCAAATCGTCATACCTGTTTGCTCAGGAACAGCACGAGAAGCAGATCTCAGGTACAGCCCGAGCCGAGACTTCGGCAGGGCATCACGAACATGCGAAGCAACATGTGCAGAGGCTTGAGGCCTCACAGCACTGAGACGATAGAGAAGCCTTGACGGCTGGCGGCAGAAGAAGGTCATGTCATCATGGTGAAAGTAGCAGGTCAAAAAATGGCAGGCACGAGACGACGTTATCAAGAAGCAGCCACAAGCGGGCCGTTCCTCTCTCCATCTGGGGAAGTTGCCCAGCCTCAACAGCGACGCGACTCCTTGCAAATGACTGCACCCTCGGCCACCTGTCATGCAGCAGTACTCAGTTGCAATGCGCCCTGATCAGACTCGGTTGAGCGCGTCGACATGATTATCTCACGAGCAGCTGGCCTGCTTGCTCTGCTCTCTGGAGCCTTCGCATACAAGGCCCTCTCGGACGACGGCCTCCGCAACATTGCCGATCCAGGTAACGACTTTGACATCAAACAGGGAGCCCTGCTGGCTCCCATTCTGCAGCCGCGAGTGCCTGGCACTCCGGGCTCGACTGCTGTCCTCAATCACTTTGTCGACTTTTTTCGGAAGGAGCTACCTAAATGGGACTTGACTTTCCAGAACTCTTCGTCAACGACTCCCATCTCTGGCGACCAAGAAACCCCCTTTGTCAACCTTGTTGCCACAAGGGATCCTCCATGGGCAGAACAGGGCCACGTCGGAAGACTCGCCTTGGTCGCTCATTATGACAGCAAGATCGACCCGCCAGGCTTCATCGGCGCCATCGATAGCGCCGCTCCATGCGCTATGCTGATGCACGCTGCCAGGAGTCTTGATGACGCTTTGACTAAGAAGTGGGCTGCTATGGAGGCCGAAGGCGACAACGAGCTCGATGAATCGAGTGGCATACAGATCATATTGCTTGATGGAGAAGAAGCTTTCAAGATCTGGACCCACGACGACTCTATCTACGGTGCAAGGTACCATCGCAAACAACTTCTCCCTTGATCATCCTGACTGACTTGTATCAGATCATTGGCCGAAGAGTGGGAGCAGACGATGCATCCTGCCACTTCAACCTACCGCACGCCGCTCGACGCTATCGACCTTTTCGTCCTGCTCGATCTGTTGGGCTCTGCAAACCCGAGAGTTCCCTCCTTCTTCAGAACCACCCATTGGGCATACTTAAACATGGCAAACGCCGAGGCTAGGCTGCGCTCTTTGAAACAGTTGCAAACCTCGCCCTCCAGTCCTTTCCTGCGAGAAGCAAACAAGAAAGAGTCCGACAGATGGCTTGGTGGTGCAATTGAGGATGACCATATACCCTTCCAAGCCAGAGGCGTTGATATTCTTCATATGATTCCTGCACCGTTTCCTGCAGTATGGCACACAATGGCTGATGATGGAGAACATCTCGATATTCCCACCGTCAAAGACTGGGCCAAAATCGTCACAGTTTTTGCTGCTGAGTGGATGGAATTAGATGGCTATCTGCTTCCTCCCAAGAAGAGAAACCCACCTCCGGAAGCGGACAGGACTGAGTTGTGAGTAAGCCTTGCTCATGCACTACATTACCACCATCGCCACTTGGATTAATCGTGAAACAGGCAATGATCCGATTACTGTTACTTCGGATCGATAAAACTTCCGCTTTTGGATTTCCAGAAACATGTAGAATACATTCCAGACTTGTCGGTTACCACAACCCAACATTCCTCGCTTTTCTCCAACCCGGTTTGGTTCATCCACGCCAAAAATCGGCAGCATATGCGACATACCGAGAATTACGCACAATCGCGTTGAAACCAGTCGAAAGTACTAGATCATCTGTGCAAATTCATCTTCTATACCTGTGTATATACTGAACTGGTGAGTTGAGCTCCGATCATAATGGTAAGACAAACTGCTTGCTTTCTTTCGTCCATTTTCTTTGTTTTCGGTGCAAGTGTCATGCTTCGTTCGTCAATGTCTTTGAGCTTCCCGCATGCGTACGACTTCCGCTTTCGGAGTCACTCGTCTCCAACACGCCATGTATATCATCTTTGTCTCTATGAGAATTGCTCCATGTTCTTTGCTCTACACTTTCCTGCGTTTCCTGTCATCACTCTCTATTCGTCTTCTACTGCTACACATACTTTTCGCCATCATGAACGGCCACCATTGGCGCTTTACTTCGACCTTCGCGACTCAAGATCCAAAGGACCGTCGTGAAGCCAAATATAATGCAGAGAACACCGCTGAGCTCAACTCCGGCGCAGCGCTTGCCATCGTGGACAAGCAACCTTCGATGACTGTTATCGACAAATTGAGAGATTGGGAGAAAGACGCCGTCTACGAAATATGTGAACCTCACCCATCTGGACGCAGCTTCTCAGTTTCTGGAATCATGTGGTCTTCGCCCGATAGACATATAGTCGGAAAGCCCTCCATGGAAGAACAGTTGGCCGCAATCAATTTTGGTAAACTGATCGGCTCGTTGGAAGGCGGAAAGATTGTAAAGATTCCTCAAGCTGAGGACTCTACGGGTGCTATCCCAGTCATGGACACTGAGGTTCGCGGAGAGATGTTCTACTACATCCCTGCCCAACTCGAGCGGCTTGCGATGAGTAGCATTCATTTCGAGACCACGCCTTCATTCATCATCCTGAAGAAGGGCGAGATGCCTAGCTTTGTTTTCTGGAAGCGCCTAGCAGGAGTTCTTCCATCTTACTCTGAGTCGGACTTGATGGAGCATAGCAGAGCCATAAGATCCGGTGCACCTACACCAGAGGCTCGCCCTGCTCCTGTTGCTGCTCCTGCATCAGAGACACTACCTGCTCCGCTTGCTGTTAACACCACAAAGGCTGCCGAAGAAGTGGAGAAGCCGGCTCAACCAATGTGGGAGATCTTTGACCCTCGTCTCGAAGAAGATCCCATTGAGTTCTTGGATTTCTACAACACTTGCCTGAATGGACGCAAAGGAATCAGAAACAAGTTGATGCTTCGCGAAGCCGACATTGATCGTGTCAACTACATCAGCCCTTGTCTCGCCCATAACCACAAAGAGATTGTTGAGGAGTCTGGAGCTGACTCGGCCGAAGCTGAGGAAACTGTTATGGAAGTCGACCCTGTACCCACCGTCCCTCAATCCAAGCCCGCCGGATCCTCTACTCCCAAGTCTATCAGTCCTGTTGCACCCAAGCGATGGGTACAGCCTGGTCCTATCCCCGATGACGACCCTTCGTGGCTACGTTTCCTTGCCAGACAAGACAAAGAGAGACAAATCAGAGGCGCACGCATCCGACCAAAGCCAGTTTTCACCCCCGAGTTCTGCAACGTACCTGGCACAACGTCCGATCCGAAGAAGGCAGTCCTCAGACGCGAGTTGTATGACAAGTATTACCATCGTGCAGTCACAGCTAACCGCGAGCTCGAAAGCCGCTCCAAGTGTTGTCTTGCTTGCGGACTTCAGTGGACCAAGTGTACCACAACAAGACATGCTCACTACAAGCAACATCGTGATGAGCTCAAGCTTTATCGCCAACACTGCCAGAACGAAAATATTCTTGTCGAAGACCCGCTGCGTGTGGAAAGTCTGGATCCAGCAAAGGCTCCCATGATCAACAATGTGCCTGCACTCAACTGGTTCAGAGACTTGGAACAGATCATTCTGAACATGGAGAACGAGTTGCTCGAGCGTGAGCAAACTTGCCGTATCTGCGATGCTCATGTCGACTTTGCCGATGAAAGCATGTCTGATCACTACCAGAAGCATGCCGCTGAGCGTAAGCAGTTGCGAGCTATCGGAGACATCGTAAACTCCATGCCAACAACCCCCACCGTCATTGTCACACCGACTGGAGCATCTATCATCGATGGATCGGCAAAGAGCTCGCCTGCAGGTACCTACACTCGACCCTCCACCACTCCAGAATACCTCAAACGCATCTATAGGCAGATGAATGAGGCTCAAGCCAAGAAGGCAGTTAAGGATACCAACATGATGGCCGATGTCATGGAAGAAGTCGTTGAGCAAATTAGAGAGACTGGTAACATTCAATCTGGCCCTCACTTGTCGCCTCCAATCTCGCTCTCTTCGGGATCCAAGTCAAGCGAGCCTGTTGTGACAGCATCGAACGACGTGATGGATACTACTGAGGATGGCCCGATCCACTCGGATGTCATTGGCAACACTACAGCTCAACGCCTCTTTCCTCCTTTCATGACGCCTGCGTCCCAGTCACCTAAAGCTGCCAAGGACAACCTGGATTTCCTTTCAGGGTATTCTGGAAACAAAGAAGAGAGTCTTGACTTCCTCTCCAAGTACGATGCCCACACTGTCCCTCCCTTCGATAAGGTCGAGCTACCTGCCCATTGTTCCCCAAGACAGAATCGCAATGTCGAGTCCGAAGTCATTGTAATCGAAGATGACGATACTGATCTGTACGCTTCCCCTGCCCCTGGTCCTGTCGATACTGCCGAAGAACTTCCAGCTGACAACGATCAAGCAGAGATCGTTCAAGCCATTCGCAGCAACTCAGGCGAGCTTCTCGCCTTGAACGACACCGCAATCAACAACAGCGAAGACGACGAGGAGGTGCTTGACGCTGAAGTGATCGAAAGCGAAGAGGCGAAGGAGGTGCCTGAGGAATTCGAAACCGAAGACGCTGAGGTGCCTGAAGAATCCGAGGTTGATGGCGATGAGACCGAGACCGAGGCCGAGGAAGTGCCTCCGGAGTTTGGACGCCGCGAAGTTTACGAACCTGACGCTTCTGATGCCAGCAGCAGTAGCAAGGCCTGGTGTCCACCTCACGATGGCTTGTTTGATAACTTAGAGCCAAGTCCTGAGCTCTCGCAGAATAGCAGCCTCCACAACGCTGAAGATGAGTACGATGCTGCGAAACTCCTTGCTCATGCTATTGGTCAGAAAGTTCTTCGCAAAATGAAGATGAAACTCGACCTCGAAAAAGCGTTCGCTGCTATTGATGCGACAGAAGAGTTGATCTTCAATGTCGAAAACACATCTCGCAATGGTCTTGTTACACTCGAGCAGGAGATATATGGCTACCTTATAGACCGCCTCTTTAACCTCCACAAGACCGTCGAGCGTAGACGTCCTCATACCGCGTCTGTCAATCCCCAGCGGTTCAGCTTCAAGAATGTCTACCTTACCCCCGATGATCTTCTGAATGGTGTTCATCTCAAGTGGTATGATATTTGGAGAATAGTCATCAAAGCTAAGGAGGCATTCCTCGAATGGGTTGCTCAGAATAGCGAAGATTCTGTACCGGCAATCAAAGAACAGATCGTCGAACTTCTGAGGGGCGTTTTGATGAACGCATCGCGCCACGGTTACCAAGACGAGCCCTTCCCTATCGATGGTAAGGTGCCTGTTAGACACGATCGCCTGGACCTCAGATATGGGGACCTTCGCATCAACCATTTGCTGACGGCAGCACACCGTTGGGGATGTGGATTCAACAATTTGATGGTTCTCTCCGACCAAGCTTGGAAGATGGCCATAGACATGGTCAAGGCTGAACGTGCATTACCCAGCGCACAGGGACCTGACACCGCCAGACTTAGGATCCTAAATCAGGTCCAGAGGTATGTTCGCACCGAGATCAAGAAGGAGAAGCGATGGAGGCGCATGACAGGTCAGCGACTTGGGCCGCAGGCACCTGAAGGAGAGCAGTCGGCAAACCAAGCCTCCCCTAACGTCTCATCCGCCAAATGGTCCACCGAGGCTGTAGCCAGTACTACTCCTCGCACCCCCTTCAACTCCCCCCTGGACTCCGGTAGCGCCAACATCGACCAGCAAGGAAAGCAGCGGCAGTAGCAGCAGCAGCAAGGAAAGCAGCAAGCGTAAGCGTCCTGCACCCTGCCCACTCCTGTCTCCAACTGCAAGCGCAAGGTCAGTGACGACTCCTTCCAACCTGGTCCTCCCACTCCTTTCAACCCAGACGAGGAGTCGCCAAGGATGCCCAAGGTGCCCCGTAAGAATCTCGACCCATCGTACCGTCCTGGCTCCGCTCTGCTAGACCCCACTACCCCTCCAGTAACTCCTGGACATCCCAAGCGCAAGCCCAACCGCGAGACTGATGGCCGCTTTGCAAAGAAGGTCGAGAAGAAGTTCAAGGGAAAGCAACAAAAGAAGACTGAGAAGAAGAAAGGCAAGAAAGTCACTTTCGACACTGCCTTGAGTTCGAAGTCTTCTTCATCTTTGAAGTCTTCTACTGCTGCCTCGCCGCCCTCAAAGTTACCATCTCCCCAGGTAGTGATCACGAAGAAGCCTGCTATTAAGAAGTCTTCTACCCCAACGCCTACCAAGAAGACCTCTAAGGCTGCTGCTCCCAAGTCTTCAAAGAGTGGTGTCAAGAAGACAGTAGCAAAGTCCAAGAAGGCTCAACCAGTCGCTGCTGCTACAAGACCAAAGCGTCGAGCCGCCATTGAGGCCGAGAAGAGTTTCGGCAAGACCAAGATCATTGGTTGAAGGGAAAAAGAAAAAGAAAAAAAGATATGAAGAGGTAGTGGAAAGTAATTGAAAGGTGGAGCTTGAATTTTGAGGAGTTTAGTTTGAAATTGATTAGTCACACAGTTTTGGAATTAAACTTTCTTGTTGACATTGTCTCTCTTGCCTGCCTTTGTGTCAATGTTTGGTGATGTTCGCGGTTTCCTGAATGAGATTCGAATTCGGCAGAGAAGTGGCACTTCGGATGTATCCTGCCTGTGGGACAGCTCTTTCCGTTTCTGGTCTTTGATCTAGAACTGTGCATTGTTTCATCTCCACCTCTGCTCACATAACGATTCTACCAATCTAGTAGAAGTCCACAGCAAGGCGCCTGTTTACGGAGGCTACATCGGGGACTCCAGTACCTCCAGTGACATATGCTCGAGTCTTGATGGCTTGCTGGGCCTTTATCGCAGCCTGATCTGGACCTCCTAGCCAGTTTCCCATGGTACTAGCAATGACCCNTTTGCCATCTGATCTCGTCTGGTAAGCAGAGTCCGCTGCCTTAATCATCATAGTAAAGCCATTCGATGACTTTGTTCCATCAGTAGCATGGATTGTTGCTGGACCGTCGTTTCCCTGCTCGACACTGACGTCGCCGTGGGCTTTGTGGTCGTTTCTTGCTTCTATCTGAAACTCTACCCAAGTGGCAGGGATTAACTTTCCTCTTTGGACTCGGCCTTTGAACGAGGATGGCAAACTGACGAATATTGTATGGCCGGCTGGTACGTGTACCGACTTGGAAGGATGATCGAAATTGGCACCTGCTGTGCCATTGCCGTTCCAATAGTTGTCAAAGAGAAAGTAGGTCTCATCGACTGCAGACTTGTTGCTCAAAAAAATACCAGGTGCTTTGCCATCATCATGGTCAGGTGAGGACGTGCCGTTGTGCACCGCTGGATGGACATTCGGATGAACTGCTGGCGTTGCATGTTCTTCCAGGTTCCTTCTGACTGCATGGCTGTCTTTTGGTAGAGTACTTGGGGGAATTGATGCTTTTGAGTCATCTACACGATCGAATCAGAGGGCACCTTCNNTATCATATTGCATGAATCAAAGAAACTAACTAGGCCTTGCGTCTCCATCACTATAAGTGATCAGAATATCTTTGCTTCCATGGGCTGANNTCGACTCTATAAGAAGGTTAGTCGGCCAATCTTAGCAGAGCTTTGAGTACGGTACGCCAATCACCTGAGCATTGTCGATAGCATTTCCGACTTTTCCGCTCCATGAACCCTGTCCAACATACGAGAGGGTATCAAAAGTATGGACGAAGGCCTCCATATGAGGGTTATCCTTAGTAGGATCCATCCGAACAATTCTTTCGGTATGATCCAGATGTATCGATCTTCTTATGTTATCCTTGGTCTTCTGGTCGGCGTGGGCATATGCTTGGTTCAATGCCTGCATGAACTCGGGGTAGCCTTTGATAGTGCCAGGGTCGTTCTTCTGCATGACTGTCATGTTGCCGCCGGCGTCAGTGATGTTGCTAACGTCGANAAAGTCGTTGCCGCCATATCCTTTCTTTGTTATTTCGGCTTGTTCTCCTTCGTGGCCGTCGTGAAGAGCAATGATGGCTCCAGACGATCCATCTGGTGCGTTGATATTGGTGCTAGAACGTGCTGGTACAGAGATGTTATGATTGTTGTTCCAGCCATGCACCTCGAATTCTTGATTGTGCGAAGACTTGTTGTTGATGGTCAAGATGTGCGACATGATGGATGTGTAAATCAGTGAGACTTCTTGGGAACTGTTTGTAAGTGATTTGTGATGCAGATTCTGGCAGGGGGAGGGTGCGTGCTTAAATACCCATCATATCTAATTCTCTCATGGAAATATCATCGCTCAGCCACCTAAAGAATACCGTGGCAGCAAAAGAGAAGGACTACGAGTAGTATCTCTCAGAGAGACGAGGCTGATGGTCTACGCAATCAATACCCTCCTCAGCCTTGACATCTGGACGAACAACGATGTCTTACCATCAATTACTCCGCTCACGATGACGCACTAGCGAACGTTTCGGTTGCATGCTGCTCGAGTTTTGGGGGCCAAAATGTTGGTAATTGGAACGCGCAGGCATTACACCTGAGGAGACAGCTACCATCTGGAACGACCAAGTCATTCCACTGCGCAAGAAACACGGCAAGCGTCTTGCCAGTCCTTCGTGCGCCTCAGACCAAGCTGGTATTGATTGGATCCATGAATGGATGAGTTTGGTCGCCAAAGACCCACCTGACTATCTAGGTCTGCATTGGTACGGCACAAAGGGAGATGAGATGATCAAGCATCTACAGTCAGCGCACGAGCGATATCTCAAACAACCCATCATCGTCTCGGAGTGGGCGTCTATCTCTCGAAAATATAACGACGTGCTGCATTTTACTGTGCAGCTTGCAAATTGGATGGACGAAACTGGGTGGATAGCTGAATATGGCCTCTTCGGTTGTATGAAGCAGCCAGCTGATGGATATGTCTCGCCTGCAGCACAGCTGATGAACCATGATGGAAGCTTCACGGATTTGATGTGGAAGTATATGTCAGACCAACCCATGCATACCTGAACGCTAAGCTTCGAAGGATGATTTGGGGAACCATAACTGTCTTTACGACGAAGATAGATGAGATCCAACAAGGCGAGGAACAAGATGAATGATTGAAGATGTTCGTATATCGGTAGTTCCATGAGTTTTTCTGCTCTGACTTGATACAACTTCGACAAGTATAGAGGAGGTCTACGAAAACGAGACCATTGATCGTGATCATCAACGTAGGTGTAAGTGGGTTCAATGGAAGAAGCGACGTGGAATTGGAAGTAGTGTTCGGTCGAAGGGTTCGCCGAACGCCGCTTTGCGAAACTCTTGCTGCTGCAGGAACCTGATCATTTCTTTCGGCGTTGCCTCTGGCATATTCTCAGATCGATGTTTGGTCAGACACTCAGCGCAGACTCGAAAATGTCGTTCTTCCACAGTCTTTCGACAACTCCGGGTATACCATTGGCAAGTACCAGTTTGTTTTGGAAAGGTCGCTGTCCATCTACCGACATCGATCGTAGAGGGCTTGAGGCAACTGCACACACTGCAAGCGGAATGGCGCGCTAGTCGTGGTCCATCGAACTTTGTATTTCTGTTTTCAAACTTGGCGACAAAACCCGCCGAGGCAGGTCTACTTGACAGTTCTATGATGCTGTAGAAGTATTTGTTGGTCTGGCAGAGTTGTATTGCAGCTTCCAAGTCAAGGTGATCGGTGATCTGGTTAAGGAGCTCGCCCGGTAAATTTTCGAAAGTTGAGAGTATAGCTTGGGACGACATGTTGGTGGTCGGTAAGATCATTCGATAGTTGGCGAGAGGAGGTTCATTTGGAGGTTCGCAAGATACTTGTGAAGAGTCACCGACACTGTGCTGGTTTGATGAGTCAGGGCGATGAACAAACTCACTCAAATTCTTGGTTGCAGCTAACATTTTCGGCTGCGTCCAGATCGAGCAGCTGGCTCTTTAGCAATCCTGGAACCATTCGTTTGACAGAACTTCAGTTACTGATGAACGAGCAGAGGGGTGCCACTGCAACAATCCTCTAATTAGTTTTCCAACTTGTTCGATGTCCTCTCGAGTAAGATCGATACGTTTGCCGTCGTCGAAATAAGTCAGATCAAGCCACTGCTCCAAATTATAGACTGGATCGTTATCGTAGACTTGATCTGTCGGAGTTAGGTGTTGCTCGGTAGNCTTCGGATGATGTAGAATGTACTGACCCCATTTTGGCATCGCCTTCCACTTAGGCTGCCATTCTTCTGGCGGTTCTCCTATCATATCCACTATCTGCTGTAAGATATCTTCCTTCTTTGCCATGATGCCGGTGAACGGCGGATACCCGACGATTAGTTCGAAAATNNCTAACATCCATCTTAGCAAGGTACCAATGAGGGAGACATGAGTAAGAGCTACCGCGCAGGCAAAACCCCAGCAATCAACTCGAAAGTCGAACTCCTCGTCAAACAAAGTTTCGGGTGCTCTGAGTGCCAACGGAGTGTGCAATCCCTTGGGCTTTTCGTAAGAGAAAAATGATTCACCAAAGTCGATGAGCTTCACAGAGAGCTCTTCAAGATTTAGTTTGCTGGCAGGGAAGGAAGCAGACCATACTAGATAGTCTGGAACTCCAGACCCTAGCGAGCCACCATTAGCGCGAGTTACCGGGCCTGTTTTGGGCAAACCGTAAGTCTCGAATAGCTTGTTTTCCGGAATTGAGTCGAGTCCTGGCACGCAGAACGCAAGGTCTCCTGTATGTATGTNCTGGCAAAGCATCAGGTCTTGCTTCCCTTTTACGTCTGACATTTCAGAGTGAGCCCACTAACCTCCATGAGCAATCTCCTGCCTGTGTAAGACTGCGAGCGCGAGACCCAATTGTTTGCAAGCCTTCTTTGCAACATGTCCTGGTAGCCTGTTGCCGGCACGTCGTTGTTCCACTACGCTAGCGATACTGGGACCAAGTAGTTCGAAGACCAGGCAATCATGAACGCCGTTGGGCCCGTCATGTTGGAAGCTATCCAGAAACTGCACAATATGCTTTCGCTCTGACCGCAATGTGAAGTTCGATTCCGATAGGGCTTGGAGAACTCGACGCTCACGATTGCTTGAGGATGAAGCTTCTGCCACTGTGATCTTGAGAGCCACATTTCTGCTGAGTCTATAGGGGGTCAAGGTTCTGAAGCATTCCTGTATCGTACTGAGCTTACATGANNGATCTCGTGCGATCCAGGTAGTCGAGAAGCTTCCATGACCCAGCTTATGAATGACTTTGTATCTTCCTCCTGCAAAGACATCCTGCAGACGCACTGGATGATAGCCTCCAGGTTCGTATCGGTCTAGAGGCTCTGCTGGGACTCCACAATGATGGAGAAATAATCGATCTGTCGACTTTGATCTCGTGTAGATACGTGGCGCCGACCTCGTCGAGGTAAACATCGGGAACGAACAGGTGATGCCTTGTCGGCAGAAGAGCGAAGTATGACAGCTTTTCATCGCGCATTACTGGACGTACTCGCAATTGCTACTGAGATAGGACTGGGTGAATATATCCAGGTTACCGCCGGCTATGCTGAGATCAGCGTTGACCTAGTAAACAATAACTCATTGTCTTCTCTTTGTGGCTCGGTTCCCACGGAGGCTGATACGGGCGCTTAGATCAGGCTGGTCTCAAATTCAATTCGGATCGCACTCAAGTATAGTTCTTTGGAGCAGGCTTCCAACGGCGTCGTTGTCTGAAGCATTGGAAATCAGAAAGATACTGATGTCGACCCCCAATGGAGTGCGACAATGACGCCAAGCATACCGATCGATGAGATTCACTTATCCCGGACAACACCACGACCATCAACGGACTCCGGGCGAACATGATCAAATAGCTGACGAAGTTTGAAATCATATACACAAAACACACTCAAAAGAACTCAGGCCGTGAGTCCCTTTGAAGCCACGTTGGTGCGGTATGGAACGCCCGGGCCAAGATTGAGCATGTTTCCCCAGAAATTGAGCAAGTTTTCCACCTTGGTGGAACAAACGTGGGTTCGGACAATGGGGGAAACCATAATGCTGACATGAGGGTGAAACGTGATGGCAGAGAGTATAAAAATGGGACATGTGCTGCTGATACCTTGATGGTCATTGTCTAGCATCTCTTTCCCCTCTCGTTCCAATCGCTTTAGCTATCATACCTGGCTCAATTGCAGCATCAAGCATAAAGCATTAAAATCAGCATCTCATCGCAATCAAAGAACAATAAACACAATGTGTGGCACCGAATCTTCTCGTCCAGTACTCGGCGGCACAATCGCTATTCTGAAGTCAATCGGCGAGTCAACATTACCAGACCTATCACTGCTCTTCCACCAAGACGAAGCCTCGACCACAACAGCAACGTTCCAATCCTCTTCTGCGCCAGAGACTACAGCAGACGCGGAGCTGAGCAGCTGTCAAATAGTGATCTTGTACGTACTATGCACTGCACTGTCCATTACGGTGCTTGAGCTATATGCTGACGGTAGCAATAGTCGCGATGGAGACCTCAGAGCTGTGGAGCCGATGACATCGGTATTACACGCTTTCCCCTTATCCACGTTTACAACGCAGTCGTTCAGCTTACCTCGGAAGCTCGATCTAGGAGTCGGTGGTGAAGGCATCATTGGGAGAAGAGTTGGCTTGGTCAGGCACACACAAGTGTTAAGGCAAGGCATCATCGGATGGAATTGAGGACAGGAGGGAAAGAACATTGGCGCAATTGCATACGGCGTTTTTGAGTTTCGGAAGGAGCGTTTCGTATGTGGGGTTTGTGGTATGCCAGGGTGTTAGGTTCAGCGAGTTCAGATGAGCACTTGAGGACATATTCTGACATTGTGGTATGCATAAGAACATTTTCGTCATGAGATTGAGCTTTTTGTGTGCTTTTATGCCACAATCTTGAGGTTTGGGGTGTCAGAGAGTCGGGAACAAGGAAGAAGCTGAGTTTCCACAATTGATCATCTCCTCCCTCGTCACTGCTTACCGATGTGCGGGGTCACCTATCACGGCGGGGTTATAGCAGTACTTTATAGCTCACAAATGAGCTGCGGTTCCTCTTCGTATACATGCAAGTTCTTACCTCTTGCATATTCAATATTTCATCTAGCGGCTTGGACAACATACAGATCAGCGATCAATCATGGCAGGAATCCAATCTCAGCTCGACTCAGGAGCAGTCCCCGGTCACATTTCCAATGTCTGTCCTCAAGGCACAAAACTCTGGCTCCTTGAATGCGGATGGTTGGCCTGTGATGAAGGTTTTGTCATACGTGGTGCCAACACCTCTCTCGCTTCTACGGCTGGTCAATCTTTCGAGAACAAGCGTCGCAATCTCCCAGTATACTGCTGCTTGATCTCTCATCCACACGAAGGACTTATTCTCTGGGAAACTGGCTGTGGAAAGGACTATCCGGATATCTGGGGCCCGCAGGTGCACGACGTGTTCAGTAGGGTCAAGTACGAGGAGAGGCATGAGCTCAGAAACGCCATCGCGGCCACTGGAAACAAGATTGAAGACGTCAAGAAAGTAATCATTGGCCATCTGCATCTTGATCATGCTGGAGGTCTTGATGAGTTCTTCGGCCGTACAGATGTTGAGGTTTGGGTGCACGATAAGGAGTTGAAGAGTGCGTTCTGGAGCGTGGCTACTGGAGCAGATGCCGGTGTATACCTGAAGCACTATCTCAATCTGGATCTGTGAGTGGGAAAGGACAACATCGGTGGACTGCACTAACAACATGCATAGNNGAACTGGAAGACGTTCGATGATCGGACCATTGACTTCTGTCAGGGAATCACTCTACACCATTTGCCTGGACACACCGATGGTTTGATTGGTATGCAGATCAACTTGCCCGATAGCGGAACTTTCTTCTTCATTTCCGATCACTGCCATGTTATTGAGAATGTAGGTTTACCTTGTGTTTGCTGAAGAAACAGCCGCTAATGCGTGGTANNGTGGCGTGATGGTATTCCTCAAGGATGGCTCGCTCGAGACCACCCAGCCTGGTTCCAGAGCACACAGCGTCTGAAGCGTCTTGAGCGCACGACTCGAGGCAGAGTGATTCCTGGGCATGATGAAGAGACGTTCCTCGCATTGCAGAAGGANAAAGACGTGTTCACCTGAGTTTATGGCCCATGCCATTATTGTTGTAATGACTAATGCTGTACGTAACTTGGCAGATATATTGGTAATTGGTCAATCGAGAAATACTTTTGACATTTGATATCGTGTCTAGATGTATGTTTTGATGAGCTTGAGAAATTCCCGAATTTCTGAAGCTGTTGAGTCTAAAAAGTGCGAATCTTATCTCAGACCAGCAAGTCTGCGTTGCTGAACTTCACTCAAGGCCTTGCTGCCACTCAAGAAGGCAACAGTGCCCACCAGACCAGCAGGAGGCAAGATCTGGAACAGAGTCCAGGAAGAGTAGTACAAGAAGAAGATGAACTCCATGGCGACTATGCTGCCGAAGAACAGGGCGTGGGAGATGGGAGCAGCGTTCATGGCTTTGGAGAGGTGGTTGAAGTTGGCGCCCAGGAACAACCATCCACCAAGAAGTGCGGGCAGACAGGCCATGATGGCGAGAGTAAAGACGCCAGATAGAATGGTAGGAGGNNGGGACTTGGGGTCGCTGCGGAAGATGTGGTGAATCTCGGACAGCTTGGCGTAGCGAAGAGGAGGCTCGGGAGTGCTGAGAGGCACATTGGCATCGCGGGTAACAGTCAAGTCGAAGGCATGTGTGTAGTAGGCATCAGAAGAGCCAAACGAGGCGATCAGAAGCTTGGCCTGGAGTGGGTCGCTTGCGCTGAGGAATTGGAAGGGGAGATCCTTTTGCGANNCTGTGACGCATGTCAGTTGCTTTGCAAGAATTGTATGGCGAGGAGAGTCATGGCATACCAGCTCGACCTTGGCCTTGCCGCTCTCCCTGACACTGAAGATGAACGACTCCTCGAGACCAGTCTTGGGCTCGTGAAGAGTGAGGAAGGCCTGGTGAGGTCTCTTTGCTGTCTTGTCCTCGGTGGTTGTCATGACCAACTTGAGCGAGTCGGTGGGACCAAGCTTGACCTGCTTGCTGAGATGGGCTTCAGGGGACAGTCTGTTCAAAGACAATTAGTATGGCGAAACGACAAAAGTCTGAAGGGTAACTGCTCACTTCTCCTTGAGGGCACCACCTACACCAGCTCCTTTGCTGGCAATACTGAGCGTGGCATCCTCGAAGCTCCACGAAGCAGCGGCAGCAAGGCCTGAGCCGAGCGACAACAGCGGCAGGACAATTGCACTCGAGAACTTCATGGTTGTTGTCTTGTCCTTGAATGGCCGAAGTCTTGGTGACGAAGCTCGAGAGGCTACCTGGCTGCTCCAGCTCTCGGCTGACTTGCCCCATCCGACGACGCGAGTCAGCCACCGTTCGCGGCCTTCGACTGCTCGACCCGGGCACAAGATCACATGTCGCTATAGAATCATACATAGGTATATGTGACTCAGTACGCATGATGAAGAACTGCGACAAGGCAATTGAATGGAAGGAATCACGAGGCAATGTAAATGCTGGATCGAGCTGGCTGTTGCTACACCTGCAAGCACGATTACCCTTTTGGGAAGGAGCATTGGGTGATGAGGCAGAAGCTACCTTACTTCCTGTTGCTGAACCACTTTCCTCGTGCTGTCAGATGTGTCTCAGAAAGAAGTAACGTTTCGAAGGTTGCATACTCCCTACTAGTCATCTACCAGGCATCAACAATCGCTATGTCTTGATCTTGTATTCGTTTGATGCGACAAGCGTGGGCCATCCGCGAGAGTTCTAACACCCTCAAACCGTGACGCCCGACATCTTAAACTTTGCCAACTACTCACAAAGACCAACCGTTCGCTGTCTGCAGTCTACAGTTCAGCGACAGTTAACTCTCCTGGCATCACTGTTCGCAGTCAGAACACAGGCTCAGATCTACCTCACATTCCACATGCCGAGAAGGCACGCTGCTTCCGGCGATGCATCGCCAGCTTCACCGGACACCATCACCGTCGCTATGCCGCGACAACCTCGTCCGCCAACTCGACTAAAACTCAAGTTTCCACCCAAAGAACCAGTCTCGGAGCCAGAAGAACCCTTGACTCGACCCAAAAGGAAGATTTCGAGACCTGCCAGATACTTGGACAATGTGTGCGAACCTCTGACTAAGAAGCGAAGAACTACCACAGCTTCCACCATGTCTCTACAGACATCAACTCCTCCCCTTCCAACTTCGGAAGCGCCGATCGGGAACTCATCAGATCCTATCTTGCTGACGTCTTCTAAGCTTGTCGATAAGAGCGACTATGCTGACTCTAACGAATCCCAGCATGCTGGCTATGGTGCTGATTTCCTTAACAACTTCATCGATGATACTCCTCGTTCTTCTCTGTCTGCACTCGACTCGGTCATTGGTTCGGAGAAAGGTCATAAGTTACATTCTGAATTCCTACCAGAGTCAGACGCTCTACCGGAAGCTGCTGCATTAGTGTACGACACCTTTACTGAGCTTACCAGCGAACCACAGATGTGCCACAAGGACATGCAAAGTCCAATCATCTTGTCAAGCTCATTCTCATCGGCGCCCCAACAGCTTGATAGTCCCGAAGTCATAATAAGAAAGCTTCAAAGTGCTTGTCATGCTTTGGAAAGATTGAGCACACCTGATGGTTTACCACAACATCACATGCCATTGTCTACAACTGGTCTCGAAGGTGAATCCAACATGATTTGCTGTATATCGTTGTTGCTGACCTTNGGTGTAACAGATACAAATGAACATGACAGTGTAGATGCCCTCTTGGCTGCTGCCGCTGGATGCGATCAGGCCAAAGAAAACCAAGAAACAGATCCTACCAGACCGTATGCTGGGGAGCAAGATGAAGAAATCGGCCTTCTCATCAGCAAAGCTATCGAGATACTGCGCTACCACCTTGCCAATATTCGTAGACTTGCGACAGATCGGGAACGATCGGCTGGCCACGGGAAGCACCCCAGAGACAATCACTGGAATACCGACGCAGAACAGCTGGTCTTAACTTCTCTTGAGCCATTGCTTTATGGTGGTGCGACAAACATTGGCTGTATCATCTCGACCAAGCGTGCAAGTTTGCTATCACGACTGTACCCACAGCTGATCCATTTCGTCACTGCACCTCACATTGCTCTGCATAGGACAGTTCAACTAATTCAGCACGCCACCAATGGTGCGAATATTCAGAAAAGTGTCAAGGCTACCTCAAGGAAGCGTTCGCACGGCCAAGTTGAGAAAACGAAGGCAGTCAAAGTACCCGTCCCACACAAATTCCTGTCTCGCCAGAAGAACTCGAGTTAGAACTTCGGCTCAACTGTGCACGACACCATTGCGCTTAGCTCGGATCCTCTGTCTGAAGTGGTCGAAAGCCCGGTTCCGGTGCCAAGGTCGTTTCCGACTCCAGCAGCAGCTTCCGCTCGCAGCTACAGAGAGGTTCATGCACATCCGTTCAGACCTGTCCTTGTCCAAGCACCACATTGGCCTCCGATACCGTACAACAACATGGTACATCCACAGCCCCAGCCATTGTTCTTTGCACATCCGCCTGCGCTGCTGCCTGCCAGGCACGGCGGACTTCTGCCCAATCAGCCAGGCCCAGTGACTCACGCGCAACATGGTTTCAATCACTACCCAATCCCCACGATGCCTATGTTCGCTCAGCCAACCTATCAGCCGTTCCAGCGAATGATGCCACCCTCCTTTCCACCAGATAGCTGGATTCCCATGCCCAACTTCGGACTGCCACCTGCCCAGAAAAGTATGCGCAACCCATTCTGGCGTTGACAATCTGCCCATACATGACGGAGTTCATGTTCTATTGATTGCCGGCAGAGAATTTCTCCTGTTCTATTATCTTCTCGACTTCCTTACTTTCAAGATCCAGAGGTTTATTTCACCAAAGATTTATGCAAGTGGGAGTTCTTAGCGAAAAGGCGTTCTGTGGGTTTCTGTTTCTTGCCGTATACCCCTCTCTTTTCTCTCGTGTATTGCTTTGTTGCTTGGAGATTGGGACAGAGTCACTAACTTGCTGTCGTGGACCAATGTGCTGAGGCTGTCGTAGGCAAGGAGAATTGCCATGGCTATTGTTACAGTAGTATACAGTTCTATGCTTGCTTGTAGTATGCACATACGTCCAGAATCATGTACAGTGCATCGTCAGACATGTGCTCAATTGTCCTGTATGCCCTCAACACCAACAACACCCTTGGGTCCCAACTTTGCCACAGTTCCGCTTCTCAAGCCCAGAGTCCTCTCGATCTCGGCAGCACTCATGTTCCTCTGGTCTCTCAACGTGATGACATTTCTCAGAGTGCCCACGTCCAAGAACCTCCTGCCAGCGCTGCCTCTCTTTCGAGCCTCCAAGAACTCTCTTTCGGCTTCGCCTGCCAACTCGGCACGAGCTTGCAATACACGCAATGCTGGGTTTAGTCGTTGCGGTGGCGCTGTCGTGTTGTTGCCGCCTTGTTGGCCGTATGAATTCGGGAAGTGAGAGCTTGGATGTGCAGCAAAAAGTCGATGAAGGCGAAAGGGTAGGGTTTGGTTGTACGGCGCCTAGTTGACGGAGCGAGCGAGCAAAGTCTGGATCTGATGCATCAAGGTTGATTTCTGTTGACACGCATCTTGTCAGCTCCAGTCACTCACTCGCTTCTAGTACGAGGGAGAAGACATGGTTTGGAGTGGTTTACCTTCGCTGCGCTGACCACTTGCGCGGGCTTGTGGGTGGACGGTAGGACCTGGCTGGCGGTTCGCGGCTGGTGGCGGCGGGGGCTGGGATGGGGCGTTTGACGTGCGTGCGGGTGATGCTTGTGTCGATGTTGCTGGTGATGGACGGGATGGGTACTGGCGGGTTGCTTTGGTTGCAGCATTTGCAGCGCGCGAGGCGGGTTTCGATGCTGATGAGCCCATTGCTATTTGTGTCGACTATTATTGGTGTTGGTATGCTCGGCCTCGATAGTCTGCTGGTTGGTAATGTCGAATGCACAATGTTCGGTTTGCTTGTCTATGGTCTTGGAGCTCAATTGGAATCATGACGAAGAGATGCTAAAAATCTGGGGTCGATATCGTCCGTGCTTTCCATTTTTGCAGAGCCTCAATTGCAACAGAACAGTCGGCGCGATTGCCGCATCTTTTCTGGTTGTCGGTGCGACATGTCTCTCGGATTCGTCTTCGTACAGCTGCACGCAGTATTGGCAAGGCCGAGCATGTCACGAGAAGGCCATTGGCATAGCTGCATAGTCCCGAAGAGTGGTCCAATTGTGCACCTAGCCGAGAACATGCCTCTGCTTGTTACCAACCTCTCTGCATGCTAAGAGTCTTTTCCTTGCCGCCTTGACGTGGCAGCCTGCTTCAACCTTCCGTATCCTTTGGCCGACGTGCTTGATGCTGCTGTCAAAGAAGGATGCCGACTGACTTCTCCGTTGCTTGCAGAAGCCGCTTGGTGCTCCACATCTCACTGGCTGGCTAAATTGGCTAAAATGCTTGCACGCGATCCGATCAACATGATTCGACCTTAACCCCGTTACCACCTTTTACACTTTACCCTCCCCATGGCCGCCATGCCAGCCACGCTTCAATTGTGGCTAAATCTACTGCGTCTAATTCGTCTTGTCTCCAGCTAGCTCACGCAGGTACTTGCGCCAGATACCCATCCGCGCGGGAAGCCATGCCGAAACAATGTTTGAGAAGCCTCGTAGTATGACGTACTCTACATTCAAAAATCCTCCTGCAACATGTATGCACCGGATGGACATGGATGACAAACATCTCTCTCCAGTCTACGGCAGACCATGAGTGTGGAGTACCCCCATCTTCCCATTTACCCTGCGGAGAAGATGCGGAGTTTACCACCATCATCCTGGTAAAATGTAGATGCATTCATGCCGGACTAAGCTCTTCACAGCCTCGGTCGGGTGTGTTGATCTTGACTCGAGCAAGCAATCGGTATTGATCCACCGCTTGGACCTTGACGTCCGGCACACTTGGCTCAAGGCAAGAAGATGATGCTCCGCAATTGAAACCCCACTGAGCTAGAGACTTTATCCAAGCTCAAGGTTGGCAGATCCCCATACTCGTTCTCGGACGTGACCATCATTCCACCTCGATGTCTTTTGCTTGGTTGTCATGGCTTGGTATATATAGCTGCTTCTCCCCCCAGTGACTTTAACTTGAAGCATCCCAATTCCACCGGGCCACATACCTCTACCATGGCCGCTCTTCTTTCTCTTTCCGCATTGGCACTGCTTGGAGCAGGTGCTTCTGCTCAGACATTCACAGGTACTGCCCAGGGCGGTTTCCCTGACTGTGCCAATGGCCCTCTCTCAAACAACACTGTCTGTGACAAGTCCGCAGGTATGCTTCATCAAGATCAACATATCTCGTTATCGTATTCTGACACCGTTNNAGACCCTGTTGCCAGAGCCAGAGCTCTTGTCGCTGCCTTCACCGTCGCCGAGAAATTGAACCTTACTGGAAACAACAGCCCCGGTGTTCCTAGACTCGGCCTGCCTGTTTACCAATGGTGGCAGGAAGCCCTTCACGGTGTTGCTTCGTCTCCTGGTGTCACATTCAATGCCACTGGACAATTCGACTCTGCCACTTCCTTCCCCCAGCCTATCTTGATGGGTGCCGCTTTCGATGATGAACTCATCCAGTCTGTGGCCGAGGTCGTCAGTACTGAGGCTAGAGCCTTCAACAACTACGGACGTGCAGGTCTTGATTTCTGGACACCAAGTCAGTACTACCTCTAGAATTTCGAAACCTGCCGATTCTAACTACAAGTTATAGACATCAACCCTTACAGAGATCCCAGATGGGGCAGAGGCCAGGAGACTCCTGGTGAAGATCCTTACCATCTCTCTTCCTACGTCCACGCCCTCATCATGGGTCTCCAGGGCGGCGAGGACCCTGAGATCAGAAAGATCACTGCTACTTGCAAGCACTTTGCTGGCTACGACATTGAGTCATGGAACGGTAACCTTCGCTACCAGAACGATGTTCAGATCCCCCAGCGTGATTTGGTCGAGTACTACCTGCCTTCTTTCCGTTCGTGCGCCAGAGATTCCAACGTTGGAGCCTTCATGTGCACATACAGTGCTCTGAACGGCGTTCCCACCTGTGCCGACCCCTGGCTTCTCAACGATGTTCTCCGTGAGCACTGGGGCTGGACCAACGAGGAGCAGTGGGTCACCAGTGATTGCGATTCTATCCAGAACATTTTCCTGCCCCACAACTTCAGCGACACCCGCCAGGGAGCTGCTGCTGCTGCCCTCAACGCCGGTACTGACCTTGACTGCGGTACCTACTACCAGCACCACCTTCCTCTCGCATATGACCAGGGTCTTATCAACCAGACCACTGTTGACCAGGCTCTGGTCCGTCTGTACACTTCGCTTGTTCGCACTGGTTACTTCGACGGTCCCAACGCCATGTACAGAAACTTGACTTGGTCCGATGTTGGTACTACCCATGCTCAACAGCTCGCCCTCAGAGCTGCTGAAGAGGGTATCACTCTCCTCAAGAACGACGGTCTTCTTCCCCTCTCAATCTCCAACGGCACTAAGATTGCCATGATCGGAAGCTGGGCCAATGCTACTCAGCAGATGCAGGGTAACTACTACGGTGTCCCAACCTACCTTCACAGCCCTCTGTACGCTGCCCAGCAGACCGGTGCTCAGGTCTTCTATGCTCAGGGTCCTGGTGGCCAGGGCGACCCTACCACTGACCACTGGCTCCCCGTCTGGACTGCTGCTGAGAAGGCTGATATCATCATCTACGTCGGTGGTGTTGACATCAGCGTTGAGGCTGAGGGTATGGACCGCGAGGACATCAACTGGACTGGCGCTCAGGTCGACATCATTGGCGAACTCGCCATGTACGGCAAGCCTATGATTCTTGCCCAGATGGGTGACCAGCTCGACAACACTCCTTTTGTCAACAACCCCAACATCTCTGCTCTGATCTGGGGTGGTTACCCTGGTCAGGATGGTGGTGTCGCTCTTTTCAACATCATCACCGGAAAGACCGCACCTGCTGGTCGTCTCCCCGTCACCCAGTACCCCGCTCACTACATCTCGGACATCCCCATGACCGACATGACTCTCCGCCCCAACGAGACCACCGGCTCGCCCGGCAGAACCTACAAGTGGTACAACGGCACCGCCGTCTACGAGTTCGGTTACGGTATGCACTACACCAAGTTCTCCGCCGATATCTCTCCCATGTCCAAGTCTTCCTACGACATTCCCTCCCTGCTTTCTGGCTGCAGCAGGACCTACAAGGACCGCTGTGCCTTTGAGAGCATCTCTGTCAACGTCCACAACACCGGTAACGTCACCTCCGACTACGCCGCTCTCGGTTTCCTTGCTGGTCAGTTCGGACCTTCCCCTTACCCCAAGAAGTCTCTCGTCAACTACCAGCGTCTCCACAACATTGCTGGCGGTGCATCCCAGACCGCCACTTTGAACCTGACTCTTGGTTCCCTCGCTCGCATTGACGACCACGGCAACACTTACCTCTACCCTGGTGACTATGCTTTGATGATCGACACCATGCCCGAGCTGACCATGGTCAACTTCACCTTGACTGGCCAGCCCGCTTGTCTCGATGAGTGGCCTCAGCCCCCAGCAGGTGGACCCACCATTCCTCCTTCTGACTACTTCTACGGTGGTTACGGAAGCAGAGGCGAGTTCCCCGTCCTTGCTGCTTCTGAGGAACTTTACCCTGGAGCTTAGAGTGCAGGGTAGCTGAAAATGAAAGTCTCTCTTGAGAGTTCGGTAATTTAGTTTAGTGACGAATAATCATGTAATGACAAAATGAACTCCTTTTATATCTACACCTTCATCACCATTGCTGCAACTCCATTTTCTATGTTCAGAAATCGCATAGATAGGCACAAGGTAGTGTGTGGCGCTATATGCGGGGGCTTCATTACCTTTCTGGGGGCTTAGATAATCCTCGGCAGAGACGTTCTGCACCTTTCCGACACAACCCTCTCTTGACATGAATTCCCGAATAGAAATTTCTATCGCTCTTGCTTTCTTCGTCAAGAACAAAGACAGTTCCAATCTCCTTTGTTCGACTCTAGCGTAATCTCCGCTACCTAAGTACTCTTTCGGACTTGTAGAGATACACATGGAACGAATAGCCGGAGCGCAAGTCCTCCCTGAGGGACAAATGAGCCCACTACCACCATACGAATATGCCCAGAAGCCTCTTGCATGATTTCTAGTCCCTCAAGAAAGAACCATCTTTTACAGAAACTCGTCAGAAAGGAAAAGGGCAAGTTGAAAGCACATAATGCAGATGCGGGTAGCCGCATAATCGTACATCCCCATCACATTGGGAAGCAAGCGACGACCCAACAGCATGCGGGCTCCCGACCCAGCTTGTCTTGACCTGTTTGACCTTTGTTTATCTCACATCGCTTTGACGTTCAGGGCACAAACAGCAGCAGCAGCGAAGTGAACATGGGAGCAAACACCTCCACTTCTGAGAAGGTGAATACATTTGCTCGTTCCCGCCTACTTCTTCTTCTTCTTTCCCCCTCTCCGGTCTGATCATATCCAGCGTAGAACCTTGACGATGCAGTTACCCATACGACCTCTACAAGGTGGTTCTCCGGTCACTCCACTGCACCAATCGCCTACCCTGACGACATTGCCGATTGATGTCAAGCATGAGATCTTCTCCTACCTCCTACTTGGAAAGAATGTGAAATACTCAACCGGCGGTCATGCTCCAGGACACAGCTACACGTTCCACGTGAGCATCATGCGCACCAACAAGCAGTTTTACGAGGAGACTTATGACTATCTGCGCTCAAACAACGAATTTGCTCTGATTCACCTGAAATATCCACGCCTTCTCAGTGGCTTTGCCCCTTACATTGCTGTTGATAAGAAAGTCAAGAACTTCCGAAACCCTGCTATCGAGATTACTGTCGAGGACCTAGAACCGAAAGCCCAGTGGCCTGACCACAACCCTCTGTTCCATCGCCCGTCGGATAGGCTTTATGTACAACGCGTACTCTTCCTGGTTCAAGACCTACCACACTATGCCCGTCAGATACAGCTGGAGATTCACGTCTGGCCCTCTTCTCAGATCTACGTCCATCCACCTCGCGAATCGCGCCCGCTTCAGTACACCCCGATCGTCATCAAGAACGATCGCAAGATTACCTGGAAGGTCAACCCTAGCCATCGTACAGATCTCACACTTGAAGAGCGTCGAGCACGACAGGAAAGATTGATTACCCCGATGACTAATGTTTTTGGTCACGGGCAAGCAATTCGCTTCCCTGGCGTTGATACCGACATCGCCGCTCGTGCCATACAATCCATGACACCTCGTTTGGTCTCGGTTGATGCGGTTGGATGGAACCTCTTCGAGAACATGCAAGCACAGAAACGCCGCTTGGACGAATGTCTGATCAACGGCTTCGGTGGGCCACATGATCTACTCCAAGCATACGTCTTGACAGCTCAGCTGGTGCACGATGCGCGTTCATGGTCCCAATACGCTCATCATTACAACACTGCGCTTCTATTCAACACTCCCTACAGTCCGACTTCTCCGGCCAAGCAGCCTTTGGCACTGATGTCGTTCAAACCCCAAGCTCTGCGCGACACTTCAAGTGACGTTTGGCTGCATGGCGTCGCAACCATCGGCGTGGAGTGCCTTCTCAATGCTATGGGTCTGGCTCTCGACACTGGTAACTTGGTTCCTCTACTCGGTCCAGACATTGCCAGAGCTCTCTGGTCAATGGCCAACAAGCCTTGTTCCTCTGAGCCCATACGACAAGAGCTCTTGGATACTGTGCATCACTACAAAGCTTGGTCTAAAGTGTTCTCGGATGCCATGGAGCGTGTTCTGGACGACAACCACTTGCGAATGGCCATCTTTGATCTAGAGCACGGTGTCTCTGATGACAGAGATAACGAATGTGTACTTGACGATATCAAGTGCTTGAAAGAAATCATAAGGGTATGTGACATGATCCATATACGAATATTTCAAATATGCTGACTCGATCCTNNAACTTTTTCAGACTGAACAGATGCCCGAAGACATGGAAAGAACTTCGCACCTGGACTCAAGCGACGTGAACGCAAGTTCACCGAGCCTCTCAACGTTGTGCGCCCCAAAGACCTCCATGGTTGGACATCCGACGCTATTGACAGTTTGACACCTGAAGTTAGGCAGAGTATCATCGAACACTCTGATGCCGCGATCAAAAGCAAGACGCCTGTTCCTGCTGTGAAAACCCGTTCGGAGGGACATGTGATGCTGGGAGTCATTGACGGTACACCCAAAACTGGTTAGATTTGGAGTATTATGATCCAGACCCAGCATTGTATAATGCTGCTATCTGGTCACGGTTTGGTGGGTGAAGGATGCATTCAAGCAGTAGACAGATTAAGTTGGTGTTCTCGGAAGTTGGAACATAAAGATACCGATTAATCAAGCCTCATGGACAACACGTGCGGACTCGTGTTAACTGAGTTAATTTGAGTGCCTTTTCTTCCCACCCAACCAATTTCGATCTACTCCAGGGCAAATTATCTCTAGAAGCGGCGATGCGTCATATCTCTGAGTCACTGTTGGTTTCTGTTGCTATTTAATCTGTCGTCCTGTGTCACTCCTGCATCTTTCATCCACTACAACACATATCTTGAAACCAAACCATACAGATGTCACCACCACACAACGTCTCCGAGATGTCACTCAAAGAACGAAACTACTCTACCATGAGAGCTGCCAGAGCTACCAGAATCGCACGAAGCCCATCACCTCTCAACGTTGCCGGAAGGCCAAGTAAAAAGCAAAGAACTCTTCTGCCGCTAGAGCTGCCAGAGTTGCCAAAATCCCACGCAGTCCATCGCCTTCCAACGTCGCCAGAATGTCGATCAGAGAAAGAAAGAGGAGAGCTGCCAGACTTGCCAACATCGAACGACTTCCATCACATCTCAACGTCCGCCAGATGTCAGCATCACCTTCGGAGGGAGGAGAAACTTCCTCGACTACAACTCTTGACAACGACTTCGAAACCTTTTCCGACAGACTCTCTTCGGAGCAGGCTGCGGAGTTTGACTCCCTGCCCCCAGCTCTCGCGGAAGCTCTCAACAGACTTGTATCGCATCTCCAGCACGGTACCGACGAAATGAACGATCTCAGGCGTTGTGTCGCTGGCCACTTTGATCGCATCAATGCTCGCTTTGATCGTATTGATGGTCAAATCGAAAGTATCCACAAGCGTGCCGATTCCATCATCGACATGCTGGACGAGATGCACAAAGAAAATACTCAGTGGTTCGCCGCAAACCTTCGCAATGGTGCGCCTCAGTGGATGGAGGATAACATTGCTCGTGGCGGCGAACAAGCTGAATCGTCTCGTGCCCAGGAATTCCCGCCGCTGATTCGATGGGGATGATATCTCATCAGCACTCTGTTCCTACGTAGATAGAAAACAATCAAGCAACATCTTCATAATCTAATTGCTTTCTGAATGCATGTGAACAAGCCTCTGGATGCGTTGTGCATAGAAGCTCGGCCTGCCCAGTTCGAGCCCGTCTTTGCGAGTGAGCACGTCAAAATGTGTGTCCGCCAGCTACACGTTGCCGGACACAGTCTTTCAAGGGCAAATGTACCAGGGACCGTGTCGAAATAGGAAGTAGCTGCAGCTTAGTCAAAAGCTTCGGAGCAAGGTGCCTCGACAGTCAAGCTCTTTCAGGGACTCTGCTCAAGAGCACAATGTATGATCAGATTGCGTAACGAGTCAGACTCGTCAAGACCCATTTCTCCAGAAAAGTGTAGCCTCAATTGGTCCTTGGTGAATTTCGCGAGCAACGAACTAATGGTCGGCTCATTACTGAAAATTTCCGAGAGAAGGGTATATTGGCCTTCGGTAGCCATTACCTTATGTTCCTTGCGCAGAACGTCTAGCCATTCCTGTTCGGTTCGTGCTTTCCAGGCAGCTGAAGAGCATGGAAGAGGCATGTTCCAGATCATCTCATCGTTTAGTGACTCATAATAAGGTGAAACTTCGCCAGTCTTGGGGTCTTTTGTGGCATAGTAGTTGACGATGTGTGCCAGAAAGATTGTTCTACGAGCAGTCTCTGCTACCAGCCAAGTCATCCACGCTGATGGCGCCGAAACATATCGAACCCGCGAGTCGCGGTTCATTTCTGCAGAAGGATCTGTCGCTTCTGGGTGCGATTGACAAAATCGACGGGTCATCTGAGATAGTCAGTTTCTCTGATGTAATGGTTACAGTGGAAACATTACCTTGAGTACAATCGGCAAGTTCAGCCCTTTGGTCCGGGATCCGGGCTTCCAATTGTTCATGGCATCATCTTCGATGTCGGGCAGCTCCATCATTTCGTAAAGCCACATGGCATGTAAAGCATCCCATTCATCAATGCAAGCAGACTTTGGNNCTAGAACGAACATATCAGCTTTCTTTGAATTACCAACTCAAAAACAGGCATAACTGACAAATGCTTCAACAAGACGTTGGCGCTCAGCAATCGTTGCACGCTTCAGAAACGATACATTCCTAGTATTTTCTAGACTCAACGCACACGTGATGGCTGTTGAAGATCTAGGCAATGCCGTGATGTCCGAGGTAGAGACGTTATACAGTTCACGATGTAGAAGCGATGTGTGATATCCGTCAGATGCTAAGGATACAGGATATGAGCGCAACATCTTTATGACTTTGTCGGCGGGCAACGCAGAAGAAATCTCTTCCACAGTCATGTTGATCTCTTTAGAAGGCTCGCGATAATCCAGAGATACGGTGGGCGTCATTACAGCGGTCGGGATGGGTGATGGTGCTGCTGGGGTAGGTAGTACGGGATCCCATCGCTGCAAGAGCCAGTCTTGCGGAGTTGTCTGAATTGTGATATTCTGGATAGGCTCGGTATTATTCATGTGGGCCGTAGAGAACGGAGCGTAATCAAAGTGATAATCCATATTCAAGCCACCGAGTGATATATCTGTGCTGGCATTCGTGATGCTACCGTAGATGTTGTTGCTACCATGATCTAGACTTGGAGTTGTAGCACTTGGGCTTTGTGAGGTAGTTGAGCGGCGAGTCACATACTCGCAGACCAGATTGCGCTCGGTGCACCGAGAGCAAGTCGGTTGAGTCAGACAACATTTTGTTCTGGCTTGTACACATGCATTGCAAGACTTTCTTTTCGATATAGATTTATTTGGCTTGCAGTGACGTCTGTGTCTAACCAGTAGATNCGCCTACAAGAGCTTGCTCGTCAGTGACGTGTTCTGCTACAGAATCACCTATAGGACCGGCGTACGTCGTCTGTAGGTCTTATGGCAGAGATCACACTCATGCTGATCATCCTCGTTGAAAGGTTGCATCTGGATCTTCTATATTGGACATCTGGTGTGTGATACAGAGCTTGATCCGGAGTTCGACTGTTTGTTGCGCTCCACTCTGGCAGCTGTGCATTTCCTCAACCAGGCGAGTGAGCAAAGGGCGGAGATGTGTTGTTAGACGCACGCCGAAAAGGGAAAAGCGCCGGAGGGGGATTGGTCAGGGTCTGCTGAGTCATCATACGCGAGCTGCACCAAACGCGACGACCAGCAATGACGGCGACTGTCTCTCTTTGTGATAACCGCATAACTCACCAGGAGTCTTGCGTGTAAGAGAATGGGAGGACTGGGACATCAATTCAGTTGTCCAGATTTTGTCTTTTGATCTGGCGGCAGTAGCACCATATTCGAGGATGAACGTCACTTCCTTGATCTTGGCGATACCGCGTGCCTTGAGGAGGCCTGAGAATCTCTTCCACATATGCACATCCATACCGAAAGACTCGATTGACCATGACTAGACGAGACCGGATATGTATTGCTGCGGTTGCTTTTTGGTATAAGACGAAAGGACCTGTTCTGCCTCTATAGCTGGGAGTAGCCTCCAGACTTGACGACATCGACAAGAGTGTCAAGCACGATCTCCCACTCAGCGTCGAACCTTGCGGGTGTCCCCCTTTCCAACATCTCGTTACGGGCATAACATTTACATAGCACTACAGACAGGATGGTCGCATAATCCCGCGTGCCAGATCCTCAGCACGCTCCGGAGGAGATGTCGCGGAGGGAGAACGTCGAACTCCGGTGCTTACCAACCATCTCATGCATTCAAAATGGGGACGGCCTGGCCTTTGATTACACGCCAGCTACTATACATTCTGCAGTCCTTCTCGCGTCTTTACATGCTTCTCACTTCTACAAAATTCACAAGTGTCACCGCAAGCCTGGTGCGACTCAATTTGGTAACTGGTCCCTCAAGCACTCTACCAGAGAGGTTCAGTGCATGCACTGCCGAAGGAACATTGTACTGAGCAGGTTATAGATTACTGCTCTACCATTCGTGCGGTCATACCACTTCACAACCACAGCAATGTCTCCACTACTCGTAACCCAGCCTTTCGAGATTGCAAACCTGCAGAACCTTAGTGTTGGACGAGCACTTCCTTCTCTTCAAACTGGATATGAAGGCCCAACCATGGTCAAAGGAGCAGGATGGTCTCTTCCGTCTGGTGCATACACAGCCCGTCAGATCGTGGAGGGTTGTGCACCTCTGCTAGAGACTGTACTGTACCACCTTGGTCCATCGCCATCTGATCAACCTTCGGCGCGTGACATGCTGCTAGACAATCTCGCCTCAAACCTCGCTCTCGGCACTCGCGAGTCAAGTCTCGATATCCCTACAAACAGTGCCAGTCGCAAGGAGTTTGCTGCACAAGCAGTCAAGATTGGCAAGACCCTCGTCACCTACGCTCGCGAGACAAAAGATGTGGCTTACGACTCAACGTACGCCATTCGCAGCCCATGCGAAGGACACCTTCTCAAGCCTCCTGTCGCCCAACTCATGTTCGGCCCTCGCAGCTTGGGTCATTTGATGCAGATTTACAACGAGTATCTTCATCAGATGGTACTGCTTCGTGATGCCCTCCTGCCGTTCGAGAACTACGATCAAGTCATAATTCCCATTACCGGCGGCAAATCAAAGCAACAGCTGGGTATGAGGTTCACTGAACCACAGAGAGCGAGCTTCATTGCTGAGCTCATGACAAAGTTGACGACGCAAAAGTCTGTTTTCAAGGTCGGCCAACAACTCCTCGCACCCAACATGCCTTCGGACATTGCTTATGGCTTTCAATACAAGTACGGCATTGTCCTTCCTGCCGCCGTGGTGGGAGGTCAATCTCTGCGTCTGCTGCGCTATATCCCTTCCGTCATCGATGAAACCACCCCAGAGGTCACCTTTGAGTACGAATTTGCAGACTACTACTCTGCACCCCGAGTCCAAGTTCCGCAACTTCTCCAGCGTGTCGAGAAGGATCAGACCCCTGTCACAGCCTTCGATGCTAAACAGCACGGCCTAGAAGACTGCTCGTTCGCCATAGCCACCAACTCGAACTCCAGCTCGACTTCGCGTATTCTGCAACTCCTTCTCTCGCACCGCAATGGGCAATGCTCAGCCGTCGACGTCGGTCAGATCTCGCGTGGTTGGCGCTACAGCTACAAAGTCTCCAGTACCAAAGGTCACACACCTTCCGCTCAGTCCAGCGCCGCAGTATCGGTGCATTCCGCCTCTGAGTTCCTTGCCAGCTCTGGTAACAATGGCCTTGCGACTGATGAAACAGGGGGCACTCATCTCATCCAGTGTAGCAGCGAGGTCGAGATTTTGGCATGCTTGGGCGTGATCTATCCTGACAACATCATCATCCATGGGCAAGGAGCTTCGTTGGGAGATAGTGAGGGAGTTGGACAATCTTTGCCCGGTCAACCTCGCTTTGTTCTTCAGATTACCTGAGGTATTTGTTTCTGTTCGTTTCATATCAAGCCTTATCGTCCGTCTAATCTGTAACCAGTGCTCTTTCTCCTTTTACACCTGCGATAACTCATCGTGATTGAAATCTACATATCGAGCTCCGTCTCTTCTTAAATGGAGCCGAAACAAATCGAAGACATCTCCACAGTTCGATGCCTTTTCCATGTGTGTGCACCAAAAGTCTTTGCACTGATCTTAAGTTCAACCGTCTCTGTACATATAGATATTTGGACGGGCTTGGAAGTGATTGGTATGTTTTCAACTGTCAAACGCAAATCTATTACCCCAGAGTCTGAAGATCTGAGCCCGGAAATGTGTAGTCGCCCAAGAATCTCCGTTTGCTGTTCCACCAAACAAACACTGTATCACTCACGACCTCACTACCACCCAACTCATTCCATTCACTCACTTGAGTCTTCCACGCGCTTCCATTGCGCTCTCTCTTCAAACAAGACAAACGCTTACATAATCAATTCCTCTCTCTCACTGCTATAAAAGCAGCCTCCCCTTCACGCAACTTCTCTCTCTTCTTTCTTTTTCTTCTTAAGTCTCTTGCAAATTTTGCTTAGATCAAGTGTAGTATCTGTTCTTCATAGTTTAATCTCTGTGAGCGGCCTACGGGCTGTCTTCAAAGATTATTCTTCATTTTGGAACTGGCTGGGAGACCTCTGAGCTTGCTCATGTCTTTTGGCACAGTGTCGCTCGTATTGCACTATTTCGAGCTGACGCGAATCACTTCTTTTCATTGGTTTTCTGGCTACAGCAGCTGGAAATTAAAGAAGAGTTGTTTGTTTCTTTGTCTGATCACCGATATCGAAGGAATGATGGTAAAAAGTGATCGCGTTGTGTCCTTACATGGTGTTTGTTTGTTGTGCTTCTGCGCATCGCATCCGCTTTCTACCGTGTCTGAGACTTTAGGAAATACGGATGGCCAGCCTACAGGGAGACTTCCACATCGGCAGTAGACCTCACCGAAACGATCAACAAGCATTCATGTTCTTTGCCGTCATTTTCTAGGCTTAAGCAGTCGTTTCTTCTTCTGGACCTTGGGGTCAGAGCGTCCGCCTCCTTTACCGTAACCTCCTCCAGCAGATGTCAAAGAACGAACAATGGTCCTGTATATTCCGCATCACTGACCCGACTGTCTTTGTCCAGTGGGGACCGTCTTATCACATTTGCCTTCGCTTGTTCGACGGTCCATCGAAACAGCTCACTTGACGTGGCGGCTTGCATGGTTCCTGACGCATGAGCTCGCATCTGAGCTTCGCATGAGCTTTATCCTTCTCACACCAAGAAAGCGTATCGGCGAAGTGACCGAGACAGAGAATCCAGCAAACAAAAGATGTAGACACAACGACAGACATCTGGTGGACACTCGAATTCTTCTACCCGGGTGGACGTGACAGCAGACCAGTTCAATCTTCATGGCCCTGCTAATCATGTGAGCAGAGGAAGAACAGATCGGAATGGCTTTCGGCACTCTCTTCTCCACTGTCGACGACATTCTCAACTCATCTGGTACCGCAAGACACCTGCAAAATTAAGGAGGCCACCACAACTTGCCGTTTGGATATCCGCAAGATCGTTCTTCAGCCCACCGATGACAACACTGAAGATACCAAGGTCGACCCCAAGGGTCCTGTCCTGGAGAAGAAGAAGAAGAAGGCGCAAAACACTTCCACCGATGATGTGCTCCAGCGTGAATTCCCTTCGAGCACCTCCATCAACTCTCAGTCGTCCAAGAAGAAGCCAAAGCTTACCGACGACATCCCACCTCGCACCACTCGTGCCAAAATCAAGTCGGCTGCCAGATCCAAGAAACCTGAAGATGAAGACGAGTAAGGGTAGAGCTGAGCCTCACCTCGCTATTGCAATGGTGCACTTGCATATCGTCAGGGCCGATAGAAGGAGCACAGATCAAGTACAATAGATACGCTGCCGTCTATTGACAACGAAACTCAATATCTTTCTTTTAGGTTGACAATAGCATTCATGCCATTCGAACCATTTCTATTCACCATCTTCTATTGCCCTTCGCATGGTGAGCCCAACCAAGGCTCAGCCTGCACGAGAAATCGACTCTTCCCTCTATATCCATTCCTTTGCAGTGTTTGCTTGTTGCACCTGAACCTCGTTCTATCATGCCGAACACCAGAAAGCGCCGCAGCGAAGCCTTTGAGGCAGCGAACTCGGCAAACAAGAAGCAGAAGCAAACCGGCAGAGTCTCAATGGACGCTCAAGACTTACTACCCGACGTGGATGTGACAGCTCCTGAGATGAACACAAGGGTTGGTCTTCCGATGCTGGCTGCATATGTTTCAGGCTAATCACGATACAGTTCTGGAACACGGTCATCTCCTTCATCAACAACGACTCCACTGTCCTGGACCAAACGTTGAGATGGCAGAATCTTCTTGAGAGCATGTACATCATTGGCACAGCCCAGATGAAGAAGACGGGTGCCGTTGATGGTTCAATATCGCTCTCCGCTCTGAAGAACCTACTGGATGCTATGGAAGCACAGCCTTACGAGAAGGCTCAACAAACAAAGAAGCACGCCAAGTCAAAGCCTACCATTTCAGAAAGCGAAGCCGACAATGACGACGACGACAATGAAGATAACAACAACGATATGAACAATCACAATTCTGAGTTGGAAGAGACGCCGATCAAGCAGACTTGTACGTTCAAGAGGCTACAGGGCCTCGCCACGCCACCTCAGACGCCTCCGGATCAGGTGGTCAAGCCAAGAAAGAAGCGATTCAGGGCCCTCTCCTCTCGCGAGGGAGCCTGGCACAGTACCTTGACCATTGTTAGGCGTCCGTACAACACCACCACATGGGCCCCTGGTCTCACAGACATCATCACTCACACATGCGAGCGTCAACAATATCGTCAATTTGCTCGACGATCGTATCGCAACAAAGGTTTCATCGCTATCAACAACGGAAGCAAGACGGTGCAGAGGTTGACACCCTTCAACGACCAAGCTCGACAAGTTGTACTAAAGTTCAAGGCTTTGTGGAGTGCAACGAAATCAGCAGCATTGTCACAGTACAAAGAGTTCTTTGTCTATTATGAGCTCGGGGTTTCTCTCTACCAATTGGACTCAGAGCATTATCAGATTGATCAGGTACCAACTAATCAGCCAGCCAATTATGCTCGCAATTACCCTGGAGCCGCCTTCACTGTATCGAATGGCGTAGTGAAACATTCTGTCTTGTGGAATGGGTGCAGACATTGGAACAAATAATGCCGGCACGGCAACGCTTGCTTCTGTGATTGTTCATGTCTTGGAGGAAATGTTGCCTTTGTTTTGGCCATGAGGAAGGAACGAGAGAGAGACGATATGCATGGCTTGGTCATAGATTGTGTGTGGCAGATCGATGGCTCAATAACAATATGGCATAACGCTGGGTATAGATATTTCAACAATAGGGGCTTCCGGCGTAGAGCGAAGGCCTCGTCTACTTCTTCGGAAATCGATTGTATCCTTTTGGCAGTCAAGTCTGATCTGTATTGCACTTTTGGGTCTTTACTGAAGTCACGCTGATGCCGTAGATGATTGAAAGTGCCTGGCATGATCACCGAAGAGTAAATAGAAGCTCAGCAGGTCATACTTCATTCGTTCTATCAACGATAACGAGCGCAGATTCAGTGACATCTACGATTGGAACTGTGATTCATCTCAAAGAAGGACTCTTAACGATAATAAGGCTAAGAGGTTCTGTGGCCTCACTTGCAACCAAGGCTTTATATTGAAGGTTCGTTCCCTCCTATTATAACCACAAAATAGGGATTGTGGCCCAACGGGTGGTTCTGTAAGTTACAATACCCGAGCATAAAAACGAGGGCGGTCCAATCGGAAGAGCGTGGCGTTTCGCAAGAGACCCTGTTTATCTACCCAGTGGAGCGTGGCCTTCCGGCGATAAACAGCCTCAGTGGTTCTTTTTATTTTCCAGACATGTTGTCGACACTCTCTGTATAGCAGCTCGTTGTGCAGGAAGGGGTGTGTTATTGTTATGTTCTATAGAGGTGTTTGAAATTTTGAATACACTGGGTTGTGCGGAAGCGAAGATAGGGGTTCGAATTGCTGCTGGAACTCTGTTTCTTTTGCTCTATCTACAAATGCTTTCACTCACGACTCTTACTGGATTGAAAAGCGCACACGTCAACTTCGCCTCCTGGTTCCTTCTCATTTTGAGACCCTACGCAAGTGATTCGGTATGCAGACAGAACACACATGAAGGGCTATGGTCAACTTCGAAGTGAAATTGGTCAAGAAAAGTGAAAGCACACCCATCCAACACTTTCCGGCGAAAGGCGTGTTTGTTTTTGACAAGACGTGTCACTCAACATCTACTTTCTCTCTTGTTCCCTAATTCACATCTTCGACTTCGACACACAAGTATCCGACCTTACCACCATATCCGACACCACCATGGCCGCGATGCAGCCACAGCAAGAGATTTTCGAGCGTGAGCAGTACTTCTGGTATCATGACGGAAACGAGCACATCGAGAGCTGGCTGTCCACCAACAGTCAGGACTATCCTGACATCTATGCCACTTACATCAACGACGCCAACGCAGTCGTCTACAGAAAGCGCGTAGGCAAACCAACGGAGTACGACCAACGCATGCTTACATTCCTCGAACAATATCCTATGACCCACGCCAATATTGTCGACGAGTTCACCTGGTACAAAGCCAACATTCTGCANAAGAAGAACTGGAGCGGCGTTGGCCCTCACAAGACTGGAATGATTGATGTCCTCACCTACAGTATGTTACTTACCCTTTTCCTTGTCCGGCTGTATTGCCCAAGNCAGAACACGTCTTGCTGATACACTGGTGTAACAGACAACGACCCTCAGATCCTGGCCCAGGCCAGAGATCTGCTCTACAAGCACGTCTTCGACGTCGGTCATCGCCACCAGCACTGGGTTTGGCGTGGCGAAAATGGCCTCCTCAACCGCAACGAAGTAGAGCCGCTTTCCAAGAAACAGAAGAGTCACCTGAAATCGAAGGCACGCTGGGACAGGATGGATGAGATGAACGCTCGTCTGAGAGCCCGTGGTATAACCGCCGACACTATCGACCCCGCCCTTTTCGCTGAAGGTCCAGGTGGAGTCAACTCAAGAAGATATATTGAGCGGCTCATGCTTGATCTCGAAGTCGGCAAGAACGAAGAGAACCAGTCCAAAAAGGCAGACAACGATACCGAGATGGAGTGATGGCAGTTGAAGGAAGAGCATTCGCTTCGTTCATTAAGTCACCAACAATGTTTCTTTGGACGAGCAGCAATCAAGGACAACTTTGTGTCTTTTCGTGGGCCATTATGGATGGACACAGCAACCAGGGAGCAATTGAAGTATCGAATGCAGGGAGGGAGAAAGGACGAGGAAGAAGGATGATGGATGGAGGTTTGATAGCTGCTGAGCACGGGCCTTTATTCTGCATGCTCACAAACGTCAGCTCGTACCCATCTTCTTTTGTCCTAGCGACAACAACACATGACTATTATCAAGCACATCTGTTCCCCTATCCAATGGAATAACATCAGTTGGAAATCTTGTCAGTCACCCTGTGACATATCTTTGCATCTTGATAAGCAGTACGGATGACCGGATACTTTACGAGAGCGAGCCAAGGTTCGCCAGGATCAGTCTCTCACAACAACCTATGGTGGCACTGTAAGCTATCAAGATGCACAGTCACTTCCAAACTCAGAAGTATGTTCACAGAGATTGCCCCTGAAACCATGTCTCTGTGGCCATGACTTCATCCCACAAAACATTGTGCATTTTTATAGCTACAACGGAGGCCAGGGAGGTATGAGAGTCACTCTAGTAAGCCCATGTTCTCTTGTCGCCGTATGGATCCGCTTCCCCCTCTCATAACAGCACATGGTAAAATCATGAGCTATCGAAGTGCACAATCATCTTTGAGATTTGAAGTATGGCCACAGAGATATCCTAGGATACTATCTCTCTGTGGTCACGATTCAATTTTGAAGCATATTGTGCATTTCTATAACTATGAATGACAGTCGTCTGCACATAGAGATGAGAGTATCGTTTTCACTGCTAAAAATTGCCTCACCATGTGATGGCTGTGATTCACTTCACTGAGGACTTTTGGCTTGATCACTTCTCGGCGGGAAAGTTCACTGTAGGTGAGTTGGTTAGAATTCAGACGAGACAAGCACCTTCAATTTTTCTTTGATTGTGCAACCGCGACTCCCTCTCTTTTTCGCGCAACTTTTCCACCATACCACTACGATCATCATCAATACCAGCACCATGTCGTCCTCTTCAATCCGCCCTCGCGCCTCGATGTCGGCCTCAGTGACCTACGAATGGCTGTGGTGCGACGACCACGTTAAGATTACGCAGTGGTTCCTCACCCAGCCGCGCTTGACGTACAAGCAATTCTACGCGTCGTTTATCAACTTCGCTAACAGGGTATGGGAGCTGTCTCGTCAGCAGGAACGCGCCCCTTTGGAGGGTCTGGAGAAGTTCATCGTTGAACTACTGCAGAAGGAGCGCATTTCTGCTGATGGGCTGCTCACCGCTCTGCAGGAGTACTCGGCCGGTTTGGGTGAGGGTAAAGCCCGCTGGAAGGAGAATGGATTGGTCGCCTTCTCTGAAGGACTCAGTAAGTTATCCATTTTTGCATGCCCCCTACGCCCTTCTCCACAGAATACCCCCCACGCCCTGTTTCACAGAACGTCCCCTACCCCTGTCGTACAAGTCAGTTGCAATTTGTACCTCTTCCGCAGGAGAATAGCATCATTGTGAGCTATACAAATGCAGCATATTATCAAAAGAGAGACGTCACTGAGAGGTGTCATGTAGACGTCTCTCAGTGGATACTGTCCTTCTCTTGAATGTATCCTGCATTTCTACGGATTCAATATGTTGGCTGCTGTACCTAAGAAGGGCGTACACGTGTCCTCTGGTTGGCATTCTAAGGGCACAGCATACCGATTGTTGAATGACATCCCACTTACATTTAATCAGGTCATGAAGCTCTGACCGCCGGCAAGAACAAGCTGCATGCGAAGGTCATGACGAGCCTTCGCAAGTCCAAGAATGCTCGTCGCGTGGCCCGCCTGCAAGCCACCGCCGCCGCCACCACCACCACCACCAACAAAGCCACTATGGCTAATCAGCAACTTCTGCCTGCCTTCGTGGCACCCTCTCGTCTGCCTGCCTATGTGACACCGTCGCCCCTGCCTGGGTGGTTGGCACCCTCTTCATTGCCTGTGCCCGTGCCCTCGCCGCGTGGCCTGGCACTTGCCTGGGATCCGTTCGTTCATAGCGAACAGCCTTTGTCTTTGGGGTCGGTGGAGGAGGCCATCGGCAACCTGGGTCCTGCTGCTACCTCTGACAAGCAGGCCCAAAAGGCCACAACTCTCTCGGCGCCGGTGAATTTTGGCAGCCTACCGCTGGCGGAGGCAAGAAGGCCAATGAGGAGGAAGAGATGGGTGATGAGGATGTGGTGTTGTAAGGAGTAGGTTTCGGAGTTCTAAGGGTATCCAGACAATCTACAACGAAGAGCTTCAGCTGTCCACGGTTGTCATGTAGTTATCGCATAACGAAGGAGGCAAGAAGAGAAAGCATGAGCGGGTAGAGGATTAAGGATTAGCAATCTAATGAGGAAGCCGCTAGAGTGGGTCAATCCATAATCAGGAGATGAGTCTTGTTGGTCAGGGGGAGAAAAGACACATCACATGATAGTTGAATCGAAAGTATCGTTCCACCTCCTAAAAAGCCATATGTATCTTGAACAGTATGGTCTTGAGAACTTGTTGAGGGTGCGCTTGTTAGTAACTCAAAAACATCACAACGAAACACCAGGAGCATCCAGAGGTCTATCAACATACGCAACCTAGTGATCTTGCAACAACACTCCAAAAACATGATCTCCATGTTCACTCGAATTTTCATTTGTGTAGTCATCATATTCCATCCAGATTGGTCTTCCCCATCAAACCAATCACATCCACCCCTCGGTTGCCCTCCCTAGTTTACGAAGTTGGTGCGTCTGGCCCAGTGGAAGTGATTACAGGGCTCGTTTTCTTTTGCACTTTCTACTACCCTCCGTTCGACTCAGGAGGCGATCGGAATTCTTTGCCAACTTATGTTCTCGAACCACTGCTGAGCAGAATATCTCTCGCAGATATCTAGAGTGAAAGACCCACGACTCAAGTAGGACTCAGTCGTCAAGTAATAAGCGGACTTTTAACAGCCTTATCACGACAAACCCTCACCTCACAACCCAAGAATTCGAGCTTATCCCGACCGGGACCTGGCCGAATAAGCCGGTATTCTCCCCCTTTGCGACCACCCATAATGGATATACGCAAGGTAAGTAGTTAATAATATACTTGATAATCTTACTAAGCACTACTAGTCAAAATCAACGGTCTTAAGTACTTGACCCACCGGGTCATGTACAAGGCTTTCTATGGGGTTTTGTTAGACGTTAACAACGTCTCACATGTGTTGTACGTTAGTGGCATAACATTCAAGTAAGTCGTAACTACTAGCCCTAGAAAACCAGCTAATAACCCTCATAGCAACATCAATCCCCGTCACATGGTTGCCAAAAGCAATATGCTAAACCAGACAAGGAAGAATTGCCATCTCTATATGGAGATACTCTTGAATGAGTGGCTAAATAAAGCAAATAACCGAACCGCCAGTTTGAGTGATACAGCTATAAATGCTTACAGAAGATGGAACCCTAGACGAGTAGAGAAGGTTGGATTCGGTTCGATTTCATCAAAAGCTCGCGCTCGCAAGTCGGAGAACAGGTTCCTGAAGAGCTTATCTAGGTTGATAGTCCCACCTAGCAGCCATTGATGCTGCGTCCTTTGAGTCACTGCAGAGGTGAGCCAGATTGCAAATACCTGGAGCGGGATAGCCTTATACCGTGCGGTGACACGGCGTTTGTATACAAAAGGGGGTAATCAAGGAGATATGACCGGTCTCACGTTCCGAGCCAGAGCCTCAGACACCTGGAGAGATACAAGATAATTTCTTTCGATCGGTCAATCTACACAGACCTTAGGGGTTGTCTGCTTTCGGTCATTGATCAATCCAGGGCTTGGTTCCAACACTAAGGAGGTCAGTCAGCATTGGGACCATTCTGCGAGACGTTCACACGAGACTTACCATTTCCCAATAAACACCTTGCTTCTGGACAAGATCACTATGTCTTCCCTTCTCCACCACCTTACCCTCATCGAACACGAAGATGACATCCGCACTTTGAATGGTAGACAACCGGTGAGCAACAGCAATCATCGTCCTCCCGCTACGTGCTCTTTCGAATGCTGCTTGCACGACTTTCTCAGACTCAGAATCCAGAGCTGATGTTGCTTCATCGAGCANAAGAAGTTTGGGATCGCGGACCAAGCCTCGAGCAATAGCGATGCGCTGTTTCTGACCTCCCGACATGGCGACACCTTTCTGTCCAACGTCTGTATCGTATCCTTGGGGTAGAGAAACGATGAAGTCATGGATGAGTGCATCGCGACACACTTGATGGATTTTTTCATCGGACACAGAGCTGGGGTCAGGAACACCAAAGAGAATGTTGTCACGGACTGTTCCTCGGAACATCGTTGGCTCTTGAGCTACAAGCGATAAGTTGCGCCGGTAGTCGTACACATTCATGTTGTTAATATTGATGCCGTTGCAGGTGATTGCACCATGTCTTGGCTCCACGTCGTAGAACCTTTCCAGAAGNNGGGAGATGATGGTTGTTTTACCACAGCCAGATGGACCAACGAAAGCTGCATACTGTCCTTTCTCGATGGTGATGTCCAAGCCTTCGAAGACAAGATGATCCCTAGTTGGATATCTGAACGAAACATTGCGAAACTCGACCCGCACCCCACCGTGAACTTCGGGTATGCTTTTTTCGTCGCTGAGACCAGCACGGCTGGTATCGGCAGACTCTTGAATCTCGAAGATGCGATTTGCAGCAGCTGTCGCCTGTGCAGTATTGGGAGCAACACTGAGGACTTGACTTGCAGCCTCTGCACCTTGTATCATCGCCATGTAGCAAACAAAGAAAGCTTCAAACCCAAATTCGCCACTGGCCAAGAGTCTGCCGCCATACCAGAAGATCAGAGCTTGACAGCCTAGCCCAGAACTGTCCACAAATCCATACAGGCCGGATGTCCACAGAGCCTTAGTGTGAGCCGCTTGAACATGTTCTGCCAGAAGTTTTGAATATCTTTGAGTGATGCTATTCTCCATGGTAAGAGCTGAGACCGTTCTCATCGCACCTATTGCTTCGGTAGCAAATTGCGAACTCTCTGCAAAGACCTTCGAGTTCATCTTGTCGAACTGTACCTCATGTCTATACTTCCAGAAACCAGAAGACAGCATGATCGGCATAGTGACGCACAAGGCGACTAGACCGAGCTTCCAGCTGAAAATCAAGGAAATGATTATGGATCCAACCACATTGAATATTCCAGATAATGCGAGTGCGAGGTTCAGGCCAAAGACTTCCTCTAAAGATTTGGCATCACTAGCAATGCGCGAGCTCAATGTGCCATGCGAATTGCTGTCCTTGTCAAAGAAGCTGATCTTTTGATAGAGCAGGTCAGTGAAGTATCGCATCTTGTATACTGCACTGACAGAATATTGTACGCGCAAGCCTACCCAAGCCTCGCAAAGATTTGCAAGACCCGAGCTTACGGCAAGAACAAGCCACATGAGAGCCCAGAAGCTGGCTCTGCTCTTCGCGTCATCTGCGCTCAAGAGGAAAACCCCAAGGACTTTTGCAAAAAGCCAAGCTTGGATCGGTGTAGCTGCTGCAACAGCCATAGCAGAGATTACGATACCCACGAGAGAGTACCAGTGTGCTCGCTGCGTATGCAAAAGCCTCTGAAAAGTGTGGAAGAGGTTCTGGGGCTTCACAGTCGGTGTTGTGTGGTCAGAATTGCGAATTTTCGATTCTATGGCCTGGACAGTGTCGGTCGTCTTTTCCGAGATTGCCTGGGTAGCTAGAGGTTCGTGTCCAGATGCTACTTTGTCCATAGTAGAGACATGCAATGACTGAGCACGTATTAGGGCACTGTATGCACTTGATGAGTCCTCGATAAGGTCTTGATGAGTCCCCTGCTCAATTGCACGTCCATTTTGCAGTACAACAATGCAATCGGCTTNTTTGATGGTTGAGAGACGATGAGCGATGGTGATGGTTGTGCGACCCTCTGCGATATTGTCAAGAGCCAATTGGATAATCTTTTCGCTTTTGGCATCGACAGCGCTGGTGGCTTCATCGAAGATGATAATTCGTGGCTTCTTGATTATGCTCCTCGCAATGGCGATACGCTGTTTCTGGCCTCCTGATAATTTGATTCCACCATCACCAACTTTGGTGTAATATCCCTGTTTTGGTCAGTTTGTTCCATTTACCCTGATCAATAATGCAGAAATCGATCGTGTACTTACATCAGGTAAACGAGTGACAAAGTCATGAGCATACGCTTCCTGACATGCCTCCTGGACAAGCTCGAGTTTTTTCTCCTTTGACTCGTTCTCCCACTGCGTGCCGATGAGTCCGTTCGCAACATTGTTGATGATGGTGTCATTGAAGAGGAAAGGCTCTTGCTGGACCACTCCGACTTGCGCTCTCCACCATTTGAGATCCAGCATCTCCAGATTGTGGCCACCAATGGTGATAGATCCAGAAAACACAGCTTTGACTTGTGACTCGGGTTGCTCATCAAGCGGATTTTCGTCCGAAGGATCGGCCTNTTTGGATGGTTTCTCTGCGACCACTTGTTGCAATGTATACTGGTCCTGAAGAGAGTACCAGCGTTCCAATAGACCGACAATTGTACNTTTGCCCGAACCAGAAGGACCAACGAAAGCCGTGTTCTGACCAGATCGGAGGCGGAAACTCAGTCCATCGAGTACTCGGACACCAGGACGACCGGGGTATTCGAAAGTGACGTTATCGAAGATCAAATCCTGCGAGGCGATGTCTGGCTTGAGAGAGCCAGAAGCAGGTGGTGGCGCATCGATGACTGTTAAAAGCTCACAAGCAGCAACCATGGCTTTACTTATAGCCATGGCCGGCGTTGATATGAATCCCAGAGAAGTTATGATCATCATGACCGACATGAGTACGACTATTACCGCAGCAGAATTGGCAATGCTGCCAGCGATGTATTTCTTGCTTCCATACCAGAATGCCAGGCCGAAGGCACCAAATATTCCAAAATANNCTGCTTGATCGTTAGCATGTTTGGCGAAGAGAGTCACTAATGTTACAAAACATACTATCAGACCAAGTTGAATGCCGAGGAATGGAGCTGCCTTCTGGGCTCGCTTCAATGCTTCTTGTACCCATGTTTCGTAACGAGAGAGGGCATGATTCTGACCACCGCATGCTAAAACCAGACGAATCTGTCCGAGGGCTTCGCTGGCAACAGCTGTTCCTTCTTCTTCAGCCTTGAGGGTCGTAGTTTGACCTTTGAGGATTAGTGGCATCAAGACTGCAGCGACCACTATAGTGTACAAGATCAACGAAGACGTGACCAAAGCCAGATCCCAGCTCCAAACAAAAGCGATTATGATAGCAGCCACAACGGTTGCGAGATACTGTAGCAAAGTGCCCAAGCGCTCAGAAATACCAAGCTGCAGAGTATTTGTCGTTGCAGTAATGGCAGTTGCAGGAGCTCCGACAGGCATGGAGTCGATGACATGAATCGACTGCGCGAAAAGTGATTGCATATAATGTAGGCGTATTGCTGACGATAGTCGAATGCCGATCATCCTGAAACAATACTTGTTGATGGCGTTCAGTCCCCACCGGCCAATGAAAAGAGCGAAGATGTATAAGGCCTGGCGACTCAAGACACGATCGAAGTCATTTCGTGATAGAGCGGAGGATTCTTTGTAGTAATCCGTGAATTGGCCAGTGAGTTGCCCGAATACAACGTTCATTAGAGGTAAAGTTATACCAGCGCCGATGGATGCCAGAGAGGCGATTGTGTAGATACAGAAGTCCCATTTCGTTGCATAAGAGAAGACCCTCAGATAGTCGGAGATTTTTGGTGTTCGAACTGTTTGCTTCACGTCTGCTTGTGCTTCCTCCTCATTGATTGTGGCGACATCTTTGCCCATGGTGACAGAGACTTTGGATTGGATGGTTCATGTGATGAAGGCCAGATTTAATGTGTATTTTTTTTAAAGCTGTTGCCTCAGCACCAAAACAAGGGGAAACAGCATAGCATTTCTTACGGCCGCTCCAACCAATTAAACATGCAGTGCTCGAGTACAAGGAAAGCTTGGCCCATATTCCTTCGAATCCTGCAGGGGTAAGATGGAACTTGGCAGGCATTCATCCGCAATGGCGCTCTCTACGAGCCCACGAAAACAGGAACAAGCGTTACCAAGGTACATGGATGACCGGACATGATCGCACCTGACCCAACAAGAATGTCCAAGGACAACAGGAGGAATGCTTGAACGAGAAAGGAAGTTGCGGGGAAGAGTTGGAAGCGGGAAAGAACGCGGAGGACGGCAGTTTCCGAGAGACCATGATGACCAGAAAAAGTGCAGTTGTTAGAGCCGCCACGCCAAGCGGACATCGATTCGGTAGGCCACTCAAGTCAAGATGAGGGTATATGGAGTTGCCAGAGCGCAGAGCAGCGCATTGCGATCGCTCGAGGTTGCTTCGCGCAATGCTTGCCGCAGAAACTACTCTGTTTCGCGCTGGGCCTCGCCCGCTCTGTTGCGCTCCCAGACTGCTGCCACGACCGAGAGATCGATGGCATGGCAGCCCAGGAGACTGCAGAGCGGTACTGCCGCTGCTGTGTATGTATGCTTCAAATGCCTTGAGTACCTGGACTAATACCAATGTAGCCTCGATCACGCCATGCAGGACCCCAGCTCGCTCTCGCAAACCGACATCGTCAACAACCTGAACCCCAAGGAGGCCGCCCGTCTGGACAAGCTGAGAAACATCGGTATCGCTGCCCATATTGACAGTGGAAAGACAACCGCTACCGAGCGCGTTCTGTACTACACTGGTCGTATCAAGTCCATCCACGAAGTCCGTGGTAAGGACTCTGTTGGTGCCAAGATGGACAGTATGGACCTGGAGCGTGAGAAGGGTATCACCATTCAGTCGGCTGCCACCTTCTGTGACTGGATGAAGGTCGACCGCGAGAACGGCACCGAGGAGAAATACCACATCAACTTGATCGATACCCCTGGCCATATTGATTTCACCATCGAGGTCGAGCGTGCCCTGCGTGTCCTTGACGGTGCTGTCATGATTCTGTGTGCCGTTAGTGGTGTTCAGTCTCAGACCCAGACCGTCGACCGTCAAATGCGCCGCTACAACGTTCCTCGTATCTCCTTCATCAACAAGATGGACCGCATGGGTGCCAACCCCTTCCGCGTCTGCGACATGATCAACAAGAAGCTTCGTATTCCTGCCGCCATGATCCAGGTCCCCATTGGCGCTGAGGACGACTTCAGAGGTGTTGTCGACATCATTCGCATGAAGGCCATCTACAACCAGGGCGACAAGGGAGAAACCATCGTCGAATCGGATGAAATCCCTGCTGAGGTGAAGCAGGTCGCTGAGGAGAGACGCGCAATGCTCATCGAGACTCTTGCCGATGTCGACGACGAGATTGCTGAGATGTTCCTTGACGAGCAGGAGCCTAGCATTCCTCAGATCAAGGCTGCCATCAGACGTGCCACCATCTCTCTCAAGTTCTCTCCTGTCATGATGGGTTCCGCTCTTGCCGACAAGTCTGTGCAGCCCATGCTCGACGCTGTCTGCGACTATCTCCCCAACCCCTCTGAGGTCGAGAACATCGCTCTTGACAAGAGACGCAAGGAGGCTCCCGTCAAGATGGTTTCCTACCAAGAATTGCCTTTCGTCGGTCTTGCCTTCAAGCTTGAAGAGAGCAACTTCGGTCAACTTACCTACATCCGTGTCTACCAAGGAACTATCAGAAAGGGACAAGTCGTCTACAACGCTCGTACCGACAAGAAGGTCAAGATTCCCAGAATCGTGCGCATGCACTCCAACGAGATGGAGGAAGTCAACGAGATCCACGCTGGTGAAATTTGTGCTGTGTTCGGTGTTGACTGCGCCTCTGGTGACACCTTCACTGACGGTACTCTCGGCTACACCATGACCTCCATGTTTGTTCCCGATGCCGTTATCTCGCTCTCCATCAAGCCCAAGCAGACCAAGGATACCCCCAACTTCAGCAAGGCCATGTCGCGTTTCCAACGTGAGGACCCTACTTTCCGTGTCCACGTCGACACCGAGTCCCAGGAGACCATCATCTCCGGTATGGGTGAATTGCATCTTGACATCTATGTCGAGCGTATGCGCCGTGAATACAACGTCGACTGCATTGTCGGTCAGCCTCAAGTTGCCTACCGTGAGACCATCCAATCGCGCGTTCCCTTCGACCACATTCTCAAGAAGCAGACTGGTGGTGCTGGTGATTACGCTCGTGTCGTTGGATGGATGGAGCCCACTGGTCAAATCTCCGACAACCACTTCGAGCAGCAGATTACTGGTGGAACCATCAGTGAAAAGTATTTGCTTGCTTGCGAAAAGGGTTTCTACGCATCTTGCGAGAAGGGTCCTCTGCTTGGCCACCGCGTCTTGGGTGCCAGCATGGTCATCAACGATGGTGCTACCCACATGACTGATTCGTCCGAAATGTCTTTCCGTAACGCCACCCAACAAGCCTTCCGCAAGGCCTTCCTTGCCGCCCAACCCCAGGTCCTCGAGCCCCTGATGAAGACCACCATCACCGCACCCAACGAGTTCCAGGGTAACATTGTCGGTCTGCTCAACAAGCGCAACGCCGTCATCTCCGATACCGAGATTGGCCCTGAGGACTTCACTCTCTACGCCGACTGCAGTTTGAACTCTATGTTTGGTTTCTCCACCCAACTCAGAGCTGCTACCCAGGGTAAGGGCGAGTTCTCGATGGAGTTTAGCCATTACTCGCCTGCACCCATGCAGCTGCAGAAGGAGCTCATTGCCAAGCACGAAAAGTACCAGGCCGAGAGAAACAAGAAATAGAGCACTCTGAATTCTGTTTGTGCATATAATGAGAAGGGAAAAGCGGAATCTTTGTACGATAGTGATTTGATGGCTGGGCCAAACAAAAAGTCTACATTTGCATGACCCGTGGCGTAGGAGTGGAAAAAGGAAATGTTTCTTTGATGTATATATATTTGGTTTTCAACATGTGGGAGTGGTTCTCGATAGACAGGGGAATTGAAGAAACTCTCGACTTTTAACAAATACTCTTTTGATTCTCAGCAGTCTTTGAATAATAGTGCTTCCCGAATTCGAGATTCAGCAAAGAGCAATGCGGTCAATGAACTACTACTGGATCCATCAGCTGTGGTCTGGAAGTCATTATCACTGAAACTTGAGTCGTCAACAACGATAGGGAATCGGTCATGATGCATACACAACGAATTGGACATTAGATCAGAGACAGCTGGACTTTCGTGTAGTCGATCTGTCTCCAAATCTCCCCAGCACGTTAGATCTAATTGTGCGACCTAAAGGGCAGGGTGTTACAAGTGGCTTGCGGACTTGGAAATTTCAAAAGACTTTATTCTGTCTTTCATCTAAACGTTTTTGGGTATCTTGTACAAGGGCAAGTCGATGCTCTTTCTTTTCGCCTTCTGATCATCTCTTCTGTCGGGCCGTCTCTCTAGTCCAGACCAGCAAAGGAACCCATGCTATTTGCGCCTCCAGACTTGTCCTTGCCCTTTGCACGCTTTCTCTTCTTTCTGCGTTTGCGACCAGTCTCCTCGTCGCTGCTGTCATCGCTGTCCATGTCGCTATCGTCGTCGTCACTGCCTGCATCGCTGTTCTCTGCTTCCCTCTTGAGATCGCCATCCACGTAGGCATGCTGATCCTCGTCGACCATCTCATGCCAGACCTTGATGGTGCTGCCACCAGCTGTGATGAGTCTTCCTGCGACGTCGAAGTCCAGGCTTACAACACCTTCCACCTCGTCGTGTGTGATCTCTGAAATGACCTTGTTGGGGCCGAGCTTGACGAAGCGAACCTTGCCATCGCCCATACCCACAGCGAGAACCTTGCCGCCGGGACCAACATCCGGAGGTAGTAGGCGTATAACATCTAAGCTCTCACCACCGCCAGCGCTGCGGTCGACAGTGATGCGCTCGTCTTGATCGTCCCAGACTCCACGCTCCCAAAGAGTAATCACACCATCGCCACCACCAACAACGAGCTTCTCGCCCTTTGACGAACTGGTCTTACGGGCGGGTAGGCCAGAAACGAAGCAGGATGAAAGCAGGATCTCTTCTTGGTCTTCGCTGCGGACCAGGACGCCGCGACGCAAGTCAGTCACACTGAGGGTAGTGCCACCAGTTGTGACCCATTGTTTGCTGTAGCCGGAGGTGCTAGTGTCTGATGCAGGGAGAGGCGTCAAGGAGGAGATGTAGTCTTCGTGAGGGTGGTGTGTTTGTGAAGGACGAGTGGAGGAAAAGGTAGAGAAATTGGCTTCGCGGGTATCGTAGAGGTGGAGAGCAGAGCTGTCGGTTGCGAGGAGGAAGGTCTGAGGACTGAGAACGTGCAGAATCGAAGGCTCGTCGATGTCGTCGGTCGCNNCCTGTGGTTTTGTTAGTCGACGAAGAGTCAAACATGATGGATTGGCTACTCACGAATCAAGAGGGACAGCGATTTTGGTAACGACCTTACCAGTCACACTGTCTGCACCCTTGACGATGCCGTCAGTACCAGCGCTGAAGAGAGTGCTTCCGTCAAGACTGTAGCCGAGACTTCTGCAACTACCCTTGTGTCTGCGTGTACGCCATGCAGCCTCGATCTGGCCGCGTCCAGTTGCTGCAGCTTCGGCCTGGGCCTCATCCTCATCGTCGCCCTCGATTGCTGGCAGTCTCAGCGTCGCAACATGTCCGGAGCTCAGTCCTACAGCCACCAAGGGCGCCGTGGGGTGAAGTGCCTGGGAAAACAGCTCCGACGAAAGCGGGAGCGTGCATATCGTGTCGAACATGGCGGTCGATCGTTCTTGCCAATGCTGGCAAGGTCAATTCGTTGTCGCGAACGCGCTTTTGGGAAACTGCTATTTTTTCTCTTCTCCTTCCGGTTAGTGTCGGCGTTAGCATGGACTTACCCCAGACTATGACGCGCCTCGGCCGTTCCTTCCCCCTCCGCTCGACATGAACCATCTCGGGGGACCTCAGGAAAAGCAGACCCTTCCTTGTCGAGATCCACTCTTCTAGTCAACTAGCCCCCCTTAGAGCCTCCGGTATGATGTCGACATATTCCTAGTGCTGCTCTGTAACAACAACTTCCCCTAGGTATCGTCTTCCTTTTCCCTCAACCATCAATGTCATTTTCCTAGATCCAAGTCCTCTTTTCCCTATTCCTATACCTATAGATCATTATTAGAACAGCACTCACCCATGAAGAAGAAACAAAACCAGATCACGTTTGGCTTCTGCGACGTCAACACTGGACAAAGAGTCTATCCGGCCTTGACCGACTTGCCCGACAAGCTTCCTCCTGCTCAACAACTTTACACCGACAACAAGATGTATGCCGCTATCACCTGCTCACCGCCAATTGGGCAATCCACAACCGTCTCTAGAGATCAGGATGCTGTACAGACCCTCAATCATCATAAATAGTCTTCTCTCGCTGAGCTTCTTCTAGGTTACNNCTTCTCTGTCTTGTTAGAGACATCTGCTTCGTCGTTAGGTACTTCTCTTCAACCCTTTGTCTCTGTAGACGTGTACTGACTTGAATCCTCCNNAGTGAGCGAAGAGAAGACCAAAGTCTCAATCTGGCACAACCACAAAGGTCAGCATGATTGGTCAGAGCTCCCTCTCAAGGCATCCGGTGATCTCGATGANTGCTGTGAGTCGTTGAACAAAATGCTTGTGCGATATAAGCTTACCGTCCAGTTACTCGTCAACGCCAAGTCACAGGTTGCTCGCAGATGGTATAGTGGCGAGCTTCCTGGCAGACCAGACGATCTCCGACCTGTGTCGTTCACCGTAAAATTCCAGATTGGTGACGATGCAGGATGGAAGTGGATCAAAGACCAAAGTGGATTGGATGATGGGCAACTTCATTATCAACAATCACACGAGGAGCTGGGCTTCCCTGAATACTTCCATGGAACAAGCTCCGATCTCAACATCCGTAAAACGACTGCTGACACTCCCGACACCAAATTGTACTCTATCACTGCATCGATAGAGCCCGCCAAGGGCAAGAACTCTGGTTACAGTAAATACGTTCTGGGTAGACCAAAAGACTTTACTCGGTGGTTCTCTTTAGTGCGACTGTGGAGTCCCTGGCTTGCTCCACGTCAGGGCAAGGACAAGTTCCATCTAGACAAGGACGCTGTTCTCGCATCGTTCTTGCGACATGATGGAGCTCATGTCGTCTGCCTTGCCATAAGTGGTGTTGAGGATGTTCTTACCGTCTTTCAACATGATGATAATGGCAATGTCATTATACAAGGTCGCAACGATCGCGAGAAAGACGGTACTAGCCATGTCGTTGTTGCTGTGGCCGATTCTTTCGAGGTAGCGAATGCTGCAGTCATGTACCATGCAAGAAAAATAGTCGGAGGCTACGAGTCAGCGACTGGTCAGACAGAAACTGAAACTAAAATGTTGATGGACAAGAACGTCAAGGCTGAATGGCTCGAGGAGTGGTATGACGGGTTCACATACTGCACTTGGAACGGCTTAGGCCAGAAACTCACGGTTGACAAGATCAACGAGGCACTGGAGTCACTCAAGAGAGAGAACATCATAATTGAGAACCTAATTATCGATGACAATTGGCAGTCTTTGTCAGAGGGCCAGACACAGATGGATCGAGCCTGGACTGACTTCGATGCGAACAAGGAGGGCTTTCCAAAGGGTCTCAAGCATGCTGTCTCAGACATCCGCAAGAACCACCCAAACATCAATCACATCGCAGTATGGCACGCAATCCTGGGTTACTGGGGTGGTGTTGCTAAGGATGGCAACATTGCAAAGGAGTACAAGACAACCAAAGTCCAGAAAGAGCCGGGAGTGGCAGAAGGCGAGATGTTCGTTGTTGATGCCTCTGATGCACAACGCATGTACAACGACTTTTACTCATTCTTGAGTGACTGCGGTATCACCGGAGTCAAGACAGATGCCCAATTCTTCTTGGACATGATCGTTGATGCACCCGATCGACGAAGTTTAACAACAGAGTATCAAGATGCTTGGACAATCGCTCATCTGCGTCACTTCGGCTCACGAGCCATCTCCTGCATGTCTCAAGCACCCCAGATGCTCTTCCATTCGCAACTGCCGACTAACAAGCCTCGACTTCTTGTTCGCAACTCTGACGACTTCTTCCCAGAGGTGCCTGCTTCTCATCCTTGGCATATCTTCTGCAATGCTCACAACTCTCTGCTCACCCAGCATCTCAACGTACTGCCTGACTGGGACATGTTCCAGACGTCACATGAATGGGCTTCCTTCCACGGTGCAGCTCGTTGTGTTTCTGGCGGACCAATCTACTTCACCGATTATCCCGGCAAGCATGACATCAAGCTGATCAACCAGATGACAGCGAGGACCACGCGAGGAAAGACTGTCATTTTGCGTCCATACAACATCGGCAAGAGCACGAATGCCTACGCTGGCTACGAAGACCATGCTCTGCTAAAGGTTCATACGTACCACGGGTATGCACGTACTGGTACAGCATATTTGGGTGTCTTCAACTGTACCCAACGCCCACTGTCTGAGTTGATTCCTCTTTCTACTTTCTCGGGTGCTGAGGAAGGCAAATACGTGATTCGTGCTTTCACGACTGGTGCAGTCAGCAAGCCCATGTCCTGTGGCGAGAAGAAGGCTTTAGCTGGTGTCGAGGTTGAAGTCGGAGGTTGGGAAATCCTATCCGCTCATCCTGTTCACGAACATAAACTTCGCCGTGGTGGTCCTATCGCAGTGTCTTGCTTGGGTCTTGTTGGTAAGATGACTGGTGCAGCCGCCGTAATCAGCAGCGACATCCATCTGGACAGTCAAGGAAAATTGAGATACTCTGTTCTCTTGAAGGCTCTGGGTGTGCTTGGATTCTGGATCGGCGACCTCAGCAAGAGTTGGAGCGTTGANAAAGACATGCTGGTCTTGATCTTTGGCAAGCAGATTCCTAAAGAGTGTGTGAGTGCTAATGGAGATGTCTTGGAGATTGATGTGGATAGAGCTTGGAAAGAGACTGGGCAGAAGGCTGGATGGTCAAACGAGATCGAGGTTGAGTTGTTCGTGTCTTAGATAAGTACGTCACTATGCTGATTCCAGGGTTTCTAAACATATCATGTGTGAAGTCATTCTCTCACAACAGCAGCGAGCAGATATGCAGGCTATGAAAATGCACAGTTGGCTCCAAATTAGGACTGGTTCCAGAGAGAGCCGCTACAGTAAAGTCTCCCCATGTGTGCTACTCCATCTCTACAAACCATTGTGCATTTTTATAGTTACACGAGTCACAGGTTCTCACATATGGAAGGCACGAACTAAGGATGAGCACAGTGGTTGAGCAGCCCCTGAATTGCAAAGACCTGACGAGACCAAACATCAACAGTTCTCCAACTTACGAGTACGATATATAAGCAGACTGAACCGATTCACAGTATCGAAGTCAATGGATGCAAAAGAGATGTGCCCCCGAGTCGAACTCAGGCGCTTTCATGTTCCAAAGATTGCATGGGACCATTTCGACCATCGTGCCGGTGACCACTACACCGCTCTCACCTGGCGTGTCATCGAACCAGGCGACTTACGATTGGTTCCACGAGCGAGGAGGACATCGATCGATATATGTCGTGAGTACCAGTGTCAGAACCACGAGTTGGGAAGGATCTACACAGCACTCAGACGCAAGTGAGAGTTGACTGGCGCGGACACTACAGATCTAGAAATCAGCAGCAAGTCAATGAGGAAGCTTTGAGCGGGAGCTTTGCCGCCATACTGTTTGCGACACACCCAGCAGTGTTGATGGTTGTCCTACATGGCGACATTGCACAACGATATCACTCTGATAGAGTCATCAGGTCCGTGTTAGATTCTCTTGGAGCAGAATCAGCTGCTCATCGTACCCGCCCCGGAATCTATTGTAACTAATCGGCACAATTGAGACTGGAGAGTTCTTGACGGTTAAACAAACACGGCAAGTCTTGAAATCCTTGAAGCTGTACGTCGAGGGCAGCAATACGGATTACAATCACAAGATTGACAATGCGAAAACGCGAAGTCATTCGAATGGGACACGCTATATCGAGAGCTCAAGAGCAGGTATCCAGATCAGAATATTCATCAAGCAACTAGAGGCTAGGAAATCTGCTTTCATTTTTTTACATTCGAGTTTCACTCTTCGGTGTATGAATCCGGTCTGCTCGACACCAACCACTTGACTTTTCTTTCATCCACCCTTACAGCAACAGCAGCGACCACCACTACCAACAACAACATGTCTTCCGCTGCGCAACAGTACACCTGGTTGTGGTGTGACAACCACAAGAAAGTCACCGAGTGGTTCTTAAATGATCCCGACCATCACGATTACCCATTCTTCTACTCGTCATTCATCAACACCGTCAATCGTACTTGGCACATCTTCCTCCACAAAGCCAGAACCAAAAAACTACAGTCCCACGAACTGCTCATGATCAAATGTTTCTGCAAGAAGAAAATCCCCGCAGCTCTGATGATCGAAACATTGAAGGAGTACAACAAGTACATTGGTGGGACGAGAGGAGGTTTGAAGAGTAAAGGCTTGATCAAGTTTGGAAATNNAAACCCCCTGGTAAGTTTTCATCGACTCCGATTGTATTTTCTTGAGCAACGCTTATGGTTTCATACTACAGAAATGCAGGCTATCAAGGTTGGAGAGACCGAGCTCCACCATTACATCACAAAGCACTTCGAGAAGCACGGTTACGTCCAAGATAGCAGCGCAGAGGATGAAGACATAGGGGACGAAGAGATGGTGGATGCTGAGACTGAGACTGCACCCACTGGAGCTGCCAACGAGAACAACAAGGTCACATTTGAACTCGCTATTGTTGGAGGCAAGAAGACCGATGAGGATTTGGATATGGCTTGAAGCAGGATGAACTACCAGGTTGCAATACGAGATTTGATCCTGGGATAGGTTGGTGTTCAAGACAGTCAGACATGAGCACATGAAATTTGGCTCTTCTCACACGTTTATCTGCACATTACATCATCTTCTGTATATGAAGTTGTTCCTTAGAATTACGGTCTTACATCCTTGTTTCCTTGTTGTATTCTAGAGCAAACTCAAAGGTTTGCTCGGCAACAAGCCTTTGTCTGGTGGCTGAACGGAACCAACTAGCGATGAGCAGCAATCATGACTTTTAGCTAGCAGGTGACCGCTGTAGTAGAGCAATCACATACAGTGCTAGTTCTGTGTTCGTATGAGATCCAAGTTTCACTCCCACCGGTCCCTGGCACATTGTACGGGTTATGAGCATAGAGTTAGCAATGAACAGAGACTTTCCCCATGCCCTTCCATCAAAAGCTAAGGCCGGCAATATGAGCTCAACCATATTGATTCGCACTTCACTGGAATCAACAGCAAACATATCAATATACGGCGCAAAAGATGGCTAGCCCCTGAGTCGAACCCACAACCTCTGGGCTGCAAAACAAGAAAGAACCAATCATCGGTCGAATTGGCTACTAACTACACCGTAGAACGGTGTGCCGGTGACCACGGACTCCTGATTGGTTCGATGGGTGAGAAGATAATTGGCTCACATGTATAGTCTTTGTTCACGACTTCTCGCACTTGGAAGTTTTGAGGAAACCACATAGAGATCATTCTTGTAGACATCACTCTCGTCCGTCTTGTCAATGTCTAGCTAGGCGAGCGAGGAGTACATGTACGTATAACTGAGCTGCATTTGTTACCAAACTTCCTCAGTGATGTCGTAAACGTGTGAAGCATTCATACAAGTTGCTCTCCCACTCCATCCGGAGTCAGGGCCCTCTACCACAGACCCAATCCTACGTCTGCAAGGATCCTAGATCTATGCAGGTCCTACGTAGTAGAACACCTGTCTGCTGCAGCATTTTGATGTTTTGAAGACGACCGAAGATGCACAAAAAAACACCATGATGTGCTAGACAGGTATCAAGAATGCAAAAAGAGTAGGCTCAGCTAATGAGTCAAACTCGAGACTGTTGTCGACAGACCAAAACAAAAACTCACCTTCCATCCATCGAGGTGGCTACTAACTACACCACAGAATGGTGAGCCGGTGACCAGGGACTTTTGGTTGGTTCGTTGTGGGAGAGACTAATTCAGTCGTATATGTATGTAGCATACCTCCGCTATTCACTGCCTTGGTAGAGGAAGTCGACTTCTATGACAGACTTTTCAGAATGCCTGTATACAATGTATTACGCTTAATCGGACTGTAGGCACTTTGGAACCCAGCTCGCAACATTTCAGCCATAAAAGGATATGAAGAAGAAGAGCAGATGTGTGTGTGATGGCAATGACAAGCCAGATTGTCATTATGCTTGGAAGCGAGAAAAGCAAAGGGTATAATGCTACAGAACAAAAGAATGATCGCCATCTCAATCGACCATGAAAGAGAAGCGCAATAAAGGAAATGAGCTTCCAGTGCCGATACTGCCCAATCTACGCCATCCTGCTATAGTGCAGATGCTTGTTTCTGCCGTTGATGCTCAGCACGAATGACTTCAGAAGAAGTTCTTTCACTGCTCCTCAGCATCCTTGTTCTGACCACCAACAAAGGNGAGGTCGCCGAACTTGACAGGGGCCTTGCCCTTGCCCTTATCGTTGGTAGCGGGACGAGCCTTGCCAGCAGCATCCAGCTCGACATTCATGTCGTTGAGGGACAGCATGGTCTGGTCGTTGACGTCCTTCATCTCCTCATCCTCACCCTCATCCTGGTAGTCGTTGGTGGCCTTGGCCTGCTCATCGGCGTAACGTGCAGCGACCTTGGCACGAGTGGCTTTGACTTTCTTCTTCAGCTCCTCGACAGCGGCTTCGATAGTGGACAACTCNNTGTGTAGTACTACAGTCAGCTACCAATCGACAAATGAGGATTGAGATATCAACCTACCAGGAGGACTGTCACCAATCTTGACCGTGCCCTTGTTCTTCAGATCTCCCTTGTTGCCACCGATGAGGTGGTTGTACTTCTGCAGTGCATCGATGATCATCTCTGCAGGGATGTGCTCTTCGAGCAAGCAAGCAATCATGTCGATGTCCAGGGGCTGGAGGTTGCTGTTGGGGTGACGAGCCAGCTCCCAGGCGCGGTTGGCGGCGTTGATGAAGGAGGGATAGAACATGCGGTAGTTGTGGCGTTCAGGCATGTTCAGGAAGTACACGTTAACCTTGGAGTTCTCGTTGCACCAGAGCCACTTGTAGTACACACTCTGCTGCATGCTAGGGCGAGGGCGAGAGGAAGACATGTTGTTGACCTGGTTGGTGTCAGTGGCTATAGTGGTTGTACGAACTGCTGATAAACCTCACAATGTTCAGGAGTAGGAGTCGAATGTCAAAAAGTGCGCAGCTTTGGAGATGGTTGGTAGAAGATCTGGTCTGGAAGGAATAAAAGCGGGAGTTGCAGTGATCAAGTGAATCAACAATAAGTGAGAGACAAAAGAACAACAACAATAGTTCACCTTGGCCAAGCTTTCATTCTCGTCGAGTAGACACGGAAATTTCGACAGATCAAGTCCTCCGCGATTAACTCGGATATAACTTACCAGATGACGGAGTACAGAGAATGCAAGTCAGCGTGACATCCACCCTCTGAGGTATGTAAAACTCAACCGTGCAAATATTCCAGTGGCACACAAGTACTCCTGCAGTTCAATTTCCTCGCCAAAAAGACTTGTACGCCGTATCAATCGATGGTTATGTGTTGATGATAAAGAAACCGTCAAAAAGAGGGGAAACGGGTGGCTTTAAGACATGCAAATGTGGCATGTATGCTCAGAAACATACCTTGGTTGACAGGAAGAAGCTCTCAGCCTTGAATAGAATGTCGGGGTGGACAATCAGAGGGTCGAACTCAAGACCTTGCAACCAGCAAAAAAAAAAACAAGACCAACCATCCATCGGGGTGGCTACTGACTACACCGCAGAACAGCGTGCCGGTGACCAGGTACTTCTGATTGGTCTGTTGGAAAGGACCAAATCTGCGGCTAACATGAAACTTACCACACTGCCAAAACAGATACAAGGTAAAGGCATACCTTCTAGTGAAGAGCATTGGCTTCATGCAAGGAATATTGAGTTGTCCGGACGAGTTTGTCCTGATTCTCGCGAATCTCAATGCGATGGTCCAAGGAGAGTATGCTGCGCACATATCTTGTGCTCGCAAGCTATGACTTACATCCAGTGTCACAAGCATTCATGAATGACTCTCCAGTAAGGGTATGGCAAGCTGATAGCGTTCAGCCTACTTGTGATCGTCCCTTGGTATAGTATGCTGTCCAATAAAGTATAGGATCTCCCCAATTTCTCAGGATCATTGAGCCCATATGGATCATGTTGGCCCAAGGCTTTGGAAGCAGGAGAGTCCAAGTAGGCCATGTTGCCTATATCCAGGGTCTTTGGTTACCATCGAGTCACCAGCTAGTGTTCCGCTCGTATCCAGGCTTCGATTTGCAATTCCTTTCCGAGAGAGAGCCCAGATAGGTCATGTTTAGGGTATTCGAGCATCTCCAGTCTTTTGCCCAAACACCAGATACTGCAATCAATGGTGAAAGCTCTAGGTATGGAGTTAGTTACACATAGCGAACAACCATATGATGGTATTCATGATGATTGTTGCTAAGAAAGAAATTTACAGAGTAACGTATTCAAGAAAGCACGAGCTGACGTTGAAAGTCGAGGTCGAAAGGAAGAGTCCGTGCACTTTCCATCTTCTTGACCATCTTTTTGCTGTCTCCAGACAGTCAAAAGAACTGCAAAAATACAAAGTTATGTTTAGAATTAAGATCGTATCCGGTGAAAACATAACATTGTCACTTATCTCAGTGGAAGGTCCTGGAATGGGAACATCATTTATGTGTTTCTACAGTTCCACTAGGAGAGCGTTGCAACGAGGAGATGAGAGCGTTATAATCAGTACTTCTTGTATTCGATATTATGGAGAGCAGCATCAGTATCGTGACTTCGGATTCAAACGCCTTCTTCTAGCAGCCAGCAATTAGCGTCCTATCCATTGAGATAACCCTTCTACCAGACAGTGTATCCGCCATCAACAACAATCTGACTACCTGTCAAGTAACTGCTGGCATCACTGGCAATGTAGACAGCAGTGCCTCTGAACTCTTCCGGCTTGGCGATTCTGTGTAGAGGAATGTCTTTGATCCATTCTTTGCTGAGCTTTTCCATTTCCTCGCCTTCGTTGGCAGCGGTCTGGATGTAACCCGGTGAGATTGCGTTGACGCGGATGCCGTGCTCGCCCCATTCACTAGCAAAGGACTTCATCATCTGTACCACTGCTGCTTTTGACTGGGAGAGAAGATTAGTTGTAAGCAACAGGAGTGATATGACTGGAACAAAACTTACGGTGTTGTAGGCAGATTGCTTCTGAGGACGATTGACGATGACACCCGACATACTCGAAACCATGATGATGGATCCCTTGATGCCCTGCTTGATCATATGCTGACCAGCTTCCTTGGCAAACAGAAAAGTGCCATTGACATTGACATCCAGCATACCCTTCCAGTCATTAAAGTCGTAGTCTTCGGCTGCAACACCACCCGTGATACCAGCATTTGTGCACAGAACATCGACTTTGCCGAAGTCCTTGACAATTTGAGCCCAGGTTTTCTTGACGGCGGCTTCGTCTGCTGTGTTGCATTCATAGGGACGCAGGTTTGCTTCGGGAAGGCCTTTCTCCTTTACTTCGGCGTTAATGGTTTCGATGGATTTTGAGGCGCTGTCGAGTGAGAGGTCGACGACAGCTCCATGGCCTCCAGAAAGACAGAAGGCTGCTAGGATTTGTTGGCCAAGGCCTTGGGAAGNCGCTGGATTATTGTGTCAATTGATCAATGTTATACCTACCAATTGGTTCAGGGACATGTCCTACCCAGTCACAACGCAGACTTTGTCTTCGAGAGTGAAGCACGGTAGAGTACTGACACGACGGTAAGTTTCTCTTTGACGAAACACATGTTGTTGAAGCTGTGAAGCTCTGACGAGTGGACGGAGGGACTGCGAGAAGCGCACGTACGGTGGCATGGTGATGGTTGGTGAGAGTTTGACAATGTCCGTTGCGATGGAAGTGGTTATAGTGAGGTGTTACGATGTCGTGTGATGTGCAAGCGATAAGGCAGTCACGTTTGCTCCTACCTATTTCTCGCGGTTACACAAAGCCAAAGAGCTCTCGAAGAGTCGCGCGTCACAATTCGCTCATGCTGCAATCATGTCTGCAAACACTCGCCCAAAAAAAACCTTGGCTTGAGGATGAAGAAAGCATTGTCCATATTCGACAATCTGTCTTTCTAGTTTTGGAAGCGTCCAAATGCAGACGTAACATAAGTTGCTAATATCTGAGCAGCGGTCGCTCTTCCTCTCAAGGGTCGTGGAGGAGATGAGAGAGGAGGTGTGGTCGAAGCCGACGCGGAACAATTCCATGCCTGAGGACCCACTGCCGCTCTTCCAGCCGAGGCGGTTGACGATGACGGAACCTAGTTGACATTTCTAATCAATACATCTACCTGCAGTCTGGGAGCTCAATTGTTCTGTTCAACCACCAAAAGACTCCTCTACGTACATACAACAAGTCACACAAACCGCCAAGATGAGTTCAGACAAGGAGCAACACCAGCACAACCCCACGGCGCAAGAGATGGAGCACCACAAATACGACAGCGAGAAGCAAGTCAAACGCAANCCCCACCCAGACTTCAAGTCAGTCGAAGCCTCGCGTCCAGACTGGCCAGAAGAAAACAAATGGCACTACACCAAGATCCGCAACCCGGACTGGAAGCTCGGCGACGGCGCCAACGACAATGGCGAATGCCTGAAGAAGGAACACGTCGAGATTGACCCTTACGCTGAGGGCCGTCCCGCCGTGTCAAACTACAAATTGTTGATCTCAGCTATCATCCCCAGACCTGTTGGTTTCGTGTCGACGAGAAGTAAGGATGGAAGTAGTACCAACTTGGCGCCGTTCTCATATACCCAGCTGGTCAACCACGACCCGCCTGTTTTCGTTATCGGATATGCTGGCGGCATGGACAATGCAAAGGACTCGTTGAAAAACTTGACGGAGACTGGCGAGTGTGTTCTCAACATCATCTCTGAGCACTTCATCGAGGCTGCCAACAGCACTTCCATCAACGCTCCTTACGGTGTCTCCGAATGGGCATTGAGTGGCTTGACACCAGCACCATGCACTCAAGTCAAGGCCAGCCGTGTCAAGGAAGCCATCTTCGCTGCAGAGTGCAAATTGATGAACACGCAAGAGTTTGAGAGCAGAGCCACTCCTGGCAANAAGACCGGCGTCTTGGCCATCGTCGAGGGTGTCAGATTCTGGGCTCGCGAGGACGCAATCAACGAGGACAAGAACTTGATCGATCCTTCCGTGCTCAAGCCCATTGCCAGACTTGGAGGCATCACTTACTCACGCATCACAGAGGGCTTCGAGATCCCTCGTCCGGACTGGGAAGAAAACAAAGACCTGGTTGACAAGCTCGCAAAGCCAAAGGTTGATGGTCAATAGATGTACACACAGATATAGGTATACACAGAGAATTAGATTGTGTGCTATGGAAAAAAAAAAAGAATAAAAACCCTTCCTTCTGCATCCCAAGAAACTTGCTCTGAAACAGATTATTTGCCACTCTCCTCCTTGATCAAAAAATGTCTGTAAAGCGTTTATCCGCTCATACCATCACCATCCTCTCAAATTAACTTTAATTATCGCCGTGCTCCTCAATAACTTCCTTAAGGGTCCAGTCGTTTTGGTCGTGATCTTCTGGACGTTTCTCTTTCTTGGGTTTCTTGTCTGTGATAGGTTTTCCGTCGGGTCCGATGTCTTCTGGAGGTGGTGCGCAGGTGGGCATAGGATAGACATCGCAGATATCGACGGAAGACGAGGAAGCTGTGGTGGACGAGCCACTAGTGGTGCCAGTGTTTCTGACTGGAGCGGGTGATTCAGTCTTGGTCATTGTTTGAGTGACTTCGACAATTGTTGTAGGTGTAGGTGTAGAAGAAGTTTTTGTGGTGTGACGCGACTTCTTGGACTTGGACTTGTGCTTCTTGCTTTGTGACTGTGCTTGGATGTTGATGTGTGTTCGGGTTGTGGTGTGGCTGGGATGTCCATATAGGTAGTGTATGGTGATGTGATGTAGATGCGAGTCATAGAAGGGGAGGTGCTAGCTACGTTGTCTTGGTCACGGCGACTTATCTTTGTGAGCTCGGGTGTGAGCTGGTGATTAAGTGCTGGAGTAGAGACGTTGACACTGGAGATAGCCTCGTTCTCGCTGATGGTCTTGACGACTGGCAAAGCTTGCACAGCCATATGGCTGGCGAAGCAGCACAGAGTAATAGCCATGAAACGCATCTTGTAATTTTAGCCCTGAGGTCTTTTGAAAAGGTGCAAAGAAGTCTTGGTTTTGGCCCTGAGGTCTTGAGGATTGTTTAAGCTCTGAGGTCTTCTGAATGGTTTTAGGCCTAAGGTCTTGAGAAAAGGTGGGAAGGAAACAAAGGGTGCAAAGGCTGTTTATATATGCGAAGATTCGCTCGGTGCGCATGATTGTAAGGATGACTAAGATCGAGGCGAAGGTTGAGGGAATTTGCGCGTGGTAGGTTGTGGAAGTGGCGGACGAGTAATTATGTTATGCGAGAATTATCGTTCATACGGGTATAGATCAGTCCTCCTCTTCATCNNCCTCTTCTGCCTGCAGATCGGGGTTCAGGACTTGACCAATGAGCTTCATGGTGGCATTGAGTGGTAGACCGACGACGTTGTCGTATGAACCGTCAATCTTCTCAACGAGGATGGCGCCCATGCCCTGAATACCATAGCCACCCGCCTTGTCGGCACCTTCGCGAGTCTTGACGTATGCAAGTATGAGTTCGTCGGATANCTGTAATTGTGGTCAATACCGTGTAGGAGAATGACACAAGGAGAGGGAGGTAAATTCACCTGCAGAGTCAAACTTGACGTTGGTCTCTTCGACGTGTCTCTTCAGAGCATATCCTGGGTCCATGGCACTTTCTAAGGGAGACATACATACGACAGCTGTGTAGACCTTGTGCCAGCCGCTGTTCCTCAAGGCTTTGAGGACTGAAATGTGCTCTCTCTCGCTTCTTGGCTTCTCCAGAATGTCACCCATAGGGCTCACAACCACCGTGTCGGCAGCAATGACCAACGCGGGCTCGCCTTTCTCGGAATCAATCTCTTGACGGTAGATCAGGTCGCATTNTTGCTCGGCTGTTTGTAGCACGTATTCGAAAGGAGCGAGCGTCTTGCTGAAGTCTTCAGGAGCTGTGCAAGGGATGATCTCCAGGTCCCGCAGGCCAATCTGATTGAGGAGCTGCTTTCGTCGTGGTGAGGCGGATGCCAGGATGACTCTCTTGCCACGAAGGGCTTGTAGTGCTGGAAGCTCAAGGGGCAGAGGGGCGCGGGCAATTTGTTGGCAGACAGGAGCGGGTGCACCAGCGACGAGAGGTGTGTGTTCCGAGTCGGCATCGTAGGCCGGCAGTGGCTCGAGGGGAGTCTTCTGGTCTGACATTGTGCTTGTGATTGTTGTGTTATTCGTAAGAAAAGTGTTGGTGGCTGCCGTCAACTTTCTTGTGCTCCTGTCGATGACTCGGGCCCGTTGTGTCGATCGCCATCATCCCGCCCGCCATCGTTTCACCCCGCCGATGTCCCGTCCATGACTTCTATATATCAACCACCTTCTATCAATATTCTCATAGATCCTATTCATTCTAGTGTTTCTTCTCGTTTCTGACAGATGTGCCATCACACGTACCAGGCCGTTCCTAGCACTCTAAACAATGGACAAGCTACCGGATGAGATAGTACTCCAAGTACTTTCATGTAAATATTCAACCATTCACAATATGCATTCCAATTTCTGACATCGCCTAGTTCTGGAAGTAAAAGACCTTGTCGGATGCCAGTATTTATCTCGTCGCTTTCTAGGTCTATGCCGAGATGACAATATCTGGAAACTGGAATGCTTCGATGCTTCACGAGCAGAGTCAAGACGCAGACGCCAACGAGTTGATCCTACAAACACCCAACTCCATACACTAAGGTCCGCTTTCGACGAACTCTCTGGACAACCATCACAAGCCTCTGGTCAAGATGCTGCACCTGAACTATCGCTTGCTGCACAAACTCAACGCGCTTTTGCGAACTGGGATCCTTCTTATGGAGATGAGACTGTCAACTTCTATGATGAGTACATCCACCGTCATGCTCCCATCAATATTGGTTGGCTTTCTATGCCAGGAGATGAGTTCTTGGAAGCTACTGGACTTGGTCTGATTCAGGGTTCTGACAGCAACCCACAACATCTTGCGGCATCCTTGAACGATGGCAGTGTCTGTATATGGGACGTTCGACCAAGGTATACCGACTCAGATTACCCGCAAGGACACATTGTGGGCAAAAGCTCCCCAGGCTTGCTTCTAGGTGGCTCTCATATGAGTCAATCTCGCGAGGAGATCAAAGCAATTATGACAGAAACAGGCGCAGTCGAGTCTGTGAGCATTGACAATGATCGAGGAAGAGGCTACTTCGCTCAAAATAATACGCTCCTTGAGGTAGATCTTGCCACGCTTCAGGTCGTCTCACAGGAAACTTTTCCCTTCCCTATCGCTGCTCTGTCACAATCTCGAAATTCAGGTCTCGTCGTAGGCACCAACTGGACCATTCACATCCACGATCCTCGCAACAAGTCAAGGTCAGCCGTGAATCCTTCTTTACAATGCGAGATCATTGGTGGCCCTTCATCAAGTCATGCTCTTCTCTCACAGCCCGGGCCTTTATCGATTCTAGATCGAGTGCAGGATGAATCCATCTGGATTGCTGGCAGATTTACCCATCTGCTGAACTATGATCGTCGCTTCTTTCCCAAGGTACGCGGCACAGTGCACTCCGGAGGACGCATTTCATGTATCACAGAGACGCCTCGACCGTATGTTCCTCGTTCTTTGGACTTGCTTCAAGATCCCACGATATCAATCTTAGATCTGTATGCTGCAAAGACTGCGCCTGGGTCGACCATCTTGGCTGCAGGCGAATACAAAGGAAAAGGCAGTCTCGAGTTCTACGGACTAGTGCCTTCGAATTCAGGATCAGTTGTTACAGAAAGCTATAGAAACCGGCAGACAGCAGCATCCACTCGGTTACTGTCGGTAGCAGCACACGGACACTCTACAGTATTCAGTGATGGTGATGGTAACCTGAAATGGGTTGAACGAGATGGTATGACAACGATTCGAACCTATAACATCAATGAGGCTGGTGATTCACCCTCATTCAACCAAGCACAAAGTGCAGCTCAAGGGCCAGAAGACGAGCCATCCCAAGGAGACATTGTGCAGAAGATCATACCTCTTCAGCCTCCAACAAGCTCGTGGTCAAGCAAGAGACCAGATGTGAATCAATCAGACTTGATACTCAAGACAGGCGACGGTCGAGTAGGAGTGTTAGGATTCGGCCACAAAACACTTTATGCCAGAGAAGAAGAGGAAGCTATAGTTGAAACTACTGAGGAGAGGGTCAGAAGGGATGCTGAGAAGCAGTACCGAGAGACGCTAGGACGAGCACTACAGAGCCAGGCTGACGAAGTGAGATTCATGAGAGGTTTGGGTATGGCATTTGGAATGAGTTAGGGTCTCTGGTAGATAGCTATGGACAATGTCAATGGAGTGACTGGCCCAAGCTCTTGAGCATTCGAAGCAAGTGAGGGGCAAAAGGCAACTCTTCTCCACACTCTCACGTTTGCCCCACCATTGAACAAACAATCTTCTGTCGCTGTCCCATCTGATCGCAAGCACACTCGATGGGTCTAAGAATGGATGACATACATGCGCCGACGGTGGCGTCGGGTCCTAGTAGCACACAGGCGAATGGAGCAGAAAGAGAGAAGCTGTCGCTGCCAGAGCTCATTGCTGAGAAGGATCGCGTCTGGAGCGAGCTGTCTGCACTGGGCTCCGTCCTAGACAGCGTAAGTCCTGTCGCTCTGAGTTATGGTATAGCTGAGCTGACATGTTCATCTTCANNGCATGGAGTCAACATGAGCACCCCACTGACCACATTCGACGGCTATCCTCGCCCCGACCTCGACATTGCCCAGATTCGCACCACACGCGCCCGTATCATCCCCTTGAAGAATGACTACAAAGACCTGATGGCCCGTATCGAGAAAGCCATGCATGCGCACTGGGAGAACGCCGCAGGAGCACCTCCGCCAATAGCAGCAGCACAACCTTCAACTCAAACTGTCGAAGCAACACAAAGCTCGCGCATCGCACTAGAAGCACCCTTTGCCAAAGTCAACAGCGTCGTCGCATCATCGCCAGCCGCGACAGCAGGCCTCAAGCCCGGGGACAAGATTACGAGATTTGGAGATGTGGATTGGATGAATCACGACAAGTTGAGCAAGGTAGCACAGACGGTACAGCAGAACGAGGGCGTTGCTATCGCAGTCAAGGTCATCAGGCCTGCAGCAGCAGGTGCTGGCGAGCAGAGATTGGAAATGCAGCTCACACCACGACACAACTGGGGAGGCAGGGGCATGTTGGGCTGTCACCTGTTGCCTCTGTGAGGGCAGGCTAGGCAGCAACAGGCTGAGACTCAACAGAAAGAGAGACACAGGTCGCTGCGGAAGTTGCGACAATGATACCCAACCATCCGTCCGAAGACAGCATAAGGCAGCTGCCAACATTTGAGAGACAGGCAGCAGCACGGCATCGGACAGCGAGACAGCAGACGCCAATGAGAGCACGAGCTAAGCTGTATAGCAAGACAAGACAAGACAAGCCAGAGCGCATGACAGCATTCCGTGGCGTTGTTTTTCTGGGGAAATGGTATAGGGTTGGCATAATTGCAGCATTACAGCCTAATGCTTAGAAATCAAATATGCACAGATTTTCCCAATGAAAAGCCAGAATTGGAAGACCATAACACTGACATCACAATGCAGCTTTGAGTCTGCTGAGATCGAACGGTGAGGCAGCAACAGAGATCGGACCAGCAGTTTGCATGCTGAAGAATTAGTAAGACAGGCAACAGTTGAGACGGACAAGTCAGAGTGAAAGGCGAATGGCTGAAAGGGTGAATAGAGAGACACGGAGGAGTCAGTGTATTGAGCGACGGATGTGTGTTTGTTGACTGGGAAGCGGCGGCGGCCAACGCAGATGCCAAGGCCTTGCGAGTGAGAGGGAAAGGAAAGGGGACGCTCGGACCATCAAAATGGGCTCGAAAAACATGATTGCCATCGACCGTCAACATCTCTTGCTCTCCATCTACCACTCACTCATATCCACCTCTTCCGTCAGTTCCCCCGCCAGCTTTTTTATCAGCTACCGTAGCACCGACCTCTGACTTTGTCCGCAGTTTCGTCGCTTTACTTCACACTAAACCGACATCACAACAATGGCTGAAGTTCCCACTTTCAAGCTCGTCCTCGTTGGTGACGGTGGTACCGGCAAGGTGCGTTTATCNTCTCCGTCTCGATTTCGCTCTGTCCTCCGACTTGCGCATCGTTTTCATCTGTTCGTTTCGGAAAAGCAACTCAAAACTGACTGGATATCNGCAAAACAGACCACTTTCGTCAAGCGTCACTTGACTGGAGAGTTCGAGAAGAAGTACATCGCCACTCTCGGTGTCGAAGTCCACCCTCTTGGTTTCTCTACCGTACGATTTCCCTCCTCCGCCGCTCGATGAAATGCGCCGACGACTAACCCCTGTCATAACAGNAACCTCGGCCAGATCCAGTTCGATGTTTGGGATACCGCAGGTCAGGAGAAGTTCGGTGGTCTCCGTGACGGTTACTACATCAACGGACAGTGCGGTATCATCATGTTCGATGTTACCTCGCGTATCACCTACAAGAACGTCCCCAACTGGCACCGTAAGCTCCAAACACCTCCCAGCCCCGCCTTTTTCGCAGGCCCAAGATTTCCAGCCCCGCTAACATGCCCCACCCACAGGNNTGACCTCGTCCGTGTCTGCGAGAACATCCCCATCGTTCTCACCGGTAACAAGGTCGATGTCAAGGAGCGCAAGGTCAAGGCCAAGACCATCACCTTCCACCGCAAGAAGAATCTCCAGTACTACGACATCTCTGCCAAGTCCAACTACAACTTCGAGAAGCCCTTCCTGTGGCTCGCAAGAAAGCTTGTCGGCAACCAGACTCTTGTACGTCTTTTCTCGACTCTGTCACGACTGTCGCGTGTTGCTAACAATCACTCCAGNGACTTCGTCGCTGCTCCCGCCCTTGCTCCCCCAGAGGTCCAGGTCGACGAGGCTGTTCTTAAGCAGTACCAGGAGGAGATGGCCGCTGCCGCCGACATGNNCCCCCTCCCCGACGAGGACGATGCCGACCTCTAAGCGATTTCGCCATCATGGAAACGGGATTCGCTCATTCAGTAATCGAATTCCACATCTTCTAGATACCCAGCGGCACGCTCTTCCGTCATCAAAATGCACTTGCGGAGGGAGATGATTCGCGGCGGAACACGAGGGCGGACCGCATCTGCGCGCGTCCATGGCTGATATTGACTTAATGACACACTCTGGGGAGAAGGAAATGGGTTCTTTGCTTTCTTCCATCAATGAAAAAAACAACCACACCACACACACATTCTGGCAGGCCGCCTTGAGCAACCAAAGTAGACACTGGCATTTTTTCTTATCTGGAATCTGCAGCGTTTGTGCTTTTTTCTTTCCATCTTCACCAGCAGTCAAAATCCCCGAAAGAAACATACTCCAACATCGAAGATCATGCAAGCACTCTCAAAAAGTTACAGAGATCGAGGAATAGAATGCGCTCTTTCTGGTCTATTGTTTTTGTTTCTATCGTCTTTTCCTTGTGACTTGCTGTGAAATGACCTTGATGGTGGTCGCGTGAACATGAAAGAGGTGATGATTGAACTATCTTTTCCATATGTCTTCGTATGCCAGAATGCGTTTAAAACAGTGAAACCTGTTCTCGCTGGCAGCAATAAGCATGATTGCGAATTGCAGAAACGACGTAATCATCTTGATTCCGAAGGTATGTCTATCCCATGAAGAGTCGTCCAAACAATCAAGCAACCTCTTTGATACTATTTGGGTTTTTTGGCATGGTATGTTCGTATAGTTGCTTTCTGATGGCTGATACGTTGCAGATGGTTGGTATGCACTTGTCGATAGACTGACTGTTTTGAGTGTCTCTTTGCTTTGGTAGACCTCAGGAGTAAAAATGAGGTACGGTACGACACATAGCTGTGGATGAAGAGAAAGCTATAATTGATTCAAGAGGTTGGTGATGAAGGACTGGTGTCTGTTTCTTGCTTGGTGGGTGTCTAGTATACGTATGCACGAGAATTTGGATCGCTATATTATGTTGGATTTTGAAAAAGAAAAAAAAAAAAAAAGAGAGATACAAGAATGTATTCGTCTAAGTGTCTTTTGTCTATCATTTGAAAAGCTTCTATGTTTGAAGGCAGGAGTAAATAGATCTTTGATGATAAGTAAAGCAGAATATATAATTCTAGCTCTTTCTTTACGATGTGAATCCAAGTCTTGCACTCATTTAGTTTCCAACATTCTAAGGTGGTTGCTCACAGAGCTTCGGCAAAATACGTCGTCTTCATAGAAGTATGTCTCCAAGGATGGACGGTGGTAGAACTATGAGTATATCAAGAGGTAATGCTTTCTTTGTTTGTCTACTACGGCCTTCTAAACTAGAATTGTCATTTTCCTCTACATGTTCTTGACAAGACTGCCAGGACTAACATACTTCTTCGAACCGCCGAAGTAGTAGTATCCACCCGCTAAAATCCACATACCACCCCAGATAACGATCGCCCAATTCATATCCGGCGCATCGGGATTAACATCTTCAGGGAAGAAAGAAAAGATGAATGCCACAACCAAGAAAGCCAATGCTGCATCATTGAGAGGAGCTCCCCATCTACCCAGATCGAAACGACGAGGCAGAAGAGGTTGACCGCGCCAACGCTTGAGACGCACACATCCAATGCAAATGATGTAGCTGAACAAGAGGGCTGAGTTTGAAGCTGACATGATGGCGTCGAGAGCGAGTTCAGAGCCAAAGTTGATGGCGCCGAGGATGAGAGAGACCACGAGACAGAGTAGGAGAGAGTTGACGGGGACGTCCCAGCGAGGGTCCACGCGGCTGAGCCACTCGCTGAAGGGNNGGAAGCCTCTGTCTCTGGCGAAAGCCCAGGTCTGACGAGATGAAGATGCGATGGTGGTGATGGCTGAGAAGTATTGGAGGATCAAGAGTATGACGGTCATGACTGAAGTACCAGCCTTGGAGCCTGTGACGTTGTAGAGCAGTTGGACGACAGGAATGCCAATGCTAGAGTTGAGGATGTTGTCCAGGTTGTCGCCAGCAGCAAAGCAGAAACTGATGATCATGACACAGCCGAGCGCGCCGTTGATGACAGTCGCCCACATCATGGCTTTGGGGAGCACACGAGAAGCATCGCGCAGTTCTTCGCTCATGTGTGCACCTGCATCAGGACCGATGAAACACCAAATAGGTGAGACAAGACCAACGAGACAAGAAACGCCTTGACTGCTCCAACCACCACCATTGGAAAACTCGGTGAAGACGGTCTTCGCCGATCCGACATCAGCCATGACCCAAAAGACGATAAGGTAAGCGAAGAAAGCCAGAACGTGGAGCACAAGAATCAAACCCTCGGCAAGTGGCAGCTTGTGCGAGAGGAAGATGTTGAAGCCAAAAGTGATGAAAAGGAAGGCAAAGAGCAAAAGGCCAACCTGCCAGAGTGATCCAAGGTTGGCGTCTGGATTGTTGACAAGGACGAGGCCTTCGACTTGATAGGCGAGGAATTGTGCACAAGAGGGAATACCTGACACCCAGCCCAACCAGGAGCTCCAGCCGACGATATACGACAGAGGCTTCTCTAGTGATGGCGGTGCAAATTCACTGACCCAGTGGTNACTTTCATCAAATTAGCAACTGGGACAAATACAGTAGGAAATCATAGAACATACCTGACCGCCCGCGGTTGGTGCCATGGAAGCAAGCTCGGCCATTGATGCGATTATGCAGAGCGTAAAGAACCAAGTGATAATGAAAAGCCATACGGTTCCGGCTAGACCACCATTGTGTAAAGATTGGCTGTTTGACAGAAGAGCACCTTCCCAAGTCGACTGAAGAATGCAAATAAAGCCGACAATGGAGATGAAGCGGAATTCTCTNNCTATTGTGTCCTGTCAGTAGCTCGTCTCAACCGGTTTGAAGAATTCAAGACCGCATACCCTTAGGACTTGCTTCTTGCCCATTCTCGACATATCGGCAGCGTCGGCATCGGTACCCTTTTTGACTTCGGGTACAGAGCCATTCTCTGAAGGCACCTCCTCAAAGGAGAGCCTGTGGGCAGGCTTACCAGTCACAGACATGGCTTCTAAATGTGCGGTGTATAGGACAAGAAAGTTTCGGAGGAGTAAGAAAGCAAACGAGACTGTTGTGGCTTGACGACGACTTTTGGTCTCGAAAACTGCCTGTTTCCAGAGCAGTGGTTCTTTCGGTAGTATAAAGCATGGACGACCACAACGTGCTTGACTGCGAACGATCCAGGTCCACGACTCCAGAGACGATCATTTTGGAGAATTTTCCATTGGGGCTATCGTCACATGGGTAACACGATATTGAGCCGGCGTGCGTCCTAGTCCGGCCAGCCAAAGTATGCGGTTCGCTACATCTTACGTGGTGGTGTACCTCCAATTACAACTGTGGGGTTCAGAGAAAGTAGGGCAATCTGGATCAGTAGTGGAGTGATACCCTCGTGCCTATTACCGAACGATTCTCGGTAGTATCGGGTCGTCTTGACCTTGAGTTAACCCTGTGGCTTGTCATACAACACTAGTTGCTCAACCAAGCGGAGCAGACCCTTCCGCTAACTTGCGTGTCGCCTGGGGGGCGGATCATGAGTTGTCGAGTTGATCGTCAAATTACGAAAGCGATTTTCCCGCCGGCTTGTTGTCGCATGTTAAGCCTCTGCCGCGTGTTGAATTCAGGCAGTATGGCATCGACAGCAGTGTGACAATTGGACAGAAGGTCGAATGCATGGACCAGGTGTTAGCATCCAAACCTCGACACATCATCGACTCAACATCTTGATATTTCTCGAAGGAACAATTGAGTTTCGGTTGTGTTGTACGAGAAGTCGTGGTGGAGACTCAGGCGCCAAACGACATATCGAACAGTTCAAACAAGCATCCTTCCGAGTGCCGTGCCGAAAGCTAAGGGCCAGTCAAGCGTTCTTCGAACTGAACAATGCGCACGAAGGATCCAGCCGAGGCTATAACAAGCGAGATTCTGTTAAACCAGGGCATGAAGATAGATGAAGCTGTCAAGAACAAGCAAAATGTCGCGAGATGTGTTCGCCAAGCTCGTGCCGACCGGCCAGGTCCGAAGCGTCCTCTTGTCTTTCCCAACAGTGCTTGACCGTGAGCGTTACTTCCTTCTTCCCTACGGTCCGATACTGCTAAGATTCGGCGATGTGGACGCAGAACTGGGTAAGTGCAAAGCTTCATGGTGGACGCACATTTCGGAAGCATTACGCGAGTTCTGCTCGATTGCATGCAGAGCCCACGCTACTGCCTCTGTCGATCATTTTTATGAGTGCAGCTGGAAGAATCGCAGCCCCAGTAACATGGATGAAACGCACACACGGCTGGTTGCTCACCATGTGGACCACACTCAGGTTGACATAGCACAGGTCCCGGCATCTCAATAGTACCAGCCAGTGTTTGCCGGCTATGTATCAGCTGTTCCTTCTCACGAGAAGCAGCTCGCGCATTCTTCGCTCGTAGGGCGTTTATATCACGAGATGCAGGCTACAGAAACCTTGAGCAGGAGGTCACAGCTTACTCTACAGAACTCACCTTGGTGTCCGAGCGTCCTATAGTATCGCCCTGAACTACATGCCTATTTTCCGAACGATAAGTTAATCAAAGATTCTAGCCCTCTGCGGCAGAGGATGACAGCAATCACACGCCTTGGAGAGGCGAAGACGCTATGTCTCATCGATTCATCACCTTCACACCAGCTTGTCTTTCCGTCGAATGCCGAAGTAAAAAGCGGCAGGGTTCAATGCAGCAGAAAGATGACGGTCCCGAGTGCCTGTCACTGCAATCCCACTGCCGCTGTGGTCGCAACGTATTTGCTCAAGAACACGAGGTGAGAAATGATGGCTTAGAGTCTATCGTTCCTTCTTTTGAACCTTTCTTGCGTGAGCCCCGGCCTTTCTTGACTCCATACTGTTTCTATATTGCAGCACTACCGGTCTACTTCATATACTATCTTTTTGCTTTCTTTGTCCCTTCGCCAGCCCTATGGATCCTTATCAAGTGCCTCGAAACTGAACAACATAACAATGACCGCTGACAGTTCAGGGTTGGTTCACCATCTTGGATATGCGGAGTCTTTGAATGTCGCCATCAGCATCTGCTTAACATACACGCTGATCTTCACATGCGTCCGCATACATCTTCGGAGGAGCAGCTTTGGCGCTGATGATGTTGTCGTAGTCATCGCTACCATTGCTGCAATGGCGCATTTTGCAGCTTCGTATACGTGTCTTACAGCTGGCCTGGGCAAACCATACGACATGATCAAGGAGAACATCCATCGATTAGATTCTGTGAGTTTGAGAGAAGTCAGAAGTACCGATTGACACCAGCTGACAGCCTTTTCGCAGAAAGCAATCGCTAGTGCTGTGACATTTGTCCTTACCCTTTATGCTGCGAAGATTGCCGCCCTGGTGTTTCTAATGCGCATTCAGTCAAAAACACGCACTACTTACTTTTATCCGACACTCGTCCTCGTATATATCGTTTTGGGCATCGCAAGCGCAATCACAATCACTGCGGGATGTCCATCAGCATCAGGCTATTACTGGGACTTTGAGAACAACAAAGACTCATGTCCTAGCGAAGAGCGCAGATGGCAGGCTATGACAGCCTTAGACATCATCTCTGAAATCGTCCTTTTAGCGCTACCAGTCAACCTCGTATGGACATTACAAATGCCTCAGAAGCGCAAAGCCATGGTCATAGTAACTTTCTGGACGCGAGCTCCGTAAGCCACACCCTCCTGTGCACGAGATATCTACGATTTTGAAGCTGAATAATCCCACACAGCNACGATAGCACTCTCCATCATCCGCCAAATCTACACATGGAAGCTTGCCTCTGCATCTGTTGCCGATATCTCCCTTGCCAGCACTCTGGTAACTATCCTTATGGCCGTCGAAGTCAGCTACGCATTGATATCCTGCACGCTCACGACATCGAAGAACTTTACCGACGGCTTCAGCACAGGCTTCGGCATGGGTCACATCCCCGGCGCTGCAGAATCCTACAATCTGTCCGCTGTAGGATCTTCCGGTAACCCACAAACACATAGAGGTGGAGGTGGTTACAAAAGCAACATCTCCACCATGAAAGGGACAAATGCAGGAACACAGATTAGCGGGCACAGATTTCATGTCAAGACACCTAGTTTTGGAGATGGGATGGATGGACCGATGCAATTGAGGTCTTCACAGCAAAGGTTGGAGAGTAGGACTATTGTGCAAAGAGGAGAACAGAGGTATTGGGGTGAAGGGGAGAGTGTAAGTAGTGATGGTGGCCATGACGATCTGGTCATCGTTAGGCATACCGAGTATACTGTTTCGCACGACGAAGCACCTATACTGCAAAAGCATAGCTTAGACAGAATGTGAACTGCCTCACAGATACTTATCAATGGTCTCAGATACAGACACGAGCATTGTTCCATTTCTCAATGTTTCCATTCCATCTGTGCAAAGCTTGATATTTTCTACCTTGCATCCGTAAAACACATGGCATCTTGGCCAAGTTGGAAAAAAGATACCTGACTGTCTCCAAGGAAGATGTAAGAGTGATACAGCATCCCAAGGCAAAAAGAATCTGCAGCTTGTGAGATTCGAACTCATGTCTCTACGATTCTGGGGGCACACTGCGAAAACAGCGGCACGCTCCATACTATGCTTGTGTTTGCAAGACAGTATTTACGTAGCGTCTTGACCACTGGACTAAAGCTGCTGGATTTGATAACGATGGAGAGATTGTTGATGATATAGTCGATGCAGGCTGGCAATGGTGCTTTCCTAACCTTTGCGAAGTCTCACCTTGGTGGTTGCCTGCGTTGGTGGTTGCAATGCGGCTTTCCAACAATCCTTGGGTTACAGGCAAGACCCATCTCGCTATTTGCCTTCTTGGTTTTGAGTTTTACTTGCGACTTTTTGTGACTTGAGCACAGAAAAGATGAGACGTCTAGGCCGAATGCAGATTAATGATTGTTCTTCTAATACATATCTCTATCGCTTGAGCCACAAGAACCTCAAAACGGGAATAGTGATCGAGGTCCAAGGATAGCGCCGCTCTAGGGAGAGAGGAATTCAAAGTCTAGGTCTGGGCGGGCAATGTAAGCATCTTGGATGGGGTCTATCGGCGTGTTCGAGTCTGCGCGTCGCTAGTGCGCATCAAGTAACTTGAACTTGAATTTCTGCACATCCCTCTTGACCCTGTACAGATCGCCCAGCTTCAGCTGCCACGAGTCCACCCATCTGGTCTCTGTGAGCTCCTTGATATCATCAATGTCGATCCTGTGATAATGCAGCCATGCCTCAATGGCATCCAGATCCTCGGGCCGAGTTTGCCATACCGTGCGACCTCTCTCGTACTGTATGAATTCTTGCAGTCGTGGTTCGGGATCACTGACTGGAGGAGGGCGCGCAGACGATGCGGTCGTCGAGAGTTGTGGTTGTTGGTTGGTACTTGGNNAAGCAAGGTTGGGCGTGTTTGTGTTTGTAAAGTCTGTGTTGCCGCCGAGGGACTGAGAAGGAGTGTGCAGAATGTGATGGTTCGGTTGTTGTTGTGGACGTGGCTCAGATTGCAATTGCTGGCCGTTGTCTTGCAGACCGTCTACCTGGTTATGGTCTTCGGCTGCCGTGGGATCGGCATCACTGGTGGTCAGCGGTCGTCCAGCGACCATGTTGCTGGCCCATTGGAACATGGCAGCGGGACCGACTCGCAGATTCCGGTTGGAGAGATCAAGGGTGGCATTCTGCAATTGTTGCGGAGATGGTTGTTGAGATTGTCGCTGATTCGGAGTACGGACGTCGGTGGGACCTTCAATGCGCCATGGTCTTGTGTACTTTGCGCGTTTGGAAGGTGTATATTGTGGACATTTGTCGAGGTGCTTAACCAGCTCTGTCGTGTGCCAGCTCCGTTCTTNTTGGCAGTGCTTGCATACTGCGCGTTCGGTCCTGTCGCCGAGTCCTGGTGGCAATCGCGTGAAGTTTTCTTCTACCTCTGGTAATGGTGCGCGACCGCCCTTGCGCTTTTGGCTGTTAGGCTGAGGAGTGATGTTGACAATGGATGACATGATGATGTGAGTAGTTGCATGATGGTCAAGGGAGCAGCCGCAGAGCAGCTCATCTACTTCAGGAAAATCATGATGCTCTGACGCAACGCCAAGTCCGGACGAGCTCGACCTTGTAATTGAATGAAACAGACATCATGTGTTCTCAAAAATCAACTTATTGTAAGGATATTGGTAATTGGACACTGAATGATTTGGTTGGGGTGTTTGTACCTCGGGCATGTTGACCACCCGGCTAGCTACGTGTAGGTAACTATGGCTATGCTTAGATTTATGTCCTTAGCCCAGCCATGCTATGTTTATGCATCACTATCATATCATCATCTGACATTGCTTGCTGCATCTTTGGGTGTCGGTTGCGCGTGCTCCTCCGTTCTCTGAAGCTGCATGTTAGTATAGTATGCTTTGTATATGCCGCTGCCATCCATACTTGACACACAAGCTGGTCAGTATGAGCATGGAATGTGTTGATCTTCGTATGATCCTGGTGTCATCATCGTGATTGGTGAACCATAATTTAGGTAGGCGATAGGCCTTGAGTACTGAATAGTATGGTGGTCTCGGACCTCACACACCGGTACCGGGAAACGCGCCCTTCTTGTTGAGCACGACCATTCCATGAGCTCGTGAAATGTATCCTTTCATCATGCCCTTGTAGACCAGGTTGGCAAGCAGACATTCGACTTCATCACCCTCGAGCTCGGTCTCTCCACCAAGTCTCAAGGCAGCTGCAAATTCTTTCAGAGGAATACGACTTCTTCGTACTGCCTCTGCTCCATCCTGGCCCTCTTTTGGTGCTTCAAGCTCGCCAGCGAGATAGACCTTTCTGACGAGATTGCGAAGGCATATATCTCGACCACGTTCAAGGGTGAGGTACACTCTGCGTTTGACAAACTCGTCTTCTCCAGCTTGGAGAGCAGCATCAAAACCTGCCAGATCACCCTTCTTGATGCAGACACAGAGTGGAGCAAAAGGCGTTGCAGACCAGGGTACGGTGCTAACATTGCCTGAGTAGGTAGAACGTGCGCGGTGATGAGCCTNGGTCGGGATGAGATACGTCAAGATCAGCCTGATATTGCGAGTGGAGCCCGTCAATGCTTTGTTGTAGGCAATAGTTAGGTGTTCCTCGGCTTTTGCGTAATCCTCATGCAAAAATTTGAGAACGCCAAGGTAGTAGTTGTAGGTGACCTGCTGCGAGCGAGGGAAACGATCGAGTGGAGGCAAGTCAGTGTTCGTCGCTGAGAGCGATCGGATGACATTCGCCGAAAGAGCAATCGAATTTAGNNCTGTCAAGTCATGTTAGCATATCATGCTTCGTGGCAGGAGACATATTATCACCTTGAAGTATGTTTTGAACTGCAGGTTCGCAATGTAGTAAGCACCCCATTTGCGAGAAGTCTCGATAGGGGATCTGTCACCAATACAAAGACTGAAGACTCTGTTGATCTGACGCGCAGCATCCTCAAGCTTCTCGTTTCCTCCTGCTGCATCGCCAACGTCCTCCTCGAAAGCGTTAAAGGACGTCTGTCCCTTTTGGAAAGCAGCTTCATCGGCTTTGATAGCGAAAACACGCAAGAACTTGCCCACAAGGTAGAGACAAGGAATCGTCCAGGCATCGAAAACTTCAATCTGGTAGCCTCTCAAAAGTGCGTTGAGAAGATCCTTCCAAGCATTGTAAACTTTATCCCAGTTGGCGACCTTGCTCTGTGATTTGGAGACATTCTTTCCTAGATTGAGTGATTCTTCGGCAATGAGAATCTCGCCGACAGCCTTCCAGTATGCGACAAAGACATCTGTCCAGGGATTGATCTCTTCTCTCTCCAATTTGCAAACTGGATTATGCGAGAGAGCATGACGAAAGTCTGACTGGACGCTGAAAGCATTCGATTCTCTGTGCAGGGCATACAAGCGACCACTATCATGCTTGGGGGCAACTGGTGACAGTGTGCTTGCAAGACCATAGCCATCCTTTGCCATCATCGCACGCCCGAAGTCAATCATTACGTTGTTCATTTTGCTGGCAGAGCCTGCACGTCTGCAGACAGTAAAACGGATTACCTAGACTGAAAGTGTTACGCAAGACCTACACAGGGAGTCAGCGACAACAACACTGGCATGTGATGTTGATGATCGATGATGGATGGCCTGAGCTCGACTGGGAGCCAAGTGACGACGGCGAAAAGTAAAGCCGGCTCCGAGCTGGAAGGGGTTGCCAAGCAGAGGCAGGCGCACTGGAGTGACGGCTTGTTCCGTTAAACGAGGAGTCTGGCGTCGAACTCCACCGAGCGCGCAAGAATTTCTCTCTCCCAAGCGACTTGACAATTTACGTTGTACTAACCTTCCAGCAAACGCAACAGTGAGTCTATCCCACCTGTCCATCATCTATCTCAATACTGACAATCATTCAAGATGGGTAAGCAAATCATCCTCCAAACACGTCTTCCTACCACCGAGTTCGATCCACCGCCGATTTTCTTCCTCCATCTGGCCCGCGCGCAATCACATCTTCAATCGCATCGTCTGCAATTCTGAATATGGCCCAATTTGGCTACGACTGTTCCGCTTGCAAATGTTTCGACACCACCGAAGAGTTTGACCTGGGGTCACGGAGGAAATGAAAAACGCGCAAGAAAGAGGAGGAATGTGAAGGATCGAATCGGCTGGCTTCGTCGACTGTCAGCATCAAAGAGCAAGGAGCATTGGGCTAATACCATACTGCCGTACAGGTCGCCTTCAAGAATACCAGGTCGTTGGCCGTCTGTTGCCCACCGATGCCAACCCCACCCCCAAGCTCTACCGCATGCGCGTCTTCGCTCCCAACGAGGTCGTCGCCAAGAGCAGATTCTGGTACTTCTTGTCTCAGCTGAGAAAGGTCAAGAAGGCAAACGGCGAGATCGTCACCCTCAACCAGGTACGACTTTTCTCAAACAACCTATACAATGCTATCTCCCGGAAATGGGCTGCAGCGATTGGCGTTAAGTGACGCGATTAACACGCGCCTNNGCAGATTCATGAGAAGCGCCCCCAGAAGGTCAAGAACTTCGGTATCTGGATCCGCTACGACTCTCGCTCTGGTACCCACAACATGTACAAGGAGTACCGCGAGATGTCCCGCTGCGAGGCTGTCCAGGCTCTCTACCAGGACATGGCCGCCCGCCACCGTGCCCGCTTCCGATCGATCCACGTACGTCCTCCTCATTGCTGGCCTCGTGTTGCCCGCCCTGGCTAACAAGCACCGCAGATCATCAAGGTCGTCGAGGTCGAGAAGGCTGAGGACATCCGCCGCCCCTACATCAAGCAGCTCCTCACCAAGAACCTCAAGTTCCCCCTTCCCCACCGTGTCCCCAAGACCGCTGGCAAGAAGGTCTTCGCTGCCCACCGCCCTGCCACTTTCTTCTAAGCGTGTCGCTTCCTTATGTTGCTGCGTACTGCTGGTTGGGAATGGCGTGAAAACGGATGGAGGACTTTTGACCGTGGAAAGAATAATCCTCTTTGCTCGTACAGAGCCACTGCCGGCCAAAGAATCAAAAAGAACTTTTTTCTGCGCAAGTCTACTTCTTTTTCTCACGACAATTTCATGACTTCCTCCTAACTCTGCAGTTCTTTCTTCTCCTTCTATCCCTCTTCCATTCTGTCTCCCCTACATCTTATATACCAGTGACTTTTCANNCCTTGTACTTTGTGTACACCCCAGCGATGCAGCTCGTAGGAGTTGCCCGAGCTACTTGCTTTTCAACGCAAGAAGTTCGGAACGGAGCGTTGGTAGATTGAACGTNCCAGCTGAGGAAGAGAGGAGTGCCTTACGTCGCTTTTATCTNTTCTTGTGCAGGCAGGGGGAACGAAGAGACTTGGCCTCGATCCCGTGGGTCTGCGTCCAAGAGAACCCCCTAACATCTCATTGTCGATTTGTGAGATTTGTTTGGTAGTTAGTCGATGTGTATTGAAAGCTTTTGTATCACAATTCGTACTCTTGGTTTTTTTTGTTTTTGCTTCATGTGGCCTGTGAGCTCGTTACTAGTGTTTGTGGTGACCTTGATTATAGGTGGGACAAGTACGGTTAGTATTACCGCTTGCGCTCAGGTAGTTGTCATAACACAGATATGCTAGGTATCAGGAAATTTTCAATGCTTGGGGATTTGGCTATCTATCTTCCAACTCTATTCATCAGGATTCAAGTCCTGGTCTTCGCCAAATTCGATTACAACCCATTGACAGAACTTTTCAAAGTCCTTGGCCCACTGTTGCATCCTCATCGCCCTCTCACCCTTACCATATGCACCATCCTTGAGTTCCTGTTGCCACTGCTGTGTATTCAGATCTTCGAACGATGCCCATCTGACACTGTTCTCTGCCAACGAGGCCAGCCCTTCCAAACCCAGGTTCTCCCATCCTTGTAGTGCTTGCCAGAAGTCGTGTGTCATACCGCTATGCCCATGACCAAGGATTGCAGGGTCGTCGTTGCAGAGAGACACAGGTACGCCGCGGGCAAGCAGCGCTGGAAGAGGATGCGACATGATGCTGCCAGTGAGGCGAAGTACCTCGTTACTAATAGGACAACTCTCGATGAGGATTTTCTTCTCCTTGACCATGTCGACTAGCAAAGGGTGTTTGTATAGAGAGAAGGCATGGCCAATACGCCGGGTACCGAGAAGAATTGCATCGAACAGGTTTTCGTCTGTTTCATCGCCGTCGCCGAGGGTTTCGCCGGCGTGGAAGTAGAAGGGGATGTCAACTTTGTTCTGGGCACATGCCTTTTTGAACCAGAAGAGTTCGGGTGTCAGGTCTGCGAGGGAGCGGCCGAGGTCTTCTTGGCCTACGAGGTCGAAACCGCAGATCAGCTCTGGGTATAGAATCTTCATGTCGATGCACTCTTGCATGCTCTCGATGATCTTGCGCGAGTCGAAGCTACGGAGAGTGGTGTAGATCAGTCTTGCGCCCCAGAAGCCCTTGCCTAAGGCCTTGAAGTTCTCAATCTCCTCGTCTAGGATATCAATCATGAGTTCGTTGTTTGGCTCGGGCTCTTCTGATCCTTCCTTGTAGAAGGGGTCGAGGAATGTGCTGCGGATGTCGACGTATTGGACACCATCCTCGACCAAGTCTTCAAACATGCGGCGAAGGAAGGTTCGGAATGTTGGCTCGTAGTGGAGCAAGCTGGAGATAACACCGAAACATGATTGGAATTTGCGCCAGATGTCGTTGGGGCCATGCATGTGCTGTACAGACTCGTCCAAGGTGATGGTGATGCGCTCCTTGAGCCACTTTTCGAAGCCCTTACGTCCACCATGCGGGAAAGCATCAGCAGCAGTATCAATCGGGATCCATTGACCAACGGCGTAAGAATTGTCCCATATCGAGGATGCTTCGGCAGAGCGGTTCTTCAGCCACTTGAAGACGAAAGGTGCCGAGGATTGAGCATCCTCAGAGTCGAGAGGTTGGTCGGCCTGGATATGCATGCCCTTCACGTTGAACGCTTCCTCAATGAGCCAGTCCATATCGACCATGGCTTCCAGGTGACAATGCAATAGAGCACCCTTCGGCATCTTCTTAACAATCTTCCAAAGTTTTGATTGTTCAATCTTAGGACGAGCCAGAGTGAACATCATTCCAGGATATATGTCTCTAGAGTCCGATGCTAGGCTGTCTTCGTAGTCCTTGGTCCAGAGTGTTTGCTGTTCCTCGAACCTGATGGCAGACACAATGGCACATGCCTCGCGAGCCATTGGGGACAGGGTCTCCCGGAAAGCATGATCNNTTTGAAGAGTTAGACATGGATTAATTAACTTGTTGACGGGTCTGAACAAACCACTGCGTTGCTTCTTTTCTTGGTTGATAAGAGCATCTCGGCCCTGGAGGTATTTCTGAAGGAATGGCTCTTGGAACGATGGTACACCTCTTTCAGCCAACCACTGAGCATCAGCGTCGTCTTGGATGCTAAGTTGATCCATGTTTCTTGGTGTATGGAGTCACACGTCTGTCAAAATTTGAGCAACGGCACCTAAATCGTTACGACTAGACACCCAAGCCTTTCCGTGTCTGAGACGAATACAAGGTGGATATGTTGCACAGTATCGTTTATTGCTTTGCGAATAATCGAGAGAGAAACACAGGGACTGCAAACGGCTCATTGGCTGAAGAAAGCGTGCACAGACATTTCTGGATCAGATGGGCAGCGATCTGCGAGGCTGATGACGGTGAGCGTGTCGGTGATAACGGCGGTCGCGAGATTGCGGAGAGTGACCAACTCTAATGCGAATGTCTTTGACAGTCAGGTGCCTGCTGCGAATAGAGCCGTGACAAAGACACTAGCATCGTCCAGGTGCCGTACCAGAGCGAGCACCAGATCTCATACGAAACAGTAGCCAGGCGACGCATAACACTTTCCCTCACACGAACCCTTCATGTACCCCGCGAGTTGTCGTTGGTGTACCGTAACATGAATATACCCACAACGACTATGCTTGACTGAGCGCGACTTTGTTCCTCAGCACATCCGCCACTATGGCTTCGTGGATGCCAGCCTACTTCCAGAAGCGCCTGCTTCGGACTGCCCTCTCGCGTATCGCTTTGCTGGATGTAGACTCATTAGATCTCGAATCCTTGGGCGTGAAGATCGGCAGGACCAGCACTGTCGAGCTCAAGAATGTCGGGCTCCATGTCCAGGTATACACAGCTCCCATCGTGCCTTCCTCTGTCAGCCTCACTGACACCCCATAGGAACTCTCGGCTTTGCTGCAACTTCCACCAGACCTTCGCCTCCATGTCGCCCGTGTACTATCGCTCCGCCTGACTGTTCCTGCCAATTTCTTCCAACAGAGCATCGTCGCCGAAGTAGATGGTATCGAGATCCACGTTGCAGCAGACGTGCCTGCCAGCCCCAACGACAATGCCGCCGACGCAAAGGCTCCAGACCATCGCAAGACGAACCGACGGATACACTCTCCTTCCCCTTACCATGATAGTGGCGGTCTGCCCAACACTCAGAAACTCGCTCAGTCCATCTTGCTCGAAGAACCGGCCGAAGAAAAACAAGAGTTGGAGGCTCGCTATATGGCCAAGTCGTCTCTGAGCGACACAAGCGATGAGCTAGGTACTGGCACGAGTCTGGGTCTGCCAGCCATCATTGCTACTTTTCTGCAAGGAATCGTAGATCGTATCCAAGTCAGGATCAAAGATGTCAACATCAGGCTGTCTCTCCACGACTCAACCCCTGAAGCCTCTCCCATGACCTTCATCGCACATTTGGACGACGTCCATGTCAATGCTGCTGTTCCATATGTTGCTGATCATGATAGAGACCGCCAAGTGCCTGCTGGAAAGCGAAGGCAGATCGCCCTCAACGGGCTCAGCGTCCACCTTTTGCGCGAGGAACGATATGCTCATACGCGTACGTCCGTGGCTGATTTGTTTGCATCATATACATCGAGTAGCACAAACAGAAAAGAGAGGCGGACTAGTGATACTCACTCGGAACATGAACCAGCTCTAGCGGAATCTGGTGTCCTACCACACATGAACTTCCCAGCTCACGCGTATCTATCCGACGACTCGGACCACGAAAGTTTGCCGGATGAGATGATGCAAAGCACTGCCTCNTTTGACATTCGCCCTGGTGAAGACAACATCTCTTGGGCGTCTAGAAGAAGTCGAGGCTCTTCTGATCACGATCAAATATGGTCTTCGTTCGCTCCGGACGATGATCGATCCGCATCTGAGTTACTACAGGACTTGTCATCTTCAGTCTTTATGAGTACAGTTGATGCTCGAGGCTCCCCGAGCGTTATGTCACAATCGACAATCGGACAGTCTTTCACAAGTGCACAAGCCCCACAGACCGCCTCAAGTTCAAGGTTCATACACCACAATACGGACTTGAGCCCCGATCGCGGGAACGAAGACGTCCCAGATAACGTTGGTGCTAGAGACACGCTGGCTTCGTCCCCTCTCAAATCAGACGATGGAGCAGATTTGACAGAATCTGTAGTTTACAGTCATGCTGAGGCGGAGAGCATGTACATGAGTGCTGTAGGTCAAGAGCCCGGATCTCCAAACCTCAATACACTACCAGGAGGCTGGAACTCTGTTATAGAAGATGAAGACTCCGACCCTCCGTTTTTGTCGCAGCACTTAGATGAGCAATCCGGCTATGAATCTGAGGATAAAGCTCCTACTCCAACTTTGAGAGATCAATCACCTGGCATGGAGCGCCAGTCTGCTGCGGAAGCACAAGATCCAAAGGATACATCTTTCACATACGTTTCGAAAGAGATTCTAGTCATGCACGAGTTGAGAGTTGGCATCTGTCAATCTCCACGCACAAGCAAACAGGTGCATAGAGTAGAAGATTCTATCTCTCAGAGTTCGATGACAACCTCTGCCTTTCAGCAAGCTCCAGGCGCATTCTCGATCTATGCTGGGTCAGGCCGTCCATCCTTGCGATTCAACGCGCCTCCTACAATTGATGAAACTACAATTCGCGAGGAAGGTGAGATGACGGACACAACTATCGAGGTTGAAGTAACCCCGATTATGTTGCAGTTGGACGCTGGTACAATCCGTTCTTTGATCACACTAGTAGAGGTAGCGAAAAATCCGAGCCAAACTTCAGCACCAAGGGAAAGTTCTGAACACAATGATGCGGTTGTTGACCAGAATATACCGGGGCTTTCGTTGCACCTGGCAACCTTCTGCGTGTCCTTGTTCGAAGATCTACCGGAGTCATCGGTAGAGCTGGTCAATTTGTCCATGTGGCGACCTGGACCATATCCCGACCACGAGAGGAGAGCGTTGCTGCAACTCCAGTTACAACGACTTGATCTCGAAATTGACAGTCATCCTCCTCCTGCAGAAGTCAAGCTCAAGATTGGCAATTTCACGTTTACGGCTGGTACCAACGACATTCTCTCTTTCGATCTTATGAAGCACCACCCAGAGCAAAGGGGTACTCAACACGCGATGACCGCCACATCTACCACAAGGACAACTCTCCAAGGGCAAAGCGTGAGAAGGATAGAAGCCGAACTACTTCCTCTTCGTATCAATCTGGACCTGGTGAAGTTCGATGAAGATTTTGACACACTAGGCGGTATGGTTGGTATCGTCGAGATGAGCTCCTCCTTGTTTTCGAGCGGTTACTTCTCCAACAGGCAAGAGACCTCCACACCGCCACGTAAAGGGGTCCGCTTCCAGGAATCAGTTACCGATGAGAGCACTGCACTTGAGACAAAATTTAACGCACGACTGGAAAGGATTGATATAATGCTGAGCTCGAAATCATGTTCAGTGGAAGTGCAAGCATCAACGACGAAAGTTGTACACCGACAAAGTGGTGTCATTGTTGGCATCGAAACGTTGTCTCTCGCGTTACCCACACCAGACACTTCGGCTGTTCCTTCCAGCCTCGACATCGTTGTGAAACAGGTCAAACTGGTCTATACCTTCTTGCCATCACAGCAAGATTTAGGCCGTCTAATATCTCTTGTCACTCCGTCAAAGAACAAATACGAGAACGATGATGATATCCTGATCGACACGCTTCTCAGGCAAAGGAGGAAAGGATCAGTTCTGAACGTACAGGCATCGTCCTTCCAGACATGTATCCACCGGTGGGACTTCATACCACATCTCCAGTCACTCGGTGAAGAGCTCTCTAAACTATCGGCAGTCACGAAGTACTTACCTGAGGATGATGCTCCTGGAATTCTGGTTCTGGTTAAGCTCGCCAATACAAAGCTCACGTTACCTGTCAATGATAGATTCGGGTTTTTGCATGTTTCTTTGATGAACATACATATCGCTCACGTCGGTTTGCCCGCTCTCTCTGCACTCTCTGTGGGCAACATAAGCTTGAGCTCTACAGGGGGACAAGAGATGATCCATGAGATGCTTCCAGGAGCCTGTACAGAGGATTATCCTATGCTTATGATGCGTATGGTTGGTGACGAAGTAGAGCCCGTGGTCAAGTTGAAGCTTTTCAACATCTGCGTCGAGTACGATGTCCCTACACTCCTGTCTCTCACCAATACCGAGACTGCCTCAGAGGTAGAGCAGAAAGTGCAAGATACTGCGGCGTCCGCTTTAGACATTAACAGTCCAGAGCTTGAGAAGACGTCAGGACCGCCATCTGCAACCAACAGATCATCCGATAGCATCAACAAGAAGCTCGCCATCGACGTTCTACTACATGGCTGCGGCTTTGGTCTACAGCCTAGAGAGTTGAATTCTAAAGGCATTCTTCTACTGAACGACACGAAATTCGGCACTTCGGTTCCGCCAGACGAGTCCTTCGAGGCTGTCCTCAACATTCGACAAGGGACCCTTCATGTCGTTGACCACGAAATCATGCAATCCACCGGAGGCCAGCTNTCTCCTACTTCATCTTCTCAGCCCAGTCACTCGTCACATCTGCAAACTTATCTTCTCGACAAGGGTTACGTTGCGGTCAGTTCAATCAGATCCGCTCAAGCCACTGTGTCTGTTCTCGAGGAAGGACCCAGTCACGACAAGTTCATAGATGTCGAAGTGCGTGACGAGTTCTTCTTGTTGGAAACGTGTGCAGATTCTACACAGACTTTGATTGCTGTCCTCAATGGTCTATCACCACCAGTATCTGCCAATAACGACCCCAAATTCCGTCCTCAACCTGACACTGGCCTTATGACACTGGACGATATGGTGAACTCATTTTCGGGTGAAGCGTTCGTCAAACCCGGCCCCGCTNNCCCCTCTGCGTTGTTCGATGCTGAGATAGACCTGCCACTGTCTGAAGAAGACAGTCTGATGGTTGGGTCAGATACGGCATCGGGTCTCTATGAGCCAGTGGATGAAGGTATGGGCTTTGAAGAAGGAGACTTCTACAGTGGTGGCAACCTTCAATCAGATACTGTCGAAAGTCTTCTCGAGCAAGATCCTTTCGAAATGACAAGTTCACCGCAATTTGGCGACGATGCCTTGTTGCGCAGTCTGCGAAAAGAGCTCGGCGGTTCGGACGTTGCAACTGCTGCGGTTGTAAAGCCATTCTACCAGGATGATCGACAACTAGACAAGATATATGGAGGTTCGAGAGCACTCGGCGAAGCTCACGAGCAGCAAAAACGATTTCCAATGCAAGTTCGAGTTCGAGAGGTTAACATCATCTGGAATCTGTACGATGGCTACGATTGGCGACGTACACGCGAAACGATCACCCAGGAAGTCGAAAAGGTGGAAATGGAGCTCGAAGAACGTAAGTCGAACAGACGAAGGTCCAATACCTTCGAGGACGACACCGAGACGGTCATTGGTGATTGCTTGTTCAATTCTATCTACATAGGCGTCCCTTCGGCTCGCGAACCGGCCGACCTTCGACATTCAATCAGTAACTTGATAAACCAAGGAAACGAGGCTGCTAGTGAGACAGAAAGTTATGCCACCACTGGCACATCCAGGCCTAGCCAAGCTGATATCGGCCGCCAGAAAAGGCTCCGNAAAAAGCGACTCCGTCTTCAGCGTGGTACATCCCACAAACTCGGCTTTGAGCTCAAAGGAGTCTCCCTCGATTTTCTCGTACATCCACCTGATAGCGGCGAAGTGCAAAGCTCTGTCGATGTCAGGGTGACTAACTTTGAGATTTTCGATCATGTACCGACCTCCACCTGGAANAAGTTCTTGACGCTCCACAGCGATAAGAAAAACATGCGCGAGATGATGAAGCCCATGATTCATTTGGAGCTCTTGAACGTTCGACCTGTGCCAGAATTAGTAGCCACCGAAATGACTATTCGTGTAAGTAGTGGGTGCAGTCCTCGACCGTTCTCAGAGCTGATGATAATTTAGGCTTCTATTCTGCCGCTACGCCTGCATGTCGACCAAGACGCATTGGAGTTTATGACCCGCTTCTTCGATTTCAAAGACGATTCGTCCAAGCCTGCCGATGCTACTGCCGAGCCACCATTCATACAACGGTTAGAAGTCAACACGGTCAATCTGTGCCTCGACTATAAACCGAAAAAGGTTGACTATGTCGGTTTGCGAGGTGGCCGCATGTCAGAGTTTAAGAACTTCGTGACTCTCGAAAAGGCTGATATTAAGCTGAAGCATGCAATCATTTACGGCCTTAGAGGGTTCGATACGCTGCATGATACTCTGAGCGACATCTGGACGCCCGATGTGATACACAATCAGCTTCGTGGAGTGCTCGCTGGTATTGGGATGACAAGACCGCTTGTCGAACTTGGCATGGGAATCCGTGACATTGTAGCAGTCCCTGTCGCTGAGATGAGGAAGGATGGCTTCAAGGTTCGCAGCGTGCANAAAGGTGCCGTCAAAGCTCTGAGCACGACCTCATCCGGATTCGCACGCTTGATTGCTAAGGTCGCGATTGGTACCGGGACCAGATTGCAAGAGGTCGAAGATATGCTCTCCGCGGGTCAGCGTCCCCGCACCCACCAAGGACTGTCAAGTGTTGAGGAAGAATACGAGGAGCTCGAACCGCGCCAGGTCAGCAACTATGCAGATCAACCCCTGGGCGTGCTCCAAGGGCTGCATTCCGCCCGTCGCTATCTCGAGCGAGATCTGACGACGGCACGGGATGCTATAATTGCTGTGCAGGGAGACTTCATGGCCAGCGGGACCGCTGCAGGGGCTGTCCAGGCGGTGGTTCGACATGCGCCCACCATCTTGCTTCAACCCGTCATCGGAGTGAGCCGCGCAGTTGGTCAGACGTTCAAAGGTGTTGGCAATCAAGTCGACCGTGACCACATCAAGAAGTCGGAAGATGTAAGTCTATTGCTTGAGCATCCACTCTCACCCACATTATTGTCTTCAAGCTCATAACGGAATTGTATGAACGAAATGCTAACGTGTTTACCGAAATAGAAGTACAAACACCATTGATGCCGGCAGTTGCCTCGCTATACCGGCGACGTGCCGGAGATATTGCCATGTTCCATTTTCAGGTAGTCGGGACGAAGTATACAAGGTGTTAGATAACAGGAGAACACGAGAAGGCACGTTTTGATCTGTAGCTCATAATGCTTGTTCATAGCTAGTCTCAAGCTGGGTATTCCCTCTATTGAGTTTACTGTGTCTCGTGAGAAAGCCACACGGTAGCCGACAACCAACACTGGTATGTTTGATTCAATTGCTCTTCTACTACTTGTTACGGATTACCCACAGCTCGAATGACACGATCTGCGGCTTAACAATGCTCTCTACTTGAGGCTCTGTCGATAGAAACATGTAGCGTGTTTCAGCAATAGTCGGGGCCTCAATTCCTTGCCCTCTCTTCTCCGCAACGGCCTGGTGGCCTGACAGTGCCATGACATGTCCCTTCGACGTCAGATCTCGGTAGATCTGTGTATTCGTCGTCTGCCGAGAAGCTGTAATAGGCAACGAAAGGATGAATTCTCAGCCCTAAGATTGGTTTTGTGATGTGTGCTTTTTATGGCAGTTTTGATCTAAGTCATCGTTGGCTTTTGATTGGATGGGGCTTTAGGGCAAGGTGAGTGTGATTGATACGTTATGGAGATGGTATTTTGGAATGGGGTTTAGTTAGGGCAAAGAAATATTTGCAATGGACTGAGAATAGCATCTTTGAGAAGGTTGTATTTAGGGCAAGGGCGATGTGATCGATACGTTATGGAGATGGTATTTTCGAATGGGGGTTTGGTTAGGGCACGGAAGATGTGCAATGGACTAGATAGCAAAGTGTCATGTTTGTCTAGGAATCTTTTTCTAGGCAGGCAAGGCATGGTGTGGTCTTGCGGCAATGCATTCGGCAGATACAAGGGCTAGGAATAGAGAATGATGGTAGTAATGGTTCGTTGTCCAAAAAGTAAGTTGGAATAGACTAAAGGACGTTCGAGAATTGGAGTACGAGACGGTGGTTCTAGAACTGGGCATGACATTATATTTCGTGGATCTTGCAGGTACCAAGAAGTTGATATTGTGGTCATTGGTCGACAGGTGAAGAGTTCCACAAAGACATGGTTTAGGTCAAGCGATAATATCGGAAATGCGAATGAGATCGTGTTGCTATAAAAAAGTACGAGGTTGTGGAGTTTTGCTTTGTTGCACGGCAGTTGCTTTCGTGGAGTCCTTAAGGTTATTGGCTGGCACGAAGAGGCTCGGATCAAGGAGATGGCGTCCACTCTGCAAAGGAGTCAGAACATTGACTGTGCTCTAGCTTCACGGCAATGTCTAGACGTTCTCTCGTCTCGTATGGAGATGTTTCGGCAGGTGCGTGTTACTGCCGTGATATCCCGTCCGGAGGGCATGGGGTCAGGGACGACCCTCCGGAGCTCTTGACCTATCCTCCAAAACCCGATGTTTGAGACAGATCTGGGAATAATGGATATAATTGTGTTTGAGCGTGGTGCATGATGGTGGCAGCTTTGCATTGACCGAAAGGGTCGTTAGATGACGGTCACAACTGTGGGCCGACAAGGGGAGCTGCATGCCGCCGAGTTTCTTCAACCTTCAGAGCCCGATAGACTTGGAGCATCGTCGCAGACTCTCAGTCTTGTTTCGAATTGTAGAGAAGATTGACCGAAGCGTGCACGGAGTGTGGCCGGCAGCAGAGTCAAAGACGGAAGATCTTACCAAAAGGGAGACATACCGCGAAAGGGATGATGAGAACGTTGTCATCCGATCCCAAAGACGACCCGAAAATAGATCGTCGGAGGGGCAGGGTGTGAGAGGATGAATAGACTTGCGTTTTTGACTTCGGTCAGAGCCATGACACGTTCGATTTTGGCTTCGGACCAGTGTACCTTTTGATCTTTCCACCTGACCCCTCAGCGCCAACAGCCGGATATCGTTTGATTTTTGATCTCGCATTTAAAACAGAAAACGGCCATTGGGAATAAGAGATGCGTCGGGGGGTTGTCGAAGATGCAACAGTACTCCGAGCACTTATCCGAATACATGTCTTTACAGGCAATTCAGCCGAGCAAAAGTCTAGAGCAAAGCAGCCTGGACATTTTAAAGAGGCACAAAAGCGTGCCCCACCGGAAGCGAGCAAAGGATGCTGCGAGCAGCAGCAGGGCGCCGGCTGGACCTGCTGAAATGAGCGGTGGAGTAGGTAAGTCTGAGATCTCAGGCGATTCATGCGACTCAAAGCGATGTCGTCTGCGAGGAGCCAGAGCGAAGGAAGCACCGAAGGACAAGAAAAAGAAGGGTCCCTTTCGACCTGCCTTGTTTGATCACAGACATCATGCCGTCCGCGCCGAAATTTGCGGGGTTACGCGAGGAAGAGCAACCGATGCGTAGTTGCATATTGCAAGCAATTGGCGCTGAGATGCGACAGTGTCCCTGCGAACTGCGAAGGACTAAGAATTGGCCGAGGTGCTGGCGCAACTGCACCGAACGTCGACTACGCTTTCTGCGTGGGCAGCACAGTCGACCCTCGGAGCGCAAGTCGCGAAGCCAAAATGCAGGTGTGGATGTTTGGTCTGAACTTTGAAGGCGCCCACGCTCGGAGCTCTCGCCAAGGGAGAACACATGGCCAGCGTCGAGGCCAAGAAAATCAGAATAGATGCACCTTCTTTTAGCTAACTATGCGCTCATCCAGCCTCCTTTTTCTTGAAAATCAAGAATGGGATCGAGAAGCAGACTACCCGTAGCAAACCGGTCTGACGGCCGGAGCGACTGAGATTGGTCCTTGACTCGATGTCTGGATCGGCTTGCGAATTTCGCTTCTCGTTCTGTCCAATTCCCATGAACAGTCCTCCACCGGTAAGCCACAAGCTGCCGAGATTGAAACAGTCCTCGTCTCGCGAACGTTGGGTTTCCTAGAAGAACGAGGCTTTTGCTAGGCTTGTGCTTTCCTTTAAAGTCTTATATTACTTACAAGACGCTTCGGCCCAATCGACTGATCTCGAGGAGGGTTCAAGAGTTCCTAGATGCAGTGCTGTTGTGTAGTCGGTGATCTACAGTGCCTTAGGACAGGGCACGGATCGAAGCACAGATAACTGGTCATGGCAAATGGTGCCATTGATACAGACGATTCTGCATGGTGCACGTTGAACTTGAAGACCGTTTCTTTGCTTGAAAAGCATAGACTTCGCTCCCTGAGCGCGGACCGCTGACGCCCTTTCGAGCTACCAACCTCGTCTGTAGACTGACTGCAGGCGACTGCCAACCTCACAAGATTCAAGACATGCTTCCATGTATAGTCGGAGCCGCAAACCCTGAACTGTGAGCGTCAGCCGGCGAGAGAGACAGGCTGACATATTGGCTTGCCGGCTGAAATGCGCATGAGATGTCCACGCTCAGTAATACCGCCGGTGGGAGGGATGCAACTGTAGATCCTGCGGCGTCTCGGTCCGTCCAGCACATTGGAGGATTTGGTTGGCAGAGGATCATGATGCAGGTCAGAGCAACTCTTTGAGGAGGCAACGCTACAGTGCCATACGGATTGGTCGTACGATAAGCAGCATTCTACTAAGCAGAGGAGGGCTGCTGCATGACACCTCAAAAATTGGAAGACTATCGATAACGTCACGTCCTTCTGGATTTGATATGACAGAAGGGCCTGATCGAAGCCATGTTGCTGCACCGCTAGCATAGCTGGTTCGTGCTATGGCTATCGCATGGCCAGAAAGCTATTATCGTTCATTTCATGACAAACGAGAAATGTCGGAAGTCGGATGACGGAGAATTGTAGCTCCCCGCCACGTGAATTTTTCTGGTATCGAGCAGAGAGGTTGGAGCTTAGGGAATACCGATGTGCGATGGCACTACTTTCGTAGGGCGCAACGGCAGCGTAGGCTTCCGGCGGAACCAAACGCAAAAGAAAAAAATCCACTGTTTGCGCGAATTGCAGAGTTTCTGGCAAGAGGTCAAGACTGAATCTAGTCAACGCCCACGAACTCCAAAGTGGCAACCCTCAACGATTGGTGGAGAGAGACTTTTCTCACTACTAAAAATAGCGACAAGCGAAGAACACCTACCATTCTTTTACTCAGTCGGATGGAGCTCAGCACGTGTGATCAGCAAGTCATAGTTTCATGGCTTTCCAGAACCAGCTGGAGAAGAAGGGTTCAGGCGGCGAGCTGGCCGTTGGCGCAAGGTGGGATCACGCTCGACGTCGCACAGCGAGGTGATGGAATGGACGACCATCTCGGTGAGTCCGGATGGAAGGGAGCACCTGTCAGAGGGCTCAGAGCTCCGGATGCCAGACTGGACTGTGCTGGGGCTGGTAAGAATAAAAAGATCTGGGATACTTTTTGGCTGGGTCTAAACTGCTTTGGTGGTTGCCATGCCCTGAACAAGCTCATCCTCCGGTTTGGGTAGCAGCTCGCGCAGACTGATCTTGGTCCCCAGAAGAGCTATGTCATGCGACGTTTTGACCCGTTGGCAGGTCCCCTTCGGTAAAAATAGTACCTTTGACGGGTTCCCGGCGAACACTATGTATACCGCCTTTGCGTTCTTGACCAGTTCGTCCTGAACCATAGGAGAAAAGCATTCGGGGGTCCACTTATTACCGGGCCCATTCACTCGCTTCCCTGCACATCATCAAGCACGCTCGCTGCCTAGTTCCTTCCCTACCATTTTCCCATTTTCCGCATTCTGCCTTTTTGCGAAGCTCACACGTCTGCTGGCCCTTCTAGACTTCCTTTCCTTTCTTCTCCTTATCCATCAATCTTCCCGCCGGCCTGGGATTTCCATTGCTTCGAGGAGCAAGGCTCTTATTGTACAGAAAGTGGTGCACACCCAATTATTCAACACAAGACACCATGGCTGGTCAAGGCGCTGGTCCCTCGAGGCGCAGTCACACCAAGAGCAGAACAGGATGCAAGACATGCAAGCGTAGACATATCAGATGTGATGAGACGTTCCCTCAATGGTGAGCAGACACGGTCATGTGTCCCCGCGCCGCATCAACTGCTAATGCTTCTNNCATCAGTCGCAATTGTACAAAGCATCAGGTTCGCTGTGACTACATGGACCAGCAGCGTCCCGAAGCAGAGATACAGGCACCGCGAGATCAGTTGCCATTGCCCTCGTCTCCTGGGGTTGAGCACATGCTCGACGTTTGGCAACAAACTGGCAGCTTCCCTTACCCAGAGCTCCAAGTGTTNCCCCCACCGAGACCACAAAGCCACTCTAGGATTGAGCTGCGTCTGATCCAACATCTCTCATCCATCTCGAGGTCATTGCTCATGAACAGTACCAGCGACATGACAGTATGGACCTCGAAAGTCCCAAAGTGCGTGTTACCCCTCTTCATTGCGATCACCCACCCTAATTAGCCCGTTTAGNNGTATCTCAGTGTAGCGACCTCGTATTCGTACGTCATGCAAGCATTCTTGGCATTCTCTGCCAGCCATCTGGCATGGATCTCTCCTTCTCCAGATACGCGCAAGATCCAGATTCAGCATGGCGGTATTGCTTTACATGGTCTTCAGGATGCCCTCAGCTCATTTTCCAAGTCCAACGCAGATGCAATTTTAGCAACTTCTATCCTTCTAATGACTCAAGCGAACGATTGGCGCACATGGTCTTCTCTGGAAACTGGCATCCGAACAGTTGCAAGTGCGATGGCTGGTTGGAAACACGAGTCGATTTTCGCAGATTTGATCAACTTGAGCCCCTACAAGCCTTCGGAAGACCCACGTTCGCTACCTAGTATGCAAGAACGACATGGTATCCTTTCGAACGTCCTAGCCTCTCTCCAGCGCCTGCAACCTGTCCTGGTCACCAGCAGTCCCGAAGCATACTGGATCGAGCAGCTTCTAGGTTATATATCATATCTTCTGAACACTCCGCCTGCGCAGACAGCTGCTGAGCAGTTTGATCAACTTTACAGCCTTCGCAAGTGGGTTCTCTTTGTTCCCTGTCTGCTCCTGGATAAACCAATGGTTGATGGCCCCTCAACACTTGTAGTCGCGCATCTGTATGCCACGGCTCTTGCACTGGAGCCACTGTTCCCATCTCTTGGTGCATCGTTTTGCGCCGCGATCAGTCTACCTCCGCTTGAAAAGATAATTCAAATGACTGCCCCTATGCAAACCGATGGTCAATTCGGCCAACACGCATTAGAAATCAGCTCTCTCATGCACTTCCCACAACAAGCAGCATCCACCTACCGCGCACGTTTGGCATGGACGCAGCAACATATGGACCAAATACGACTTCAGCACACGCCTCAGCAGTCTCCTTATACCCCTGTGTTCAATCTGGACGGTGCAAACACGCCTTTCATGAGTTTTGGAAATCTTAGTCCTGGTTTTGTTCCTTCGTCGATCAACCACGTTCGCGAAGAAAGTCGCATGTCCTCCGGCTCACTAGTGGGTTCGCCTTATCTCGGAGTACCCACACCTACTCCGTCCTACGAGAGTAGCTATACCGATGGCACTAGTACTTGGGGCACCGCACATTCACCTGCCTTCCCAGCAAACCATTACGCAGGAGGTGTACAGGAGCATGGATATGATTCGTATGATTTTGAGCAACTAGAAGCACCTCATGGAGGCTTCCGAGGCGGGTTCGTAGTTTCCCCGACCATCTGGGCATGATCAACACGTCCCAAGGAGTAAAACAAGAACTAAAATACGCTGCGCGATCCAGGACTCCTTCTACTCGGCATACACCAGACTCTCGGAGCTACAGCCAATAAGGCTTCCACCAACCTTGAGCAATACGCCCTTTTCCCTTCGTTCTGTTCTCGCTGCGCGAGCGGCATCTGAACTCAGACAACCCTTCTCGACTTTCTTTCTCACACTTCGACTTTATCTTTCCATTACACCTATGAGCGCGCATGATACCCTCCGAGTTTTCGATATCGACAGTCCATTGAACACGAAAAGCAAACGACATTCGAACTATCCCATTCTACGCAAGAGAACCACAACCGCTCGACGTTTCTACTATCGTTACGAATTTCTTTTCATCGACTTTTTGTACAAAGCATATACCTTTTTCTTGAATCTCGCATACATCGGTTGTCCAAAAGGAGTTTGGAAGCATTGGGCACATCGCGATTGAGACGTTTTCATGGAGGACTGACGGATGAATGTACGGTGTATGTATGCATTGTTTTCCCTCCTCATTACGTTTAGATGGGACTCCTTTACCGTCTGTCGTCCGGCATTCTCGTTCCTATCTGCTTCTTTAGAGCTCATCCACATATACACTGAAATCGAACCAGAAGTTATGAACTGCAGAACTCCCACACTTGACCCTTTCTAGGAACGCCGCTTTCTTTGTGGATCGACTCGTCATCAATCTTTCCCATTACTGTTGCCTGGAATTTCTAGTCATGGTCCTTGACTTCCTTGAACCCTCGCCTTGCGTGGACTCACGGGTCCGCCGGGCCGGGCGAAGGCGGATCACATCCGAAAGAGGGTCTCGCCGACACCTCCTGAGCAACCATTCGCGTTTCTAGTCTCCTTTCCACAACGAAAAATCCCAAAAGTCATCAACAATAACAACGATGTACACGCGTACATCTTTAAAGGCCCTTTACCTCAAAAAGTCCAAGTTTATGCCCAGCGACGAAGGCTTATTGCCGGCCAGGGCGCTGGTATTCTCAATAATAAATCCTTCCGGAAGATGCGGCAGCTTTCGGCGCCCACCGTCAAAAAGAGGTTCCACAACGTCAACAACAAACAGGAAATCAAGAGTCGAGCTATCGAAGCAACGAGGCGAGGGACGGTGAACGAAAGGAGCGGAGAGATGTGCAATAAGCGAGGGTTGGTATTTATAGCTACATTTGTTTTTTGTTTATACATAGCAGCATTTCATATGAACATGTCATTGGCGTGCTCGATAATTCTGTAGGGCTGGCTGTTGTGGAATGATGAAATGTTGATTCGCTGAAACCTGATCAGGCATATCTGAATCGCTATACCCGAATGCAGTTCTATGTCCAATTGCTCCACTAAATCAAGTAGAGGAATGAAGAGTATTGAATCGTGGTTTGCAAAGGGAGAAAAAAGGTGATTTATGGTTGTTGACCTGAGCACCCTGGCATCATATCACTCGACGATGTTCGGTGCCAACCACATCCTTTCTGCAGCGAATGAGCATCCTTGACGGTGGGTGTGATCAGAAGCATTCCCTGAATATGTCGACCATGGCAGGAGATCACTGTGTGTGGCCAGGACTATTTTCTCCTTCAACATTTATAGCCTATCACGAAAAGCAGCAAACTTTGACCAGAAAGCATGGTAATATATTTGTCTTGTGATCAATTGTTCAGTAAGCTAAATAGATTCTATCGGGGTATATATATAAAACAAAATGCCCACTCATCCAAGCAATGCATCCAAAAGAGTCAAATGGTTGTGAGGAAAACAGCAAGTCGGATGCGTTGCCGACAGCCTCTTTTCGATTGAATATCCGTCGAGCGCTCCTTCTGGGTTTGGCCATCGGTCGCACGATGATACCTCGTTTGTTACTTCCAGTTTCGTGCGCGATTGGTGCCCGGTGGTTTGGGTCAGAAGGTGCGCGTTCATGCAAGGAATATCGGATTTGCGACGTGCGCATGCAGAAGACTGCAGGATCGATGTAACGCTGGAGACGAATGCGCAGCAGTGTTTCATCCTAGATGGTCTGGGCCCCCGATATAGGTTGCATGTGACTACGCTGTGGTAGTATTGGATCGCTCGTTCGATCGTCCTCGAAGACATCAAGATAGACCTCAAGACAGGGTCACCCCGAAAAGTCGTTCCGAAACCAAAACTGGTTGAGACTCAATGTTTAAGCAGAGAGCTTAGGTGCCCAGATACGGACAACGTCGTCAAGACGAGCCAACATCTCGTCCTTTCTGGCCTGAGAGCACCAACTGCCTTCGATACCAGCACGGCAGATGCTTGTCCACTCAGCAACCGACAGATTGAAAGCTTCGTGCACAGCGCAGTAGTTGTCGAGGATGTAGCCGCCAAAGTAAGCTGGGTCATCACTGTTGATGCTGAATTTGACGCCAGCGTCCAGGAACTTGCGAATGGGCACTTCCTTGACCTCCTTGACGCAGCGCAGCAGCACATTGCTCAGGGGGCACACAGAAAGCATAGTGCCATCCTTGGCGATTCTCTGCAGCAAAGCCTCGTCCTCAATCAAACGGATACCGTGGTCGATGCGCTCGACCTTGAGGATGTCCAGAGCGTCAGAGATGAAGGTAGATGGGCCTTCCTCACCTGCGTGTGCAGTGCGACGAAGACCGAGCTCCTTGGCACCAGCATAAATCTCCTCGAACAGAGCGGGAGGGAATGGCTTCTCGCTGGAGTCAAGACCAATACCAGTGACCGAGCCGTTCTTGAAGCTGGCCTGGACATCAGCGTCCTTGAACATTGAGACACAGTTAGGTACAGGCAAGTGACGGAGGAAGCAGCAGATCAGCTCGCTGGTGATGCCAAACTCCTTCTGGGCACGAGCACGAGCCGCGCTGAAGCCCTTAAGAACAGTGTTGTAAGAGATGCCACGTTCGAGATGTGCCTGGGGGTCGAAGAAAACTTCGGCGTGAGCGACACCATCTGCTGCGGCGTGGCGGAAGTAGTCCATAGCCAGATCCTCAAAGTCAGAGTCCGAGATGAGGACAGACATGCCGATGTAATAGTAGTGCAAGAAATCGTCCAGAGAGGTAAAGCGATCATAGCGTGCCAAAAGGGTCTCTGGGGATTGGAAAGCAGGATCATCTTGGGGGAGAGTGATGTTGTTACGCTTGGCCAATGTGAACAAAACTTCAGGAGANNGGGAACCCTCCAAGTGCATGTGATGCTCGCACTTGGGGAGCTCCTGGAGGAATGAGTGGAATGTGGATTTGCACATGTTGCTGTTGATGTGTAGATGCCGATATTATAGTCGAGTGGTTATACCTGCAAACCGAGGATGCAAAGACAGAGATAAGAAAGTTGTAAAAAGTTTTAAAAGCCTTCTATTCGAGCGATATGGGCTTTTAATGTCAGGAATCGATATGGATATTTGCTTGTAACTAGAAAAAATCTCTATTCATTTTTTTCTCGCCTGTTGCGAAGCACGGCCGAGGAGGGCCTGGAGCTCGAAAACGTTTCGGCCGGCTCCGATAGCGTTGTTCTGCTGGAGGGAGCAGCACGATCCATCATCAAACAGTTTATCAAAGACATTCTTGGGAGAACACGACGAGCTGGCGCAGCTAGGTGATATATGAGCCTCGCGTGGACGAGAGATACATAGAACCCCGAGTTGAGTGATGGATTGGGAACTGGACACGTGAGACTGTTGACTGTCGAAACGGCAGAGGACAAAGAGTGGATTCGAGCGGTCTGACTAGTGCACCGCCTTAGCAGTTGTCGGTCGACGACGGAACGAACTCTACGAGCCGTTTGACGGGCAGCTCAGGGTGTCGCAAGTCAGCGGTGAGCTGGAGGATTGGAGCTGTGCGATGATGCCACCGGGGTCTTGAAATCAGAAGGCTTGGAGGCTTGAACTTTTGCTTCAGCAAGCGAGGGTTAGACAGCCTATCAGGAAAGACATGCTTGCCCTGTCGGCTGACCAGGCAATCATATTCGAGGAGACAGACATGCATACATGCATTCTCGTTCAAGTCCCAAGGTCATCTTAAATCGGACTTCACCAGCTGTAGCGTTTCGGACAAAACTGCATGTTTCGGACAGAGGTTGTCTCCGAATCCTACTGACCGGCGGGCCGGCGGGTAGGCGACACAATGTTGCCCGATGGAAGCGACAAGCGAGGTCATCCATCGGAGAGAGCAATGGTTCCGGAAGGCCCGATTCGCTCGGTTCACTCAGCCGTGACTGACCGCATACTTCCACCATGCATGCATTCGACGCTGTCAAATCCGCGGCGACTTCTCCATCGCTTTCGAACGAGACATCACCAACAGCTTCATCTGTCGCAGTCCCTGGGGTTGTCAAAGTCAAAGGTACTTGTACCCTTGCTGCAACGGCACCCGGCGCGAGCCAGAGTTCGAACTCGAACGATCGTGCAGCCGACCTGCTGAACTAGGACAATGCAGCTACAAAACTCATGTCATGGTTCCATGATTCCATTTTTGAAGTCCGCAGGAGATGTGCGCCTCCTTGATCAATAATCAGAGCGCAATGCGAAACACAAGATCAGAAGTTCTGGACCGCGCCAGAAGCTTCACAGCCGGCCATAGCGTTATTGCATATAGGAAGGTTTTGCTTGACGAGCGCAAGTGCAAATATCAACATAGTGATCACTCAGCAGCGTGCATCGGATACATGGACACGATACATACATGGAAGAAGTCAACATTTGACAGTGAATTGGTTCACAGTATATCGAGGGTTGGCTCTTGAGACACGTGTGGTTCTGGAACCATGCATGGAACCATGGAACCATAGAAAGCGATGGCGGCCATGTGTTTTGTGAAGCACTGTCACTTCGCAATTCGGCAAGAAAGCTTCTACAAGTGCCGTGGTAAACGTCCGGCTGCGGGGCTCCCCCAGCCTTCACTTCCATGTCGAAGAACTGGAATCTGGTTGTCGCTCCACACTTTCTCTCTCGGACAACCGACCAATGGTGACACGGTGTGTAAGAAACGATGCTGTGGTTGGCGTAGTGGCCGTTGGAGGCACGGTTGGAAGGCGCTGTCACACGCTTTCGGCACAGAGCAGCGACAACTGGCCAAGTAAACAAGCGAGTTGATGTGGCAGAGACGCACGGGTGAAACTACCGACCATTACGATGCGACCTCCTGTTGAGAGGTGGACTGCGCTTTTTAGATGAGGTGCAGAGGTACCGGGATACAAGGGGCACGTTCCGATTCCGGGCTATGATGACGATCACAACGGATAGATCCATAGTCTCCCAAAGAACGGCTGAGTGTACCGATGCAAGGTGCCGCACGCGGTCATCTCCACGGTGGGTAGGGCTTCGCAGTGACTCGTCAGACGGGACAGAGCCAAAGTGCTGGGATGTCTGTTGGCGGGCTGAACGCTGTGGCTCCGTGCAAAGCCACTGCAGTCATGAAGAGCATTCGGCAACGTGAACTTCTGGAGTCGGTGGTGACGGAACGAAAATGACGAATACAAGGCTGTAAGGTACAAGGGGACAGATCGGAAGGGAGCGAAGACGTAAAAGCGAAGTGTAAGCTTACTACTGAGAAAGTAGAATTGCGACGATCGTGTCGCTCGAGCGAAGTAGGCCGTTGCTTGGTGAAACAATGGATTCTTCTCCTGAAAACTTACAAACTCATCGGCACTGTCTTGTCAAGTCCACGGCAACGTGGTAGATGGCTTTGACTGCGCTCGGTTGTGTATTGGTCAGCTATGCAAATAGGTAGGCAAGTTTTTATGAAGGCCCGAGATGGTCGGATAGGCCACGGAACGGCCAAGGTGACATTCGGCAACGCTAGGCAAGTTCCAAGCGTGGTCTACCTACTCGAGTATTGTCATGCGGTCGAGTTTGGAAGAGCTCAAGCAATCTTGTAGCGCCCTGTCAGGAGGATTTGTGGATGCTGACTCGACGCCGCCAGATGTAGGAAAGGGGCTTGATCAATCTGCAATGCACACAGCACTCACAGCTGCTGCAAGGGCATGGCGAAGAGTAGGAGCTGCGCACCTCGCTCTCATGCGATGGTCGATTCTTGTTGGATGTCATCACCCACGCCAAGTCTGCACTACGAGGCTTCCCGCCTCGTAGCGGCAGTTGTCATTGAGCAAACGGTACGAAATCTAGGGTTTAGACTTTTGAGTGATTCTAGTGGTAGAAGGTGTGCCACTGTGCCGGTAAGCCTCAGAGACAGTCTCTGACATTGAGAGGGTGTACAAAGGCAAGCAGAAGCAATTTGCAGTGGCAGAGACACCCAGATCAAGCCGGCAGAGGGCTATGGTATAGGACTGCGAGGTCAGAAGAAGCGATAACAATAGCTGAGCGATGGAGGTGCACAAGTGCTGAAGCAGCCGAACTATGCATGCAGAAGGAACTACAGCAAGGCGAGATTAGCCGCCGCCGTGCACGTTGGCGGCGGCCGCATGGCCATGCGAAAGGGAGCGCGGCGGGAAGGCCTGTGCTGAGCCTGCCTCTGAATAATAATAATAATCTTTCGAGGTTTGTCGAGCAACCCAATTCTCCCATTTATGCCCTGTTCGGATGTTGCGCTGACGTCTTGAGTCTGTCTCTGCGTGGCTTTTTCGTTTCGACGGCTTGGGGTGCATCTCTTTCGAGCGAATCCTCCTTCTCTTTTTACCTACCGCGTTCCGCCGTGTTTGCGCACTTCCCTCCTCTCCGCCTTTCCCTGACACCTCTCTCAAAGCTTCCTTCCGCCTTGTCAATCGCGAACTTGGCGACTCATCGCGTCGTGCAATCCGCCCTACTCTCGTCTTTTATTGACCCTTCCGAGTGGCGGTGTGTTCTATAGTGTTCTAAGCGGTATTGGGACGTGTTCGCACCTTCTGTGTTGCGTCGTCTCAGAGTTGGGCTTCCTGCCACACGTCACTTCTTGGCCGTTCCTCGAGTCTAGGATGAAATTGGCTCGTCTTTGACGTTTTACGCACTTTACGAAAATACTCTGTCTTCTTGTCTCCGGTCGATCAGCTTGATGAACGACCAGAAACATCTGGCTCCCGAGGCCGCCATGGCCAATGATGGCCGGAGGCCGGTCGGCCAGCAACCTGAGCACTATGCCCCTCAACCTCAGTACGTTGGCAATGGAGCTTCGCCAACTGTACCCCATCACAATGGCCCCATGCAACCTTCTCCCATGAGTTACGCCATGTCTGGCCCTCCTCATGCCGCTCCTGGCCCTAANTCCTGGACCTTATCATCCGGCTGCAACTACTGGACCACCACCTCAGATGTCCATGCAGACATCGCTCCCACCAGCGCCCTATCCTCCCGCTTACGCCATGCCTGCAAACCCCAATGCNNTCCTGTTGCTGGCACCATGTCCGAGGCCATGATGATGCATGATCCTAATATGGCTGCGCCTGGAATGTCACCCAGGCATCATTCAGCTGCTATGCTGTCCGCGCACAAGAGAGCATATCGCCAGCGCCGCAAAGATCCCAGCTGCGACGCGTGTCGCGAACGCAAAGTTNNAAAGTATGTTTCGAGAGCTGGTGCACGTGGCACAGGGAACCTAGGACTAACGTGATGGCAGTGTGATGCGACCGACACATCCAGCTGCACCGAATGCTCAAGCAGGAGCGTAAAGTGTCAGTTTACAAAGGAGACCAACCGACGCATGTCCTCGATGAAGTAAGATGACTGCTCTTGGCAGTTTGAGCTGGAGCTAACAAGCACCAGGCACGCTCAAGATCTCGAACGCCAGCTCGAGGAAACCCGACAGGAAAATCGACAATTACGCAACATGCTCAGCGATTCAGGCAGCACAACCGCAGGCGCATCTGTAGCGGCTCCGTCAACAAGTCTGTCGGGACCACCTGATTTCACTCCTAGCAAGCAAAGAAATGGGCGCCCGCTTGCCATGAACAGTTTCGATGGCGTGAGAGCGAACCTCCGCAAGTTCAGCCAGGGCATCTTCAAGCCGCCGCATCCCTACAGCAAACCTACCGTACAGGTTCAGTGCGCCGACTCTTCAACCCCGCTGCCGCCAAAGCAGCTGGTAGACAACCTCTTGCAGAAGTACCACACCACTTTGCAGCCGATCTGCCCCTTCCTCCACTGGCCCACGTTCATCGACGAATGCGAACAGCTGTACAGAAGAGGTACCTTCCAGGGGCTGCGTCAGATCTGGAAAGCTCTCTTCTTCGCAGTCCTTGCAAGCGGCTGTAGCGTACAAGACGCGCGAGGATCTGCGCATCCCGACTCTGAGTGTATAAAGTTCGCTGAAGTGGCCAAGTACTGCACGAAGTCGGTGGATGATGATATTTCGCCTGATCATGTGCGCACGTCCCTGCTTCTCAGTATTTGCTTCTCGAACATGAACCGCAAAGCAGCAAGTTGGTTTTGGCTTGGTTCGGGTGTGAGGTTCGCTCAATTGCTAGGCCTGCACCGAGAGCATGGTCAACTGCCACAGTTCGAGGCCGAGATGCAGACTCGTCTCTGGTGGTCTGTCTACAATTGGGACAGAATTCTCTCTCTCGAACTCGGCCAAGTACCCATCATTGATGACAGTGATGTTGATGTCAGCGAACCGACTCCTATTGACGATGCAAGCATAGGACCTGGACTCGGCAACTCAGCTGCTCGTCCAAACTCACTTATCGTCTTTGTTCCCGTTGTGCGCATCATCTATCCACTGAAGAAGACGTTGAAGTCTCGCACCATAACCCCCTCGACCTTGAACGCCTACGACGAACACTTCCGCTCCATCATGGGTTCCTGGCCCGACCCGTACCCGATCCATTCTAACGCTCCGCTCGACCCTGTATACTTTAGTGCTGTATTCTCGCTCCAGATCGCCCGTTTCCATTTGTACCGCCATAACCTTTCTCCTGCCTGTCGCCCTCAAGAGCGCAAGGATGCTCTGTATCGTTGCCTTTCTGTCGCCAAAGATACAGCTGTCTATCTCCAACGCTCTATTCAGACCTCTCCAGGTCCACCTCGCTACTCAGCTCAGCCTTTACACCCAAGCTCAGAGTGGAACGCACGGATGGCCGACAGCGCCCCTTTCTTCCTCGTCTTCCACTTCTGGCGTTGCACTCTTGTGGCTGCTCTCTGCGGAGATTATGCGACTGCTATACTTTGCATGATGCCGCTGAACGCGATTGGTACTCGTGCGATTGTCAACCCAGCCTGCGGACGCTATATTTCCTTCTTCCTGGATTGCTTGGTGGAACGCATCCAAACTGGCAGAGGCAGTCTTGAGATGCTGGAAGTAGACGAGGAGATGCTGGCCTACGCCAGCGCTGATATGCAAGGTTCCCACGAGACTGCCTGGGCTTGGACTGGAGGCGAGGTGTTGCAGAGAACATTGGATCATACTGCCACTGCTGCAGAGGGAGCGACCAGCGCCTACTCCCAATCCATGGGAGAAGAGCCGGAATGGAATGGATGGAACCGTATAATGGACATTCTATCTCAACTTGAACAAGAACAGCATCGCAGCATGCACCAACAAGGCCCGCCGCCTTCACAATCGCAGGCTCTCCCACAGCCACAGCAACAGCCGCCGCAACAGCAGCAGCAGACGCAACAGCAACAACATCCACAACCACCACCACCACCACCGCAGTATGCCGCGCAGCACATGCCACCACAGTATGCTCAGCCCCAACAAGCACCACCGGGGCCATACTTCCAATCACCCCGAGCGCCTACACCGCACATGACCCCCGCGCCGGTTAATGCAGCGCCATCCAATGCTCCCACACCGGCAGGCACTAGCTCTCGCATCAGCATAAAAGATATTATCTAGACGACCAGGGACGTTTATGACATGCACGCATTTTCTCGTTATCGATTTTGTCATTTCCTTCTTCAAAGCCAGAATGCATAGCCCGAGGAGAAAGGTAACCCCAAAGGAGGCTGGGAATGGGGCGGGAGTTTTCTTGTTTGCTTCAGCTTGATTTTGATTGGCTCACCGGTTAAAACGCATTGTTCACTACTACGAAGATCACGGTTGTCGCTTTGAATGTCCATCTCTTTTCTTGATGCTGTAAAGCCGTTTTGTGTTTTCGGGGCAAGGAGACGGACGATCTCTATTCAGCTCCCTCACCCGACTGTACGGCCGGAGAATTCGTTGAGCGGGCTTGCATGTTTCAAGACCGGCAATTTTTTAAGTTTTCTCTTTTGCCTGCGTGTGTCGGATCTTCATGTAGATCTTATTGTCTAGTCCATTTGATGTCTCTCGTCGTTTAGAGAGCCCTAAGTCTTGGGAAGAGGGAGCGAGATACGACCGGTTTATACCAATACAACAAGAAAAAGGTTCACACCCCGATTTAGAGTTGCCCGAGACTTTGATAGACTTTGCGACATGTATTGTACTGCCAAAAGCCGACATTTGTGCTGGACTATATTTTACTGCATGGATATAAAGCAAGCTGGTTCCAAAGAGTAGGAAGTCATGCGGAAACGGTGTTAATCTTTACCACCCCTCGACAGGATTTCTACCACCCCTGCTCCACTTCTTTTTACGCTACTAAAAACTAATGTAATAGCGTGTTCCTATTAATGATTAGAACTCTTTTTTTATGTTTAGAATCCTTTTTATACTTTAAGAATTTTTCATTTAAGGGCTCGTTTAGTTTATAATTTTAAAGGCTTTAAACTCCCTCCGCATTTCTTAGTCCTACTAAGGTAATTAGCGTAACTTCTAAGCCTCTCTAAGCGACTTTAATATAGCTATGTTATTTAGTTTATAAGGACTTTAAGGCCTTTAAACTTTTAAGTGTTAGTTCGAGTAGTATAGTATATAGAAGTAGTAGGTAGATAGCTATAAAAACTAGTATATAGTTAGTAAATGTCGTTTCCTTAAGCTTATTAATTAAGTACTTACTATAGAAGAAGATAGTTAACTTCCTCCTCCCTTATACTAACCTTTTTCGTTATTTTTAATATAACCTCTCTCTTAATACTTATAGTTAATATAACCCTTATAGTTAATATAACCTTCCTCCTAAGATAGACCTTCTTAGTCTTAGGAGAACCGTCTAAATTAGACTAAGGCTATAGAGCATACCTTAATTAAGCGCCTTATCCTCGAGTTAAGAGATAGAAATAATAAGGAAGATAGGTAGAAACTATAGATATAGCTAGGGGTTATTACCGTAGTTAAATTATTTATACCTACTACCTCTAAGTACCTTCTAACTCTAGTAAGGATAAAGTTAAAGATAGAGGTCTATAAGAAACTCTAGAAGGTATAGGTAGCTATCCTTAAACTCTCTAGGTAGTCTCTTAACGATAAGGGATTACCTATATTAAGTCCTAAGGTTATAGAGGACTACTTAAAAACCTATAAAGAAGCTTAGTACTTTAAGAAGAAGCCTCTCTAGTTATAGGATAAGATATATAAGATCTTTAATAGTAAGACTATAATAGGTCGATATACTAAAACTATTAATAAGATAATCGATAAAATATAAAGGGCTCTTAAGGTAAGTCCTAAGGTTAACGACGAGCTAATTAGTCCTATTAAAGAGACTAATATAACTAGAGACCCTTCTTAAAACATACCCGACGACCTTACTACTAATGCTAGAGGTAAGAAGCGCGCCTCTAAGGTTAGTAAACTAACCGGTTTAAAGCGTTAGAAGGTTAATAATACGTATATAAAGGGACTTACTACTAAGCTTAGGCGTAGAAACGATATACTTAAGTATAAGTTTAAAGGGTCGAACCTAGTAAGGTTAGTAGTCGCTAAGTTTAATAAGCTCGTTACTAAGTAATAGGACGACATTAATCTAGATAAGTGGATTAAAGTAATAAGTGCGCTAGCGTAGTTTAACTACGTATTAATATTTCTTAAGGCTCCTTTAGCGCTAAAGAGAAGGTTCGTAAATAGGTAGAAGAAGGAGGATTAATTAAAGAGGTAGTTATCGAAGTAGTAGCTAGTTTAGTAGTTAACATAGTCGAAGTGACTTAACTTATAAAATTCGAGTAATTCTACTACCTTCTATCTCTTCTACCTCTAAATTTAACTTAACTACCTCTCTCTCTCTCTAAGTAATGCTAATAATTAAGCTATATTACCGTTACTATCTCCTTACGCTTCTATACTATTAGATTCTTATTTCTCTACTTATTAACACCTAGCGCGCTATTAAAATTATTGTCCGGGTCTACTTCGAAGTTATTAAAGATAGGGTCCTCTTACCTCTATATAATAAAGTTAGTTACTATAGTTAGCGCTATTACTAGCTACGCCTACATCTTTAGACTAAACTAGTGCTACTTTTAGAAGATCTACTATCTTATCTTAAAGATGCTAAAATTCCTCTTAATATAGTTATATAGAGCTAAATAGCGTAAGTTAAAGAGTTCCTCTTTAGTTAACGGCCTCCTTACTACTAACTCCTACTTACGTAGATAGTACCTAACCCCTCTATATAGAATAAGTGTTATATTAGAGTTCGAATAGCTAGCGTCTATAAGGAAGTACTTACCTATAGGATAGGTTAAACCTACGTCCTTTATAGTAGTAAAAACACGTATATTATAGGTGCTACCTTCCTATTCTAGATAGATATATAAAAACTAACGGTTAAAGTTATAGATTACTAGGATATTCGTCGATACATTGCCTTTCCGGTCTCTATACGTAGCCTTTCTAGGGCCTTTAACGTACGCTAGAAGATAACTTCTATTAATAGCGCTAACGTAGTCCTTAAAGTAAGGCTAGAACTTCTTCCTTTTAATCTCTAGAGAGATAGATATATTAATTCCTAGTAAGTTAATAACCTCCCTATATAACTATATTAACCCTTCTATTACCTTATAGATAATAGCTAATATAGTAGCTATTAAATGCTAAAAGGTTTCCTAGAGTTATTAATAAGACCTACTAATTACTACTATATAAAGAAATAGGTATAGCTTCTTAGTAGTAGTAACCTCTCTCCTATTATTAACTAACCCTCTTAAAGTTAGCTATTTAAGTAGCTCCTTAAACATATATTACTTTAAGTGCGTAAATCTATATATCTAACGCTTATCGTTAGCCTTTTATAGCTACTTAGTCTATCTCTTACCCTTACCCTTATTAGTAAATACTATCTAGAGGCCTTTACTACGTAAACTAATTTATTAAGTAATAGCTTATATAATAACGCGCTAGCGTAGAGCATACTATTTAAAGAGGTATTTATTATTGAATTTATCTATGTCGACTTACGCTTAGACTAAATTTTAAAGACGATATTTACTATAGGTAGGTCAATTTTAAATTATAGCTTAGAGACCCTATTTTTATAGAGAAATACGCTAAAAAGGCAAAATTAAGAACGTTCGAACCTAAAGCTATATCTTACGTAAAACTAGCTTAATACACTAAACGATCTCTCTTAATTCTAACTTAAAGTTAACTTTAAGCGAGTTCGAGCTAATATTAACCCTCTTAAAGTTACCGAACTAAACGAGGGCCTAAAACTAAAAAATAATTTTTAGTTAAAACTAAAAAATAGTTTTTTAGATAAAAGATAGTAGTTAGCTAAAATAGTTAAATAAACTAGTTAAATAATAGTATCTAAGTAGGATATTTAGAAAAGATACTTAAGTATATATCTCTTAGATAATAGTTAAAAGATTAGTTAAAAGATTAGTTAAAAGATTAGTTAAAAGATTAGTTAAAAGAATACTTAAAAGAATACTTAAAAGAATACTTAAAAGAATACTTAAAAGAATACTTAAAAGAATACTTAAAAGAATACTTAAAAGAATACTTAAAAGAATACTTAAAAGAATAGTTAGAAAGGTAGTTAGAAGAATAGTTAGATAAAAATTTATGTTTTAAATGAAAATTCTATAGTCTATCTAATTTTTCATTTAAAACGAGAAAAATCAGGTTAATGTTTGTAACAAAGAGCCAAGAATTCTAAAGATCAGTATAGGTCGGGCCGGGCGGGTAGCGCATATAAAGTGGAGCAGGGGTGGTAGAAATCCTGTCGAGGGGTGGTGAAGATTAACGTCGATGCGGAAAGTGCACTTGCATCGGATGTGGGAAAGGCAACGTGTCTACAAGATCGAACCTAAATACCAACCACTTCTGTACACTAGGAGTTAACCTAGATGCTGTGCTGTCCAGCAAGTTGCGAAAAAGGCACAGGAGATTTTTATTTTGACATGACATGTATTTTCCGACAAGTTTTCCGACAAGTTTCCCGGAGCGGCCTCCGTACCTAAACAGCTGAAGACAAGCAAGTCCAAGCCAGCCCAACGGAAAATACCGGACTTTGCCAAGTTGCTCCCCTCGTTCGCAAATTTTTCACCTTTGCGTCTTCATTTGATGCATACACTGAAAAAGCGCATGGTTCTCACAAAGCCATACCCTACCGTTGCACACGGCAAGCCCTCTCTTAGCTGGACCTTATTCGAATGGTTTCGTCGATCGATTGCATGAGTGACATGCTAAGGTAAGATGAAAGGCTTGAACGATGTCTGCACGAATCTTAGGGCTTTGTTTCTCAAAGAAGAAGGTGCGAAAGAAGCAGCATGTTTGGAGAATTGGACGAAAAACATCAAAAGTCAAAATCTACGATGAACGATGTGGCTGCTCTAGTAGCAACTCGATCACTTCGTCGAATACTAATCAGTGTGGAAGTTGTTTTTGCGTCCTGCTGCAAGATAAGGTGGGTGGGATCAAACTGTTGTTTCGTCTCTGACCGTCCTTCTTGTCTATCAGATTTACTGGCAAGTCGATGTCAAGTGGTTGCGAAAACCTGTCAAGGACCTTGATGCCATAATTGTTTTGGTATCTGTCCTTGCCTATCACATCACGACTTTGGCAAAAGACAAGGAGATGTATTATTCATATCTTCCACTCTCTCACCCACCACAAAAAAAGCCAAAACCACGTCCTCTGCCTCGCTCAACCTCTTGTTCCTTCAATCAAGAAGTTTCGAGCTGGATACTTTTGTTTCTACAAAAGTAACGGACAAGAATAAGACTCCGAAGGTCTTTGGAGTACGACTGCATATCGTCATTTTTTCTCTAGGATTGCCGGTTGTAATTTACCATTCGGGACATTTATTTCTCTCTAGGATGTTTAGATATGTAGGCTTGGAATGGGAAAGCAAATTGTTCAAAGAACTGACTTGTGACGGCGTTGGGTATATCCTCTTGGTGACTGAGCTCCCTCGGCCTCTCTGACCTTTGATCTCTTGTTTTTGTTTGGTATCATGGTAACAGGACATGAATGAATGTATCTCAAGAGAAGAACAGGGAAACCATTTGTACAAGATTTGGTATCGGTACTCATATAGCTACAAACAAGCATCTCCAAGTGTTGAAAGAAGATATTTCAAACAAGGAAAACTACTCTTTCAATTGTTCATCGCGAACCCAACCAATAGCCTGACCGACCTGTACATACTGCCCAGGCTTGATGTTCCATCTCCAACCACCCCTTCTATCCTCTGATGTACCTGAAGCCTCTCCCCAGCCTTCGTCAAAGGAAGGTCTTCTACCCTTGGGAGCTTCAAAGACCAGCACGATGGTGCTGCCTAATTGGAAACCGCCCATCTCTTCGCCTCTTTGCAGGGGCTGACCGTGCAACAGAGGGGAAGCATTACCATACGTGGCTTCTGCGAATCCAGAGTAGGGCTGGTTGCTTGCTGCTGCGGCGGCTGCTGCACGATCGGCGGCTGTATCTGTAGTCAAAGAGTTTGTGCGAAGTTCCTTGTCAAAGTTGATCTTGATGGAGCCGACGTTTGTGGCCCCCACAGGAGTGTAGGAGAAGAATCCGTAGCGCCAGCGACCGAGAAGAACAACACGTTCGTTCAATGTGAAAAGACCGGGGAGAGTGCGTTGGAGGTGGGNGGAGACGGAGAAGAGTTCACCGGCAAAGTGACGGCGGGACTCGACGACCCAGGAGCAAGGAGAGTGGAAACGGTGGTAGTCGCCAGGAGCGAGGTAGATGACTGCGTAGTAGAGGGCTGTGGGTCTGGCAGCAGTCGACACGGGTTGCCACCAGCTGTCTTGTGCGCCGCCGCCGTCGCCTAGAGCGAGCGAGTCGCGAACCTCCTTCTCTGAACTAGCTCTTGCAGGTGTGGATTGATCTTCAGCGGCAGTCTTGGGAGTGTCTTTACTCTTAGGACCAGAGAACAGGTTGGGTAGGGTGTAGGAAATGCCGTTGACCTGGGCGAATTCCTCATCTGCGCGAATGATCTCTTGATCTGCCGACTTGGAGCGGTCTTTGCTGGGTTGTGGGTTCGGAGTAGCGCGAGTGGGCTTCTGCGAGCCCAGGAGAGCGTCGAGAGAGTAGGTTACGCCTTTCACTTGTTCGACCTCGCCGTTATCGATGGTACCGAACTGGATGACTTTGCCGTCTGCAGGACTAAGGAGAGCATTGGGGTTCGGATCTAGAGGGCGAGCGCCAGGCTTGAGTGTACGGTAGAAGAAGGAGGCCAGGTTGGGAAAGACGTGAAGATCGGGCTCGTTGATCTCGTCGAAATTGACGCCGAAGATCCAGCCGTACAGCTTGAAGCCTGGCACGCGGAGGTAGTAGGGGATCTCGAGCTCGTTGAAGCGACCCCAGATACGAGACATGGCCTTGAGTGGCAGGGTAGACATGATCTGGACCTGCCAGGGACCCGAGGGTCTTATGCGCTGCCTCTTGGGAACGCTTCCTCCATCTTCTTGTTCGGCCTGCTGGCGAGCCTTTTCCTCTTCACTTTGACGAGCCTGAGTACGGTAGAACTGGAAAGCTCCTAGGAAGGCGACACCAAGCCCGATGGGGATGGGCTTCCAGACGACTTTTGTGTCGCGAAGGGCATTTCGAAGGCGGGTACCAAATGGAGCGTGTGAGGGGCGAGAAGACGAAAATGGTCGGGAGGTCTGGTATCTCAATCGTTGAGAAGCTCTTAATAGAGGCGTGTGGGAGTTGGCCAAGGCTCGATGCCGTAGCACCTGTGTGGACGACATGTTGGACGGCGTGACAACTTACAAGAAGCTACAGGGAAAATTGAGTGACGTGATCAGCTGTATAAGGGACCCCGGATTTCGATCCTTCCCGAATTGACGTAGCCGTGGCAGGGTAGGGCTGAACGGCCAGCTTGACCAAACCCGACCAAGCACTTTCACATGCTTCCACTCTTGTAGTCTTCCACTCTCGCACTCTCGGCGTCGACCACGACCACGGCCACACGCACTACAAGATGGCACAACCGACGCGCACCCTGTCGCTCCGGATCCTCTCGCCGGCTGTCGAGCTGGGCCATGGCCTCGACATGGCCGACGTGCCTGTCGACACCACCATAGCCGCCTTGAAGTCCAAGTTGACCGACATGCTGCCCTCGAACCCTACGCCTGATCGCATGAGACTCATCCACTATGGTCGCCTTCTGGCCAACGACGACGAGACACTGGGACACCTGTTTGGAGAAGCCGCCATTACCCAAACCACGCCTTTCACCTTACATCTCGTTGTCCGCGCCCCTCCTACCCCAATGGAGACAGCAGCTACTCGCCAACCACTTTTCGCAAACTGGACTCCTCAGAATGCCGCTCCAGGTCCTGCACAACCACCACCGAACCTTCTTCCACCAGGCGCTGCGAATCATCCCTTGATGCGACCAGGCGCTGCCTTTGTTCCCGCGCCCCAAGGTGCTACTGCCACTCCACCACATCCTGCCGCTCCTACACCAACCATACAACACACCCACGCACCTTCGCCTAACCTGCTGCACCAGCTCATGGAGCGTCAACAACAACAGCTTAGACAGCTCCATGAACATCGTCCCCAATTCCCTCTACCCGCCATGCCGAGACACACTCCTCCTCAAAGCGCTCCTCACACTCCGCCTCCCTTCGCTCACCAACATGCTCATCCGCATATCCATCATCACCACCATCACCCAAATGCTCATGCCCACCCGCAATCACAACAGCCGCCCCACCAACAACCACATCAGCGTACCGCTACTATAACAATCAATCAGAGCACCATCGCTGTACCTATGCCTCTTGGTCCACATGGCATGCCCATGGGTCAGATGCCGCTACCTGGCTTCCCACCGATTCATAATCTGTTCCATCAACCTGCTCAACCACAACTGCAGCAATTTAACCCAGCATCGCCTACAGTCTACCTACTCTCATCGCGAAACGGTCCACAAGCTTTGCTGTTTTCACCACAAGGCACATATACTGCAAGCTTACCACACACTCCTCTGCCTGGTATACCCAGCATGCCTAATCCGCTCTTGGCTCACACACGGCCTCACACACCCGCCGCGCAAGCTGCGCCACAACCACAAGGCATAAACCCACCTCCTGTTGCCATTGANTCCTCAACAACCCCGGAACAAATCGCACAGCAAATCGTCCAACAAATGAACCAAGGAGGTGCAGAGAACCAAGAATTCAATGCTCTTGCACCCTGGCAGCCGCTGTTAGCCCATGGCTGGATGTTGCTCCGTCTCCTGTTCTTCGCATGGATCTTGCTCGGCACAGGTCAAGGGTGGCGAAGACCCTTGGCCTTGCTTGCTATTGGTGTTGTCTTCTGGGCTATCAACGCTAATGGCATCGGCAACACAGTCAGAGATGCAGTTCGCTCATGGTGGGAAGCAGTCGTTGGTCTACCCGGACAACCACAGCAACAAGAGCACGGTGTAATTAGACAAGCCCTACGACCCGCCGAACGCCTACTCGCTCTGCTGATCGCATCACTATGGCCTGGCGTTGGCGAACGCACCGTCACTGCCAGAAGAGAAGCAGAAGAACGACAAAGACGTGAAGAGGGAGAGCGACAGGCCGCAGAAGCAGAGCGTCAGAGACAATTGGAAGCTGATCAATCTGTTACTCAAGAAGAGTCTTCGAATACGGGAGATAGCGATCCAGTCACTGCTATCGAAGGACCTTCTACTGTTACTGCTACTGGCAACGATGTCTCTGGCGGAGATGGAGAGGTCAGGGAACGAAAGACGGCAACGCAAGATCATAGCGTGGAAGAGCAGGCTGCTCCATCAGAACCCACCTTGTCGCGTGAGGAGCAGAGAGCTCAACAAGTTAGTAACCTCACTGCAGACTGGTGAGGATTTGAATCATCGCAGTGGCTTTTTTTTCTTTCCTCTGTTTTCAGAAGGACCACTTTTTATGCATGTAGCGTGGTTTAGCAATCAGCCAGCGAAGGTTCTGTTTTTCTCTTTCTAAATGCATGCATTTGAGTGAGCATTACACCAAATTAGATGTTGATCTTATTTTGAAAACTGGTGAGACGACTCATCGTATAGATCATGATTTTCTTCATTCGATGACAGGGCAACTCTTATTCTATGATATGCTATCCCTAAACCCCATACAATGCATGTAAATATGTTCAGAGCAAAAATGCAAGAAAGATGCGAACGAGCCATACAACACCTCAAAAGCAAAGACCACCCACCACCTTAACCATCCATCCACCTTCCTGCTCAAACACCCATACCCAGCGAAAAGCTACACAGCAAAAAAGAGAAAAACACCAGCCCCAATGCATGCAAGCAACAACAAACAAATGCCCAGCACCTCTTAACCACTCATCTTAGCAAACACAAAATCAATCCTCGACTTGTCATCCGTGACCAACGCCCTCAAGACCCCATCTTGCACTGCATCCTCCGCCTTTTCCCTAACAGCCACAACGCCATCTTCTTCTTCGCCGTCGACTTCGCCATTGCCTCGTGCAATCTCTTGTCGGAGTTTAACAGCATCGAGGTGAGAAAACTGCATCAGTGATGCCATGGCCACTTTGTCGTGTTTACTGCTGCTTTTGCTGTTGTCTTTCTNTTTAGGGGATAGACGTTCGTGGAGAAGGGAATGGTGTTGACGGCGTAGGCGTTCTTGGGTTTCTGGGTCGATTTGGGAGGAGCGGAGGAAGGAGGGTAGGGCGGGCATCTCCTCTTCTTCGTCTTCGTCTTGTGCATTGTTGTTGCCTTCTTCGTCTTCTGCTCCAGAGGCGGAAGCAGTGGTTGGTGATGATGAGCTAGAGATGGGAACAGAGCCATCACAGGCGCAATCGCAGCCAAGAAGATCATGAGTTTGACACCCTTCGCGCGAGTCCAACGTAAATAGATCTCTGAGTTCTTCGGGCGTGAAACTGGAAGTGTTTGCCTTGTTGTCCACGATCGAATCGGCTAATCCTTGTTTCGTAAGCTGTCGCTGGAAGATTTTTTCCTCCAGTGCTCCCTTGGTCAAGAAGCGGTAAATGTGAACTGGATGTTTCTGGCCATCGCGATGCACGCGACCCATGGCTTGGAGGTCTGTTGCTGGATTCCAGTCAATGTCAANGAGGACAAGGCGACTGGCGCCGATAAGATTCAGGCCAACACCGCCAGCCTTTGCAGATAGTAGAAAGACGAAACAGTTTTTGGCAGAAGTACGATTGAACTTGTCAACCAGTCCTTGACGCTGGTTTGCAGGCGTCGAGCCATCCAGACGGAGAAATGAATACTCCATAGCAGTCAACAATTTGCCAATCATGTCCAGAGTAGCCGTATAATTGGAGACCACCACGACTTTTTCTTGCGTCATTGTGTGGACGAAGTGAAGAAGGTCATCCAAAACTTGCAGCTTGCTACTGCCACCTGCAGCCTTTAGATCCGATGCAGGAACGTTGGCTAGTAGCGAATTTACTGTTCCCTCTTCGCCTTCCGATGGGTTCTTGAGTAGTGAAGGACTGTTGCAGAGCTTCTTCAATATGTTGATCATCTGAAACGCGGCTTCATTGCTTTTTAGTACCTGGTTCAAGACCCCGGTGCTAACAACGGCCTCGTACACATCCTTCTGCACCCCAGTCGGTCGGCAGTAGACCACGTACTCTGTTTTCGGGGGCAAGTACTTTGACAGGATCTCTGCAGTTCGTCGGAGAATGAATTGACCAGTAATCGATGCAAGCTCTTCACTGCAAGCTTGACCCTTTTCAATGTCCTTGGCGGTTGCACCTGGGGTTCTGCTCTTGAGAATGGGGCTCTCGTATTGTTTCTTGAAGGACGAATATGTTTTCAACAATCCGGGATTCACAAAATCGACCATGGTAAAGAACTCGCTAAGATCGTTCTGGATAGGCGTACCAGACAGAATAATCCTTCTCTCAGTGTTCAGAGATCTGATGGCCGCGGCTGACTTGTTGTTGGCTGTCTTGAGTCTATGACCTTCGTCCGCAATGACGATGTCCACACCGAGACCTTGTTGCAGTTCTTCCTGCACGTTGCGAAGCTTCTCGTAACCGATGATCAGAATGTTGTAACTTTTGCCTTTGGTGAAGTCACTGAGTCGGGTCTTGTTGTTCTCGGCGACCATGACGCCCACTTTCTCATTGCCCAGCCATTTCTTAAATTCCTTGCGCCAATTGTTGATGAGCGTGACAGGGCACACGATCAAAGCTTTTTTGATCACAGGGCCGTCCTCGTAAATTGGGTTCTGCTTGAGCAAAGTCCAAATCAAGGCAATGGTCTGCAGAGTCTTTCCCAAACCCATTTCATCTGCTAAGATGGCACCCTCGCCCACGAAAGGTCGCATACCCATGACGCACTCGTACAAGAAGGCTACACCAGCACGTTGGTGTTCTCTGAGATGCTTGGTTAAATTTGGATCAACGACAACATCGACAATATGCTTTCCATCTGGCGCAAGCTTTGGTCTTTTCATGACAAGCGCATTTGGTTCGTTGGGGTCATGACGGGGAAGGCAAACAGTCTTGCCGTCTGATCTTGAACGTGAAAGAGGAACACCAGTCTTGTCGATTATTGGACTCTTGAATGCGGCAGTAGGCTTGGTGAGCATACTGACAGCCCGTGGTGGTGCTTCGACCTTTGGAGCGGAATTGTATGCAGCAGCGGCCTTGCCGAGCATACTGACTGGCTTCTTCTGAGTCTGAACAGGCTTGAGTGGTGTCCGAGCAAGAGGAACGGATGGTCGTGTTACAATGGTCGGGTTGATAGTAGCTGGCTTTGGGAGTTTCTTCTGAGGCAACATTGACCTGGCTTCTTCTCTAGAGATGCGCGAGTCTATCTCAATTTCCTTGCCACTCATGCTGAGCGTGGATCCTGGAAGTAAAGGTGTTTTGCATACTGTCCTGCCGATATCNNCCTTGCCGTCCGAGTCTTTGAGATTGGCATATCCTTGCGAAACGATGAGGATGCCGTCTCCGTCCCAGATCTTGTTCTNTTTGTTGGTTATCTTGCGCCAGAGAACCGAGAATCTGGCATCCGCAGGGTCATCAGATGGCCTTTCCGGAGACTCACAGGCAGTATCTGAAGAGTTGCCATCTTGTTCGGGCTGCTGTGGCGATACCTTCAATCGCTTTGTCGGTCGTTCCGAGATGGGTTCCTGAATTGGCTGTGAAGTCGACCCGGGTGGCCTCGTGAGTAACGGCGATTTGAATGGCCTGTACATTCTGTGTTCAATTGGAATTTATTTTCCAGCGATTGACCAATTTCGCCACTGATTGCTGCAGAAGCTCACGAAAGATGAAACTTGTGGAGGAAGACGCGTTGTGGACGCGCGACCGTTGCCTGACGACATTGTTGATTGCTCTTTCCAAATTTGTGCATCCAAACTTTGACTCGCTGTTGCACGAGCATGAGGATGCTTCATGCAGGGCCGAAGGCCAAGTTTCGCAAACTCTTTGGCCAAGCTGTTCTGCAAAATTTAACCCGTCTGCATCTTCGACACAACGCTCCAATAGGGGTGATCAGGTCAATGAATATATCGTTCAATTGTCAAGTTGTGGTAGATCGCTAATAAGCCTATCTTTCTGTTTACTCATCCACATACACCCTTGAGGGTCGTTCATCCATGCTCTCGCAACCGCCTCAAAGCAATACTACGACCACCTAAAGATTTTCTCAAGCCGAAAAAGATGCCCAGTGTTGATGATGCCGCCGAAATATGAGTAGAGATGTACCCTCCTTAGTCGAGCTTCTTGAAGCCAAATAACGCCATGCTAAACTCAAAGCTCGCTTTTTCTCCATCGAAAAGCAGGCCTTGCGAAGAACGCCCAACGAATCCTTCCCAAATGTCAATGGTCGCTTCCAGATCACCAATTGATCTGAGACTAGTGCAAAAGAAGAGGCGACGATGAAAAAGTTATTGCCGTAAATCGCGATGGGCAGATCGTAAAGCCGTCCGAGTAATAATAAGTTGAAACATCTTGAAGAACAAAACGGGCTTTTCACCAAGCGATACAATGTATGCATGGTCAAGGTAATCTCTCTGTAGACGAGAGATGCTGTGAATCTTCCAACTGCGCGCAAGTGGTAATTCGCAGGTTGGAGACTCATCTCGCAAGCGGTCTTCTCGCCGTCCACACATGGCTGTAGTAGGGTCAGCAAAAGTCCCTTGAGTTGGAGATAGATTCCAGCATCACTCACATGTTTGTGTATGCATGGATCGAACGATTGCGAATCTCCGCTCGCACGCCGGCAAGNNGGAAGCCTTCAATCTCTTGCTTGCTCCAGCCGAACACACGAGAGAATGGGCCTAGACTCAGTGCTTCGAGGCCAGCACAGAGGTCCAACGCAGTCTGGTGGAAGTTGCCGATATTGAAAGCAGTGGGGTCAGTTGACCATGCTCGGTATGGTGCTTTGATGACTCTTTCCGAGATGTCGGTGAACCCAGCTTGCGACAGTGCTTGCCGAGTGTTGTGCGAGTATCGAATGGTTTTGGGTGTCTGGTCTGTAGCCCGTACCATGTAACCATACCATTGGCTGAGATATGAATCCGGATGCAGCGTACCGTCGTCACAACGAGGCTCAAAATCTATTTCTAGTTGCTCGATACAGCCAAAACCAGGTCGGAGGTGNNCCTAGCTTCGTCAGCGTGGTAAATATACCGGTTCTCAAGAGGCTCACGAGAAGACTTTGGCGTAGAGATTCGGCCAGCTCGAAACACTACCACAAAGCATCTGCATGTGAATCAGGTCCCACGAGTCTTGGCCTAGACTCCAGTAGGGAGTTTCGAAATTGAAAGGTATTTGAAACCGGACATTGGGTGGAATTTGAGCAGGTTGGAGATTGGCAAGATCTAACCCAAGGANCCTGACGAGACTTGGTCAGTATACAGATTCGAATATCTAGTCACAAAAAATTACCTCTCCCTCTGGGTATTGCCTATTGACAAGCGTGTCAGCTCAGGCTCATAGCACCACGTCAACGATATACACTTACTCGCCCATGTCAATCGCCCAGAAGCCAGTTCCGCAGCCAAGGTCCATGATTCGAGGGCGATGAGCGACCTCCGGGATCAATCTCGCCGAGTGCAAGCTCAATCCAGCTTTGTCGTAGAACAGGTTGTGGTAAACATCCATGCGATGGCGCTCCTNCCTTGAATTGTATGTCAGCATGTGCGAATGACATGCCAATGCGTGAATGGGCCAAAGTTTAAGGGAGCGGCTCACCTCGTCATGCGGGTACATGTATAGACCCTTCTGCCATGCATGGTACCAGCGTCCATTCTCTTCATACCATTCTTGCTGCATTGGTGCTCTTACGGAGACGGATCTGTGAAAATAAAGTGTAAGAAACTGCGAGGCCGTTGTATGTGAGAACGACGAAGGGGATGAGCGAGCGGGAATGCGTTGAGGCTAGAGGAGAGTGGGAGTGGGAATGGGTACGCACAGCACTTCTTGAGGGGCAACTAGAGATGCGACTGCTATTCTAGACATGTTCAGGAAAAGCCACAGCACATGATATCCAATGGCAGCGGAGACGGCGCGCGGGCGGCTATAAGCAAGTGCAATTTGAAAAGAGACCAAGAGAGGGAGTGACGCGATTCGAGGTGTGGACAGGCGAAGATTTAGTTAGCAGCAGCTTAAAAAGCAGCGACAGCAGGCAATGGCAGTAGTCGCAGCAGTAGTAACGTCGACAAGGCTCGGGGGACGTGGGCGGCGGGGCGGGGCAGAGGCACTTTAAGGACAGACGCAGTCGATTTTCCCAGAGAGACGGGTGCAGAGAAGTCATCAGCAGCGGCAAGCTGCGCAAGTCTCGGATGGCTCCCGGGCTAGTGCTAGCAATCTGTTTTGTGGGAAAGGGCAAGAGAACGCAGCTACCTAACAGAAACGAGATCAAAGGGCGCCAGGGTTAGGTGCAGGCTGGAGCCGTGGATCGCAAGGTTCTACAGCGCAAGCTCGTGCATGCCATCGGGGCGGATAGCATCCCCTTGGGCTCGCCATTTGTTGCGGTGTATCACCCCAAAGCATTTTCTCATCTCTACCAAAACACCAGCTGCACATGCCCCCACAGCGGACGGGGTTTCAAGTTGGGCCGGAAGCTCAGGCTCGGCACGACACCGTCTCACCTCTGGCGGCTGACTGGCTGACCACGCCGTCGGAGTCGGTTTATTAGGACAGAGGTCAATGAGCTAGGGGACGTGGCAGGTACACCGTTTCTCTGTGCACTGCATCAAGCCCAGATCTACGGATCACCCTCTGAAATGGGTGACTAAATACACGCCCTCGTGCAGCCCGAGTTTCGCAGTTCCTTCCTTTTGCACCGTTGGTCTCTCCCAGCTTCTGCTCTGGTTCCACAACAGCTTCGCTCCCGCTCACTTGCCTCTCTGCTGCGTGTGCCACTGGCCACAGCAACGAAACACTGCAGCATGAACCTATCGAGTTAATATCGCCAAAGTGTCGTTATCTCGGATCCCGGTCCCAAGATCCTTGCTTGCCGCTAACAGCCCGCTGTCCCAAGAGGCCGGCGCTGTGAACCAACGCAAACCTTCCGTTCGGTCGGTTTTCTTCAGCGTAGCCTGCGTAGCCGACCGATACAATATACAAACAAGTCTGCCCTTTCTGCTTCACTTGGAAGAGTAAAGAATTTTGCTGGACACGCACTCAGTGATGAGCTTCGGCCACCATGGCTCTTTCCCATACCGAACTTGAGTTCCTATATGCGAGGAGCACACCATCAACAGCATATCGGGTCAGCCGACTCCGTGGGCTTGCGAGTGCTGACATCACAGACTTCTGTCATGGAACCAAGCTGGAAATTGCAAACCTGGAACGAGCAACACCTGCTTGCGCCCGCCATCTCAAGGCATGTCTTATTATATACAACCACAGACGAGACACACTGCGAAAGTCTAGACGACAAGAAAATCCTTTCTATTCGAGGGTGCTCCGCCGGCAGGGGGTTCGTGCAAACGGCTGGGCCGAATCGCCGGTTCCTGCCGCCGCTATTTCTGCAGTCGTCGCCAACAAGGTTGCGATGGTAGGAACAAGACTGGACCAACGCAGGTGGCAGGTTAAGAGCATGAAGGCGTGATGTGATGTGCTCTACATTTGATTCAGACAGTGTTCAACCTCATCTCAAACACTCAACGCACTAATCTCAGCGGGCCAAACCTCGACCAGGACCTGGATTTCGTGCATTCACGGAGCGAGACATATACAACGTGATTTTAGAAACTACGACTGTACTATGCCTCTTACAACCCGATCAATGAGAGCTGTGTGCGTTGCAGATGGCCAACTCCACATACTGGCGAGATCTCTCTACCCAAACACCCTGTCCTCATGCGCGGAGGTCTCACGCCTGAGCCCCCTTTCTCGTCTGTGTGTTGAGTCCTTCCTACACTTCTGCTGGACACGCCTCTAGTAAGATTCGGTTAAATCTCATTTTCTTCTCAGGACCACTGTTTGTCTCAGAAGCGTTGCGTGCTGAATTTCAACATACGAGAAGAAGACGGTCATGTATATGGCATATGGCCGATGCCTGTACAAGATCGGCTTATGGTCCATACCTTCGGGTACCGTCCTACTGTCGGCGTCACCCAATCACACAAATTTCAGCCAGGCCGGACCCGATAAATCATAGCGTGTATCCGAACTTTTGCGGCGCGCCACGGGACTGCGGCCCTCTCGTTCGTCTCGTCTTGGCAGCCACACTCTATCGAAGGAATAGGGATTGACAGGGATGGACAAGCTGACTCAAGTGACACCGAAGTGCTGGATGTTGGGTTTCACATCCGAATACTCTGCTTGTGCTCACACCGCTGCCAGTGTCTGTGAGCAGAAGAAAATGAAGGACCATTCGAACCTGCCGGCGACATGGCCACAACGTGGCGTTATGCGTCTCATCGGTGAACAAGCGCAATGGATGCACGCTTCTGGAACAGCCCTGGGCACTGTACCACTCTCGCTACCAACTACACAAAGGGTGGGCATCGCGAGCTCCATCTGACCCCGAAATTTGCTACCGCCCATGCACGCGCATCATGCGTCTCCTTAAGAGGAAGCATGAGGCGCAAGATTAGGGAAACCCACCTCCATCGAAACGGACCCCTCTTTTGATCACTCTCACACGTGGCCTTCTTATGAGAGCACGGTGAGGGACAGGACTAAGCAACTCATCTACCCGCACGCAAGCTGCCGCTGTCAAATGTGTTGGCTCGAACCTGCGTCGAGTATTTTGACTCATCTCGGATTAGCCTCTATCCGATTGACATTCGTCGCTAACCATGTAGACGACCCTGCACGGCATTCCGTATCCCAAATTGTGACTACGAATCACTTGTTTTACCAGAGTCAGTACTAAGCAATCTGCAAGCCACACAAGACCTTGATGCCGTACACTACAGTAATCTACAAGACTAGAGTATTTGCAGTATATTGGAGTCACAGCCTGCAACACGCTTCCTGAAACAGAACACTCAACAACACACTGGTCATTATCCCGCTGGTGAGTCAACCCGGTTTTGATCACCATGCTACCACTTGATGAAGACAGCGTACCGTGTCAGCGAATGAAAATCTTGCGAAAATCAATCAAGGGGGAGCAAACTTGACTAGCAGCATGCCGTGCTAAGCCATCGGGAAGTCCGAGTTGACGCGTATTCCTTTCACATTCCAAACTTACATTCTCTCCTCCGCAGGTGAAGATCCACATGCGGCCAGTGCTGATGTGCACCCATGCAACATCGGGGTCTCTTATTGTAACAGTGACAGCAACCCAATCTTCTATCTCACGTGGACCTTGATGGGAACTGAACACGGATAGGTCCGTGATGGCGCACGTCACCGCCAGCGTTCCTCACAGAGATGTCTTGGGATTGCTGAGATGACTAGAAAGTCACAATCGGCTGACGATGGCATGATGTTCACGCTTTTCTGACTTATAAGCTCATTCATGCAAACGCTGGTTGCAGTTTTGGATTGTGCTCTACATCAGTATGCACTTCCGCTCCAGCATAAACGCTTTGAGAGTCTGCCTCCTGGCTTCCAAATGATGCTCCGTGTAAGAATGATACGCCGCAAAGCCGAAACCGAGCATTTGACGATTCGCCTGCTACGCGCGAGTTCCTGACTGAGACTCCTCCAAGTAACTTCTGCTGTTGACTGTCACTCACAAACAAGGCTGAGATCAGTCTTATGCTACACGCGAGTGATCAAAGGATACCAACAATCGAAAGACACCATTGCAGAGGTGGGGAGGCAAGTTCGAGAACATCGAGCGCTAGGCCCTACGCTCCTCTGTCATTGTCTGCTGTCGAGTCTTCGACCACTTTTGCTTACCCTGTTGCATACCTACTGTTTCCAGAGGCTGGGTCCAGTGTTTGCTGACTGCATACCTGGACCAATGCCTGCACTCGTACCCATCACCTCATTTTGGTTCGCGTCATCCCGAACTGGCTGCTACGTTCGTGTTGGGGATATCTTACTTGAAGATATGCACCCGATACGTTCTTCAACCGTTTCTGCTTTCTGGCCGATGCAGTCTGTATATGCAGGCCCCTCTCTCAATGACTTGAGATGCAGCAAAGGTAGGTTGATCCGTGCGAACGGGTATCTCTATGACAATGCTTCAATGAGCTGCGTCCGCTGTCATTGATTTCTTTTATTGCTTGAACCTGTGATCAATACAGTCTCAAGAAGATGCGGATTACTGGCACGACTCACCAAAATTCTTCTCTGTCGTCGAGGTCAAGAAGATATTTCTGGTAAGCAAATTGTTAACGAAAGACCAGCTGAGTGGTACCGGAGATTTTTGATTTTTTGTCAATTACCAGTTGGTCGCGCGTTCCATGAATGACGAATGACCTGTTGGAAGTTACTCGGACCAATTTATCTGTTCCCAGTTCCTTGGATAATCACTTCGTCTATATTAATGAGGTCGTCAATAGCCGCTGGGTTCGCGCTCTTCACCCCGAAACAGCTTGTTGAACTGCCGATTGAACTCTCTCTCGCTCCCTCGCTGGGACTCGCTACCTACGGGTCTTCCTTGACGAGAAATTTCGGGAAACCATGAGGCGATACTTGCTTCGGCGTTACCAAGATACAACACTCCTGTATTTCGCTTCCGGCAGATCGGGAACGAGGAACGAGATAAGCCGCAATCCACAGCACACACACGCAGCAATCCATTGGAAAGATACGTACACCACGGCACTAGCCCAATTTTTCCCAAAGAGTGACCGACTCGTCGATTTAGATTAAATGCGAGCAATGTCAAACACGGCAAGCGATCATCCCCCAAAGAGAAAAAAACGAAGGAAAAAACCTTGGAGCTTGGGATTTTATATTGGGTTGACCCAACAAAGACATTACTGGTGATTACAAAGACGGAAAAAAGATCAGGCAACCCAATGATTGATGGGGTTTATTGTTGCTAAATTCCTCTGCTTTTGTGGTTGGGGTCTGTCTGCTAATTATAGAACGAGATTCGAGATTATCAAGTCAGAATGGATGACGAAGCGACCCTGCTTCGTATCGTCTGGCTACTTTTGCACAAACATCGTCAGCAAGGCCAGTCTTGGGTTGATGAGACCATCTTTTGGCTACCACCCCGAGAGACTCTAGTCTCCGTCGGATGACGGTACTCACAGTGCTGAAAGAGCGAGGCGACTGAATTGAGTGATCACATCACACCCAGTGTTAGCTGATGTACCAGGCAGTTCCTTCTTTCGCGATTCGGCAGTCTCATCGGTCGTACCTATACTTCTCTAAGTCACCAACATACCGACTGCTTCTGCCATGAGCCATCTCGCCCTTTATGTGAATCTAGATGCGCCTACATCATCAGCTGCTAGATAAAGTCAGTAAACACTATACGTGCCTTGATTTCCCTTTGACTATAACAACCATTATTGCTTCTTGCACCGTCTCCAATCCTCTTATACCTTTTTCATTGGAGCAGTCAGATGACTGTGTGCAGATGCCCTTCTTCGTTTATCAGTTTTACGCGATTGGCAAACCGATATCTCGTATAGGACCAACTTTGATCCGTGTTGTCTCGTTTTCCTCTGTGGTCGCATGTACTCGCATGTTACCTCAAACCACATTGTCTAGCTGGGGAAACAGAGCAGTAGGTATGGATGCTCGATGAGTGATCTTGCTTACGATCAGGTCGGCCATGCCAACAAGAAGAGTTCGTCATAGCACGCAACGACCTTCGACGAAAATATCATCTGGACTTTTTCGTCTTGTTTTTCTTGAGCTTTTGGAATAGGGTGATAGATCTTTTTCCAATGAGACAGCAGAGAAATAACAAGCAAGGACATGATGAAGTTCAGATAAAGCGAAAGAGACAGATGCAGTATAGTATACCAAAGCCCTTAACATCCAAAAGAACAAAGACATAAAAGGTAGGCAGAAACTATCGATCTTAAGACAGAAAAACCAATAGAGAAAAGAGCAAACAGTAGGAAGATTGTTTTTCTCTTCATGCTCGTGACCTTTTCCTTTCCAAGGACTTGATGTTTTCCTTGACGCTGAAAGCTCAGAATACCTTTCACACACTCTTTTCCTCAAAATTTTTGCTTTATGATGATTTGGCTCTTTGTGTCTGGGCCTCCCAGCGCTGAGAAATTTGCCAGCTGTGATGGAAAGGAGCTTTTGACTTTTTGCTTTGCAGCGTTTGGTGATATCTACACACATCTCGGGTGTTTTACTCCTTACTCATTCCGTTGTGCATCCTCTCCCGCATGTTTCCTCTCTGTGGTTCCTCCTCTTTGTGGTTCTTTTTCTGGCTTGAGTTTTGGGATCTTAGGTCCGTTCCTTGTTGACATGAAAGCAAAAGAACGGGTATTAGAAGAATGCATAGGTACAGAAAAAGGCAACTGCATGATCCAACACAAAGACCACATTGACAAAACAGTAAAGGGAACAGACTTGATCAGTTGTTAGTGGTTTTGTTTTTGATTTTGAATATCTCGAAAAGGGCTCATCTATATATTGGGATCAGAAATGCAGTAACTAGCTAGCTAGAGCAGAACAAGAAAGCAACTTCCCAATGCTTTTACTTGGTATATTCCTTCTGCAGCAACTTGGCAATAGTGCTGAGTTGGATATTGCTCGTCCCNNCCTCATAAATAGCACCAATCTTGCTGTCCCTCCAATACTTCTCCGCCAACCCTTCTCTCACAAATCCCATACCTCCCATCCACTCAATAGCCTGTCCAGAAACCCTACCCGCAACCTGAGAAGCGTACAACTTGGCCATGGCAGCATCCATGACGAAATCCTCGCCTGCTTCCTNTTTGCGAGCCGCATTGTAGACCATGGCACGCGCTGCACAGATCTCTGTCCACGCTTGAGCGAGCTGGTGTTGCATGCCTTGGAACTCTCCAACCAAGGTGCCGAATTGCTTTCGATCGTTCCAGACGTAAGAAGCAGCATTGGAGAATGCTCCCATTGCTAATCCAGTCATTTGAGCTGCGATTCCAATCCTACCTTCATTCAAAATGCCAATGGCGTATTTATAGCCCTGGCCTTCCTCACCCAGCAAATTTCCTCTGGGGATATCGCAATCGTCGAAATTGACGACGCAGGTGGAGGAGGCTTTGATACCTANGTTTCTTTTCCTTTTGGCGATGCTGAAGCCGGGGGTGTCTTTGTCGACGATGAAGGCGGTGATGCCTTTGTAACCTTTTGAGGGGTCGAGGTTGGCGAAGACGATGAAGAAACCTGCTTCTAGAGAGTTTGTGATCCACATTTTGGAGCCGTTGATGCGGTAGCCGTCGGGTGTCTTTTCGGCGCGGGTTTTGAGGGCGAAGGCGTCGGAGCCAGAGACTGGTTCGGAGAGACAGAAGGAGCNCTGGAACAATGTAAGCTTCTGCAAAAATGACTAGAATGGCAGGAAAGAGGAATGTCAAAAGAACTTACCCACAGTGTTGGTAGCCAACTGAGGCAACCACTTGCGCTTACTCTCATTGGTACCATACTTGAGCAACGTAGTGTTGACCAAAGTATTATGCACATCCACCATAACACTAACACTAGGATCCACTCTCGCCAACTCCTCAATACCCACAATAGCAGCCGTGAAATTCATCCCTGCACCTCCAAACTCCTCAGGGATCTCAATACCCATGAGGCCTTGCTCAAAACACTGTTCGATAATCTCCTGATCCATTTTTTCGTTTTCGTCCATGCTGCGCACTTTGGGAAGGATGATGTCGTTGGCGAATTTGGATACGCTTTCGGCCATCATGACTTCGGTTTCGGACATGTGGGAGATGGGGGTGGGGATGGCGCCGGTCAGGTCGTGGGGTTCGCCGGTGGTGGTTTGGTGCCGAGATGGCGAGGATGAGAGACTTCGCCAACTGTGTTCATGTTAGTTTCTGGCAACACTGGTCTTGCCGACTGCAGCACATACCATGGNTCTCGAGAGCACTCGCTGACGCAGCGGAGACTGGAGAGACGAGGGGCGAAGGAAGGGACGAATAGTCCTTGCCACAGAAGCCATGGTTGTATGTTGTGAGAGGAAGTGAGGAAAGCGGAAGAAAAGGAGACAAAGATGTCAGAGTCAAAAAGAATCTTGTTGTCTAGGTACATCATGGTCATCGAGAGCAGATGCAGGGAGCAGCCGAAGCACCGAATCACAAGCATGCGGAGAAGCGGAACCGAGGCACGACACAAAAAACATCTGGGGTCTCCGCTTGACGCCCTGTCGCCCTCCGTACCTCGTTCTCGGTGCGAACCATGCTCTGTATCTTGATAGAGCAGCACTTGCGACTCGATTCACTTGTCTTCTCTTGTGGCCAGCTTGGAAAGACGTTGACTGAATAAAGTTTTCGTTACTACAAGTGACAGCTTACTAGAAGGTTCATGTCGCCTTCTCCGAACGAGAACCTAAAAGACACTATAAATGTCTCTCTCCTTGGAATCGAAATCCTGTGATCCGAGATTGAGAGTTCAAGCGTAGTCTCCATCTTCCGTCGACTCAATGGGAAGACCACAGAAGCATCAATCTCCTGATGAGTAGTTTCTTCGCCTGGATTTGTGCTATGTCGTCTATGTTGCTGAGCATCTTCTCCGAGAGACTGGGGCAGCAATTGACACTGTTCTCAGAACGGAGCTTGGTGTGAGCCTGGCGCTTCCAGAAAGCCATGATTGCCATATAGAGTCATCTGTGAGGAAGAGTGCAATACAGGCAACTTGTGGTCCGTCCAGCTGCCAGTTCCAATATCAAGTAGCCCCTTCAGTTCGGTCTGAACTTGTTCCTCTTCATCTTCATAGCTTCCACCTTCTTCCTATCCTCCTCAAAGCCCTTGAGCAACTCATTAGCCTTCTCCTTGCGCTTCTCGCGCATCTGGAAGCGGTAAAAGTCTTCCTTGCCCTTTTGCTTTTCCCTTTTGCTTGTCTGCCTTTTCTTNNGCGCTTCTTCTTGACGCGCGGGTCCCATGCGTCCTCCGCGTGTCACGGTGATGAAACCATCTTCGTCGGGTTCGGCGCGTTGGCGGGCGAGCAGGCGGGCGCGAGTGGCTTCTTGGTCGGCAAAGGCGGTCATGTAGGCGTCTACTGAGGCTTGTAGGACAGCGGTGGAGGGAAAGCGAAGAGCATGATGGCTCAAATANNTCCTAAATCACAGTTAGCTGTCTGATTTCCAACAAGCAGAAGAAAAGCAAAGGCAAGGAAAACACATACTCGCAGCACCCAATGCAGGCACTTTATCCCCCACCACCTCAGCACCCCAAACAACCTCCTTACCAGCCTTGACACTCTTCTTCACCTCCTTCAATCCCATCTCCGCAGCACTAGCATCCACAAACGTAACCACACAAGTATTTCCACTCCTTCCTACACTTCTATCCCACGTCTCCGGCAACTCCACCATTTTGTTCTCGTTGCCTGCATCACCACCTCTCTTTCTCTTTTTGCCGCTTTTACTCGTCACCGGCGCTGTAAGTTTCTTGCCCGTCCTTGCGCCTTCAAAGTCTACTCTTTCCACTCGTGCGCCTCCGCCGTGGCTTGCGAATAAACCGCGCAAATGTGGCTCTGTCGCATCGATGGGAAGGTTGACGATGAACAACTCCCGAGGTGTGTTTTCGGTGGGCAGTTTGGGTGCGTTGGGTCGTAGGTAGAGGTAGTGTTTTGTAGCGTGAGGAAAAGACTCGGTAGGTGGGACGGAAAGCGGCAGAATGGTATAGTCGTTTACGCTCGCCGGTACGCGATTGCTTGGGGTTTGTAAGGGTGCCATGGCTGTGTGTGTGTTGTGTGGTTGATAGATTGTCAGTTGCGAATAATTTTTGACAAAGTCTCGCTCGCGGCTTGCGATTCCTTCTTTTGCGGAGAAAGTTCCGCGATTGGACCAAAGTCACCCTGTCCTTGCTTCCACAGAGCATACTCACATCTACTCCTGTTGAAGCCAATCATTGCATCCAGACTGAAAGAAGTCACGGTAGAGTCAGGCAAGGGAGAATCTCCCATCACCGTGTATACCAAAAGGTGTGCCTCATTCTATTGATAACGTCAATCATTCTGATATCTTAAAACCATCATCATAGAGAATTATGATTAGCACAACCATCACGATAGAGCCTTTGGACCAAGAAGGAATTGCAATTCGTCGATATGCTATATTATGTGTCCGCACTGCCAAAACCAAAATGGCCCAACTAAATCAACCCTCTTTCTGCCATCATCTCTCCTCTCCCTCTCCGCCGCATGTTCTATATCCCTTTCTCTCTCTGCTCTTACTCTATAGCTTTTTTTCTGACGCCTTTCGCCGTGCAATCGACTTGCAGATTCTCTTTGTTGGTGTGGGAGAGAAAAGAAATAACAAACATCGTTGGTCGGGATCTCGTGATAAAACTTTTCGCAGGTCGTTGATAGGTCGTGAGAGCAAATCGGCTCCAGGGAAAAAATTGGGACGGTACAAAAGTGAAACAAAAGACGGCTGAAAAAAATGCCGTATGTGTCGAAAAGCCGCTCACGAGCACGCTTGAACGAAAAATGGTTGACCAGAAAGGAAAAATAGAAAATGCCGTCAAGAAGACCAATTGTATCGATACCACGTCCAGAGGTCTTCATGAGGCATGGTTGATTAAGACCGTAGTTGCTCAAACAGAAACGGAGGCAGGAATGATGGTAGCGGCGGCATTGGGAGTCTGTGCAGGCAGGGGGAGCAGCAGCGGCAGCATCTGCAGCAGCAACAGGCGCAGACTCGCCGTTGACCTCATTTTGCTGGTTGCATTCGCGCGAGATATGGCCAGTCTCGCCGCAGCGGTAGCAAGTCTTGCCGGCAGTGTTGAGAGGGCCTCCATTGGGAGCAGTGCACTCGCGGGAAATGTGGCCAAGCTTACCGCAAGCATAGCATTTCATGGCCTGAGCCTGGCAATCGCGAGCGAAGTGGTTGGGACCACCGCACTTGTAGCAAGTAGCAGGACGAGGGCCACCAGCGAAACCACCGCGGAAGCCACCACGAGGACCGGGAGCACCGCGACCAAGACCAGCAGCAGCACCAGGAGTAGGGCAAGTGCGCTATAGAGAGATCATCAGCCGATATGCATAAGTGGATAGAGCGGGAATTACATACGGCAAGGTGACCAGGCATGCCGCAGGAATAGCAGCGGCCGTTAGCACCACCGTTCAGACGAAGGGTAGGGCAATCAGCCTGGACATGTCCGAGGCCCTGGCAGTGGTAACATTGCTTGGCTAGGGTCGCAGATCAGCATACAGGTCAAAAAGCCAGGATATGGCATGAAGCACAACATACCCTCGGTGGTGCGAGGAAGCGGGCAGTTGTTCGACTCATGACCTATTTCAAGAATGAGCATGGTAAAGCAGGTTTTGGAGGCAAGTATGGATACCGGGCTGCTTGCAGTTGTAGCACAAACGCTCAGAAGAGGAGCAGACCTCTGCATAGTGGCCAACATTACCACACTTGTAGCAGGCACGACGGGAAAGAGAGGACATGTTGATTACTGCGTTGGGAAAGCTGTCTTGCAGTTAGAATCTGTTGACCCGATTGTATGCACTTGGACGTGTATGATAATGTTCTGTCTGGCCATTTCGTCCTCCTCATGTTCGAGCAAAGCGTTAAGCCATTGTTGTGCGAATATTAAGCCATCATCTTGTGTATAATCAACCCAGGTGTAGTGATTGTCATGGTCGACTACCAATTGATGCGTTGAGTCACTGCGGCCAACCAGGACAAGATGACAGAGACGACGATGGATTCGACAGCGATTGAGGATGTTGAGATGACGACGGCAAGATGCATGTAGGACACAAACGGCGAGACGACTGACCTGATGATGTGCGAGGTTGCTTGACCTGCTACAGCGTCAGCGTCTACAGCTCCCAGATGGTTGGTGTTTCAAGATTGGTGTGTGTTTCGGTCTTACACTGCTGCTACGATTACTCCTCCTTCACTTCTTCTTTCCTTCCAATTCTTCAAAGGAACGACGCGCAGTCAAGCAAGATACAAGCAATGCGACAACAAGCTGAGACTCGTGAACGAAGGTTGGGCGGTTGCGATTGCGGCGCTCCAGAGGCTCGAAAAGAAGGAAACGCCGAGGGCAGAGGACAGACCCACTCGGCACCACCTGCATGCTCCTCTTTCCCGTCCGCCGCCTCTTATTCTCCGTCCTGCTGCATATCATCAGTATTCAATTCAAGAAAGCCCGACAGCCTTCTTGAAACAAGAGGTTAGACACACAGTGTCTGCAAGCAGTGTGACCAAGAAGCTCTGATGATGAAAGGCTTCATGCTCTAGCTAGCTGCACCGTTGACAGCTTCAGAGGTTACTCGCATGTACCGAACCCGGACCGTGCACACTCGTTCACTATTACAATCATTCAAACATGTATACAAAAAGCCTGGTGGCTGAGAGGCTTGTTGCATATTCATCGTCTTCAGCTGTTGTTACTCAGATCTCTTCATGGCTTCAAAATCTTCTGGATGTGACTTCCACCACCAAACGCCTCATTGCGCCCCCATGCACCCTATCACCCATCTACTGCTTCTCCTGCTCAATTACTGCAGGTGCCTTGATTGTGCGCTCGCTCAAGAATTCGAGTCCCTCACCACCCTGTATCCTCGTGTTAGCTTTGATTCGTGAATGTGATCTCAGTCTTGTACTTACGTAGCTGATCTTGGGTGAGATCTCAACGCCAGCGTTGTCGTCCTCGCTTGTCACAGTAGCGCCAACAGCCTCAAGCCATCTAGTGCCTTGACGGAAGATGTCGCGCTTGCTGGTATCAGGGTCATCTTCACCAGTACCTCTAGCATTCTTAAGAGGCGAGAACTCATCCTCTCTTCTGACCTCCTGGCAAGCGAACTTGTCCATGGAAAGGAAGGGGAAGCAGTCAAAGACGAATTGCTCGAGCTTGATTCCGTTTGGCTTCTCAGGCTTGATGGTCTCGCCCTTGTCAGTGTCGACGTAAGGGATCTTCTTTCTGGCAATGTGGTGAGGAAGCTTGTCTGACCACTGGGGAATGCTCTCCAAGAAGTCGAATGAGTAGTAGTGGTTGACAATGTTGGCAGCGCGGAACTTGAGCAGACTTGAGTCCTTGGAGTCTTTTGCCTCGGAAGTCTCCTTGTCAATCTCAGAATACTCGACAACGTCGGGCTTGCCATTCTTTGATAAGATGAGTCCAACAGACTCCTTGGCATCACGCTTGCGGACGACCTTGGTAGCAATATCTACGTTCTTGGAAGCTGAGAAACCAACGAAGGTGGGGTCAGCAACTCTGACGAGGCAGTTGTCAACACAGTATGCGTGAATGTGCTTGATGCCTCTCTTGGACATGTCTTGAACGACGCCTGACTTGAACAGGGCATTGTAGAGACCACCATTACCATCGGGTGCAACAGCAACCTTAGACTTCGACTCCAGCAAGATCTTGCCGTCGTTGGAAATGCAAGGAAGAGTACCCTGCTCGAAGAAGATGACGTTGTTTCTGTTGAGGCCAAAGTATGCGTGCTTCTCGAAGAACTCTTCGGTAGGCTTGCGTGTAGGACCGCTGGTCATGATGTACCATGGCACAATGACCTCTTCCTTGCTGTGTTCATGCTGAGCAAGTTGTTGGATCTTCCAGATTCTCTCTGCTTGAAGCTGGAAAAGTGACTTCTGGCTAGGAAGACCAATGTCGTAGCAACCCTTGGGGGCAGAGCTACCAAGACGAGTGCCCTGGCCACCAGCCATGAGGACGACGGCAACCTGGTTCTGTGCAATGAACTGCAGACCCTGTGTGTACCATCTGTTCAGGTCGTCGGGCTTCGAGTCGTAGATGGAGGAAGTGGCGGATTCAGGGAGCTGCTCGAGTTTGGGTGTAGTGTCTTCGGATTCGGGCTTGGGAGGGTTCAGAGCGCGGTGAGTGATTTGATTGACATGTTCAGGGTCGATGTTGACGAGTTGTTCGTAAAGCATGCCCTTCTCGGCGGCATTGATGTCAGTCCAGAATGCAAAGACCTGCTCCTGGCCGGCCTTGGTGTACTTGTCCAAGAGCTTCTGGAAGTCTTCCTGGCTGGGCTCATCAGGAGCAGGAATGTTGCCAGTCAGATGGAGCTTCTCCAAGACGTTGTTGATCATGGCGGCAGCCATGTTGTGTGTGAGTTTGAGAGCGGTGAAGTGGGATCGATAAGTTGCAGCTGGGTCGTTCGAAGGTCAAGCGTACTTGTTGACTGGTTGTGTGCGAGGTCGATGGGCGATGATGCAGGAAGGCAAGGAGTGAGGGGGAGATAGAAGACACGAAACGTTCCTGGACACTCTCCCTTGTAATGGACCCCTGCCGGCGGCTTGAATCGAATCAACAATCACCTTGAATGAATGGAGAAGCATCAAAGCTTCGACCCCCACTCTGCGTCACTCTATTTTTGGCCTGCTCTCTTGTCCTGCAATTTTGCCTCGTCTTTGCTACTACCACTTCGTGTTACGATGGACAGCATCTTCTATGGAAAACAAGCTACAAAAGACATGATCCATGAACCGATATGGGCGGCGTGCTGCTGTTTACAAAAGTCGGAAGCTCAAGCTCATGCCCGCCCGAACTCAATGGCCGGCTCGTTTCAAGTGCAAAGCGGTCAACATGTAACGTCTGAAACGCTGTCTTATTTGGCCTTAGATTTTGCATGACTTCGAACTTCCTTAAGAGCTCGATGCAAGCAATCTAGAGCCATATGATTCTCATCCTTTGGGGATTGTATACAAGTAACTTAAAAAAGCACTTCGAACGTATCTGAGTCTAAGGGCGGTACAGCCATTCCTCACGGCGGAATCTCACTTCAAAGTCAACCTGGCCGAACATGCCTACCGCAGCCATCAAGTCGTGATCACCCTCCAGGCCAACGATGCTGCCGCAGTCATCTCCATCACGCTCCTCGTACATGTTCCATCCTCCTTCCTTCTGACCTTCTCTCGTGAAGAAGACTTCAACATCTCTTTTACGACCAGGGAATTGCGCCGGTCTGATATTCATACCAATGCCAACCACCTCGCCGTTCTTGAAGTAAGTCGTGAAGTCCTGACCACCGCCATCATCGTCGATGTAGCGGCGACCATCATCGCCATGCACGCCGAGACTGGCACGTTCCCAGCCAGGAAGACGGAAGGATGGATAAGGCGGAGCGACGAATCCAATCGCAATTCCAGCATCGCCCTCATCTCCAGAATCAGATCCCATGCGAGTCACGCGAATCTCAAAATAGATCGTGAAGGGTCTTCCTTGGGTCCTCAAAGGATCATTGAGAGCTGCAGAGTAGAGTGGAGCGGAGGTAGTAAGGATACAATCCTCGCAGTTCTTACGTGTGCGGACAGACCAGGTATTGTGTTGACGCATCGCCCTTGTCAACTCACCTGTAAAGTTTGGTGGAGGCTGGCTGAAGGTAAAACCATGGATGCGGAAGTCTTCATGGACCGAGGCGGGAATCTGGCCAGGAGGATACAGACGATTACGATTGCACCATTCCTTTGCCTGTTCAGCCGAGTATTGGGTTGCATTTGCAGTTGGTGAGGTGTCGTAGGTCATAGCAGGAGCTGGTGGTAGTAGACTTGTATCGGGTACTGACAACCACGGAGCATAGTCCGGTGGAGCTGTTTGGTTCAGAGAGTCTTCCTGGCGATGAGACGGAGGTGGTCCTGGAGGTGGTGCGAATTGTTCATTCAGGTTGGCCTTTTCATTATGCCTCTGATAGCCAGGTGGTGGGCCTGGAGGTGGACCGTATGTTTCTGATGATGCTTCTTGCCTCTTGCTCCAACCAGGCGGAGGTCCTGGAGGAGGATCGTACCTTTCTTTGGTCATTGTGAGCTTGCAAGTAGCAGCGGAAAGATAAGTTGAATGCTAGGGATATCAAGGAGGAAGTGAAGATATGGTGACTGCGACGGTGGCTTAGCAGTAGGCGCAGAGTGAGGCTATTCAGGTTTCAGATGTCATATGAAGGCAGTGTCCATCTTGAGCCAAGGAAGGATGACCGTGGAGGATGCGTTGGCAACAGCAGTATCTTTCAATGGTTTGAGGTATCATCTCGAGTATCCCTCCATGTCTCTTGCTCTGATTAGGTTATATACTGGGCAGCCGAGAACGCGTTCCTTCACACCAAGAAACTCTTACCATATATCTCGGTCCTAAGGTCGCACGAACAGGGTTGCCAGAGCTCTTGTTGGCAACATGGAGAGCTTCCCCACGGTTCGGGAGGGGCCGAGGTAAACATGTGCATGTCATCGACAGCCAAAAGAAAACAAAAGCAGGCGGTCGATATGTAGAAAAAGACGACATGGACGATCCAGCAGCACAACTGCATCAGAACTTGCAAGATGCAGTGAGTAATGCCCTCGCCATGCGTCGCCCAGTTCTCCACCACCTGAGTGCCGACACAGCATGGCTGCTTATGATCCCTCGTCCGCTCGCCGCAACCAGACGTGGAGGTCGAGTCTACTTCAACATTCTCATCGACCCCTGGCTCTCAGGAACACAGACCGACTATACCAGTTGGTTGAGCAAACAGTGGCATGCCGATGAACCTCGAGTCCCGAGCATCGCTGCGGTAGAGAACCTCATCCGCGAAACTGAGAGTCTTGCCAGCGGATTACGTTCAGAAAAAGGCAGAAAGAGTAATGAACAAGACAACGATGAGGTTGAGACTTTCATAGATGCTGTCGCCATCAGTCATCAGTTTACCGACCACTGCCACGAACAAACGATGCGAGCCGTGCACCCAGACGTGCCTGTCTTCGCGNNACTGAGGTAAGCAGGTTAAGTTGTCACGGATGATGGCTTACGCTCATGGTCACAACAGAAAGCGATCCCACTGATCGAGTCATGGAAGCACTTCCGTGTCGTACAGACGATACCACACTTCTCCCAAGATCCCGACTGGCATGCGACATCAGTACCCCCTTTACCAGAATGGCTTGGTATATCACGACTCGTAACAGGCAGCGATATGCTATATTTTCACTCAGCACTCATGATCACTTTCAACAATCAACAAAGTGGCCAGGCTTCTAGAAGAAGCAGTTCACGCCAGTATATCGAGCCAGAACAAGAGGATGAAGGCGCAGAAGCGGTCATATACACACCCCATGGAATACACAGTGATAGTGAGAGTCTTGATCTGGTGACCAAAGCCAACCCACCGATAAAGACGCTAGCTTTCTTGCATGGTCTCGAGGATATTACACTGGGAGCAGCACAACAGCTGAATCTGGGAGCACACAATGGACTCCAANNGGCACAGCGAAAACTCAAAGCCAGCTATTGGATTGCTACTCATGATGAAGACAAGAAGGGGACAGGGATTGTGGGATGGTTGTTAAGGAGGAGGAAGATCAGCGTGAAGGATGCTGTTGAGGCCGAAAAGAAACGCAGAAGGGGCTCATCGAGCGAAGACACGGCTAGCGACGAGGTGATAGGGTCATTCGAAGGAGTCAACTGGGTAGATGTTGGAAATGGTGAAAGCCTTGTCCTGGAGTAAAATAGAGCTGGTCCTGTTTACTGCCTTTCCATCTGCTAAAGTCTGTCTTGATACGTGTATGAGTTGTACAATACCTCTTGACACTTGACTCTTGTGCAAATGCGATGGTGTCATAAAACGTGTGTTAGACAGAGCAAAGTAATGACGCGGTGTCGGAGATTAGACGGGCGTAGCGAAAGGTTAAATTCGGGATGCGGCGGTGATCAAGCGGTCGTGGCATTTCCAGCTGGCACTTGTCAACGACATGGACATTCTGTTGTCGCACATCGCACAATGAGGACCGCATCATGGCGAGCCGTGTCGCTGCTCTTACTATGCCTCGTACTGGCCTTTGTCAACTGTCAGGACGCCGGCCTGAATCCACAAGACGGCTCCCATCATGACACGACACCACATCTCACTTCCGAACAAGACCATGCCGAGTCACACTCCAAGCTGCCATACGAACAGAGCCCAGCAGTCAAGGATGCTCTCATCTCTCTGCGCAAGATCCGTCCAGCAACGAGCCGCCTTGCCCGCCTCAGCAAGCCTTCTGGTCTCGTAGCCAAGACCATCCACTACGCCAAAGACTTGTTTGTCCTTCTCTTCATGAACCAGCCCGACCAAAACGACCTCCTCATTACCGATGCCACTCCTCCACCTCTCGCTCCCGCTCTTTCTCGCGCCGTCACATTACTCAAAGATGCTGCCGCCGAACAAGACCCCGACGCTTTGTGGCTGTTGGCCGAGATGAACTTCCACGGCAATTTCACCCACCCTAGAAACTACTCGCGTGCCTTCGAATACTATCAGACTCTGGCATACATAAACGGCAACAGTTCTGCTCAATACATGCTGGGTTTCATGTACGCCACCGGTATTGGAAATGCCGTCCCGCAAGATCAGGCCAGAGCTCTTCTATACCACACTTTCGCTGCCGAGCAGNNGGGAGATATTCGCTCTCAAATGACTCTGGCTTACCGCCATCACTCTGGAATCGCTACACCGAGAAATTGTGAAGAGGCAGTACATTGGTATAGATCGGTTGCCAAGCAGGCTGTTGACTTCTACAAATCTGGCCCTCCTGGTGGTCACTCTTTAGTCAAAAACGCTTTCCGTTTGGTTGACGAAGAAGGTGGTATCTACGGCGAAGGTGCGAGTGTCAGCAGTTCCGGTGTCAATGCGAAGATGGGAGGCCCTACATCAGATGCCTACGCTGATCTGGATGACGTTCTTGAGTACCTCGACTTCCAGTCAAGAAAGGGTGACCTCAAGGCCACTTTCCATCTTGGCAGACTTTACTATGACGGCTCTCGAGGACTAGCTCGCAACTTTCCTGAGGCCAAGGACCATTTCATGCAAGTCGCTAGATCATACTGGACCTCTTCTGGCAAGGTCAAGTCTGATGTCTCGCCCATAGTCGAGAAACTTGCACCAAAAGCTGCTGGTTATCTGGGTAGAATGTTCTTGCGTGGTGAGGGTACTGAAAAGAGCTACAGCAAAGCCAAGATTTGGTTCTCTCGTGGTATTGAGCATGGCGATGCTCTGTCACAATACTCCATGGGTGTCATGCACATGGAAGGCTTGGGTGTCTCTAAAAACCCCGTGAGAGCTGCTGATTACTTCTCTCCAGCCGCTGACCAAGATCTTGCAGTAGCTCAAACGAACCTGGGTATTCTGTTCATGGATCAAGGCGATATCCACACTGCAAGGAGTTATTTCGAGCTAGCTGCTCGCAACAGTCATATTGAAGCTTTCTACTACTTGGCTGAACTGAGTAACCAAGGCGTTGGTCGCGATCGCTCTTGTGGTATGGCCTCTGTCTATTACAAGATAGCATCCGAGAAAGCCGAAGTCATTCATTCGTCTTTCATTGAAGCAAATGAGGCTTATGAGCGTGGTGATCTGGAGACCGCTATCATCGCTTATATGATGGCCGCTGAGCAAGGCTATGAGAACGCACAAGCAAACGTCGGCTACTTACTCGATCATACCCGCCCACGCTACTCACTTCCTTCGATATTCCCCTTCCTTCGTCGCCATGTTGACGCAGCTAGTGATGCAGCTCTTGCCCTCATCTACTGGACTCGATCAGCTAAACAATCGAATACTGACTCCCTCGTCAAGATGGGCGATTACTATCTCGACGGTGTTGGTACTGCCTCATCTCCGGAAAATGCAGCTGTTTGTTACCAGGCCGCTTCTGAGGGCATGTTGAGTGAAGGTATGGCGAGTGCGCAAGCCATGTGGAATCTCGGCTGGATGCACGAGAACGGCATTGGTATCGAGCAAGACTTCCATCTAGCTAAACGCTTCTACGACCAAGCACTTGGTACAAACGCAGAAGCATATTTGCCTGTCAAGTTGAGTCTTGCAAAGTTGAGGTTGCGCAGCTGGTGGAATGGCGTCAGTGGTGGTAGTGTCAACTCTATCAGAGATGAGCCTTGTAAGCGATCCTTACCCATGAAATCAACAGTGACTAACAGATTGTGAAACAGCNNCCAGAAGCCTAGTCGCACACTGAGCCAGTGGCTCAACGACTTCCTAGAGGCTGATGCCGCTTACTACGCCGACCATTTCGAAGCAGATGACTGGGACGACGCACACCATCACATGCCCGGCGGCGACGACTTCTACGACGATGCTACAGAGATTGATGATGGTTTGATCGAGATGTTCATGATTGTTGGTCTCGCGGCTCTACTTGCTTTCTTGGTGTACTATCGACAACAGAGACAGCAGGAAGCAAGACGTAGAGCAGAGCAGCAGGGTCAGCAGCAAGGAGTAGGTGGCAATGCAGCACCACAGCAACAGCAAGACCAAGGCTTCTTTCCACCACCAGGAGAGCCTGAATTTGCCAATTGGGTTGCTGGAGGAGTGGGACATTGATTCATCATAACCGACGTCGTTTCGAAACCATTATTGCATACAGTCGATCGATCATTAGCGTGTAACATTTGCATTGAACAAGAGACATTCTCTTCTCTTCTCTTATACAAATATCCTGCACCCTTACTCTGCAAAAAACTCCCTGAGCTTTGCATCCAACCACGCCACATCCTCCTTACTTTGACCCGGCCCACCAGCCCAATGCCCCCAAATGCTAGGGAANNACACCTCTAGTCTACCAATTCCCTCTGCCATACACTTGACCTCATACTCTGAATCCTCAGGCGGGAAATAGAGATCTGTTTTGCTTGGCAACACTAAAGCTTTTGCTTTTATGGCTTTCATTGCGGCGGAGAAGTCGTTGTTGTAGGGGGCTTGAGCGGAACAATCGCCGGATTGCCAGGTGTGGAGCATGGTTAACATGTTTTCGGGGTGTTTGGAGAGGGCCCAGGTTTCCCAGAAATCGGTCATGAANNACTTTTTTTGGGGTGTGGGGTTAGTGATGGGGTTTGAAGAGCAGGAAGGGGAAGAGAGGAAGGGCGATGGTTGTACTCACGTCTCCAAATCCTTATACCCAAGCACAGTCTCATAAACCCTTTGCCTGTAAAACGCCTGACTAAACCCCCAACCCGCATATACCCTCCCCAAAGCCTTGAGTCCTGTTTGTTTCTGCTCTTCTGTCCATTCTGTTGCGTCTTGTTGGTTTGTATACCCATTACAAATCCCTGCCGAACACGCTCCCTTCCCAGCCACCAAAGCCCCNNCCTTCACGCCCTCCAAGAAAACCTGGTTGTGCAAACTCGTCCTCGCACTCCCACAGAAAGGAGCTATCTTATCCACAAAAGTGGGGTATTGGGTTGCCCATTGGTAGGTTTGTGCTGCGCCCATTGACCAGCCTAATACCGCAAAGACATGAGAAATGTGTAAGTGGTTTGTGATTAAAAGGTGTTGGGCTGCTATATTGTCGTAAAAGGTTACTCTGGGAAAAGGATGTAAAGAGCTGTTTGACGGAGATGAAGATTCAGAGTTTCCGAATAGGGCGACGATGATTGTGAAGTAGGTGTTTGGGGAGAGGGTTGAGGAGGTGCTGATTAGCCATTCGTTGTCGGAGATTANCTGGGGTGAGGTGGATGTTAGTTTTGCTTTGGAGGAGATGTGTATGAGAGATCGGTGGAGTAGGAAAGTCAACGTACGTCCACTGTACCAAGTCGGATATATAATTGCTGGTAGCGAAGGATCTCCAAAAGTCTTATACGCTATCTTTGCCGATGGAATGACTTGGCCAGACTGGAGAGTAAAGTCTCCGAGATCGTAGGTTTCGTAGTTTGACATTATTGTGTGTTGATTATAGTGTACTTTCAGTAAAGGAGTTGGTGAACAGATGCTCAAGTGCAATGGTCAGAAGAGCAGAGGTTCTTTGATAGATAAGCATATATATCTACCCCGCTGGCCGCCATGACCGAGGGGCAGAACTAACATGGGCAAATGGAGAAAGCTCTTTATCTGGCCTATCTCCCTATGCCGCCCTTCTTGCCTACCTTTTTCGTCACGATTCGCCCGTGAGAAATCATGGCTTCCGTCCCTCATTGTTAGAAGCCGGACATCTCAAGATTTGAATATCTCGCACAGCGCAGGCTTCTGTAAGGAACGACCAGTCTTTTTTACCCTTTCGACATGTCCTCTTGGAGCATGCGGACGATTGAGCACAGAATATAATCTGCTTCTCAATTCGAGTTCATTCTGGATACATCAAAAGATCCCTGACGGTAAAGAGCAAGATATCCGTCTGTTCGAAGATGTCTTTATGGAGCAGCTTGCGCACAGACCCCTGAAGCCATGACAGCGATGACATCGTGTTATTGACACATGATGAGCATGCAGAAGCCTCGGGAGAACTGAGCTTCAACATTTCGTAAAAACCGGCAGTTCGGGTATAGACTGAGTTAGACACGTGTGCTGTGCTAGAATCAGCCATTGAGCCGACATCTGCAGACCACAAGAAGGTAGGATACTTGACAAGACAATAATTCCTCCTCTTTCCAACTTTCTCTGTACACGTTTGGTTGAAAGAAGCTGTTTCTTTACAAAACAACAAAGCACAAAGCACAAAGCACAACCACCAGACTATCATCTACTGTCCACAACCAAAATGGCTTCCTCAACAACAACAAAACCAACAAAATCCGACCACAAAACCCCAGCCTTCCCAACCACAGCAAACAACCTCCAAGACCTCCTCCAATACACCTCCCACGCCTCCGGCCACGGTCTAATTTCGCTGGTATCTCTTCCCGCCGGTTCTCTCTTCGCCCCCATTTCCTCCTACACACCTTGCATCCACCCCCAATGGCATACCCTCCAAACCTCTGCCTCGTCCCACATCTCCCTAGACTCTGCATTTACGTACCTCAACCATTCCTGTTTTCCTACCCTCGAAATCGATACCAAGGCTATGGAAGTCAGGGTGGCTAGGGATAGAGAGTTGAGGAAGGGAGATTTGTTGAGTTTCTTTTATCCGAGTACGGAGTGGAGTATGGATAGGGGCTTTGAGTGTTTGTGTGGAGAGAAAGAGTGTGTGGGATTAGTCAAGGGTGCTAAGGAGATGGAGAGAAAAGAATTGGAGAGGTGGTTTGTTAATGGGTATATTTGGGACTTGAAGGAGGAGCAAGAGAAACAAGACACGAGTATGGGAAAAACACATTGATGAGTTGGGAATATTTGAATGATAAGAAATAGAGGAGGCAGCGATATTGGTAAAAAAAAAAAGTTACAATTGTCTATATCGTGAAATGCTATGACCTAAAACGCCATCAAGGTCTACAGAACAAGACCATAAAGAAGCAAAAGGCTCCCAAACTCCAAGTCATTATGAAACAAGTAGATAGAAAAACACATCTACAGCTGAATATCGTTATTGAGCAGACGCACCTCCTCGCCAGGCTTGAAAGCAGGCAAACCAATGTACGGACATCCGTCACATCGGAAAGCATCTCCCAGAGCACAATTGCCACAACTGCCAATCTTGCCCTGGACGGTAAAGTCGACCTCGGCCAGATCATCCGTATCCAACTTCATGGTCTTGAGTGCGCTGTCGGCAGCTTCGCGCTTAGCCTTGTCCTCGGCGTCAATCTTTTGCTTGAGTCCGCAGGTGCAGTCTTTGCATGCGCGTCTTCTCTTGCCATTAGGCTTGCAAGCTTCAGGAATTACGATGGGGCGCTTGCGGTCCTCTTCGCTGAGTAGTGTGTTAGGGTCGATAGTAGAGCCATTGAGCAATTCCTCCTTCGAAGGCAACTCCATCTCTTCATCTTCGTCGTAAAACTCAACGTCCAAATCATCGCCCATATCGAAACCAACACCTGCTGGTGCCGAGGGAGCCACAGATTGAGATGATTCGGTAATAGTCTTGTTGATAGCTTCGACATTGTTCAAAGGCACTGCTGCAGCATTTGCCTTCTTCTTCTNTCCGAAACTCAGTGTGACGGTTTGTGCCGCTGCTGCTGCGGGCTTGGACATGCCACCACTAGCATCCTGGACGAGACCGGCGAGGATAGCCTCGGTCTGCTCAGATGACGCCGATGTACCGAATTGACCATCCTGGCTCTTCAGTTTTCCTCCCGCCTTGAGCGAAGGCACGAGTTTCTCGATTATGGCACGGTTGAGTGGCTCACGCGAGCCATCGACATTGGTGAGCAAGAGAACAAGATCGTATGTAGAAGCAGGCAGCGAAACGAGACCAAGAGCTAGACGGTCAAGCATTTGAATATCGGTAGCGTTGCGATCGTGGGCTTCGACAATGCTGTTCAGGGCGTCTGGGTGTGAGGCGATTGAAGGTGGGGCGAGAAGAAGAGTTCTGTCTTGCGACTTTGTCGGCGGCGGAGCGAACGAAAAGTCGGATGTGTTATCGATGGTGATGCCGGGTGCCATTGTGAGGTGTGTGATGTGGTTGTTGGAATACAAAGACTCGGTTGGTGTCTTTTACAAGTTTGCTTGGAGAGGCAGAGAAACGCCTCGAAGTGGATCGTTGGTGGGGTCGAAGGAATCTGCTGATCTGAAGGGAAGAAATTGAAGTCTTGGTCGAAGTGTCTGTTCTTGACGGTGCGAGAGGGTATGCGACAAGTATGTGTCTGTGTGTATGACTAGAGTGACAAAGATATGCCAGAGTGAATGCGACAAGAAGAATTGCGAAAAGGTGATTATCAATGTACAAAAGACCCCCACCTATGACCAATCCCTACGTGTGACCAATCAACTGATTCTTGCCGCCCGCCGAACTCGCTCCCGCGCCATTCATGTGCTGACCCATCACCCTGCCAAGCCTTCACGTTTGCGTTGTACAAATCGGGTCGTCCTGTCCTCCAAACCAAGACCGCGGAAAACATCTCCATCTGCTCTGTGTGTTATCGCCCTTCTCCATCACGAGTGCAAAAGTTGTTATATGCTGTCGAAATACACAGTTGTAATTCGAATATGACTCTGGCCACGGAGATAATTTTCAATGAGGCCTCTCTGTGGAAACCACTTTCATTGCCAAAGTATTGTGCATTTCAGCAGCTACACTTTGACAGCTTTTAGCACATGGGGAGGCTGAATCGCTTTGTACCTACGAGAAGACCACTACAATGCGCGTGCTAGACTTCGATCAGTCTTCTGGTGCACGACATAGTGTACAGAACATGATCATCCTTGAAGTGAAACTAAAAACAGTCGTGTACGTTATACATAAAACATGCTACAAGAAACTCCACCCTTCCCTTCCTCTGGATATCTGAAGCCTGTCATTCCATCAATCATGTCTGCTTCATCTGCAATATTACAACTCCTATTTGACGATCTTGCAGATAAGGTCCTGGCCGTCCACAGAGTCCGACTCCTTGACACTGAGCTCGCCAACCTTACCAGAGTGAGGTGCACTGATGACCATCTCCATCTTCATGGCACTCAGAATGGCGATGGGGTCACCCTTGTTGACCTCGCTGCCCTCCTTGACTCTGAGCTCGACAACAACACCACTCATGGGTGCACCAACCTGGCTGCTGTCGCCAAGATCGGCCTTCTTGCGAGACTTGTTCTCAACAGCGGCGTGTTGGTCGTCAACAGTGACTTGACGGACTTCACCGTTCATCTCGTAGAAGACCTCTCTCTGGCCAGTCTGCTCCGAAAGGGGACCGATGGCCAGAAGCTTGATGATGAGCACCTTACCCTTCTCGAGCTCAACGTGGAACTCCTCACCAATTTCAGGCTTGGCCAAGAAGTACTTGGTAGGCAAGACTGAAAGGTCTCCGAACTTCTGTGTCCACTTCTTGAAATCCTCGAACACCTTGGGGTACATGACGTATGAAGCAACATCAGTCTCGGTGTATCCACCGAACTGCTCCTTGAGCTTGTTGCGGACCTCGTCGAAGTTGACGGGCTCAAGGTAGAGACCAGGTCTCTTGTTCATCTTTCTGCGTTCACGGAGAGCCTTGGTACGGAGAGGCTCGGGGAATCCACCGTAGGGCTGACCCATGAGACCCTCGAAGAACTCAAGAACGGATGAAGGGAAGTCGAGCTGCTCGGCCTTCTCGAGAACGTCGTTGTAGCTCAGCTTGTTGCTGACCATGAACTGGGCGAGATCACCAACAACCTTGGAGGTAGGAGTGACCTTGACGATGTCGCCAAGCAAGTCGTTGGCTTGCTCGTAGGCCTTCTTGGTCTGTGCCCATTGCTCGCCGAGACCTTGCTGAGAGGCCTGGAAGATGAGGTTGGTAAGTTGACCACCAGGAATCTCGTGCTCGTAGACTTCAGGGTCAGGACCAGTAAGACCAGCCTCGAAGGGCGAGTAGAGGAGGCGCAACTGAGCCCAGTAGTGGTCGATCATTCTCAGGTGGTGAGCGTTGAGACCGGGGTCATGATCACTTCCCTCAAGGGATGCAACAAGAGCACCAATGCTGGGCTGAGAGGTCATACCAGACATGCTGTCAGTAGCAGCATCGACGGCGTCGGCACCAGCCTGAGCGCAAGCAACCATCGAAGCGACACCGGTACCGGCCGAATCGTGAGTGTGCACGTGAATAGGCAGGTCGGGGTACTTCTTTCTGATGGCGCCAACCAGCATAGTGGCAGCCTTGGGCTTCAAAACACCAGCCATATCCTTGATACCAAGAATGTGAGCGCCCATATTGACGATCTTCTCAACGACACCCATATAGTACTCGAGGTTGTACTTCTTGTTGGGGTTAAGCATGTCACCAGAGTAACAGACAGTTCCCTCGGCAACACCACCAGCCTTCAGGACGGCCTTGACACCAACCTCAAGTTGCTCAACGTCGTTCAGGGCATCGAAGACACGGAAAATGTCGACACCGTTCTTCTTTGCTTGCTCACAGAAGTGGGTGATGGCATTATCAGGCAGGGATGAGTAGGCAACACCGTTGGCACCACGGAGGAGCATCTGGAAAGGAATGTTGGGCACAAGCTTTCTCATCTTGCGCAGTCTGTCCCATGGGTCCTCGTAGAGGAAGCGCATGGCGACATCGAAAGTGGCACCACCCCAGCACTCAAGAGCCCAGGCGTTGCTGAGAGCGTAGCTGGTCTCCTTGGCGATGTTGAGGAAGTCGACAGTACGGACTCTAGTGGCAAGAAGAGACTGGTGAGCATCTCTCCATGTGGTATCCATGATCAAGCAGCCCTTGTTGGCTCTGACGGCCTTAGCGAAAGCTGCGGGACCCTGCTCCACAATGATGTTTCTCCAACCCTTCTTGCAAGGTTCGGAAACGTCCAAGACCTTCTGCTGCTCATCGTGAAGGGTAGGAATGATGATGTCGCCCTTGAACTTGGGCTCACCAATCTGACCCTTGATCTGACTGCCGTTCACGGCGAGGTCACCAAGGTAGGCGAGCAACTTCTGGGCACGGTTCTGACTGTTGACCAGGGCGAACAACTCAGGGGTATCATCGATGAAAGTAGTCCAGCATTCACCGGCGATGAAGGTAGGGTGGGTGAGCAGAGATGCCAAGAAGGGAATGTTGGTCTTGACACCACGGATTCTGAACTCGACCAAGGCACGAAGCATCTTTCTGCGGACGATTTCGTAGGTTGAGCCACGGCATGAGCACTTGACAAGCATGCTGTCGTAGTGAGGAGTAATGACGGCTCCTGCAAACCCGTTGCCTCCGTCTANAGCTATCGAATGGATTAGCACAAGTATGAGTGAAACAAGGTCACAAAAAAATAAAAATAAAAAAACTTACCGAACTCCGTTACCACCAGCAGAGCGGTAGACCTCGATTCTGCCAGTGTCGGGCTGGAAGCCCTTGGAAGGATCCTCGGTAGTGATACGGCATTGGAAGGCGAAACCGCGGACTGAGATGCGGTCCTGAGTGAGACCCAGCTGCTCAAGCGATGCACCTGCAGCGATCTGGATTTGAGCAGCGACAATATCGATGCCAGTAATTTCCTCTGTGATGGTGTGCTCGACCTGGATTCTGGGGTTAATCTCGATAAAGTAGTGGCGGTTCTCCTGGTCAACCAAGAACTCTGCAGTACCAGCGTTGCGGTAGTTGACCGACTTGGCCAACTTGACAGCGTCGTCCAAGATGGCCTGACGGGTCTCTTCGGGCAAGTCCTTTGCAGGAGCAAGCTCGACGACCTTCTGGTGACGTCTTTGGACACTGCAGTCACGCTCGTAGAGGTGAACAACGTTACCGTGGCTATCACCCAGAAGTTGGACCTCAATGTGCTTGGGGCGGTACAAGAAGCGCTCGACGAAGACGGTACCGTTACCGAAGGCAGACTTGGCCTCGGATGTGGCACGCTCGAAGGCCTCCTTGAGCTCCTCTTGCTTCCAGACGACTCTCATACCACGACCACCACCACCAAAGGCTGCCTTGATGATGATGGGGAATCCGTGCTGGTCGGTGAAACTCTTGACTTCTTCAAACTTCTCGACAGGGCCGTCGGTACCGGGGACGACGGGAACCTTGCACTTGATGGCGAGCTCACGGGCCGAGACTTTGTCACCGAGAGCGGTGATGGTTTCAGGAGTAGGACCAACAAANNCTATGGCGTGTCAACGTGACCGTCTTAGGAAACTTGTAGAGACTGCCAAACTTACGATCATTCCAGCTTCTTCGACCTTGCGAGCAAACTCGGCGTTCTCACTCAAGAAGCCATAACCAGGGTGAATGAGGTTAACATTGTGTGATTTGGCGATCTTGACAATCTCGTCGATGGCGAGGTAAGCAGCAACAGGTGTGTACTCTCCTCTCTTGCCAATGACATAGGCTTCATCAGCCTTCTGTCTGTGCATAGACAGACGGTCCTCGTGACTGTACACGGCTACTGTTTGTAGCGAAAGCTCGTGTGCGGTACGGAAGATACGAATGGGAATTTCACCACGGTTGGCGACTGTCTTGAGATCAGCAAGTGTTGTGATTGACGCGGGTCAAGTCATGGCATACCCAANGATCTTCTTGGCCTTCATGACGGTCGAGTTGGCGCGCAGACGGGCGTGCACTGTGTTCTGCGAGTGTGTGTCGACGCCCTCCTCAATGGCCTCGTCGTTGGGGTTGGAGGCCTTCATTGCCTTGAGAGCTTCAATGTCCGACATGTTGGCGGGTCAATGGCTCGGAGAGCTGCTATCTAACAGCAGCTGCTTTCCAGAGTTCGGTGATGAGGGATTGAGGGATTGGAGGGTGGGTTTGCGGTATGCAAGAAGTGAAGAGGAAAAGAAGTGTTTGGATGCACCGACTTTCGAGTCACAGGTGGTGGATCTCAGCAAAAAGCGATGACGGTGAGCTTATTCCAAGTTGATATCTCGGCCTCTGCTTGGGAGCTTGGTTGCTGCTTTTCGGCTGATTGACCCCGCCAATCGGAGAAGCTGGCGAGAATCGCGAGATAAGGCCGCTGCTTGCTTACTAGAAGTGATTATGAAAAGAAAACAGCCTGCGAGCCGCTCTCAAGTCGATGTTCTTCGTCGACGAGGTGTCTATACCATTGATATAGCTATATAGCATCCATGAAATCATCCTCGGGCTATCATTAACCCCGCCTGACGAACACCTGGAGTAGATTGTCAATGCACAGCAATTAACCCGAGTGGTTCTCGTCATTGTTCGGGAAGGAACGGAGCTGTATCTGCTACAAGGGTCCAGCGCTCCTTCGCTTTCGGTCATCAAATACCGAACACAGGTCCTCTATCCCTGCCACTCACCACTGCCTTGGGTCTCTCCGCATTGCTTCCCCACTTGAGCTCTGTACCTGATGCTTCTACAGAGTCGTCGTTGTGGCCTACATCGTCGCCGCCATCCTCAAAGATGCTTGCTTCGACTTCCAGAACCATAGCCGGCCGGTGTCGGGCGTTCTGACCGCCTGTAATTATCAACTGCAATCGATTCGAAACAGCCACCTCCTGCGTCGCGCTTTCTCACCATGAAAATCTACAATTCTTCCGGGCACTTCGTCCTTCAATCTTGCTACTATAAAGCCATAGCCTCGGTCCCTCGGTCGTAGGGAACTACTTTGCTCGTGGTTCTTGCTCTGTTTCCATCACCAATCGAAATCTTCATGCAGGGAAACATGTCCAGGAGCGGTATTAGCAAACCTACTCGCGATATTATGACTAACGACTTACCTTATACCTCCTCTTCCTGGCTATGTATAGACACTTTCAGACATTCATCTGTTTTGGTGTTTTGTCCTTCTGACCGTGCCAGAACATTTGCAATCATACTAACAACATGCATAATCTAGCCCAATGAAGAGACTGGCTCCTCATCGCGGACAGCCGGCCTTGTTGTAGTACCATACAACGTGCTCCATCCTGTGTATGCTCAATCAACCTGGAAAGGGGGCCGAAAAACGAACAACGACCGCGAAGTGAGGCGACGCCAATGTTCCAACACATGACTTTAGCAGTGGCCCCCTTGTCTTCGAGTCTGTCTCGTCACCTCGAGATCATCTGGCAGAATTCAGCGATTCGCTTTCGAGCTCAAATAAGAACACTATCTAGGATCTCGTCTGCCTGTTCCTTTTCAATGTCAAGGGTCATTCATCTGCTCGAGCATTCATACAAAGCGCCAGCGAGTGTATCACTGGTCATATAAATCTCTTGAGAAGCAAGACTGACTGTCTTCGAACGGAACATCAAGCATGTGAGGATGGATGGCAACCACTAGCTTGCACTAGCTTGTATTGCAGGCCATCCGCGTTTCTCCTGATGGTATTGTCCGTAGTGGACGCGCCTGGAAGAAGATGCGGAACAGCCTGGCTCGGATCTAAGCGGCAGTGTCAAGGATGGTGATGAATGACTGGATCAGTGGGACAATGATGTCCGCGTAGTCTCTTCGTTATTATCTCAGGCAGCGTTGTAACGCGAACCTGCAAGATGAGTCGCAACTTCTTGGTCGACCGCTGACGATACCTGGTTGTAAAAGACATTTTATAGCACCATGCACTCCTCAGGCTGCATATCACTTGAGGCTGAACCATTCTCACTAAGTATGCTCACGTACGACCGAGTCACATCACTTGCTGTGTGCGATGTCCCCCTGTTAGACTTTGCTGACACAGCGATGAGATCTGTCGCCGTGAACGCTAAGGACAACGCGATCTGGCGGCTCATATACGGCCTTCTTGATACTAATGACGTGCAGCGAGTACAGCGCGAGCATCCGCGAATACTCTTGTACTTACAAGCATCTAAGCACGTGTCGGAGCTTTCTTGTTCCTGCATGTCTAGTCTTCAGATGCACGTTGGAAGTGATAGGCATACGGGAAATATTTAACGATCGGGGTGTTGTTCGTGAAAGGTAATCTTGAAGGGTACGTACTCAAACGATCCAACCTCAAATCAGTGCTGGTCGAATATTGGATGAAAGCTCTTGATTGCAGCTGATGATGGTTAAGCAATGCCACGCGATCCGTAGAACTCGTAGAGGTTGCACCCTAGACTTCTAGCGGAGCTCAAGCAATAGAATATGTTGTACAAGGCGAGTCGTTAGCTTGTTCTACAGCATCATCATTACCCTCGCGGGATGCCGCGGCTATAGGCCAATTGATTCTAGAAATGCCGGACATCGGTGCTAAAATTTAAGGTTTGCCTAACCGTTGCGCATCAGGGCCGCCGCCTTCCGAGGTCGACATCATACCTCTCATCACTGGACTATGACCAGTGCCTGCCTTTCCGACTCGAGTTCTTTGAGCTGAAGAGACAGGTGTGCGTGGGTCGTAAGACGAGTGGAGTTGTCGCAATATGAACCATGTCGACCATCGCAGCGTTGATATTCGTTCGATTGATAGTCGAAAGCCGTTACCAATGACCACAACGCTACCAGTGATAGTGGTCCGCGGTGAACCCTGATCGAAGCTTTATTTGACCTGCTATGTCATAGAGTGCCTCATGGTCAATTTTTCGCGATGGCGGCGTGCGGGCCTTATTATTCTCCTCATGCATCTACCTTCTTCGGGCGTACCACACCGCTCAGCCTCATAAAACGTCAATTCGTCACAGTGAACCGCGTCCACAACAACCGGCATCAGCAATGTCGCAATGCTTCTCTGGATCGAACTGGAAGCTCCAACGGAACAACTCGAAGATCCAGGATGATGGCAGAGCCGACCTATCTTTCGATGAGAAACTCCAGGCCAAACTCTTTCGCAAATTCCACCATGAAGACAAAAAGGCAAAGAAGAACCCCGATGAGAAAGAGACCAAGGAACCCAAACGGGCAATTCTCCATTTGCGCAGTCGAAAGGATGATTTTGTGCCAGATCTCCAGGGCTTCGAAGGCGTACCTCGCATGAACATCGCTATTCTCATAACTGGTTCTCGCGGCGACGTACAGCCGTTCGTGGCTCTGGGAAATGTCTTGCAGAAAGAGCCATACAACCATCGCGTCAGGATCTGCACCCACCCTAACTTCAAAGATTTCGTGGAAGAGAATGGACTCGAGTTCTTTTCAATTGGCGGAGACCCTGAGAAGCTCATGTCGTACATGGTTCGTAACCCTGGTGTCCTGCCCAGTCTCGAGTCCATGAAAGCTGGAGATGTCGGCGACCGCCGTGAAGAGATTGCAGAGATGTTGGAAGGTTGCTGGCGAGCTTGTACACAAGGCGGTAATGGAATGGACCCCATCAGACTTCCCGAAGCAAGCAAAATCAGCTCAGAGACCCTCATGAAGCTGCCGGATCCTTTCGTCGCGGATGCAATCATCAGCAACCCTCCCGCCTATGCCAACATTCACATTGCCGAGAAGCTGGCTGTACCTTTGCACATGATGTTCACGATGCCTTGGAGTCCGACAACCGCATTTGGCCACCCTCTGGCCAACTTGGACAGCGACAAAGGAGACAGAAAACTTGCAAACTACCTCTCATACTACAGCATGGAATTATTAACATCAGAGGGTTTGATTGATTTGATCAACGATTTCAGAGAGAACACACTGGCATTGGATCCTCTGCATGCTGCTTGGGCCCATCAATTGTTGTACCAATTGAAGGTACCATTCACATACTGCTGGTCGCCCGCTCTGATTCCTAAACCAGAGGATTGGGGCTCACACATTACCATCAGCGGCTTCTTCTTCATGGATCCCAAGAAGGATTTCGAGTTTGAACCTGATTTGAAAAAGTTTCTAGATGCTGGTGACCCACCAGTGTACATTGGGTTCGGCTCAATTGTGGTTGATGATCCGGAAGCGATGACCAAGATGATTTTGGATGCTGTAAAGCAGCTTGGAAGTGAGTTGTGATTCTGTTCATGGAGAAACTCGAGCTAACAGAGTCATCANGTCAGAGCTCTTGTGTCCAAGGGATGGGGAGGTATCGGAGGCGAAGATGTTCCTGACAACGTCTTCCTACTGGGCAATGTACCTCACGACCAGCTTTTCCCGCATTGTGCTGCAGTAGTACATCATGGTGGTGCCGGCACCAATGCCATTGGTATATCTCTTGGCTGTCCAACAGTCGTGGTGGTAAGTAGATGAATGATCATCGCATGGGCTATGCTGACTTCTTACTACTACAGNCCATTCTTTGGTGACCAACCATGGTGGGGAGAGATGATTCACAGAGCTGGAGCTGGACCATCACCTATACCCTACAAGGATCTTGACGCGGACAAGCTGGCCAACCAGATCAGAGAAGCTCTGAAACCCGAGACCAAGGAACGCGCGAGAGAACTTGCTGCTAAGATCAAGGAAGAAACTGGTGCTAAGACTGCCGCGAAATACTTCCACGATACTGCTCAGATGCAAGACACAGGGTGTTTCTTGTGCCCCGATCAGGTTGCAGTATACCGTGTGAGGAGAACTAACATCAGGCTCAGCGCTCTTGCTGCAGCTATCCTTGTCGACAATAACAAGATCCAACCTCAGCATCTTAAGCTTGTCAGAAGCAAGCGCTGGTACGTTGAAAAGGGCGCCCAAGAGCCTCTCATCGGTATCTACGGTGCAGTATCGACGACAGGAGTTGGTTACAAGAACTGTATCAGCCGTTTGTCCAGAGACCTGCATGCAAACAAGGGACGCAAGGCAGGCCACAGCAAGATCTTTGTCGGCGACGCAGAAGCTGCAGAAGAAATTCCCGGTGCTCTCAAAGCTGTTGGCAAGTTCAGCGGATCCATGGGCATGAACACTCTCAGGCTTCCTGTGGATCTCCTATACAACCTCGCCAATGGGTTCCATAATATGCCTTACCATTTCTTCTCGGATGACACCGTTCGAGTCCGTGGCGAGATCAACGGCGTTATGTCTGGAACGAAGGTTGGATTCCAAGAACTTGTCTTTGGCTTCTATGACGCATTTACCGGCGTCCTCACACAACCCGTCCGCGGCTACAAGAAGCACAGCAGCGAAGGTGTCGGACCAGCAACATGGGGAGCAACCAAAGGCGCCGGCAAAGGCCTAGTCGGCCTGGTAAGCAAAACCTCTGCCGCAGCTCTCGGTGTCCCAGGTTACGGTTTCAAAGGTCTCGAAAGATCCATCCGCACAGGCTGGAAAACACGCGACGAGCCCAACCAAAACAGTTTGGTCCTCCTACACGCCCTCCAAGGCCGAGCACAAGACGAAGAGCAAATGGGCAATGCCGCTCTAGCCATCGTCTCACAGGCCCAAGGCAACGGCATCCGTCACCAGATCCGTGGAAGAAGAGGTTGGCAGTGTTTCCTCGAGTTGCAAAACCTTCGCCAAAATCCTGAGAAGGCTGCTGCTAAAGAAGAGGCGGTTTTGCAGGGTTGGGACCGTCTCAAGGTTTCTAGGGAGTTTACGCGCGTTGAGCAGTGATTGATATACGACACAAACTAATTTGTACGAGTGTGATGACAAGTTTTTGTAATTTTAGATGGTAATGAGTAATGGAACATGCACGTCAGATTTCTTTTGTCCCAATACCTTGTGAAGAGTCAAGTGCATCATTGGGGAATATCTCCTGGTATGGCCGTGGTATCATCGTTCGGACATTGCGGTTACAACCATCGATGCGTCGTAAAATTGCTTCATAACTGGAACCACCGTTCACTCGTTCTTCTCGATGATCAAAGAGGTCATTTTGATGACCATAAACTGAACACCGTGAGCAGCTCATTGTCTTGGTGCAGCGTGTGAGACAAAGGCACGAGATATAAGAGCAGGGTCATCTCAACGACGAGCCTCAACTTGCGTCAAAAGATGCCGTTGACTTTTCGTCAAACCTGAAACATCCATCTACAAACACAATACGAAATCTGCTTCCGATCCACTGAGAGGTATGTGAGCTGGGTGGTCTCTTGGTTTCATGTTCACGTCGCGTTCCGGACTTGCCTGCAAGCATTCACGTCCATGGTCCGTACCGGCGACTTTTGTGGTATGCCGATACATTCACTGGTGAATGCACGCCCGAACAAATATTCAGGGGGGCCGGTGATAACCTATATACTCACTCAATGGAGTACATCCATCACTACCGTCATTCTAGACCTATCTGCAAAGGTTGGATAGTGACCACTTAGGACCACCATCTGGAGCTTGGTATCCATACATCAGACCACCCTCAAATCGCATCATCTCCTTCCGATCCAACCACAATACCATCTTGGCCAGCCAACGCCTCGATCGCCCAGTATCACCGTACCTACGCATGTACCACCCTCAAATCACCTGGCTGGCCAGTATATCCTCCCGTCTCACTAGCATCTGTCTCCCTCTATGCTTTCGGTCTCACGTACTTGATTTTTCCATTGCTAGGCTGGGGATGTGGTGATGCTGTTGCTGTGTTGCTGGATGGCCTGTTGTTGTATTTACTGCAATTGAATCAGTGCTTGCTTTCTTGATCGTGTTTCATTGTTGTATGGGAATCAGACATTTGGTTTGGGATCAAGCCAGGATGTTGGGGAATGGACAGGTGTTGGTCAGCGGGTGGTTTGCTGTTGGGCTAAGTTTAGTAATGGGTCAGGGTTGCATATTGAGGGATATTGATTGGAAGCTGCTCTTCCAGGAAGCGACGAATGGGAAATTGTCATAGCTCTGTAGATTTATAGGAGGTCGTCTGAGCGCGATTGAATACAGAAGAAGGTGCGGCCGATCGTACTTGCCATTTTGACATGGATTGATATTGATACATAAAGCAAAAAGCATAATTACAAGACTCACGAAAACAAGTTCAAAAAGAAACCACACAACAGGCTCCTCCATCTAGTCGATCCCGCCTTCCCTACATACCATCTTTGCAACCTCTCAGGGCCACTTCTTCAACATTTTCCAATCTGGATCTCCAGAACACCACCGTTGAGAATCTCCTTGACAGTTGCCACTAACTCTTGCAGAACTTCCTCGACGAACGCGGCTTCCCTCTCAGAACCAACAACACCAACATATGTCTCCCCACCCTTGACAAAACTCACAACCTTGAATGGCTTCGGACTATCTCCATGCGGCTTCACTAAATCAACAGCACAAACACCACCTGCAAATGGCATAGTGTCCACATCATCTTCATCATCTTGATGATGCACCAAGCTATCAAAGCCAGAGCTAGTATCCCAACCAACTGCTGCAGCGATACGTGAATATCCTACAAAGTCGTGGGCGTTGGACTCGGCAACTTGAGTAGCGATGTTGCGGAGAAGTGTGACTGTGTCTTGGGAAGCGGAGAGAATGACGCGGACCGGATTGAGTTGGTAGCAGGGACCCATGATGCTGTCTGCATTTGCCAGGCCCGAGATATTACGACCGGAGGTTACCGCACCAAAGACGACATCGTGGGTCTGAAGGCGGCGTGCTAGGACGAGAGACCATGCTGCTGTGAGGATGTTGGCGGTCGTTACATCTGAGGGTTTGTTTGCCATGTCTACCAAAGCAGACTTGAATAAGCCCTTGTCGTCATCTCCGGTAGAAGTATTCAAAGATGACAGCGAAGAGCCAGAGAGCAAACCTTTCCAGTATGTCAGAGATTTCTCCTGCACAGAGGACTCTAGCGTAGCTGAGATGTAGGTAGCGAAAGGCTCACTGGTAACCCTGCCACCTGTGTACAACGTCTCAAGGTCAGTGAGGAGTGCTGGCAATGATACACCGTCATACTGAGCATGCGAAAGACGTAAAATGAGACCTTCTTGCCCATCACTGCTTTGGACATGCAAGATTTTGGCAAAGGCACTGCCGAACGCAAACTCTCCCTCAATATTTGTAGTGCAAATATCTGTGACCTGTTGTTTCAAATCACCTTCGACTTTCTTAGTGACAATCACATCATCCAGACTCTCCATTACGACTTGGTAGAAAGTCAAATCGTGCTGTATGAAGGCAGTGCGAAGGATGTCGTGCGTCTGGACGAGCTGCTTGCAAGCATTGAGCAATTTCTCACTATCAATGTTCTTGCCAAAGATCAAAGTAGTATATTGGAGTGACGTCCGTGGTGGTGAGATGGTTTGCTTGATATCGAGTGCCTGGGTGTCAGTCACTGGAAGCACATCGCGTACAACCCAGTCCTGATCGGCAAGCTTGGGTCTGACAATCTTGGACAAGAAGCTCTCGACGTTCGACACATCTAGCGTAGAGAAAGGCTTGTACGTTTGTATGTGTTTCTTAGCTTTCGAGATGGCATCCAACTTCAACACCTTAGCAGCACCTCCAAGACGCATGTGCTGGAAGATGTCAGCTACTGACAGAGCATGTCCTTGAGCACGAAGACTGGACACTAGTTTCATCGCCAACACGGAGTCGCCTCCGAGGCGGAAGAAGTTGTCATCAACGTCAATCTTGTCTGCGCTGATCCGGAGGATCTTGGCCCAAGCTGTCCGGAGGATGTCCTCTGATACTGTCAGCTTGACCTGAGCTATATTCGTTGACCAAGCTTGCTCAAGCCCCCAGCGGAGCTGACTGACAACGTTGGGGGNTATTTTCGAAGCCATGTTCTCCAGCGTCTCGCGGTCGATCTGACCTGCGTTATTGGTAGGCAAGTTGTCTACCACAATGTATGCATACGGTGCGACGTAGGAAGGCAGTGAGTCATGGATGTGCTTGTCAAGCTTCTTCAATGCAACGGCAAGTTCGACCGGGATGCTAGCACGGATCGACACTTCCGACTCAAGCACTTTGTGGTCTTCAGGTAGGACGTTGACACTATCTTCGAGAGATGGCTGTTGATCAATAAAGACCACGATCTCTTGGTTGGCCTCTGATTCCGAGTGCAGGACTGTGGTGACGCCACGGGTAGCGGGCGGCAGGTATCTAGCAATATGTGCCTCAAGCTCGGCAAAGTCGACTAAGTGGCCTTGAATGGGCAAGAAGTTATCCTTGCGCGCAATGAAGGTCAAGCTTCCGTCAGCACGCAGCTCAACCAAATCGCCTGTAGCTTGTACTTTGCCAGTACGACCGGGATATGAAGGACTTCCAGCTAGAAGCCAAGTGGGTGACTCAAGGGTCTCGCAAGGGAGGGAATTTCCTTCAAGCCAGAGCTCACCCACAGAGCCGATGGGCACCAGCTTAGAAGGATTACGAGGATCACATACCCATGCCACGGCCGCAGGAGGATAGACAGAGCCCTGCTTTGTACCTGTAACTGTGCCCAGGCGTTTTGCTGCTTCGTCATAAGCCAAGGGTGGAATTTGGTTCCATTGCCAAATCTGGTTCAATTCTTCCTCTGGTAGGCAGCTGACCTCACTCACAGGTCCCGAAAGATCCTTGGTCAATTGCCTACAAGCGACTTCCAGCTGTGCAAGGATACGTTCCATCTGAGAGACTTCAATCAGACTGCTATCAAAGTTGGCACAGACTCTGAAGCCACCTTTTCGAATTCCACATCCAACCATGAGAGGATAGGGGTTGAAGTGGAGTGCTTCACGGACCACGTCTCCAAGCTGGAAGCCAAGATCATTGCCCACGTACTCGGGCTCGGGCTGGATGACTAGACCAGTCGGTGCCTCTGACGCATGTTGGGCATCTTGGCTAACCTTTCTGATGTTCTGCCATCCCATATGCTGGTAAGGGGTTCTAGCCAGGATGCTCTGCTGGACGGATTGCAAGAAAGACTCGAGTGTGCTGTTTCTGTTGATACGAATACGGATGGGTACTGTAGCAATCAGAGGACCAACAATACTCTCGACTCCACTGAGTGCAATGTCACGCCCAGTCAGCGTCTCACCAAACAAGACATCATCACTGCCTGAGTACTGCGAAGCTACGAGTGCCCATGCACCACGAATGAGTGTTGCCAGTGTGAAAGGAAACCCAACACCAGTCTCAAGTGGTATGATACGCTCGACCATAGCATCAGGGGTGGGAACAAAGTCCCTGGATGGCATGCAAGGAAATTGAGGTCCGACAGCACCCTTTAGCTCCTGTCTCCAGAATTCTTGCATGGCCTCTTCATCCGTCTCACGGACGTACTCGACAAAATCTCTCATGCGAGCTGGGCTCTCGAAAGGCTGATTACGAAGAGCATCGCTGACTTGCACAAGGATTAGTGGCTCCGACCATCCATCATACAGCAGATGATGAACACTCCAGACCACATAACGATTGCCAGTCTCTACCGACTCAATGATGGCATAGCGGGCCAGGTTTTGACCAAGATCCATTCTCTCATTCTTGTCGCTTTCCAGATACTGCTCCAGGTTGGTGGCATGTCTCCAAGATATATCCTCATTTAACACAACCTGCTGAAGTCCAGGCTCATCAAGCTGCGCAGCACGAGTGCGAAGAATAGGATTGGCGGCGACGACTTTGCCCCAAGCCTTCTTCAATGCGTCGACATCCATATCTTGAGGTATAGATGCTACTCTCTGAGCGAGATAGAGTTCTTTCGACTTGAGCGAAAACGTAAATAGCGACTCCTGTGTTGGGGTGCAGGGATAGATGTCCTCGACCTTCGCAGCATCGGTCCCACAAGCTTGCGCTGCTTCGAGACGAGCATCGTTGACTGAGCGCGTAATGGTGGAAAATGGCAAAAGCTCCTCCTGTGTCTGAGCACGACCGACTTTAACAACGCTAGCCATGGCAGAAAGACCTGGGTTGCTAAATGTGTCAATGACCGACAAGATGAGCCCTTGCGTCCTGCAGGTCGATACAAGTCTCATCGCTGCCAGAGAATCGCCTCCAAGGGCAAAGAAGTTGTCTTTGAGACCAATGCCTGCGGCGTCCAGATTCAACACTTGACTCCAGGCCTGCTGCAGACGCTTTTCTAGGTCGTTGAGCTCACGGCTGGCCTCACTAGAGTCTTGGCCAAGGTCTCTCAAATCTACAGTAGTGCCGAAAGCCTTCAATTGCTTGCGATCAGTCTTTCCAGAAATCAAGACTGGAATGTGATTAACCGGGATATACGAAGTCGGCACCATGTAGCGAGGCAGAACCTCCTTAACCTCTGCATCAGCCTTTGCAAGAGCTTGTCGTAGCTCATGCGGAAGTTTAATCGAGCCGATGTTTGTCTGGACGTGCCCCTTTGAGGCTACAGGTGCAACAAATGCAACCAACGTAGCTTGACCGCCTGTTCCTTGTGGTACAACAACCTCAGCAATCACTGTGGTACCAGAAGGCAGTCTTGCTCCAAACTGGCTTTCAATTTCACCCAACTCGACACGTTGACCACGGAGCTTGACCTGAGTATCTTTCCGTCCAGCAAAAATGATACCACCAGAACCATCAGGATCATATTTTCCGAGATCTCCGGTCTTGTATAGTCTACCACGACGACCAGCATACTTGCCATGACCTTTGACAAGCCAAGCAGGGTCATTGATGAAGACGGCTGCGGTCTTCTCAGGATCGTTCAGGTAGCCTTGACCGACAATGGGGCCCTCGACAAGCAGTTCGCCGACGGCACCAGCAGGCATAAGTTGCTCGTGGTCATCGGGGTTTACGATCCACATACAAGCTCCGTTACCAGTGCCGATAGATATGTAGTCTCTGCCAGTCGCAGTATCGCTGTTGATCGTGCATCCAATAGTGCATTCGCAAGGTCCATAGCCAATAACGATTCTGGTGTCTTGACCCCAGAAGTTGACATCTCTGGCAGATGCAGCTTCACCTCCAAGACCTAGAACATCAAGTGATTTGATAACATCTGGATCCAAAATTCGAGCCATAGACGGTGTAATGCCTGCGTAGTTGATTTTCATGTCTCTGATCACACTATTGATGTCGTTCAAACGATCTTCGTCCGAGGGAATGCAAAGACAACCGCCGTTGCCTACTGTCAGGAACATACTGTCGATACTGACATCGAACGCATATGATGCAAAATCGAGAACTCTGGACTTCTCGGTATAGCCAACTGCTTTCGCTCGGGGGATCGCACTACTGGTGTATGTCTTGTGAGAGATCGTGACACCTTTTGGCGTACCAGTGCTGCCAGACGTGAAGATAATGTACATTAGAGTGTTAGGGTCGACGGGCAGAAGCTTATTCAAGCTTCCAGGAACGGTTTGTTTGCAAGCATCTTCTTCGATAATGAGATGTGGTGCATCTGACAGAATAGATTTGGCAAAATCATTCTGCATGCGCGAGGAGACGATAATTTNTGCACCAATTTGCACAGCCATATTTTGGAGTCGAGCAAGCGGAAGTGATGGATCCATCATTGCAAAGGTCGCTCCTGCTTTCATGGTTGCCAGTACAGCAACAATGGCCCATCGTGATTTTTCAAAGCACAGCGGTACAATATCGTGTGGTCGCACGCCCTCGGTGACCAGACATTGTGCCATGGAAGTGGAATATTGGTCGATTTGTCCAAACGTCAAAGTGCCGTCCCAGGAGTCAATTGCGACTTTGTCAGGAAATTGCTGAGCTCGCTCAGAAACCATCTCATGCATGCAGAAATCATAAGTTGGTGGCACTTCATTGTTATATCGCCAGATCTCGTCCAGATCACTCGATGTAGGTCGTAATGAGTCCTCGATCGTGATTTTCGGGTTCAAGATGCAAAGCTGAATGGTATCCACAAGCGATCTGATGTATCTGGTTACCTCGTTGTCCAGCATGTCCTTGCTGCGAAATGCTGGTTGGATATCAATATTGCCATCGAGCAAGCAGACCCTAAGGTGGAGAGTGCCNNCTTTGCTCATCATGTTAGTGAATGACATTTTGTCCCGCATCAGAGCTTGTGAACGCACCATCAGTTCGTCGTGTTGTTTTTGAAGAAGGTTAGTGCTCAGGAGTAGCGAGGCAGGCTCAGTAGTATTTTCACATGAGTCTGCAGTCGAAATATGGCTCGAAATAGTCCTTGTAACACTGTCGACGGAGTCTTGCAAGCCCTTCATAACATCCTCCATTGAGACCTTGCGTGGTTCCTCTGATATATCTGGAGAGCTTTCATATGCCGATTCGAATGTCACACACTCGCCTTCTCGAGTCCGCAGGAGCACGATCAACCATGATGCGAGCAGGATGTCCTCCCTCATTCCACTCGGTGTAACGCTTGAGTGGAATGCCATTTGACCCATGTTGTGAGAGATTCCGGGGTTCCCAGATGTATTGCTCAGAAATTCATCATTCGAAAGAGAATCAAATCCAGTATTGTGTTTGTACCCCATCTCTGCGGCTCATTGAACTTGGTACTTCGAGAACGTATCGATGAATGTGATGACTATCGGCAGACTCCAAACTCAGGCATACACCGAGCAACCTACAGGCTACAAAGGAGTCTCTACACGAGCCACGCTTGCCTAGAGCGACCATTATGGAAGTTGCCGGGGGATGTTCCAAAACCATGATGGCCTCAAGCGACATCGGGTGCTGAGTAGCGTGCGCTGAAGATCCGCTACGATGGCACGACATCTGATAAGATGAAGAGTTTTCATGGTGCAAGTTCTCGGGCCCAACACGAATGAGAATCGGGAGCTACTCGAGACGCTACACGAGACAGGTGCATCTGATTAAATGACTCGGTTATACCGGTGTCGTTGGTGTCCGCTTTGTTCGCCGAAACTTTGAAGTTGGTGGAGTGGTGGGAGGAGGAGTTGGCAAGGTGGAGTTTAAGCACAGACGGCAGTTGCATCTGATTAGATTTTAGCGAGCGAAATCAACGCCAAAGATTTTCAACAGCAGGAAGATCTGCAGGGCGCCCTAATGCACGTCCCGTTCTGCACGAGCGACAAGCGCCTTGATGCTGCCATGTTCCTTCACACGACGTTACAGCACCGGCGTCGCGCTATCAAGTCGTGGTGTCCCGTAGATCACGTCGTGGCTAAATGACGCTCTCCATGTATCGGCCAGCATGGCTCGTCCGACGGCTAGGCCGAAAGCCTTGTGCCGAGGGCGCCCATCAGGGTGCCCAAAATATACTTGATGCGCAAGGTAGGTTCGACTTGCTATTGTCAACAGATCAGCATTGCTGTACCAGGGTGTCCTCACAATGGCTCATGGATCTCCATCACCACACCAGTACCCTCTGGTCAAGCTGCCTCATCCTTACCTCACATCATACCGTGTCAATGCCGTTTCGTCCAACTTTCCTGCCAGACGAGTCTTGCACCTGGAGGAGCAACCTTCCAAAGGGAAGTCACCACCAGAAGCATTACACTCGGACTCGTTGACGTGGCTGGATCTGCACGCAACACCCAAAGAATCACACCCTCCTCTGAACGATAACAGTGACTGGGCTCGTGCAGTCCGTGGTCCGCAGACCGCCTTCAAATGGCCTGACAGTACTGCTCCTACCCTTGGCCAGGTGTGGAACGTCGTCCATGCCATCTACCTCGCCTATCCTAACACCGAGCACTTCCGCTTGACACTGCAAGGTGCAGATCAACAAACACTAAACGACGAGTTGTTGGCCACTGGTCTCGCCGTTGAACATCCCAGAGCATGGCATCTGCCAAATCAATCCATTCCACGCAGCAATGAACTCCTCGTCTTGCGCAGCTCCTTCTGGCAAGGTGCCGCATCACCCACTGGTCCGCGTCCGATCTGGGTACTCGGCGACGGTATCGACTCGCACCTTCGTACTCCTCTGTCAAACTACCCATTGATGCCAGAGAACCACCACTTCACCATGAAGTTCCCCAACGAGCGCGTCTACGCTCAGCATCCCATTCGTCGCCCCAAACCCGCTCCTCGAAGCATCTGCTACTCGCGCTACATTCCCGAAGTTGATCAACACTTCTCCCTCGAAGTCGTCGATTGGACAAGTGCCGAACACCTGAATCTCTTCCACACATGGCAAAATGACCCCCGGGTTGCAAAAGGATGGAATGAAACAGGAGATCTCGAACACCATCGCAACTACCTCAGAAACTTGCACTACGATCCTCACGTCTTGTGTCTGTTTGGTCGTTTCGACGATACCAGGTTCAGCTACTACGAGCTGTATTGGGCAAAGGAAGATCACTATGGCGCTCACTTTGATGCTGGAGACTATGATCGCGGTCGTCATTCTCTTGTTGGTGATTCGTCCTTCCGTGGTGCTAAGCGAGTCAATGCTTGGTACAGCAGTTGCATTCACTACTGTTTCCTAGACGACCCTCGCACTGCTAATGTTGTTGGCGAGCCCAAAGCTTCAGGAAGCATTATCTTAAGCTATGAGCAAAGCCAGGGATTGGCGATTGGCAAGTACGTGGATCTGGGACATAAGAGGAGTGTGCATAGTATTGCTAGTAGAGAGAAATGGTTCCAGCTATGTCCCGTATTTTGGGATGGTAGGGAGAGGCCTTTGGAGAGTGCTGATCGAGCTGCTTGGGCTGCCAAACTATAGTGTCTTTTTGAATGTCGAAAAGTGTTTAGCATTATACGATTGAATGTATCCTTAAGGTTGCCAAAGATCGGGTTCTGCCCTTCTGCCGATGGATAATTTGAACGATAACGACATGATCATCAGTCTCCGCATGCTGTACACATACACTACTATGTCAAATCTCGAGTTGCGACCCTGTCCTTCGTTGACTTGTCATATTGAACAGCATCCGGAGGTCTCGGCCATGCCAGCTCTGTCAGATAGTTAGTGGACGCGATGCGGCATGCCCTAGTTGGCCGGTGTGTATAGCCAAGAGTTCTAAGACCAGGCCAAATTTGACCCCATTTCGCGAGAAACGATCATCGCGACCAACACAATTTCTGACAAACTTGAACGAGGTGCAGGCTGGCGCATGGACGGTGGATTTAGGGTTATCAATCTGATAATCGACCCGCTCTGATGTAGAAAGCTCGGTCCAAGCTTGGCGTAGGAATGGTGGTGCCGCGTGGTTTGGCTGGCCTTGCCCGAGCTTTCGCTCCTTCCCTCCACCCACCAACTAAGCTCGTGTCAGAGACTTGTCTCGCCATCGACAAGCTTCCCGTGGCTCTTCTTGTGGTCTTGGTCAAGCATGCTTCGTTGTGCTGCGCCAATGCTGATCATGGGTCCGTATTCTTGCCGTTGATCGATTCTGTCGGATCAAGGATGCGAGATCCTCCGCTGCTCTATGCCCGAATTACGCCCCTGTTTCGAGCATGCCTGCCGAGTCAAAGCAGCACAGTCCGTTCGTGTTAGACGCGAGCACTTTGGCAATGTCGAAAGCTGCCGTTGCTTGGGCTTGCTCACATCATCAATCTGAAATGACGTTGGACTATAGCCTTTGATCTTATCAGGACCACCCAGCCGGTGTCGGGATGGTGCCTCGGTGATTGGAGGCACGGCGGGGCATATATTGGTACATTTTTATCAGATCCGCGTTGGATGATAGACATTGGTGTAAAGACAACAATCACAATGCAAACGATCAACAGCATCTACGAGGTGAACACACCCAAAGTCCAACCATCTCTGTTTCACGGACCGGCAGATCCTCCCTTGGTGACAGTGACATTAGGAGAATTTCTAGATGTCCAATGCGAACGTTATGGAGAGCGTGAAGCACTTGTCTTTCCATGGACTGGGACACGATGGACATACAATGACTTGACAGAAGAGAGCTCAAAGCTTGCCAGATATCTCTACTCAAGAGGTATCCGTCCAGGAGATCGGATAGCTATTCTTGCTGGTAACAGAGTTGAGTACGCCTCGGTCTTCTTCGCGTGTATGCGTATTGGCGCTGTGCTGGTCATCTTGAACAATACGTACACTACTCCTGAGGCAGAGTATGCCCTCAGTTACACAGGTGAGCACTTGATACGTCCCATTCTGAATACCACATCGTTGACAGTTTGGCANGACTGCAGGATCCTTTTCGCGACACCGACCATTGGCAAACACATCGACAATTCGACCATGCTTAGGCAGTTCTCCAATAGCCCAGACAAGTTGCCAGCATTACAGCAGATTATCATTCTGGCAGATGAGCTCGACAACCTATTGCGTTATAGGGACGCTATCGAGATCGGCTCACGCCTGCCCCATGATCCAGTCAAGACAACTCAGGATGGTCTCTCGCCTTACGAGACATGTAACCTGCAATTCACGAGCGGCTCGACTGGTCATCCCAAAGCAGCCATGCTTACACACCACGGCCTGCTCAACAACTCCCGCTTCATCGGTGATCGCATGAGTTTGACAGAAGAGGATGTACTCTGCTGCCCACCGCCCATGTTCCACTGCTTCGGTCTCGTACTAGGCATGTTGGCTTGCTTGACACATGGTGCAAAAATTGTTTACCCCTCAGAGATCTTCGACGGACCGGCTGTGTTGCAAGCCATCACCAACGAAAGATGCACCGCCATTCACGGAGTGCCAGCCATGTTTGATACGCTGTTCAGCCTACCACGACCCGCAGGTTTCAACTGCGATAGGCTACGAACAGGAATCATCGCAGGCGCCCCTGTACCACGTCACTTGATGGAACTGCTAGTCAATGAGTTCGGCATGACAGAGTTCACAAGCAGCTATGGTCTCACCGAGGCTTCGCCAACTTGCTTCAACGCCTTTGTCGACGACTCCATTGATCGTCGTCTCACGACAGTAGGCACCTTGATGCCGCACGCCCACGCCAAGATTGTTGACAAGCACAACCGTATCGTGCCTGTTGGCACCCGTGGCGAACTCTGCATTGCCGGATATCAACTCCAACAAGGCTACTTCCGCAATCCTACAAAGACAGCCGAAGCCATGGAGCGTGATGCCGATGGCGTACTTTGGCTACACACAGGCGATGAAGCAGTGTTTGACCGTCACGGCTACTGCTCCATCACCGGCCGCTTCAAGGATATCATCATTCGTGGCGGTGAGAACATCTACCCACTTGAGATCGAAGAACGCTTGATCAAACACGATGCAGTCGAGCGTGCTATTGTTGTCGGTCTACCACACTCCAAATATGGTGAAGTGGTTGCTGCATTCTTGCAACGTGTTGCTGGTGCTACCAAGCCCAGCGATGAGGAAATTCGTGAATGGACCAGACAGACTTTGGGCAGACACAAAGCACCTGCTCGTGTCTTCTGGCTTGGTGAGGGTGGGGTCACGGATCAGATCCCCATCACAGGCAGTGGCAAGATCAAGAAGTTTGAGATGAGGAAGATTGGAAAGGAGCTATTGGCTTCCATGCCGAAGGCTAAGCTTTGAATATGTGGATCAAGTCATGTACGTTTTGTCACGATCGAAGTTTCTGTAGTTGTGGTTTATTCGAGGTAAAAGTATTCATCTTATCATATCTTTCTTGTGTCTCGACTTGTATTGCTGTGAGACCCCGTTTTACCGATTGCGAGTTATATCAATACATGGCTCTTGCTCGCGGCATTTCTTGCTCTCATTCATAGTGCATGATACCACATTTACCACCAGACAAATCCCAAGAAGGGGCCGTACGTGCCATAGACAAAATGAGTATCGCTATCAACGCAAACACAGCAAAACAAATCACTTTTGTGGCCCACTCCAATACCTCAAGCTCTCAAGCACATCTCTCGTCACTTGATCCTTTTACAACATAGCAAGCTCTGCTTTATCCTCTGCAGTCCTCGCCACACTATCAAGCACAGAAGCCATCAACCTCGCTCCCCTCTCAACCGCATACCCCATCCCTTCATCCCTGTTCCCCTGCTCCAAACTGCCCACCACCCAAACACTTGTATCTTTCGCTACTGTATTTCTACGGAAGCAAACTCTGTACTCTGCATCCACTGTCGCCTTTTTGTTTTGCAACACGCCTGCAGCTTCAATGTCTTGTAGCAAGGATGTCGAGTGTGAGTATCCTCCTGCTGCAATTATGATGTCGAAAGCACCGGCACTGGTGCTGGTGGTGTTTGTGCGTGTGTTCTTGAGGGTGAGGCGGAATTTGTTGCCATCAGGGGCGGTGGAGGTTATTTGGCATAGAGGTACGATGTTGAAGCGCCAGTCGCTGGGATTGGGTGTGAGCACACGTTGGGCGTATAGGTTTTCGTATAGTGTCTCGATGGTGTGGAGGGAGATTTTTGGGTGGCTGGGGGTGGTGGTTGAGGTAGAGATATTTATCAGGCGAGGACGTAGTTCGGGTGGGTAGTGGCTTGTGGTTGCGCCAGGCAGGCAGTTGTCGATAATGTCTTGTGTNNGCTGGGACTGTCGTTAGAAAATCACTGTAGTGGTTGAGATCGGAGTTGGAACGTACAAGGAAGTGTTGTCCTCTGGTCGCAATGTAGAGTCTGAGATGAACATAGTTGCCCTTACACGATGCAAGGCTCCTGCACTCTGCAAATGCTCAAGGATCTCTGCGGCCTCTTGATCTTCTCCTACGATAGCGATATCTTGATCTTTGAGATTGTGCAACAAAGGTCCAACTTCAGAGGTATGCAACACCTTGTTCCCTGCACTCAGCAACGCATCAGGGATCTTTGGCTTTGTACCAGTAGCCAGAATAACACGCTTGGAAAAGATAGCTCTTGTGTTGCCCTGAGCATCACAGACACTGATCTTCCAGCCATTAATCAGAGACGAGTCATTCTTGACAGGAACAACTCTGGTAGCAGTGCTCGAGTAACGTACCCACCNCCTCTCCACCATCTTGTTCGCAACCCAAGAAAGATAATTGCCCATAACCAATCTCGTAGGCGCAATGTGCGAAGAATTGACAAACTGCACCAATTGATTGCTCTCAAACAGATAATTCACAAATGTGAATTCGCTGCGAGGGTTGCGTGTGGTGATCAAGTCTCTCAAGAAGGAAGTGCGTGTTGTGTTTTCTGGCAGTACTGATGCAGGTGCCCATTGGAAATTGGTCTTTGACTCTAGAAACAAGACTTTGAGATCTGTTTCGGAGTCGGCGAGGGCGGTTGCGACGGAGAGAGCAGTAGTACCAAAACCTACGACAACGAGGTCGTAGGTCTGAGTTGATGCGGATGCATTGGCAGGTGCAGCCTGAGGTGTAGTTTCCTGGACTTGGAACGACATGTTTGCAATTGGTACTCCTTATGCTGGAACAAGGATCTTGATGAAATGGAACAAAAGATTGATAAGATAAAGAAAGTATGCAGGAACATGTAAGCAAGACGAAGATCAAGGAAGATCCAAAAATTGATAGAGGTGCGAGAGATCGTTCGCTGTACTTCCAGACCTACTGCTCGGTCGATCATGCATCTCGTACGGCTTTGTCTTTCCTTACACAACGCACACTTGTCTACCTCCGTTCATCGGCCACACCAGAGAATGGCATGATTGACACTGCTCACATCTGTGATGTTGAGCGATGCTCGTGCAGCGGAGCTTTGGCACCCTCACGTTGCATCTGATAAAAAAATTTGTTTAGTCTTCAAGACCAGAGACTGACCCACCTGTACCGGTCATGCAGGGTTCATATCGAGCACGAGCATTGCGAAACGCCCAGAAACTTAGACAGCATTCTCGAGTCAAGCCACATGTTCGTGTCAGACGAAAGAAAGAACAAGGCGTCCAAGCGAGAGCAACGACATCGGGAAGGTATGGATTGGACGAACTGCGGGAATTAGAAGGCTGGGCAGCGGTGAGGAAAGGTCAAAGCTCGTATATGCCCCGCCCCACATAGATGACTGATTATCGGTGCTCCATCTGATTAGATTTTCTCGTGCCAAGAACATTCGATGGTCGTGTGACACCTTTGCTTTCGTATCCGTTTGCCCTATACCCTCCAACATCAGATAGGAAATGAGTCGCGAGGATAGAAACTCCGAGTGTGTCCGAAGCTGAAAGTTTTGATCTGATAAGATTGCCTCGGGAAGTTAAGAGGCAGAGTCAGTGCAAAGCCATGCTGCGTGTCGATCATATGCATGTGAGTCTAGACGCGGTATCTCGAGACTCGTACCGAGACGGGTCAGGAAAAAACCCTGATGACGGTTCTACAGTAAGTGTGATTTGTTTCCTGCTCCGAATCGATTCAGGCACGGTTGGACAGATGGAGCCTCGGTTCTTGACGAACTGTTTGAATGGTCGTGACCGATTAGATTCTTGGAGGCATCAGACCATTGCAGAAAAAGAGAACATTGTGATGATGGTAGCTGCGGATTCCAAAAGACAGAGACATGTGAAGATGACCAGAAGACTTGAAGAAAAGCGGCTAGCAAGATATATGCATTCATCGTTATCCTTTTGTTCGTCTCACAATTTCATCTATGCGCCTGTGGACTTGTTCAAGTAGCCCAGCACTTTCTCGACCAAGAACTTTCTTGCTGGACCTTGATCATCATTGCTCAAAGCATGTGATGCGTTGGGTACAACAGCAGTGTGTTCAGCGTCCCAAATCTCCTTGTCTCCACCAGCATTGGCTGCCTTGGCCCATCTCTTCATCAGACCCTCTTTGTCCACCCAGTCAGGCACAGCTTGGTCGGCACCGGAGTAGAAGGCGGCCATCTTGTTCTTCAACAATCCTTGCTTTTGGATCATGCCGAATGATTTTGCCAATTGCTCGTCGCTGAGATCTGAACTGAAGACATCATCCTCGGAGGGGTTGTGCGGGCTCTCTGGGCTCACGAGACTCAAGAAACGGCGTGCAGAGAGTGGTGTATTGGCAGGGTAGCCAATTTGATATGTCAAGTGGATGGGCAGCAGCACGTCGAAAGTCTGATCTTCTTGGCTGGCGAATCCTTTTGCCATCTTGACTAGTTGCTCATAGTATGCCTGACATTGCTCTGGGGTGTTCCCACGGAAGCCATGTTGGCAGACCAGCTTAATGCATTCTCTGTCGCTAATGGGTGCTTGCATGATGGCACCATCGAGCGCCAAACGTTGAAGATGCTTGAGGTCTGAGTCGAAAGAAGGGTTTGTGGTGTGAGGATTGGATCTTGATAGGTAGTGTAGTACCATCTGACTGCCAGTCGAGTGTCCCATCAACACAATCTTGCCATTGTCGCCAAACTTTGATGTTTTGTAGTCCTTGATATATCGTATCGCTTGCGCGAGCTCGTCTGTGTCTCTGTCGAGGTGTCCAAGGCCCCATGATTGATATGAGGATGTGAGAGTGAGCGAAAAGAGCGACCACTCTGTTTGTGATAGTGCGTGCACCAGGTCGGCAGTGTATGATGTTGTTCCTAGTCCGTCACCAAGACCTCCGACGAAAAGGATGCTGTGTGGTTTGCGAGCTTGACTGGCTGTGTATTCGAATGTCGTCAATGTCTCTGTCTACAGCTCATATATCAGTTACTGTGATCGAAGCCTGAGAGTTCGAAGACGTACAAAGTGGTGCAGGATGCCCTGCATACCACCCTTAGGCCAGAACTGTGAGTATTTGCTCATCATAGTGTGTCGTGAGGGGTACAGTTGTTATGCTCAGGAGTCACAGTATTCCGACTTGTTGCTGCGCTATAGCATCAATGGTGTTCACGCGTGCGATTGATACAGTCGATGGGACAGAGTCAAGACACAGGGCAAGCACAACCCCTCGTGTCGGACTCGACTTACGGGGATACACTCATCACGTTTCGCGGCTACAGAACATCCGACGACATCGGGCACGAGCTCGAAGCTCTGCAACATGGCGGCAGTAAGAGCTGTCATGGAAACAAAGCAGCTTGAACGAGATCCACAAAAGGCGGGTCTGATAACCCTTGATCGTTAGCGCCCAACAGAAAATCTGATAAAACCGATCAGGGCTGGCTTGCTTGAGCTTGGCAGGGCGCGCCGGATCAGATAGCTCCTTAGCGCGATCCTCCAAAGCTTCGTGGCGCTCAGCATTCGCTTAAACTCGGATCAGATAATCTTGTTTCGACCGACCCCTGCACCTTGTTTCCAGGTGTCTCTAGCCGATGGTATGTGCTTGACACTGTCACACCTCAGCAGATGCCACGTATCGATGACGGCTGTTTCCACTCTGTCCACTGCCGTCTATCTGATCCGTGATCGCGTCCCAGAAGGAGAAAAGATCGTGTGAGGGCAATTGGCACGATATAGTCAACATAGAGTACAGTAGAGATACATTATGCTGATCTTGGCGTGACATATGATAATACAGAGCTGGTAGGGTGTGAATTGCAATACTGTAAACGCTAGATATAACTTTTGCATGATGATTAAAAACAACATATGATTCGTACAAGATCGTTCGTCCTCTTCGTGATCTGTGACAGTTGTAGATGATAGGGTTAAGCAGAGAGCCGATCAGAACAAGACACCCTTGGTCTGAGTCTTTGTAAGCTTGACGTCCTTGATGATGAACATCCAAACAAGAGAGGTTGCCATGATGCAAGTGCCGGCAATCAACATTCTGCTTTGAGCAACTGCGTAGGCTTTGATGATGGCATCGCGGATAGGATCACCCATGGGGTAGCTGAGTTGGGTTTCCAGATCCTCGTAGATGGTCTCCCAGTCAGGGAGTGCCTCAGCAGGGAGGTACTTCTGCAGAGCATTGGGCAAAGTGTGTTGCCACACAGCACCAGAGATACTGCCACCGATACCACCACCAATGTTACCAAAGACGTTGAGGAAAGCGAGTGCAGCAGCAGCATTGTTGTGGTCAGATGCAGAAAGAACAGCAACCTGTTGGCAAATGATCATGGTACCACCAGCGAAAGCGATGAACACTTGGCACATGATTGTGTAACCGACAGAGAAGCCAGGCTGGCGGAAGTAGATCATCAAACCAATGCCGAGGATGTAAAGAGGGACGGCAACCCAGAGCAACCAACGGAAACGATTAGTGCCCTTGATTGCGAAACCAACACAGAAGAGCCATACACCAGAAACGACGTCGAAGATGCTGCCAATGTAACCGGCAGTGCTAACACTTGTTCCGAACACTACCTGGAGGTAAGAAGTGAAGAAGTCGTACCAGCAGTAGTAAGAAATCTGGTAGGTAGCGTCGATCAAGCAGGCGCCAATGACGGTTCTGTTGGCAAGAAGCTCCCAAGGAAGGAAAGGAACAGGGGCGAGGAAGCGCTCTGCCAAAGCAAAGGCAATCAAGCAGCAGAATCCGATAACAAGCATGACGATGATGTGAGGGGTCTTCCAGTCATCTTCAGCTGAACCTGCAATGGTAAATGGCAGCAGGAAGAGGGCGAGACCAGCAGTCAAAAGAAAGACACCAAGCACATCGAACTCGATGACATAGTACCAAACACTCTGCTTGAAAGTTCTGCCACTTGCGGCCTTTGGCTTGAGTAGTCCATTCTTCTTGGCCTTGGAGCGGAAGTAGCGCAGCAGACCGAAGAAAGGGAGGACAACGCAAGGAAGAACGATACAGAATGTTCCGTATCCCCAGCGCCAGTTGGTCTCGTGAAATTGCTGGGCAGCTGCAGGACCGGCGTAGGCAGTGATGATGAATGGCGATGAAGTGAGGGCATATGCCAGACCTCTGCTGCGCAGTGTCGAAGTATCAATGGTGACAACATCGACACAGAAGATGAGACCAGCAGATCCAATGGCATAGAAGACCTGAGCTGCGCAGTAAGTTCCAATGCCATTGGAAGTTGCTGACAAGATCAATCCAAGAAGGAAGAACACAAGCATGATCAAAAGACCAACGGTACGATCCCACAAGTTGAGCACCTTGGCAAGAGGCATGTACGTCGCGGCTCCCATGATGGAGGAGATGATGGAAATGACGGGGAGCAAGGAATGCGCTTCGAAGCCAGAGGTGATGAATGGCGAGAGGTTGTTAGTGATGTTGGATTGGAAAGCGTTTACGCAGTAGATAGACCACATCCTGGTTTCCGTGTCAGTTGAAGTACATGAACCGTCTGGTAGACTGAGTGCTTACAGTGCATATGTCGCGATCATAGAGCTCTTGGTCCACGACAGTGTGATGGCCTCGGCTTGTGTGACACCAGCTTGGGCATCCTCGTTAGGAACCTCTTCGCTGGCCTGGTCGGCTGTCACTTCATGCTGTGCAAGCTTTGATTCTCCATGGGAGGCATATCTTTCCGGATCCTGGAGATGCATTTCTGCGGTTCCTAACTCCGAAGTAGAAGCAGAGCTGGAGCTGCCCTCTTGCGGGTCAATTGAAGATGAGAAGAACTTTCTCCTCAATGCTGAAGGCATCTTGGTTGTCCTCTAGATGAAAGAGAGAGTATGAATCTGGATCAATGACAACAGAACTCTGGCAGCTTTATTTTCTGCCTGGAAGGATTCCAGCTGGAAAGAAAAAATGGAACTATATCTCAGGTTCGGGGTCTTGTTGAGGTTTAACGGTACTGGGGGTTCCTAGCGTGGGAGGCCAAGGATCAGGGCGGATCAGATTAGTATAGATCGATTCGCGGGTACTGCAAAAGCGCCTTCGGTGCCGCAGAATAGTCATACGATTTCGTCCAATTTGGGCGCGCTCACACAAAGCTGAATCAGAGCCCTAGGATTCACCTTCCATCGCGCCTGCAAGAGCACACCCGGTCCGCTACGAAACACCACCGGCTCATCTTGTGATCTGATAAGATTCGACCAAGGATCAGTAGCTAGGGCTTGTACCCGCCGGCGATGGTTGGCACTGCTCCTGCCAACGTAATTTCGGCGTGTCTGGAATATCGAGCGGGGATGAGACGAGGCTTTTTCGGGCGTCGTTTTGGCAGTTGATGGAGTCGCTCCGGCGTCGGGCCCCACGCGTGGGCGCGCCTCAGACAAACGCACGACTCCCGCCGCCGTATCACCTTGACTTCATCAAAAGATCATCAAGATTATCTTATCTAGCGCCGTAGCAATGCGCAAACGATGTCGCATTAGCTCGTCACCCTCCGATGTTGGACTTTGTCATTGACGGCACGCGCTTTCGTAATAGCTTGCTGCGACTGCCCAGCAATCGACATCGGCTAACTCGTATGATTTTGTGACTCTGCGCAGGCTCACTCAAGGGCCTCGAGGTGCAAAATGGACTCTGACCCACCGGCCTTTTGGCGATGGCCATTGTTCTCTCTTTGGTACTGTGCATCCTTCGTTTCTCATTAGCATCTTTTTATCAGATCAAGTTTTCAGAGACCTGGCCGCACATTTTGCTATCAACGGATCCTACAGACTTTGCTTATTTCCGTAGACGGCATTGATTTGCCCTTGGTCGGCGAAATAGATGGTCGTGATCGGTTACTAGGATTTCAATCACAGGGCTCAACAACAGTCACGATACCACGACTACGAGCGAGTTTGCAATGGCAGGCTTCATTCAGAAGATTGGAGGTTATCCTCGTCTCCTGCTTGCGGGCAATCCAACATCTCGCGACATAGGTACGTTATTACTTGGTATCATCAGCTCAATAGCAGCTGGGGTTCCGTTTCCTATCATTGGTATTCTATTCGGTCAACTCCTGGATGATTTCAATGCAGCCACCTGCGACCAAGCGACAGATTCTGGAGATGGCGACCAAGGAAGCATCAACAATACCATTCTGATCATCTTCTACCTGGCCATTGCTCAATTCGTCTGCATTTACGTCCACTTGACTTGCTGGACTCTCAATGGCGCTCGGTTGGCACAAAGACTGCGCGAGAGTTACCTTCAAAACTTGCTCAGACAGGAGCCTTCCTTNTTCGACAAGCTGCCGCCAGGAGAAGTCGCATCAAGACTCCATGGAGATATTCAAACAATCCGTTCAGGCACTGCTGAGAAGGTTGGAATCTGCTTGTCAAGTTTGTCCTTCTTCGTCACAGCATACATTGTCGCATTCATCAAAGACTGGAGACTGGCAGCTGAATTGCTGTCGTTGATCCCAGCCTACTTCATCATGTCCATTGTTGGAAGCCATTATATTGAAAAGTATTCTGGTATGGTTTCTGAGTATGCTGCATCCGCTGCATCAATAGCTTCTGAAGCACTCAACAATATCATGGTAGTTCAGGCTTTTGGTGCCAATGCTCGTCTTGAGAAGAAGTTCTCGGACGCTCTGAGAGCTTCTGAGCATGAGGGTATCAANAAGGCTACCGCTGTTGGTATTCAGAGCGGTGTTCTGTATTTTGTCGCCTATTCTGCCAATGGTCTGGCCTTTTGGCAANNGGGAAGCAAGCGAATTGCAGACTCGGTAGAAGGGAGATCCGGAGGCACTACTGTTGGTGCAACATTCACTGTTATCTTCATCTTGATCGAAGCAACTCTGCTTCTCAGTCAAGTGGCTCCTTTCGTCCATCTATTCTCGGCAGCTGTGGGATCTTTCAACAAACTCCGTGGAGATGTCGATCGTGAGCCGTTGATTGACGGACACACCAAATCTGGTCTCGCACTTCCTCAAGCAGGAGCTGGATTCGAATTCAAAGACGTGTCATTCGTGTATCCATCAAGACCTGAGATTACTGTTCTTGATAAGATCAGTTTATCCATCCCTGCCAACAAACACACCGCACTTGTTGGTCTTTCTGGTAGTGGCAAATCTACAATTGCTGGTCTGGTCAGCAGACTCTATGATCCTACTGAGGGTCAAATTTCGTTCAACGGACAGGACGTCCGCACGCTCAATGCTCGCGACTTGAGGAGCTTCATGAGCTTGGTTCAACAAGAACCTTCGCTTCTCGATCGATCGTTGCTGGAGAACATCGCACACGGTCTGATCAACTCTAGTGACCCTGAGCATGCTCAGTTCAAGGACATCCTCCTTGGCTCTGATCTTGCAGAAGTAGCCGCTGACATTCGAGATGGTAACGATCTTATGGTTGCTGCAGAAAAGCGTGGTCCTCTGGTTGTCGAAGTTGCTACTTTGGCTAAGAGAGCTGCAACACTCGCAGATGCAGATCAGTTCATTGTTGCACTCCAGCAAGGATATGGCACAGTTGTTGGCTCGAGCGGACGCCTCATCAGTGGTGGTCAGAAGCAGCGTGTTGCCCTTGCAAGAGCGCTTGTGAAAAACCCTGCTGTTCTCATTCTTGATGAAGCTACCGCTTCTCTCGACTCAAGAAGTGAGCAGCGGATCCAGCGTGCCATCAACAGTATCACTAATGGAAGGACTGTCATCACCATTGCGCATCGCTTGGCCACAATCACTGCTGCAGATAACATCATCTGTATGCACAAGGGACGTATCCTTGAACAAGGCACACACTCAGACTTGATGGCTAGTGGTGGAACCTATGCCGACATGGTCAAGATGCAGACTCTTGGAAATATGTCCGAAGCTCACAATGCAAGTGCTGATAACATCAGTCTGTCGGACCGTACTTCAACTGGTGACATCGAGAAGAAGAGCTTCTACAACGACACAGTTGAGGCCGAGAAAGCAGAACTTTCGGCAACAGAGACACCTGTCAGAGATTCTACAGAGGAAGAGCCAGAAGAGTTACCCGCGCCTCCAAAGTCTCTTTGGGACCTGGCAAAGGGATACGGACCAGCATTGAGGCCACACATACTTTACATCTTTGTGGCCTTCATCGGATCTGTTTGCGTTGGTGGTGCTTTCTCTGGTGAAGCTGTCATCTTCGGCAACACAGTTGGCAGTTTGAACCCATGCCACAGTGCTAGCAGAATCCGCAACCGTGGTGACTTCTTCGGCCTCATGTTCTTCATTCTTGCCATCATCGAGTTNTTTGCCAACTTAGTCAGTTGGTGCGGATTTGGCTGGGTGTCCGAGAAAGTCGTATACACTGTCAGAGTTCTGTCATTCAGGTCGTTGTTTGAGCAAGATCTACAGTGGCACCAGTCTGAAGGCCGTACACCGGCTTTGCTTCTCTCCTACATCACAAGAGATGGAAATGCTCTGGCTGGCTTCAGTGGCTCTGTTGTCGGAACGCTGTTCTCCATCACTGTCAACCTTATTGCTGCCATCATTCTAACCCATATCATTGCTTGGAGGATCGCCTTAGTTTGCTTAGCTCTTGTACCGCTTCTTCTTGGAGCTGGTCTCATGGAGCTTCGCATCCTTGGTAAGTTCGAAGAGAAGCACGAAACTGCATACACCAAGTCAGTGGACATTGGTGTCGAGGCTATCACTTCCATCAAGACTATTGCCTCCTTCTCGCTCGAGGAAGAGATTCTGCGAACGTACAGACGCTCTCTCAAGGGTCCGCGTAAGGATACACTAAGTGTGACTCTGCAGGCCAGTCTTTGTCAAGCCTCGACATACTTCCTGGGTAACTGTGTCAACGCTCTTGCCTACTGGTGGGGCTCGAAGCAGATCCTGAATGGCAACTACACGCAAACACAGTTCTTGATCGTCGTCTTTTCTCTTCTGGTTGGTGCTTTGTTGTGGTCACAGATGTTCGCATTGGCTCCAGAGATATCTGCCGCTCGCAACGCCATGGCAAGAATCTTGGGTTTGATCCAGATCGGCAAGGATAAGATGGCAGGTCATGTTCGTCCTCTTGACATGTCACTGGAAGATAACAACATCGAGGCCATGGCTGAAACCAAGACTTCGCATATGTCGAACAACATGGCATCTAGTGTTCAGATGAAAGATGTCCACTTCTCATACCCAGCTCGTCCTGATGTCAAGGTGATGAACGGTTTGAACATTGACATCAAGCCCGGACAATTTGCTGCACTCGTTGGTCCCAGTGGTGCAGGAAAGTCGACAGTCATTTCTCTGGTTGAGCGTCTTTATGTTCCTCAATCAGGCTCAGTGCTCATTGATGGCTTTGATGTGACCAAAACTCGCGACACAACCTTCCGTGACAGCATTGCCTTGGTACCTCAGGAGAGTGTGTTGTTTGAGGGAAGTGTCGAATTCAACATTGGTCTTGGTGCTCGTCCTGGCCATACCGTTAGCAAAGAAGAAATCATCGAGGCGTGCAAGTTGGCTAATGTACACGATGTCATTGCTGCCTTGCCAGATGGCTACGACACTCTTTGCGGACCCAACGGCAGCCAATTCTCTGGTGGTCAGAAACAGCGCTTGTCCATTGCACGCGCCTTGGTCAGAAACCCTAAGCTGTTGATTTTGGATGAGAGTACCAGTGCACTTGATGCCGAGAGTGAGAGACTGTTGCAGGAAGGCTTGGACAAGACAAAAGCGAAAGGCATTACGGTGATTGCCATTGCGCATCGTCTTCACACTATCAAGAAGGCTAATGTAATTTTCTTGATTGAGGCTGGAAGGTGTATTGACAGTGGTTCGCACGAAGAGTTGTTGGAGAGAAGTTTAGATTATCGCGAGTCGGTGATGCACCAGACAGTGGCTACAGATTAGGTGGACAACCGATAGCTCTCAAAAGTTCGTACATATATGTATATGCCATTACTCTTTGCGTTGTGCTGTGCCATGACACTCAAGACAGGACTACGGTGCTCTCTCAGAAGAAAGACCGTGCAGTAAACGCATTCCTCATCTTGACCATTCATACCCTGATGTTCTATCTCGAAGGCTCGTCGTATATGTCCATGTAGCTGCCAGTTAGAGGATTCCAAACGGATCTGTGAGCTGCTACTCGGCGGAATCTGCGGCGTGCTGCTGCCTGGCCAAGCGGATTTGCACACCTTGAGTCGCTGTTTGGAATGCATACGCTGCCATTCCTGCCTGCACACGTGTTTATGACGCAGACATAGCCCTGCTGACAGTCGGAAGAAGTACTACATTCGCCTTCGTACCCGTATCCCATGCTGCAAAAGCCCTGCGTGGATGACTCTGCGGTCTGGAAGCAGACGCATGATTGGTTGGGAGAACATAGGAAAGCGTCTAGGCCCTGACGACAGCGGAAAAGGTTGGAGCATCCGCTGGCAGTGGCTGTGGCCGTGGCTGTAGTTGTGGTGGTCGTCGGATCCGTGACCGAGCTCAACGATGTTATCGTGATTGTTTCGGTAGTCTGTATGGCCACGACCGAAGGTGTGATAGTGAAATTAGCACTGACGATTGGCGTGACAGCTGTTGTAGCCAGAACTATCTCGGTGCTGGTTCTCGACACAGTTGTTGGAGTCTGCAGGCAGGAGCAAACGAGAGCGATATCTGAGGCTGGGCGAGACAAGATACTTCCGAAGATGCTAGCTTGAACCGATGGCGTTGCTTGTCTTCTCTCCACGAATGTAATCGTCTCAGCCTCAGGAATGCTGGTGACGGTTACGGTTCTGCAATGCTTTGTCAGTATGTTAATGAGTTACATATGAGCTTGTGGAAATCTTACGTGAACACGGTGTCTATTACCGTCGTAGGTACCAAAGTTACTCCAGTCTCTAAAGTCGTCACCTGATCCGTCTGTACAGTTGTCTGCGTAGCCAGAGTAATATTGTTGTAGATTGTAGAGTTTAGAGCCGAGATCGTGGCGATATTGGTGGTTGTAGCATTGAAATAGCTAGTGTACGTGGTCACTGGGTAGGCTGACGAGCAGTATGACATAGCAGGGATGTAATCCAAGATCTCACTCGCAGCCGCACATCCGGTGAGTGGAGGGACTGGTGTGCTGCTAGCAGACGAAGTCACAGACGTATTGACAGCGGGTAGCCTAATGCTTGATGTGTTGGTGACTGGTAGAACCACACTTGAGCTGAGACTACTGCTGGACGTTAATATCTGGGAGGACAGTGATGAACTCGTCAGCGACGAGCTAGTGCTTGGATTTGAGCTCGAGCCGGTGGGTGTCGATGATGATGTTGATGATGAGATCTCGCTTGAGATCGACTGAGAGGTCGCAGGAATGTTGGATGAACCGGTGATAGATACAGAAACACTCGAGCTGGAGCTGGAGCTGCTGCGGACACTCAAGGATGTCGAGCTGACGGACGTATTGGAAATGGGGTATGGAGCACTACTTGAGCCAGACCTAGAGACAGAACCGCTGCTTGTGCTATCAGAACCTGTCGTGCTATCTCCGAAGCTTGTCGATAGTCTCGAGCTAGATGATGTGGTGCTCACAATCGCACTCTGCGTCGAACTTCTGGACATTGTGCTTGATGCCATTCTCGTTGATGAGTCCGAGTTCGATGGCGCTGCAGAGTTTATCGACGATGCCGAGCTTGTTGATGTAGAGGGTCTGAGGATAACAATGGCGAATATCTCGCCAGCAGAGTCTCTTGGGCTCTGTGCGTCATACTGGATCAGAGGAGTGCATAACGAAGTGTCTTCCACGAATGATGCGGCTCGACAATCTGCTTGACCAGCACATTGAGCAAGGCACGCGTTCAGAGCGGTGGAGATCAAAGGCGATCCGATTGTCTGACGCTTTCGTAGCCCACCAACAGCAACGCCATCGAAGGTTGTATCGTATCGCAGCAGGAAGGTGACACGATCGACGGTCACTATTGTAGGACGGGAGCTAGCGGTGGTCGTTACGGTTCCTGTCTGAGTCGTTGTTTGAACAGTCGTGAGAACCTCGGTCGCAGTCGTTGTAATTGTAGTTGGAACTTGTTCCACGATGACTTCAACTTCATAAATGTATATGATCTTGACGATGTAGCTGGAGGAAACTACGGCACTTGGAACAGCTCCTGTTGCGGTCGCAGTGATCTCGAGGACAGTCGACTGTACCGTGCAGGGGCAGTTGCTGAGGACGACATTGTCACCACTGATGGTGGTAACTCCAGTTTGGCAAGTAACAATCTCACCGCTGTTGCCGGTATACAACGGGTATACAACTTCGGTTAGAGTGGCACTAGCAGTGTAGTCATTAATTGTGACTGAAGCAGGATTGAGGACCAAATCGGCGATGGTGTTTTCCAGAGTCAAGATAGTAGCTTGCGCGAGAGTGGTTTGTGTGCCATCGATGGTCAAGACCTGGCCAGCTTGACAATCCGAGACTGTCTGGTAGATGATGTTTGCGTTATTGACGGGCATGGGAGGTGGAGATGTGCATTGGGCGTTGCACACTGTAACTGTCTGCGGAGCAGGGCACGAAAAGACTGTAGACCAAGCTGTTTGGGTTATGAAGACAGTCTCTGTCGTGCCATTAGACACCAATGCTGTTGTGGCCTTGAGCAAGGAGGCCACGGCCAATCCAAAGATGAGTTGCATCCTGAACACCGACGTAACAGAAGAACACGAAAGAGAAAGTATGCGAGTAGAGAAGATTTTTCTGCTGTACAGGCCTGAGCAAGTACTTATACCCTTCGTAGAGCACATATTCGGAGTAGACACTCCCACAAAGCATCGAATTTCTTGCTATGACTGAGCCGTTTGTACAGGACCGTGACCTTTTGCTATGTTTCATCTCCACCTCACAGTTGTTTGAATCCTTCCAAGTTCCCTTCTACTCTTTAGGATGCCAAGGACCGAAAAACATGTGCCTTCACTCAGCTGTGTTGGAGCTGAGATATGAAACTAGTGATGAGACTCACGTCTGTTGGTACCGCATGTATCTTTTAGTGGACCAGTTTACTTGCTACCACTTGTCGCCAGTAGAAGCACCCGCTATGCATAAGATGAGTCCGGATATATCGCATGTCTCCTTGGCATCGCTATGAACATGGTTAGCAGAGATTGGAAGCTGCAAAGCCGCTGTATTTCGCGATTCTGGATACCCAAAGGAAGACAACGAGATGTAGGGGTCGAGTAGAGGCGCTACTAGTAGTGATTCAGGCTGTAATGGGAAGAGGGAGTGTTCTCCGCGTTGTGACTTGCAACGTCTTGTTGATCCTTAACGCTCAACGTCTTTCAGCTCCTAATATTCGTTCAGCTCTCAATGGGTCATTTATTGATACAAATCCTGCAATTCATGCTTGAAGGATCATGTCTACTCCTATACCCTTCAGTGATCCGAATACAGATGCGTGCCAGTCTCGAGTCAGCTAATCGTAGACGATGCGCTTTCAATTCTGGAATAGCGCGAAGGAAACGGGTCTCCTAGCATTCAATGAATCTCGGACAGGCCGATAACCAATTCGCAGATTGGTTCATCTGTAGCGAAGCATAGGCGGCAGCATGTTCCGGCCGTTGCGACTCTGTTGGGGCTTTCCACGGAGAACTGTCCAGCGACCATGTCCCTGAGTTATGAATACCTCAAGCTGTCTCCGAAGACCAGGCGACGAGACCAGCAGTACAAAGAAAGGGGCCGCTGCTCGTCCCAGGAGATCGAAGCTCCATTTCCAAGACGCGGTGCTTGGCAGATGACTAAGCCCCGATTGTGTCTACAGCGACCCTGGACCTCTATTCTTCTCTTCAAACTTCAAAGTCACTATACAAGAACTTATCTCGTGTGATTCCGAGTTCAAGAGGTCTGAAGCTTGCCGGTCAGGTACAAGTATCCTGCCAGCATATAAAAAGTGCTTGTAACAACATTCCTTTGTCAATTCGCTAGTGTTGTGCTGTTGTGTTTGCCCAGCTGACGATCAACCAGATCAAGTATCCTGTCTTGCTCTCCTCTAGGTCTAGCAATATCATGCCTGTTATTGCTCTTGTTGGCGCCACTTGGTCTGTGTCTTATCTTTCCTTGTTCATGTCTTCCCGCTTCTCATCTCCCTCCCTCCTCCCTTGCGTTGTATCTGTACCTCTTGCTTGTGAAATCTCTGTTCGCGCAGATGAATGTTCGTTTCCGTGAAGATTGACTTATGTCTTGTGTCCTTCGAGGCCAAGACAAAAGTATGTTGATATCAAGCCACCTGCGGATCAAGACTCATCAAACGTTTGGCGAGCTCAAACTTGGCCTTAGCGTGAATGTCGTCGAGCTCAGCCGCCTCCAGCTTGATTTTTGCAACCTCGAGGGCAAACGTGGTCCTTTGTACCTCTTGTTGAGCATGTTGTAGGTTATTATGGGCATTCTCAGAGCTGCGTTGGGCGATGTTCAGCTCGAGTGCCTCTTCATCATCTCCTTTGATCAAAGCTGCAGTGAGCTTATCTTCCTTCTTCATCTCCACCTCTCTCATATCTTCGTTGTTCTTCGAGATCTGCAAGTCGTGTATTTGTTTCTCAAGGCTGAACACTCTTCTCTCGAGAGTCTGGTTGGATTTGATGGCTTGGATTCTGACCGGACTTAGGAACGACGTAGAAGTCCTAGGCGCGATAGAAGAGCCTCCAGATGAAAGAGCTGGGGATTCTGTGGTCGTTGGTGACATGTACTGGACACGCAAGAGTTTCTCGGAGTCGCTCCTTCCAAGAGCAGAGACTTCAATCTTGTTGTCTTCGAATCCTTGGCTGCCTTCGAATTTATCATGGCTGGTGTCGAGAGCTGCTGATGCGACCAGAACAGAGGGGCTCTCTCTTGCAGACTTCTTTGCCGCATATCGCTTAATATCCGAACCAACCGATACGAATGCACTTCTCGCGCTGAATTGGACGTGTGCCTCATGACGCTCGCAGTTTGGAAAGTTGGGGGGAGCGAACGAGACGTCAAGCAACTTTTTCAAGGCTTGAAACTCCGCAAACATCTGACTGGCGGACTTGATTCTCTCGTTAACATCAGGAAAAACATCTGCTCCAAGTGATTCTATCCATCCTCCATCGGCGTAGATGGCTCGAGGATACGTTTGATACATGCGGACCATGAAATCGCCACAGTCATCAAAGTTGTATGGTTGACATGCTGTCTGTTTCTTCTTCAGGTCATCAAGGACCTCTCTCAGGCTTTTCATCTCTTCGTCAATGGCGGCATCGTCTCCGGAGGTGTACACAAGTCTGGCGTTATCGTATAGACTCTCGGCACGAAAACGCTGCTCCTTTACAAGTGTCAGCACAGGTCTAAAGACAAGATGAGGGGATCAGTATGATGCGCAGGGATGTTGGCAAAAGTCAAGCGCAGACCAGATTCAAGAGCCAAATTGAAGAGCCAGACTTGATTGCAGGGTCGTTCTTGTCAGTGGACTTACTTCAGCCTCATACCAGTCTTCCAGACGACCCGCAAGCATAGCAGCGCAATGAAATTTCTGTCACTTGGAGAGTTCCTTTCCAAGCAAGGCGCGTATCGCGACTTCCGCCTCAGCACACTTCTTGTTGGCGAGTAAGTCAGTCGCCTCCTGGATCTGGGCGTGGTTGTCAAAGTCTCCGTAATACGACATGATAGCGAATCATTTGATGCGAGAATGATGGTTGAGGCTTTGCGCGCGACAAGAATATGTTGACAACCAGGAGGTGTTGTGTTGTGGTGCTAACAAGTGAAAGCGGAAATTCGGTATCATAGACAACCGAAAAAAACAGAACACTCGCAACACACTGTATTTATCTTGTTTTCACTCGATTGGCCGCGAGGATAGTGACTTCTATCATTCCACTCGAACACAGTGCGTTGTTCAAAGACGCCAGTCTGCCTCTTCCCTAACCCCCAAGTTCTCCACACAAGCTTGACAATGTCCGCCATTCCACCCTCCGTATGTACTATTCTCACTCTTATAAGCAAACTCATGCCCTCCAATGAATCTAATCTAGAATCTGGATCAGGACGAGCTTGAAGAATTACGCGAGCACAATGCTATCCTCCGCGCCTGTAACACCAGAATGTATCAAAGATACTGGTACGCGAACGACCTGTACAAAAGCCAGCAAAGAGAACGCAACCAGTGGGAAAAGTTGGCTAAGGAAAGAGCCGAACTCATCACCGAACAAGGCACCAAGATCAAAAAGCTTGAGAAGCAGATCGCGAAGATGAAGGGACGCGAGCAGATCAAGAAAGAGATCCTCGCACTCGAGGAAAAGCTCAAGAAGCGCAAGAGAGAACTTGAGTTGGCTGAGGAGGATGATGATGATGACGAGACAGAGGATATGCCATCTGCAAAGGTAGATGGAGGAGTCACCGCTGTTAGAGACGAGGAGGATTTTCCACCCCTGAGCAAACTGCGACCAATTCCTCGCGACCAGCTCCCATCATCCTACCGTCCGACTCGCTCGATCCCTACCTTGGCCGTCCACGACAAGAACAAGAAGATGACCGAGTAAGAATGGCTCGACAGTTTAGGTGCCAGTCTTTGGGAACCACGTCTGTTTGTCAGACCGGAATGCAAATGCAGTCAATATGATACGAGTAGTCAGGCGACAATGAGAAATATCAAGGAAGGCGACACACATTGACCAAAGCTCTCATGTTAGTGATCTTACCCCTTCGTATACGCTACTTCAGAATCATACGTTGTAGTCTAATCTCATGCACTGCTTGGTGTACCTCTTCGTGCCTCGCCGCAACTTTTCGAATACAGAATTATGCTTTCTCGTGCTTCCCGCTCGCCTCTCATCCTCTTCTCCATTCTCGTTCCTCTTTCCTTCTTCCTCATGTGCTTGAAAAGTCTCGTCAATATCTTGATCTCAGGTCTCGTCTTCAGGGTCGCTCATGAAGGCTTTGACGATGCTGACTGCTTCATCACAATCATCATCATCCCAAGGCTTGAGGCCGTAGCAGCGCATGAAGTGTCCGGAGTGACCGTAATGGGCCTTGACGAAGTCGAGTTGGTCAGCACTGAACTTGTAATCGGCGACGTGGGAAGTAGGGTCCTGTTCAAGGTCGGCGAGGGAGTCGTTGCTTTCGTCGGATTGGTCATCATCTTCAGAGTCTTCGGAGATATCGGCTTCAGATTCAAAGTCTGACATGATTGATCTAAGGATGCGTCGACCTTCCTCACGATGATTTTCCTTGTAGGTGGAAAGTTCGTATGACAGAAGGAACTTGAATTCATTGCCATAATGCTTTTTNNTCAAGAACTCTTTCTCCTCCGTCGTAAGTGGTGGGGCGTGATCAGACTTGCTTGGATGCTCAGCCTTGAGCTGTGCGAGGAACTTGTTGAACTTTCTGATCTCCTCTTTCGGCCAAGAAGCATGGATGTAGTACATTCCGTTCGGGCCCAGACTACTCTGATCTTGCGACTGACCCTTCAGCCACAGCCTCCACAATGTCTTGAAGACAACCAGACCAAGGACTTTGTCGGTACCGCTTTTGACAATAGGCTTTACATCACGGCTGAATGGAACGACAAGATCTGGCTCCACGCTTGTAGCAAAGATGTTGACGTTGTGGCCAGGGGCGTAGAGGACGTGGTGTAGAGTGATCTCACGGCTAGCTTTGTGTGATTTGCCTTGGCGATAGATTCTTGTGGGCAGTACGACTGTGCCAATGCCGTGAGCTTCGGCAGATGACTCTGCACCAGGCATGCTGGAGATCTTCGTGCGAAACGGAATGTAGGATGTGAACCATGCTCAGTCGTTGGCCACGTGAATATTCGAAGTGTTGGAGAGGACCCAGTTCACATTGTAAGCGGGACCTTGTGGCGGCATGATGAATGAGGTGATTGGTGAGGATGAAGTTTTTGGTGATGGTTGACGATGAGTAGAAGTTGATGAAGAGGTTAAAGAGAGGAAGGTAAATTCTTGAAAGAAGGGAGGAAGCAACTGACCCAGCTCTCCCCACTTGCCAGAAAGGTCATAGGGTCCCTGCATTTGTCGACTTAATGCTTTCGAGTTGTTGTTTGCTCCTTCCTGAAGCTTACAAACACAACTTGAATTGGGGAAACCGCAACGTGAACGAGAACGATTCGTTGGCATTTTACGGCGCCATGATTCCAGATACTCCTAAAATAATGCAATCAACACATTATCTTGAGCTTCATCGATGTTGCTGGAAGTGCAACCCATGCAAGTCCTTAAGGCTGTTTGAGGCTCTGGATTCACGATTGATAGAGATAAAAATGCGAAGCCCAGGGGATTGGATGTGAAAATGAAGCAGAATGTTGGTTGATGATGAGCAGCCCAAGACGGGCCATCTAAAGCGAAACGACGAGGTTCTGACCAAAAAGTGTGTGATAATGTCAACAGAATGGTGTGTTCAAGATCTCCGTTTGTCAATACCAAATTATCGGGATTCGTTTGTTTGACACCACAACGCGACCCCTCCGTTTGTTTACTCACCGCACTTCCTCGGCGGACTCTCTATCCCCCTCCTGTGCATACAACTATCCTTCAATCATCTGATAACAGATCACCATGGCCGACATTAAAAGACTCACTGAGACAGAGATCAACGACCTCATCGACAATGCTGTCGACCAATTCAATGATGGCAAGGACGCTGAGTGCGTAGCTGCTGTGCGCGCAGTACTCCAGCATAGGGTGTCAAGATGGCAGGAAATTTACTGCCTCGCCCTGCTTGCTGATTGTCTAGAGGACTGGTATAAAGCCGAGGTAAGTTGAACTGCAATGATAATGTTGGTGCCACTCCAGATCCTGCACTCTGGCCTTACTCTTCATCCTGCGCCTTACTCTCATTCTACGCCTGACTCTCGATTACGCGCTGACAATCTTACAGGAGCAGCGCTACATGGCCGAGACCATGTACGACAATGCACGTTTCTTGTGGCCGCTAGGAAAAGATGCCGCTGTCGATGAACGACTGAAGGATCTACGAGAACAACTGGACGAGACAAGAGAGAATTAAAGAGCCTGTCGACCGGACGATCTGGACGAGGACGACGACAACGAATGGATGGCTCAAATGTACTAGATGCATTCCCACGTCATCGAAGCCGAGGGAGATTGGGGAAAGAGACTCCGTGCACGCAGCGAGCGGATTGCAGCAGAGGAGGAAGCAGAATGGCACGAGATGGAGGAAAGAGCTCGATCAAAGTCGAAGCAAGATGCCGACCAGCAAGAAGAGAGAGAGACCAGGGTAAGAATAAGGAGGAACATGATCAAGATATGGAGATGGAAGGCCTGATCGAGCTCAATAAGAAATGGTATGGTACAGAGTCGGGCAGTCACACTCGCGGAGAAGAAGGTTGATAAGATGGCAATCTTGCTGTCTGGGCTTTTGTGTTGTTGGCAACCGGATTGAGCTTTGCCAACAGACACCTGCACAAATTTTGCATAAATTCAATGGTTATCCCAGCGTCTATCGTCTATGCAGCCATATTATTATGCCCAAGGCTAAGATTCGCGTGCAAGCATTCGATGAGATGTTTGATGAGATGCGAGATGCAGATCACAGCGAAGACAGAGCTGAATTAGTACGAATTAATAGGTTTATTGGAGTCTATTCTAGTCTATCTATAGTTATTACATTACTCTATAGCACGCTGTATGGTGCAGAATAATATTTAGTGACAAAGGAAATTGTATGAGCAAAAAGCCATCAAGGCTTAAACAACTGTTCGTTGCGGAAGAACATAAGGAAGCCACAAGGCAAGACCATTTGGAACAACAGAGCGACCCAGAACTCCCAGGCACCGAGTCCGCTCAAATTTAGAGCCAAATTAGGGAACACAGATGCAGGTCCAGTTGCATCAGGTGCCGATGCACGAGCGGCGATGGTAGCGATGGAACCGATAACTTGTGCAGCAGTCAGAGTGACGGCGACATGGTGGCGTGTGAGCGTCTGCAAAAGCATGGTGCCGATACCGACACCATTGAGAGCATCGAGAACGCCGAGCCAGAGCCACAGGCATCTTCCAGCGATTGCACCACCAACAACCGAGCCCCATGGTAGGTGACTACCCATACCCGATGTGCTCCAGAGCATTTGGCACCAGCGCGGAGCACCGAGGCCAGCACCGAAAATGGGCAAGAACCAAGAGTGGTGTTCAGAGTAGCGTGCAAGAATGTAAAGTGCAGTACACCAAACGATAATGAAGAAGAACAAAAGTAAAAGAACGATAGCCCAGATTGGAGCTTGGGTGCTGTCGAAGAGGTATTGCCAGTTGCGACCGACAAGTGAAGAAAGCCAGTAGTTTTGAACGATGACGGCAATGAAGAACCAGATTACCAACTTGCGCTTGAACAAACTGGTGTAGAATGATGGGGCCTTTCCTGGTGAGTTGTGGTAGTAATCAGGAAGACCGAAAAGGAGAAGCAGACCAACGATCACAAACAGAACTGCGATTGGGGCCATGATGGCCAGAATCACTTTGGAGTTCATGATGGTGTTGGTGAACTTAGCGGCATGGTGAGCGCTCATGGTTGTTCCCCAGGCCCACAGTGCAGCCACCCACAATTGCTGGATGCCCTGGACAACTGTGGCTCTGTAGATCATAGTTCCAATAGGCACGCCCCNCTCGCTTGCGAAGTTCAGGGCAAAGTACAGAGATCCGGACGAAGAAGCGAACGCATAGAAGCCCGAAGACATGTTCTGGATCCATCCCCTGCTAGAGATAGTCAATCCATATGGCGCGAGACCAACGAAGAAGAAAGACAGTCCGTATAACATGAACGGCAGGGACAATGCATATTTGGATGCAAAGCGACGGACCATGAACCACCAGAACATTGATCCAGCCAAATAGATCGATGCCACGACATAAAGCTTGTTAGCATTTTCACCCTGAGCTCCAGTAATGATCGTGATTTGATGACTGTTGACAGCAATGATTTGTCCAAAGGCGAGAAGGTAGGCGTATAATGGCCAATCAGGGGCGATGTAAGGCAGCTTTGAGATCAACAACTTTGAGATACCAGTTGGCGGCTTGTAGTTGGCGTTTGTGAAGAACTGTTCTGCGCTGTTCTGTGAGGGTGGCTCCAACACTGCCCGCGCGGTCGCTCTCAGTGGAGGATCCTTCGCGGACTGNNTGACAAGCAGACTGTTTGCTCCTTTCTTGCCACTCACACTCGGTGCAGAGATAACAGCTCGACCGAGCTTGGCCTCATTGAATCTGCGGTACCAGTTCTTTTCTGCCAAGGCCAAGAAGTTTTCAATGCATAGGTCACCCTCAGAGTTCTTCGCGGTCAGATTTCCAAGCATACCCTCATAGATGCGGTAGTAGTCGAGCTTGGAATCTGTAAAGGATTGATCAACCTTCTGTAGGTTGTAGTCGGTCTTCTCACCCACGACCTCATCAACGCTAAGCGTTGAAGAACGTCTGTAATGAGCAAGTGTGGGTCTTTCGATCTCGCCTGGTAGAGTGGTTTCCTCAGAAAAGCCGAAGCCAGGAGTGAACAAGTTGTGTGAGGCAGCTCCGTTCGGACTTCCAGCTGTACCGGGGCGAGATCTTGGGGGCGAACGTGGGAGTTCGCCGACACTGTCCCTGGGTTCGTCACCCTCTTCAGTTGTACTGGGGTTAAGGTCCGCGAATGGGGTACGGCGTGATGCAGGGAAGAGAGATGACAGACGGCGACGGAAGGGCATATACTGCTCCAGGGAGGGATGAGCAGGATACAAGAGACTAGAAAGTCGGCGTCTCATCTGAGGTCTCGGTGTTTCCGGACTGGGTGATTGCGATCTTGAGGCTGCTGGAGTAGGTGAAGACGGTCTCGAGACTGCTGGAGATGTCACGCGAGATGGGTTGCGTGAGTTGGGAAGCGAGTTGATCGGAGAGTTCAAAGCAGATGTCGAACCGTCCTGCACCTTGTGGTTGAGCTTGATAGCCTTGGTCTGAAGAGTCTCAAGATCTTCCACCCACTGCTGAACTGGGAACCTCTGCACCTTGCTTCTTGCGCGTAGAAGAGCTCGAGTCTGATGGTCCGAAGCCAAAGCGCCGTTGATACATCTCTTGAACTGAGTCAAGAGATGCTTTGTCGTGGAGGATTCCACTGAGTACCACCATCCAGGCATCTGACCCTAGAAAAAATTAGCATAACCTTACAAAGTTGAACGTTCGGCTTGACTTACAAGACCGCCAACCCTCGCACCAATACCAAGTGCTCCCTTGCGGCCGAACTCGACTGAAACTAATCCAAAAGGTTCGTCTCGACTTGGAATTAAAGCGAACTCGCTACCCTCATGGACGAAGGGTGGGATGTATACGAATTGTGGCTTTGAGTAGACACGACCCGGGTACTTCTTCATGAGGTGGTCGAGCTTCAAGGCAGCGAATTTGCCGTACAAGTCAATAACAGGACCCACACAGATCAACTGTGCTTTGGGGTTCTCTTCTAGGACCTTGGGGAAGACATCTGCGATGAGATCGATGCCTTNTTGCATGCTCCATCTTCCGACGAAGACGAACAGCTCGGCCGTTGGATCGATATTCAGGTTGGCCCATTTCTGTGCTTCAACTCGAGTTGGTCCGCGAGAGGCCTCGTACTCTTGGTCGATGGTAACGTCTGGGTTCGGAAGACACTTATCGAAGTGCTCTACATCGGCAGGATCAGGGTTCGGCAACATGCCCACCTTGGGAAGCCCCCAGAAGATTGGATATCTCGAAAAGCTTCGACTGCCATATTTCTTGGAGACACCTACGGCTCCGAAACCTTTCTGAAAGACACGCAGATAACTGGCTCCTGCGTGCAAGAGATTAAACGAATCGCCCCATTGAATAAATTTTTNTATGAGATCTTTGTCCAGGTTGAACACATCACTCATCTCTTGCAGCCGTTTTGGGGTACTGATTGACCAGAGGCCCTGGAATTCAGCGTTGTGAAGTGAAAGACAGACTGGGATGACTCTTGGCAGGAGATGCAGTGGCGCAACGGCTCCATGATAGTCGTTGATGTGATAGATGTCAATCTGCGGGTTGCGTCTCATCACTTCGGCGATACAAGAGTTCCAAGCTGAGTAGTAGATGGCGCTTTCCATGTCATCCATGCGAGCAGGGTAAGGGTTCTTCTTCGTCTGCTGTCGGAACAATGGCGCATCAAGCAGGACGTATGTGATGCGTCCTACGACATGGAGTTGACAGTCGATCAAGTATTGCTTGCCCATGATGGTAATTTTGATGGGCTCCACGACTTGATCGATGGGATACACAACATCCCCGACGCAGGGCACAACCCAGATGAGATTGTGGTTCGTGAGATGTTTCGCCATCAAGCCGGACATCACTCCAAGACCTCCAATCTTAATGGAAATATTCCACTCATCGCTGATGTTGTACTCCATTGTGGCGATGAGAATCGTTCTGGCCCCGGGAGCGTTGGTGGTGACCATGGCAGCCTGGCTGGCTTCGACGTTGTCTGCGACGGGGCTCTGCTTCTCCGAGAGCTTTTTGAAAGATAGAGGAAGGATATCTGCGATAGTCTTCTTCTNTTCAAATTGATGGAAAGGATAGCTGCGCTTCGTGAGGCCGACGGCATTGTACTTCAGGCGATAGAATGAGCCGAGGTAGATGGCGACAGCAGCACATGCAGTGATGACTGGGAGAAGAGCCAGCAAAATGTAGAGAGCGACTTGTCTCTGTGCAGAGCCGGCTGGAGTAAGAGTATAGCGCAGAGAACCATCATCTACGGCGAGTCTGTATCCGGTATGGGGCCAGTGGGGCGCAGTGATGTTGATCTGGTTGAAGGACAGACTGTCTGGCGGTACCCAATCGAGCACATTGTCGCCATCGACGTCGCCGTACGCAGCCGACTTATCTGGACGACCATCTTCATTCATACCCCAGACATTCACCAGAACTGATGTCGGAAACTCGGAATAGAGGTCAAATTTCCAGGTGCCATTCGAATCTTGATGCATCTTATCGTCAAGACCACCATCGTAGCCGTATTGGTTCCAGGGCCCTTGAACATGGACATGAGGCCAACGGCGAGGAACATCGGCTCCGAGGTCAGAGTGTTGAATGTGGTCGGTTGATCCAATTTGTGGAGACCAATATTGTGTGACAATATGGACTCCCTCCCATCGTTGAGCTTTGGTGCCAGACCAAGCTTGCTCTTCGATGAGAACTGGCTCACCAGAGTAGGAGTAGTCAGTCCAGTTTGACCAGCTCGATCCATAGTTGGTTGAGTAACGCCATAGACTCGCACCAGCAGCTTTTGGCGTCAGCTGCAGTTGACCAGTAGCGCTGTCGCGACTAATGAGTCCAGTCGTGTAGTTGGCACTCTGGAAGACGACGGGATTGTCGTTACGGCCCACGCGGAGCATGAATCGAGCTTTGGTGTTGGTGAAGGCGGTTCCGTCGACACTAGTTGCGTTGACCACTGTGTAAGTGTGCACACCATGACCAACGTTCACGAGATTTGCAGACCACGAGAAAGTCGAAAGTGTTTCTCCGACAAAGCGTTGTGTGTCATTCACCGTGATGTTCTTGCACGACACACTGGAGGCATCGAAGAATGAGGTGATGCCTGTCTGTGTGGTCGAGTTGATGCTCATACTCTGCAAGATCGAGCTGCAATTCATTTCTCTGCTGAATAGCAATGTGATGGGAAGCGAGACGGTCTCATTGAGGTCCACAGTGGTTTCGATTCTGGCGTCATGACGAGGTACGGCACCAGTGATGACTGGAGCAGGAGCGACGAACTTGTCGATCGGAACAAACGCGCGCCACCCCCATGCTTCGAGCTCGATGCTGGGCAGACAGCCATTGTTCTCCTCTGATCCTTCGATGCCGAGCTTAGCCGTAGAAGAATTCAAGGTGTATTCTTGATAAGGATAGAACAAATTTTTGACGGTCGTTCCCTCCGGGAATGGCGCAACGAGAGAGTGAGAAGAATTGCTGCAGTCGTACGAGTACTCAACAGTCTTGTTCTGGTTCGAGTAGATGATCCAGACGCCCTGGTTGCCCATTCCCTCGCCAGATAAATCTTGGACCTCAGGGGTACGGCCGCGATACACTGACCAGATACCCAATGGAGTAGGCAATTGTCCACTGTACGGGAGGAAAATGTCGTAGGTATCGAAGAAGAGTGTTTGGAGGGAGAATCCATCGTTGAGCACGGGGTAGACGGTACGCAGCTCAAACATGCGTTTGATCAGGTTTCGCAAAGGATGAGCGGCATTCCTCTGATCGAGACTGACTGTATCGTCTTCGCAAGCTGTGAGCGCGTCTCCGAAAGGCATATCAAAATAACCATTGCCAGCGGCGCCAACCTTGTAGCAACCGTGCATTTGCCAAGCCCTTGTTGAGGCCATAGGTTGTCTGCCGAAGATGTAGTCGGCCGCCAAGTTCTCCAAGACCTTGTATTCGACTTCGTCTCCCCAAATCAACTCTGGGATACCGGGCATCTCCAAGAAGGTGATGAGAAATGCCAGAACCTGTCTTTGGGTTCCGTCAATGAGTGATGGCCATCTGAAGACGTNCTAATTCCCGAACAGTCAGTCAAATGCTCAGCTACAAAGGGGGGAGGGGCTCTTTTTTTTCTTTTTTTTCTTTTTTTTCTTTTTTTTCTTACCTTGATTAGTAGTCCCGAACATGTGCCTGGGATCAAAGACTCCAGTATTGGCATTCACCATGTCATCACTCAAAAGATAACCATTCCAGTGGTCCACAAAATCCACGCCTTCGAAGCCAATAGCGCCGTCGAGACCCAAAAATCTGGTGAGGGCACNCCTATATCATGATGCTTGTCAGCAGGAATGGCCAGAAATCTTGATACGTGAGCCTTGGCAGCGCTTCGTGACTGCCAAGGCTCACGACGCTTAACTCACGTATGTGGGGTAATGGAAGTTCGTGCCATCAAGCGCATTGTTGCCAAACTCGCGGATATAGCCTTCAGTCTTTCCAGTAGCATTCTGTCCATCGAGCTGATCTTCGAAGTAGGTATCGGGAGACTTGCCACGGCCGAAGAAGACAGAGGAGAATTTGAGCTCTCCTACGACTTCACCGGTAATGAGGAAGTTCTCTTTTCCGTACTGGCGAGCGCAGTTACGCTGATATGTTGCCCATTCGGCCAAAGCATCAATAGGAGTCTGTAGCGCTTTGTCCACTCGGAAGCCGTCGATGTCCAGCATGGCGATCTGCATGCAGCTGAAATGCATGACCTTCTCGAGAACTTCATGTTTCCAAAGTCTGAGACGATCTTGAACACTGGCGAACTTCGAAAGCTGACTCTGGTAGGGAGGAACGTATCCAACACCCTTCATGTCACCGTACTGGTCGAAGTCGGATTTACGACACTGGTTCTCGAAGGTTGCCATAATAGATTGATTCACCGGGTAGCCATCGTCGCCATAGAAAATTGGGTAAGAACAGTCTTCAAGAACGTCATTGTCGACCTCGAAATCGAGATATTGTCGGCTGGTCTTCCAGAGTACATCGTATTCGAGCGGGTTGAAGGGTGTGGTTTCGTTCTCCCAGCCTTCGAAGGCGAGCAGATCTCCCATGGTACCGATTGTGTTCTCCATGATGGCGTACATTCCACGACGGTGGAGCTCCTCAATGAGTTCGCGCCATTCTGTGATCGTTCCGTGGTGTGCATCAAGCAGTGTAAAGTCAAGGGGTCCGAACCCGTCGGAAGCCCATGGCTGGTTGATGAAAGGAGAACCCGAGAAGTAGATGGNCCTACAAATTTGGTCAGACACTAGATGGGGGCAAAGGGACGGACAACAAGGGAAACTTGAAGAAGGAAAGGAGCGGGGAACCATTGTGCTTACCTTGATACCGAGATCCTGGATCCAGTCCAAGTTGTCCATCAGGCCTTTGGTATCTCCACCGAATCGGAACTGATTGGTGGTCCAATCATTCTCAAAGACAGTTTTGTTAGCATCATTGTTTGCAGGCTGTCCATCTACAAAACGATCCAGCGTTAGCATGTAGAAGGGCATTCTCCAGTTGGAAGGTGAAGGAGTTTTGGGATGTTCTGTCCATTCACCCCAGTACTGGAGAGGGTTGTCCGCAGTCTCATTCTGGTTAAGGTTCCAATCAACATAGTCAGCAGACCAGCTAAGTGCTTGTGTTCGGGAAGAGTAGAGTATGAGAGAAGAACAAAGGATTGCGGCCAGTTTGACCATTTTGCAGGCCATGATGAAAGGTATTAGAACTAGATGTTAGAATCCAAGGGCATGCAAAGAGATAGACGGAACACTGGCCGCAAGTGCCACGAATTGCTAAAACATATCGAGGTGAGTGCCACTACACATATATAAGGCATCTATACTTCTCGCCCCATGTTTTCAAAGAGCTGACGAGGTCGAAACTGCCTCCAATAGACGTTATTGCCTCAGCTGTCTGTAGAGTTTCTCTAGCATACTGGTCATCATGCTAGTCTTCGCACGTTCTTGCAGTTTTCTACCAGTCACCTCGAGATCTGGCTGGTCCCTGATTCCGATTGTCTTTCTAGGTTAAGAGCCGCACAGCTTTTTGATACAAGACTTCGAACGGTCGCCAGAAAGAGTTGGAAGGCATGATTAAACTTCTGTTGATACCAGCGAGACCCATAGTCGTGTCGGCTTTCCCAAGAAGTCATGACACAGCGCTTCAGTTGGGACTCGACTCGGTCCGCGGCGGAGACGTGAGAGCCTGGCAATGGCTCACGAGCGCTAGGTAACATCTCGCTTAGGCAGGATTAAACGGCACTGACATGGGCTCTTGAGTTGACAGTTCATCCAGAAGCGGAATGTTTGAAGAGAAGATTCTGACAAACCACATCGATGAACTGGTTCGTTCCTGGGCCGGGTTCTCACATGGACTCGCGTGGATTAACGTCACGTATAACGTCTACACCGGCTCGTGTATCATTGAGGAGCTTGATTGACTCCTAGCGCTCCAGCGATAATGTGCCATTACTCGCATCGAGCCGCCCAAACAAGGCTGGTTTGCTTGTTGTTCAGTCGATAAAGTTAGAGTAGGTATGTCAAATCAAAAACGCGAGAGGGACAGCACACAAATTCTGCCAGGCTTGGCGTGTTTGTCTCAGTTTTGTCAACCTCATGCTCTACTTTGTCCTACCATGCTCGACTTCCCGACGAACTATCAACATCAGTAGATCATGCTCGAATTTTTCACAGACATTGTTATTAAGTGAGCCAAGCTCTTTCACGTTAGGAAGCCTATCGAGGCATTTGAGTGGGCGCTTTTAGAGTCGTTGACTGAACGACACGAGGCGTCTCGGATGTGCACTTCGGTCGCCTAAGCTTTCCGGCCAAATTGCCCGTTATATTCTCTGCCGACCTTTCTACTGCAACCGTTTTGTCTATACCGTCGCGAGCTCAAGGGAATTAGGACCGACTGCCTGCTGAGACATTCGCCACGGGAATAAAACGTCTGTTTCTCTGCACGGCAAATTTTACAGCGCATCAGTCTGGACTAGACCCGGCAAGCAGAGACTGCAGCAATCCCAGTCGACATGTCCCCTACAATCACTATCATTGCCGTTTGTTGATCTGCATGGGCAACCACTTCACTGCACCGCTCAAAACGCGCTCCCGGGCTACAACCAAAAAAGAAAGCAGAGATCGCTATGACGTGAATTCATAATGGCTGGCGATATATGACTATCGCCAATTTCAGCGACTGATAATTATAAACTCATCATCCAGCTGATTTCGTTTCTATGCTACTTCGCCTCTCAGCACACTCGCGGAAGGGGAGGCATCGGACCGCACCGCTTATCAGAACACACTAAGCTGCCATGTGGGGTCTTTCAAGTATTGTGATCCTTGTTGCTGGTATCGCAATCGCACACGCTACATCCAATAGCAGCAACACCATCAACAACTCTAAGCTTCACACGTGGTGGCACAATTCCGGTGAAATCACTCGATCAGCTGTTCAGCCAGCCTCTGTGCGCCAAAGCGACCTTTATTCTATTCAAGTTACCAACTCTGTGGATCAGACCTACTACGACTCTTTCGTTTATCAGACTATCCCACGCAACGGCCAGGGCAACATTCTGATACCCAATGACCCATCCTCAACAACTACTGCGAGCGATGGTATCACTATCGAGGAAGCCATTGGCATGACAATGTCTTGGACTTCATTTCTCTACTCAGCTGATGCTTGGGTAAAAGTGCACCGCCTTGATAACTCCAGCATTGAGTCTGATAGCTTCGTTATCAGACCCACCAATCTCAACCTCACCACTTCTGTCGCGAACGGTGATTTGTTCATTCAGGTGCCCTACGACGGACAAAGCTGGAAGTTTTCGGTTGAGTTCAACGACAACCTTTATGAATTCCACGATGGTTGCAGCAGCCCTTCTTGTTCCTATGTCCAAAACACTAATCCAAACGGACCATACTATGTGGATGATTACGACGACTCGATGCCGCTGATGGCTGTGGAGCCTCTTGACTCCTTGCTTATCTTTGCCAGCCCTTTTGAGGACGAGTCACTTGTCCCCGATGAGACAGCAGACAATGTCCTGATTGTCGAAGAAGGTCGCATATCTGGACTCAACACTACTCGAGCCAATACTGTTATCTTCAAGCCAGGCGTCTACTATGCTACTGCCACGGATTATCTAAACCTCAGTGCTAGCGTTGATTGGCTTTATTTTGCACCGGGAGCCTACGTGAAAGGTGCTGTGGAATATCACACCACCTCTGCGCTTATCAAAGCTACAGGACATGGTAAGATTACATAGGTTGTCGCGCTACCCTGCGCTAACACATGACTAGGTGTACTTTCTGGTGAGCAATATGTCTATCAAGCGGACCCGACAGATGGTTTTCAGAATCACAATGTGAACGGCTCGCCTCTACGAATGTGGAAGGGTACAGTGCCTTTCGGGCAGCAGACGACGTGGGTAGTTAACGGACCAACACTTAACAGTCCTCCCTTCAACAGTATGGATTGGTACGGCGATATGGCATCTCTTTCTGTCTTGTGCACCGACTACAGACAAGTGGGTGGCTTCTTTGGTCAGACGGATGGCATGGAGGCCTACCCCGGAAGTGTCTACCAAGATATTTTTTACCATTCGTAAGCAGCGCATGTTGTTACTGCAGTATACCGAATTACGAACTAACCAATTGATTCCAGTAACGACGATACGATCAAGGTATACTACTCAGATGTTACTATCAGCAACGTCCTGGTGCAGAAAGCGTCCACCGCACCGGTCATCCAGTTTGGTTGGGCGTCTCGCAATATCAGCAACATCCAAGTTGACAATGTCAACATCATCCACAGCCGTTGGAACAGCAATGGTTCGAATCCAGGTCTGATTGGCTCCAACAATGTATACGATCCATCGTCCACGTCCACATCTGCAATGAACAGCAGTACCGCCAACACTTACTCCACAGCTCAAGACATCACGTTCTCAAACATCCGAGCTGAAGGTATCTCCGGACCTTTGATGCGCATATACGCACTCGAAAATCTAAACAACATCACAATCTCGAATGTTTGGATTGAAGAATTCGGAAGCTGCGATGGTTACGAAAACCTCGGTATTTCGGAGAGCTTCATGCCCATGATGACTGATGACAGTGGTAATAATGTTACTGTGGATGGTTTCGTCATCAGCAACTTCATGGTCGGTGATGAGAAAGTCACTCTCGACACGGCAAGCACAGTGGGTCAGCTTTACTGGGACGCTGCCTTCGATGTGACGATACAATAATAAGGCGCGACAAGATAGCTTTACATGTCTCGGGTCATACTTCAGGCGCAGAACATAGAGGTCTATTATGCGTTGGCGCATAATAATTCGTTATAGAAAGTAAGAAGTACAAATAATACTCCTCACGTTCCCGCAGAAGCAAACATTTTCCGACGGGAAGGTGCGATATCGTCAAGAGAAGGGCGTCGAGTTGCGGGGCGGAAAGCTTAAAAAGGTACCAGTCTGGCGGGGTTCATTACAAGTCCATTCAACCACCACTTTTTTTTCTGTACTGACTCTTTTCTCATCAAACTTTTATCAAAAGACAAAACTGGAATGGGTGTCGACGACCGAACTGGAGATATCGAGCTGTCAACCGTGGCCATCCAGCCAGATGACAACCAATCTCAAGACCTCGAGGACTCAAACGTTTTCGGTAGAGCCGAAGATGGCGAAGTCTTCTCTCTGCCACCGGCAGATGGCGGGAAGGATGCATGGCTCTTCCTTGCCAGTTGTGTTATCTTTGAAGCAATCTCTTGGGGTAAGTCGATTTTGCAAACCGTTGCAAAATCCTCCAGCACGTGTTTTGACATTGCATTGAANGGATTCCCGTTTAGCTTTGGTGTCTTTCAATCGTACTACGAGCGGACATTCGCAGATAATGAATCTAGCATTGCTGCGATTGGAACTACTGCCACGGGTTTGATGTACGTGTCGGCTCCGTTTTGGTTTATCGTCTTGAAGATGAACCCAAGATTTCGTAGACCGAGTGTCTTTGTTGGGTTTGTCGTGATGATAGCATCACTCGTTGGTGCATCGTTCGCAACATCGGTCAGCCAGCTCATCGCAACCCAAGGTGTCATGTACGCCATCGGCGCCTCCATGCACTACTATCCGTTATTCATCTACCTCGATGAGTGGTTTGTGCTAAGGCGTAACTTCGCTTTCGGATGTATCTGTGCAGCTTGCGGCGCCGGAGGTGTCATCATCCCCTTTGCTCTGGATTGGGTCTTACGAACGTATGGCTTCCGCACTGCGTTAAGGACATGGGCTGTTGTTGCCGTAGTGCTCACCACACCTGCGATTTACTTCATGAAACCACGACTACCCGTACGCCACCACACCAACGTCGGACCACAACGAGTTGAGATCGGCTACCTCAAGAGCAGAACATTCTGGATCTTACAGAGCGCCAGTATTATCCAAGGATTAGGTTTCTTCTTGCCGAGTGTCTACTTGTCGTCTTTTGCACAAGCAGTCGGATTCACAGCTGTCGACGGCACACTGGCAATCGCTTTGATCAACGGCGCTCAAATCGTTGGAGCAATGTTTATCGGCTACCTCGGCGATCGATGCCACGTCACAACCGGAATCTTGGTCTGTAGTGTCGGCAGCGTCATTGCCGTCTTCGTTTTCTGGACTTTCGCTACCATCAAACCAATGCTATTCGTCTTTGCCCTGCTGTATGGCGTCTACGCAGGAGGGTACTCGACAACATGGTCCGGTGTGGCCAAAACAGTTCGCGAGAATGGTTATCCGGGCGCTGACACTGGTATGATCATCTCACTGCTTAGCTGTGGTAAGGGTATTGGCGCAGTGGTCTCGGGTCCCATGAGTGAGGCCATTCTTGCAGCAGACAGTTTCCGGGCTAATGCGCCATATGCTTTTGGAACTGGATATGGTTCGCTGCTTGTAATGACAGGTGTGACCGCTTTTGTTGGCGGGTCTGCCTGGTATGCGAAGCAGTTCAAATTGATTCACTAGAACTTTCATGGCACTGGGGGAACGTCAGCATGGTAACTTGTACGTCGGAGTTCTGCAACGCAATCGGGTTGTACAGGCGTTAGGATGGAAAAGGAAAAAGCAACTTTTGTAATTTGATCTATGTCATGACTTATACAGATAATGAGCAATGAGCAACGAGCCATTTCAAGATGCTGAGGTGTTCATGATATGCGTGAGACTGCCGATCTCCTAAGAGTTAGACTCTCTCTCTCAACGTATGCAAACGCGTTTTAATCATAAGCTTTAGACAACAACGCCTTTAATCTGCTTCTTGTTGCCGAGGTTGATGTCGCGCCAGATCCAAACGGCGATGAACGTAAGCGCTGTGATGGAAGTAGCTGCAATGCACATGTCTCTCTGGGCAATACCGAACGCAACGCCGATTGCATCTCTAGTCGGGCTGCCAGGAGGGTAGTCGAGTGCCTTGAGGTAGTTTGCGTAGACTGATGTTGCGATGTCGGCTGGTAGACGCTTGTTCAGCTCTACAGGGTAGACATTTGTCCAGATACCACCAGCGATAGAGTCACCGATTGCACCACCGACCGATGAAGCCAGGTAGAGAAGAGCAAGAGTTGTTGCGAAATCTGCGTGGGTACCGGCAGCCAGAGCGGCGACCTGATGGCAAGGTACCAGAGTGCCTCCGGCGTATGCGACAAAGATCTGTGCACAGACGACATATCTGGGAGCCACGCCAGGTTGTCTGAAGTAAATCATCAAACCAGTGCCGATCATGTAGAGCGGCACAGAGACGAGTGCGATCCACTTGTAGCGCTTGGTCCATTTGACGANGAAGACTACGACTTGTTAGTTTGATTCTCTGGGATGACCAAGGAAGTCTTACCCTGTGATTACGCCAAAGAAGCATGAGCCGACAGTATAGATTTCTCCCATATACGTGGCGTTGGTAGTACTAAGGCCAAGAACCACCTGNNTTGATCGTCGTTAGCTTATACCCAATGCTTTCCGAGTTGTCCTACTAACCTGATTGAATGTGTAGTAGTAGAGGTTCCAGCAATAGAAAGCTGCGTAAAGACTGCAGATACAGAGAACAGCACCAAAAATGGTGCGGTCCTTGAGTCTCTCNNCCCATGGTAGGAAGGGCTTGCTGGCACCGAAACGCTCCCACACAGGGAACAGACATAGAATGACAAAGCCAATGACCAGCATGCAGATGATGCTAGCACTCTTCCATTGTCCAGCAACCGAGGTCGCAAGGGAGAAAGGTAGCAAAAACAGAACGAATCCTGCAACTAGCAAGAAGACACCGACCACGTCGAACTCGACCCAGTAATGTGCGATCGTTCCGTAGAATCCAAGAGAAGGTGATTCGGTTTTCTTGTACAAGCCCATCGCTGCGGCCTTGCGTTGATAGTAGAGGAAGACACCGCAAAGTGGAAGGCAGGCCACAGGAGTGACAATGGCAAACGTTCCATATCCCCATCTCCATCCAGCGCCGTTGACGAAGCTCGAGACAGCGTAAGGAGTGGTGAAAGCGGTACAGATAAAAGGCGTCTGAGAAATGGCCAGCATGAGGATTCGGTGCTTCAGCCTGGTGGTGTCGGCGATGAAGACGGTCATGACATAGTACATGCCATCGTAGCCAATGTAGTAGATGACCGAAGCAGCGGCATAAGTCTGGACGTTGTGAGAGGCAGCGAAGATGATCAGTCCGATGATGGTGATACACATCATGACGAAGAAACCTTCGGCACGTCCCCAGATGTCAATGATTTTGGCGGTTGGCAAACGCAACACACCGCCGATGATAGAGCTCATTACAGAGCTGACTGACAGAAGCTGCGATGTGCTGAAACTAGCATTGGCGTAATTGCCCAAGTAACCAGTAATTGTCGACATTAAAGCGATCTCAAAGTACACAACATAAANTCCTGCCACACGTCAATGGGATGTCATGGAAATGTAGCAGAGTGCTGCATACCAGATGTAGGTCAACCATAGTGCTCGCTTGTCCCAGGCAAGAGTGACACCTTCAGCTTTCTTGACTCCAGTTTGGTAGTCAGGGTCGACTTGCTCGCCATCATACGCAGCGCCAGGTGCAGATGTGGCAGTCTTGTTCGGGCCATAGTTTTCCTGATAGTGTGGAGGTTGATCACTCGGACTGCTCGAGGAGCTCAAACCATTTTCTTCTTTGACGACGTCATCGGGTTCTTCATCGGCTTGGGAGTGGTAGAACGGGTTGATGTATGGTCTATCTAGCGCTCTCAAGAAACCCATAATGGCGAAAGGGTCTAGTGAAGGTCGAACATGGAAGTCAGAAAAAGTGCGTAGGGAGATGCAAGATTGATAAGATGGGGCGCGAGAAGATTTATCTGGCATCAATGATGATACGTCTGCCGAGATCGCGTGAATTCAGGGCTCAAGGCGAACATCCTTTTGTGGGTTCCGAACGGGCGAGACATGCAAAAAAAGCCCGGCGCGTCGTGGATGTGAAAGGGTGGTGGGGATCGACAACAAGGTCCCTTGGTTTTTTGGTGGGTCGACAAGTGTTTCAATCTACGCCTTGTTCCCTCCTCGCAGCTCACTCGTGCATCAAGGAAAGCTTCATTTACTCTGCGTGGTTTCCTATTTAGCGGAATACAGGCATCTTTGAATAGCGACTGCTGAAGATGATGACTACATAGCACAGAGAGTCTCCCACCTCTTTCATGATTCGAGAGACCTGACATCAACAGTGAACATTGTTCCTCCAGGATATGCCGGTCGAAATCGGTTGACCGGCAGCGCTAATGATCTTATCAGATTATTGCCGCAAGCCACCGAAAAAGAAGCTCTTGACGCGAAGACATCGACACAGGCAAAATGGCTCAAGCAACAACGGAAATTGCTTGATCAACCACAAAGACGGACATTTTTTTACAATCTCTTTACTTGGACGGGGAAACACTTCAGTGATTGTCAGAAGCCAGTGTGTTATACCTCTGTGAGACGACAAGAGCACCAGAGTTTTGTTTTCTTCGCATGTCGCAGGATGGTGGTCTCAACGCTCTCGTGATGACGTGCAGCCTCCAACGTCATACACAACAAAGTGCAAGCAAGCACCCTCGATGGTCAAAAATCGTGGTGACCATGCTGTGCTTGTGACCCTGTCGCCAGGAGAAAGCGGCGACACCACGTCTTAGACATCATGCGATGCTCAAATATGCGTATACACGGTTTCGTACCACTTATTACCCGGTATCTGAAGCTTAGTTCGAGCTTTTAGGTGAAGTTTGAACCAATCTGAGTGCTCACGGCATTTCTATGTCAATTCCAGCGAATTTATATGTGATAAGCTTCGATCCTCACGATGATCTACACCACCAATACCAATAACGAAAGCATATTAGAAGCACAAATTGTACTCTGAGTAGTCGCATGACTCCTTCAACACGTATTCAATGACCGCTTCATCTGTATACAGACAATTTGGGTTGATGTCGAGAAGGCAAGCAACCATTTCATCCAGCCTCGGCAAAGTCCAGCTCGACGCGGAAGCAGCACGGTCTACGTTCTCACAACGCGACGTGCCATCATCCGATCACCACAATGGAAAGGACACTTTGGCATCCAAGCAGAAGACGCAAACCATGTGTAGTGAGCTTTACGAGCGTTGATCGCCAAACATGAAGGACTGCAAGTCAGGCACTGACGCGTCTGGATCGTCTTCCATGTTGAAGGACGACAGTCCGAACCAGCACCTAATACTACGCAATTGCCGCATACATATACGCGAAGCGCCAGATCTGAATACTCGAGGATACGATGAGCCGTCGATGTGAGCATCACAGTCGAGCACAAGACATCGAAAGAGCTAGGGAGACACCTGTTCTAGTACAGAGACTACAAGACCGAAACGTCACGCGGCTACCCGGCCTCCTTTAGACTTTACTATCTTTCCCTTCGGCAATGTACTGGTGAGTGGAGACGTTGTCGGTATCTTCTCCCTCCAGCACGCCAGTGATGGTGCCAACGTTCTCGTGGTCGAAGAAACCCTCGTTTGCCGCGAGCTCCTCAAACATGAGGGGCCTCTCCGTACCCCGTGGCAGGATCCGAACTGGCCAGACCAAGCAAAGAACGTAATAGACAAGGCCGCCCATGCAGAAGGATAGTACAAAGCCTAGCTTGTACATGTTCTTCGAAGCCTGGTTCACTGAGTCTAAATCCAACGACCCAGCTATACCATGGATGACGAATGCCACGCCTGCGACCCAAGCAGCGAGCATACGCAAGTTCCATCCTTTGTAGTATGTGTAAGGGCTCTCGGGCGAACACACATACAAGGACGGTGCATGTATGTTGCCTCTCCTCACGACCCAATAGTCGACGACCATGCATGCACAGATAGGCATGAGAAACACAGTATAAGAGCCCAGGAATGTAAGAAACGACGTTGCAGAAGCGATGATCTTCCAGGGGACGAGAAGAGGGGCCAGTACAGCGCAGATGACCTGTCCTCGGACAATTGTCAACCAGCGCGGCCAGATGCCCGTCAAGTCGGCACCAACTGGGAGCGAGTTGCTTCCAGCATTGGTGACGAGCACGGCCAGAATCATGCCAAGGCTTGCGAACATCATGCCTGCCCGCGCACCTGGAGTCCAATATTGATCAAGAATGGCGTCGTCTGTCAGACACGATTAGCATGACTCCATCAAGTGGTACCACCTCCCCGTGTGCAAAAGTATGTAACGCGTGTGGCTATACAAATGCACAATCCTGTTCAGAAACAAAGATTTTAACCAAAGAGAGCTGCTATGAGATCGCCTCTCAGTGGAAACTATCCTCTTGCCTAATAGTATTATGCATTTTTATAACGTGCACTTTACTCACTGTTATAGTCGGAGTACAGTGGACGTTACATCCCTTAGCACACGGGGAGGCAAGAAAAGGCTTACAGAGGTCCCAAACGTTCCAAAAAGACTTGCCTAGCACGTTCGTCGCTGCTGCTGTGGTAGCTGTGCTAATGAACATGACCAGAACCTTCGAGATCAAGATACCGACACCTTGACTCCAAGTCACATCGCGATACGAATGACCATATCGAGCGATATCCGGCTGGTTGATCAAAACAGGTGCGAGAGCTCCCATCACAGAGTTGATGGCAGAGATCATAGGCCAGATGAGGTCATGACCAGACAGCTGAGTCTGTTTGGTAGTGTACTTGAAATCGCCAATCTTGCCTCCATTTGCACTGATTGTCCAGCCAAGTACGCCGAGCAGAGAGATCGTTGTGTAGACTGCTTTGACGACGAACAAGTGTCGGAGAATTTTGGGATGGATGAACATGACAGGCATTTGGATCTGTCCTGATTAGTATGTGGCCATGCACGACAAAGATGATGCTCACCATCCAGAAGATGAAGAAGCTCAGAAGATCTCGAGAAGTGATACCAGCACTCTCTGGTAAATGGTTTGGGATGTTGTGATAGCCGTTGCCGAAGATACCACGCATGAAGACTGATGTGATGCGCCCGCCATAGTATGTCTGCGTGGCGAAGTAGATGATTGCAACCACAGCTCTGACAAGAATGTACAATGAAGAGCCTCTGACACCGGCTGCGACACGAACATACACCGGAAAACCGAGAAAGTAGTTGATGGCACCTCTTGAATTGAGCACAACCAGGACGGTCAGGATGCCAGAGCCGACGACTGCAGCAATCATACCGTGCCACCAAAGTAGACCGATAGATACAAGCGAGGCTCCGAGATTGTAGCTACTGGGACTGAAGGTCATCGTCAAGTAGTATGCAAAATAGTGCTGCCATCGCCACTTTCTGTCCTCTGTATAGACTCAGCACTGGTAACTGTAACTTCTATTGAGCATCGTACCTGGAGGACTCGGAAGCAGATCTTTATTGTACCGGATAGGGCCATCACTATTCGTGGTTTGCAACAACTCCTTGAATGATTTGGGAGAACGACTAGCAGCTTTCATGTGCTGCACGAAATTCGACATGGTTGCAAAGAATTGATGCCTCTACTGTGAAGGTTGAGGCGTGTGCTCAGAGACATATATGCGTCTGCGACACATGTAAGATAGCCCATATTGGTATGCATGAGACTTGCTTGGCTCCAAGCCGCTGTCAAATTGATAGTGGTAGAGACAAGCATGGATTATAGGAGACGAGATACGCAGAAGATAAGCTGATAAGGCAGGAGCCTCGCCTATTCGGAGGTCCGACGATCACTTTAACAAGCGGCAACGGCGATTTTACCGATACCTCCCTCTTTACGACTGCCCAATCGAGAAGAGCTCCGACTATCTCGAAATGCTGTCACCTATCTCTACCCCAAAGATCACATTTCAATCTAGAGATTGTCAGCTCTCCGAAGCCAAGCAGGAATGACTAGTTGAACATATCACATCTTCAGCCGATATGGCAAGAACACTTATAGTAATCTAGGATCGAGTCTTGACATGCCCATTCACTCACCATTTGTTCACCTGCAATGCAAGACAAGCAAATTGCTACAGAGAAGTATGATACGATGTTTGTGTCTAAGACATGAGCGTTGCGATAGGAAATCACATCACTCTCCAGTCGTTGGCTCTTTCCCAAGCATGTGCGACCTCGTATACCGACATCTCGTCCCACCACTTTCCGATGATTTGCATACTCACTGGAAGTTTCACCTTCGCCTCTAGACCTGGTCCTTCGAGGACTTCTAGCATTCCTATGGGCATCGCCAGCACAGGATGTCCACTTTGGTTGAATGGGGCAGTGTTCGTTGTCAGCCCAATCTGCTTCGTGATCTGCTCGATTGGTGTAGCATCTGGTACAGCATGACTAGTTGCTACATATGGCAGAGTAGGAGTGAGCAAGATGTCGTAGGTCTCAAGTGCCGCATCGTACGCATCTCGCAACTGGCGTGAAAGATTGGTTGCCTTTGCTAGAAGCAGCGGGAAGTTCTGGACAGCATATAGACCGTTGAGGTAAATGTTTTTAGTCGAGACGTATGCATTCTCCCAGTTCTCCTGACCCATTGGGTGGAGCTTCGAGTTGAGAGTTAACATCTGGTGGCCTCGTCTGCCGAAGGAGCCGGATGTCTTTGCAAGATAGCCTCCCACTTTCGATATGCCAGTCCAGATAGCGGCGCCTTTGGAATGTATCGGGATAGAGATCTCGTCAACAGTCGCGCCAAGTTCTTTAAATCTAGCAACGGCTGCTTGAAAAGTGTCGATGATGCGATTGTCCAAGGCCGGCATAGATAGAGATTCTTTGATGATAGCGAGTCTTTTTCCTGTCAGTGGCCTGTCCATCGGCAGATTTGCTATGAGACTGTATGCTGGGATTTTGGAAGGATGTGGTGCAGCAAATGAGCGGTCGTCAATATTGTCGTTACCAGCGATAGCCTCGAGAAAGATGGCATTCTCAAGAACAGTTCGGGTCATTGGGCCAAGATGATCATTAGTGGGTTCATTTGAGCCGCTGCCAGTATAAGGCACTAGGCCAAATGTCGGTTTCAAACCGACGATACCACAGTTGGCAGCCGGAACGCGGATGCTGCCACCTTGGTCTGCTCCAATAGCTCCATCGCACTCACCGAGAGCAACAAGGACACCTGATCCACTCGAGCTACCACCAGAGCTATAGCCTTTTGCAATTGGGTTCTCGACGATACCAGTTCCTGACGAATGACTTGTAGCACTGTGGCACATGTTTTCGCAGACGGCTTTTCCAGTGATCATGCCACCAGCTTCCAGAATCCGCGTTGCAACGGTTGCATCGCAGTCGGGTACATAGTCTTTGATGAAGTTGGTGCCTACGAGCATTGGCACGCCTTTCAGAGCGACATTGTCTTTCAAAGCAAACGTTTTGCCATGAAGCTTGCCGCCTTTGGACTGCTTGTCGACGACTGTGCACTTCCATGCCCAGGCACTGTATCGATTGCTATGCTTCTCGGGAAAGTGTATGTTCTCTCTAGAAAACCTGTCCTCGTCCACTGCCGGAAGGTAGTNCTGATGCCAAGTCAGCTCAATAGTCTTGTATGCTTCTCATGTTAGCATCTCACCTTCCATGCTCATGAGTTCTTCGCTTGCATCATGAAAGACAGCCAACAATCGGCGATAGTCTTCTTNTTCATTGTCTTCGATTCGAACGCCTAGTTGGGAGCAAAGACCTTCCAGTGTTTCTGTAGTCACAGGATTTCCCTGTTTGGCATCTAGAGAGAAGACAGACATTAAGTTGCCTTGTCGAGTAGTATGGTTTTGCAATCGAGTCGATAGTAGGCTGAGCAGACGGTCGAGCGAGTGGGATCCAAACACGAGCCAGCCTTATACAAGACACCCTTCACGTGTCTTGACATGTTCGTACGTTCAGAGGCGCAGCTGCAGAACTCGAGCGAATGGACCCATTGTCGACCGTTATCGCTTACGAGTAATCAATGCAGGCAAAAGAGTGGCCATCGGACGTCCAAATTGTGATAGGCGAAGAGGCTGCATTGTGGCGGGGTTGAAGGATCTTGATAAGCATCAGATAAGAACACAGCATCCTATCGTGTATGAATCACCCTATATCAACATTTGATAGGCCAAGAATATTGGTCCGAATAAGAAGGAGGTATACATCACACTATATGTTGCATCGGCATGTAGCCGATCTTGCCTTGGTTACCCGCTACACTCGTGCTTGATAAATTGCACACGAGCTGGAGTTAGGCAATTATAATTCTATCACACTATTTCCGAATTCTGTACTGCCCTCATCTACAAAAGTGTATTGCAGAGAGACATATTGCCTATCATGGTGCACGTTGAAGAGTCATTGCAGTTGCCGAGAGATTTTGAAGGTCAGGTTCCAGCCAAATCACGCGAACAACAGCTGACAGTATATTGAGGCTTTGGTGAGGAAGGCCACGATCCTCAATGGCCTAATGGTGCTCGTATCGCTGTGTCGTTCGTCTTGAACTACGAAGAGGGCGGCGAGAGAAACGTTCTTGATGGCGATGAAACCAGCGAGGCGTATCTCTGGGAGAAAGGTCCATCCGGAGGTGGCAGAGAGCATCGCCATCTCAATGGCGAGCAAGATTTCGAATACGGAAGTCGGTGCGGTGCCTGGCGTATCCATCGACTCATGAAAGAGTTTGGATGGAAAATGACCCTTTGGGCCATCTCCGTTGCCATGGAGCGAAACCCTGCCTTTGCAAAGGCTTGTGTGCGTGATGGTCATGAGATCGGCGCACATGGATACAGATGGCTTGACATCTGGGATTATTCTTTCGAAGACGACAAAGCTTACATCAAGAAGACCTGCCAGACTCTGGAAGCAGCCACAGGCGAATTTCCAAGCGGAGCTTATTTCGGTCGAGGTACTCCCAACACTGCGTCTCTGTTGCCTCTGATGTGGGGGGAGATGGGGCACAAGCTGCTCTATACATCCGAGGTCTACAATGAAGACTCGCCTTATTGGATCGACCTGCCATGGGAGAAGCAGCTTCCAGACTCCGAGAAGGAAGGCATGCTGATGGTGCCATACAACTACGATTGTGAGTACCACATCTCTGATCGAATGTATGGATATTGATTCATCTTTGTAGGCAATGATGGCAAGTTCCACATGAGCCCAGGTTTCGTCAGCTCAAGTGGAGCAACATACGAGCAGTATCTCAAAGACGCTTTCGACTGCTTATACCGTGAAGGCGGTAAGATGATGACGATACCAATGCACAGTAGAATTGTGGGTAAACCAGGTCGATCAGAGAGTCTGCGGAGGTTCATGAAGTATATCTCGGAGAAGGAAGGTGTATGGGTCACCACGAGAAGGGAAATTGCAAACCACTACCGGGAGAAGTTTCCTTACAAACCAGGCTCCAAAACTGGCGGTAGTTGATAGTCCTTGAGAAGAGATCCACAATGCGAGCATCGGTCCCTCATCGCGACAACTGCAATTTCAGTAGTGACTGTTGCAATGCTAATACAGTGCATTCAGAAAGTCAGAAGCCTTGTGGTTGGATCTTCCTGCCTCGTTTGAGCTTCAGATCCGAGTTCATCGGCAACTGGCCAAAAGTCGAAGATACGAAGCATGCCATCACTTTTGACTATATCTGCTACGGCAATTCGAGGTAGATTGACAATTTATCTATTTTCTCTCTTCTGAACGAATTAATTCCACCGAGGCTGGCGTCACACAGGCAATGTTTGCCGAGGCTGAGAATGCTCAAGTCGTGTCAGCAGCGAGAAGCCTCCTTTGTCTACACATAAATTCTCTCCTTCATCGAAAACCAGCAACACAAAGAGATGTCGACTTTGAAAGAGATCCTCGCGCTCGAGCAAGTGGAGCATAACCGTAAGTGGAGATCACTGTGTGGTCTCCCAAGTATCATGCTGATTCGGACCGTTGGAATAGGCTTTAAGAGCAAATTCAACCCACCTCGCATGGGAAATGTCTTGCCGATTGCATTTGGAGGATATACTATTGGTGTTGCGACGCATGCTGCCTGCTTTGATATTCCGCCAAGCCACAGACTCTACGCAATAAACGGCAACTTTCTGGGTCCGGCATTGACAGATCGCCCCGTGTTTATCAACACAAAAGTATACCGCTCAACTAAAACCTTTACAACAAAGCTCGTCGAAGTCTTGCAGAAACAGGATGATGGCAAGNNGGAGAGAGTGTGTCTTGTAGCTCTCGCAGACTTCCATGTCGTAGAGCCAGAGCCGTTCATGGTATACTCCGCGCCGCCGAGCAAAAAGTATTCCCCAGTTGAGGAGTCCTGGACGCCAACGGATCGCAANAAGACCATGGTGGAGGAGAAGATCTTGACCCAAGCCGACGTGGATAGACACGATAAACTGTTCAGCCTGATGAGCGAATTGATTGATATGCGATTCACACCTCAAAGCATCCACGGACAGACTCTGCAGGGCTTTGCAAAGGGACATAAGACCACGCAAGAGCATCTACCTCTTACCGATCGTTCTTCAGCAGACTGGCTTCGTGTGCGTGAGAAGGTATCCACGCATGCCGAGAATGTTACTAGTCTGGCTTTCCTACTGGACGCGAGTATCTCTTTTACACCGCTTGTGCTGCAAAGCATGCCATTGACGGAATCGGGAGCTTGCTCAACCTTGGAGTTTTCTCTCAGATTCTTGACGCCGGAGATCAATACCAACGAGTTCCATATGCGCGAGTGGAAGACGTATGCTGGAGATGCCGCAAGGACGTTTTCGGAAGCAAGACTCTGGGACGGCAAGGGTAAAATGGTTGCGAGCATGTCTCAAACTTGCATCCTGAGACCGCCAAAGAAGGCAGCAACGAAGAAATCGAAGCTCTAGGTAGCAGTTTCCTTGATTCGCAATAGATTTGTGATACAGGTATGAATAGATGGTCACTCTGATAAAGTCATCGTTCAACAAGCACCAAGATCAGGCTTATTCGTACTCATCGTGTGTGTTCCAGATCTTGTTATCATCTGCCTCAACACATGAAGACTCGAGAAAATGGTTTGAGAAATCTAATCAGGTGGTTGTTCTTGTTGTCGCAACCAGCAACTCCTCGTCTTGGCGCCACAACGAGAACTTCCTCGAACTCTTTTCTAACGACCCTGCCAGTATTTACTGGTATGCCAAGGGATGGAACTGGAGAGCAGGAATCGCCTGGATCATGGGAGCTTGTTTCCTCATGCCTGGGCTTGTTCAGAGAGCCGTCGACTCTAGTGGCTTTTGGCCAGGCTGGACCAGACTTTACCAATTGGCGTGGTTTTTTGGTTGCTTGGTTTCCGGGATTGTGTATCTGGTGCTCGACCATTTCTGGCCTATGCCTGAGAAGTTGGCAGTCGACGACCTTGATTACTTCGGGACCTTCGGAGACCCGCCGATTATTACGGATGCATTGGGTTTTAATGCTGATTGCAAGGATATTGTGATGCATGCGAAAGCAATAGATGTGTAGACAACTATCCAGGTAGCTCATGAATTTTATGAGGCACTTCAAGCTCTGAGCTTTTGACGAGATGCTCCAGCTCAGGAAACATCGCATCTCCCTCCATCTCCTTACTCTCGGTCTGATCATCGAGTTCAGCCATAATTTCTCTTTCCGTCGATGAATCTCCAGGAAGCTCTGGATTGAGATCTCCATCGCTTGATGAATTGGAAGCAACCTGCAGTCGCTTGGCCCGCTTTTTACGGATTCGGAATACAGCGAAAATGATTACTCCCATTGATATGAGCATACCAAGGGCTACTCCGATGCCGATGCCGACAGAAAGTCCTGAGGATGTGGTTCCTGCGTCTTGTTTTTCCTTTTTGCTAGCGCTACCGCTGGAGCAGCGCTTGGTGTAAACTTCGGGAGATCGTGTGAACCCCAAATCACTGCCAAGGGAGTGGCCAAACCAGTAAATGGGAAACTGGTAATGTCACTTGTCGTCGAGTCTGGCAAAAGTACGTATGTAGACGTGGTTATTAAGGTGAGACATTGATCCTCGTCCCAGAGTTCCATGCCACTGACACTTGCAGTCAGTCAAGGATTATACACCTAGCGATACACGACTTACCTGGAACAACAGTTGACCATAGTGTATGGATCAGAAGTTGCCGTACCGAATACGATGCTAGCATAGGTATGATCCTCTGGACACGCTCCGGGCGAGTAGAAGTTCTCCTTCGCTGTAGCCCAGCCATCAGGGTAACAAGGATCTACGAAGTCCGATGAAAGGCCCCAAACTCCGACCAAACTGTTGTTTGATGTTGACAAGGTGAACGGCCTCGTCGAGCAGGATCCTGGCGCTGTGAATATCGTTGTCAAAGGGGGTATTGGTGTCCGAACCGGTGTTGTCCAAGCCATTGTAAACGGTATTCCTGTCGACGTTGAGGTGAAGGATGTTGAGAGCCCAGTGCTATTCGTGGTATTCCTTGTCAGGACTGCCGTAGTCTCAATAACGCTAGCTGTCAATGTGGGAGTGTCCAGAGTCTCGGTTGATGAGACCAATTCCGATGAGCGTTGAACCGAGTATAAGCTGGCGTAGTAACTAGATCTTGCGGCCCATGGGGGTTCCTGTCCCCCTACGATGGACAGATCAACTGAAGTGACTTGAGACGTCATGTTAGCAGCCAGAATATCTGGACAAATCAATAGCACTCTAGCTGGAATTGATGCTGAAAGACGGAACAATATAGAGAAAAGGCGCACAAGATTCGCGTGCTACTTTATATAAAGCAGAATGCAGAAACGGTAGGCTGGACACCTCCGCTAATGTTTGGGTCGGCCATCTTCTCTTTGCATCGTCGTACATGCAGATTGGCATGATTGTGGCGCCTGCAGCCTCAACCTGGATTTGTGGTTACTTCTCCGAGACGAATTGAATGAGTGTGTTAGGTTGGTCATTCAAGATTGACTTATATGACTCTGAGCGAAAACAATATAACCGTAAAATCACTGCAATAATGTAAGAAAAGAAAGTGATGATAAAGCAAAGACGACGAGCTATGAACGGACGCGGTCTCTTAAGCCTTGTGACCATAACACACATGCAGCATGTCTTGGCTATGCACAGCGAGATCTCAGCCTTGAAGTACAGCCCAATTTGTCGCCCAATGCCTGGTAAATGCAAGCCTACCTCAAACATCCAGCAAGCTTCGAAAATCACAAAAATGCACTCAAAAATAGCTAAAGAACCAAACCTGCAGAAAAGTGGCGTGTAACTCTGCTTGTTGTTCGAATACGTATTATGGACCTGGGAATAGTTACCGGATGCGCTCTAACCAGTCAGTCCCAAGTCTAAACCCTCCACAAGTGCAGGGCCTGCCACCTCAGTACTCATAGCCATCTCAGTGCTCACAATAAAAGATCTTTTCGGGTCGGTGTACCAATGAGAAAGTCTGAAGAAAAAGCACTGTAGTCCGCCGCAATAGAAACAAACTGTCTGTTTATCTGAATGGTATATCTACACGGTAGCATTGCACATAAGAGGTCATACATACGCCAGAGTTTTAATGAGGTATCGCCACATACGGAAATCCATAATCTAGACAATCGGATACATGAGTATTGAGTGTGGCCGATCCTCCGCTAATGGAGGCTTCAGACTGGTCCTGACTAGATCGAGGGATGGTGTTCTCCCCTGCTACTTTTGACTTGGACGAACATCCTGTCAAAACGTGGAGGCCCTTGTCAATGGTGTTCCTGTTGTGAAGACCTGTCTCTCCTTCTGCCTCAAAGTGATTATCTGCATGTAATCGGTCGAACGTGATCTGTGCAGCAGAATGTCGTTACGATGATTTGACAATGCACACGAAGGAAGGAGCGTTGGAGCCACCCATTCGTCTCCTTCTGTTGCCATCAATCAACATCCCAATAACATGATCTGAACCTCCCTCTAAAGGCCAAAGGATCTGCAGGAGCGAGGAGGGTTTTCGAGAATCTACCCCTTATGTTCCGCAACCTGAGTATCATATCCGCACAAAACAGCATTTCCAGCACGTACGGCCACAGTCAGCTGAAAACTGGGCATCCCGTCCGCTCTGCCATACATAAGCAGTTGAACGGCAGATTAGTACTACGGTGGGTGACCACGTGGGAATCCCTGCTGCTGTACGTTTTGTTCTTGCATCTTTTGCTTCCGATCCTTCTGTGTAGGCAAATGGTGTATCGCGGTTTTGCCGCAGTANNCTGGAGGTCATCAGTTGGCTGGACACATGCTCTGAACAAGCGGAGGGATAATTGGTAGAGACAAAAGGTATAGAGAACGATGTGTTGGTCAACGAGATTTGATTTCGCTACAGAATGCGTTGGATGGAAGAATAACACCGGAGATGATATCAATGCAATATGTATACCAACAACACCTATGCAACCGATTTTGCTGCAATGGAAATCAAACAAGTTTTTACTTGCGTGCAGCGCGACGACGACTAGGCGTAGCAGGTACAGGTGCGGAAGCGATCGCATCAGCACGACCAGCTCTAGGTCTGAGACGCGAAGTCATGATCTCTGGGTCAGCATTGAGACGTTTGCTACTGGCAGGTACAGCCGGGGTGGCAGCTTCTTTGGGTGCAGTAGGAGGTGGAGTAGTAGCCGCACGCTTTGCAATAGCACCAGCTGAGTTTCTACCTCTTCTAGCGCGTTTCTTAGATGCTGGCTTGACATCCTCGGCTTTGACTCCGGGGACTAACGCGTCAGGGCCTTTGGGTCCTGCAAGTTCTTCCTTGATGGTTGTTGTGTCTTCGTCGTGTGGGTTGAGAGCTACAGGCTCGTCCCAGGTGGCTACACCATCTGATGCTTCGCGCATGAGAGTTGAGGCTGCCTTCTTCTTGTTTCCGGTTAGAGGATCCCACTCCCAGCCTTCGCGCAACCACATCCAGCGCAGACATGCTCGAAGTTCCTTATCCAAGGGAACTACACGCTTCCACTCTGGTTCAAATTCCGAATTCTCCTTGGCCTGTGACGAAGGCTTATAACCAGGGACACCTTCGCCATTGTAGCCCTCAGCCACACCACGGAACTTGTCACGGCAGAAGATTCTCCAAGAGTCCCAAGCGTAGGGTCCAAGTCCGTAGATGTGCGCAATTTCTAAAGCGCCGGCTTGGACGCAATCTTCGACGTCTTCATCGACAGTTTCTTTGGGCTTGAGGTGGCGGCCATTGCCTTTGTTGGGATAATCCATGGTGCGGTAGAGTTTTCCTTTCTGTGGTGGTTGTCCAACCCAAGTCTCGGCGATCTTGATTAATTTCTTCGCACGCTGATTTTGGAAGCCTAGACTGTGAATCATCTCACTGAGCTCGCTGATATTGGCAGCAGCCAGATCGCTCGGCGTAGGATACGTCTCCATGACTTGCTCGAAGATGGGTCTTGCTGCCTTACCGTGGGTCTTGTTTAGGAAGGTGACAGCAATCAGCAGACGGAAAGGATCATTGGCCAGTCTTTCCTGAATCAAGCCGAAGCGAGGTGCCGACAGCTTGGGGAAGGGAACAGCAGATGTGCCGGCTGGCACGCGCTTTCTCTTTGGAGAAGGAGTGAAGTGCTCGGAAGTGGTACCTGTCGATTTGCGAGGCTTGCGTGTTTTGACCTTTTGTTCCTTCTTCGCACTTTCCGTCAGACCTTCGTCTTCGCTTGGTGCCCAGCCAAGTGAGGAAGGAGCAGGCGAGTTTGATTTTGAGGATTTGACTTCTTGGTCGTCGTTGTCAGCACCAATCTCCGCCTCGTTATCAGGTTCATCCTTCATCTCGACGTCTGAGTCTTCTGCGTCAGGTGAGAGTTGGCTTCTTGCAGATTCAGAGTTGTGCTCCTCCCTCAAGTTCGCTTTCACCAATATTAATCGCTGCTCGAAACTTGCATCTGCACGATCAAGCACCTCTAGGATCTTGATTCGAGCCAGCCGCTCAAGTCCGTCCAAATGATTACGTGCAGTCGTGGTCTTTGATTTGTAGACTTGCTCCTCGCGGTCGACTTCGTTCATCAATTTCTCCAATATGTCCTTGTTGTCTTCTGCGCTGCCGTCGCCGTCTTCCACAAGCAATCGTCGAAGTTCCTTAATTCTAGCCTCGAAGTTGTCGGTTTCTTCTTCCCAAGCTGCGAGGAAGTCTTTCATAGATTGTGAGAAGGCTTCGGCGGGCTCTTCTAATTCTGATTCCGATTCAGAGGCTTGATCAAGACCTGCAGTCTCTACCTCTTCAGTTGCAGGGACGTCGAGCTCCTGAGTATCGGGGACTTTCTCGTCTTCAGCAGGCCCTTCAGATTCGGAGCTTGAATCGAGTGGCTGGGCGATATCCTGAACCTCAGCGTCTTCGTTACCAGGCTCGCTTGATTGTCTCGCAACCTCTAGAATTTGCTCGTTCTCTGAAGAAATACTTGCCTGCTCATCGACTACTGGCAAATCATTCGACACCTCGTCGTCGATTTGGGGAACCACTTCTAGGCCAGTACTGTTGACGGGCTCTGTGAGTTTGGGACTCTCGTGGTCTTCACGATTGGCTGGCTCACTAGGTTGTTCTTGATCCTCAGCAGATGCCGGCGCGACTTGATCAGTTGTCTCAGTGGTTGATGGCTGATATCCACCAAACTCCATCAAATCCTCAGGGTTTGGGATGTCGGGAAGAGGGCTTTGTGCAGAGGGAGCACCATCTAACACAGGGCTCTCGTGAAACGACTGGAAGCCTCCCAAAGTCTCGTCTTTGACCTCTTCTTCAACTTGCTCTGCTTCCTTTCCTTGGACAGATGAATCAATGTCATTATTTTCCATTGGCGGACTGATGTTCTGCTGGTCGTCAGTCATGACGACATCGATCGGCAATGCGTCAGTGTGTGTTTGTTCTTGTGCAGCGCCAACTTCAGTGTCGATATCCATAGCAGAAGGTTCGGGCTTAGCTACTGGGTTGATTGCCGGCGCTGGGGATGGCTGATGGCGAACAGGACTTGGCTTGCGAGCTTGCACAGGAGCTGGCTTCTCGTCATCACTGTCGCTACTACTGCTGCTGCTGCTGCTTTCATCGTCATCATCACTACTGTCATCATAGCCCAACTTCTTGCCAGCAGCGAACGCAGCAAATTCGGCAAAGGCGTCAGTAGCAGACTTTTTGGTGTTGTTGTTAGGAACGGATCCAGATCTCGTCGAAGTAAAGGATGACTGGGGTTTGTTGAAAGAGTTGAAAGCTCTAGGTTTTTGGATAGCAGATTGTGAAGGAGCTGACGTGAAGCTTGAAGATACTGGTTTTGGGACTGCCGTCTTGCTGACAACCGGACTGCTCTTCTTCTGCTCTGGCTGATGAGGAGAGCTTGGCACTTCTTCATTTGAAGAGATGCTGGTCTCTCTAGTTGTAGGTGATGGACTCTCTTCACGTATCGCTTCCGAGGACGACTCTCTTTGTGTCGTATCTTGGACTGGAAGCTCATCATTTACCTTCAGGTTAGACGATTCCTCAGGGTTACCGATTGTAGTTGCGGCCACAGTTGGTTCCATGTCTTCACTGGTTGGAGAGGCAACATCTTGCTCATTTTCCTTGTCGCTAGAAGGATGAGCAATTGCTGATATTGTCGGTTTGCCCAAAACTGGCAGGGCAGTGCGTCGAATGAAATATGACATCGTGCTTTCCTTGGCTGGTACGTCGTCATCGTCACCATCCTCATCGGAGGAGGCTGATGAACCGTCTTCGCTCAGAACCGGTTCTTCCACTGGCAATGGCTCTTCGATGGCAGCTGGTGCGGCAACAGGAGCCGAAGTAGTCACAGAGGATGCAGCAGCAGGTTTCGCCTTGCGTGCTCTCCTTGATTTCTTGGTGCCTTCAGTCGGCGCAGTATTCTCAGTTTCAGTAGTAGTTGGAGGCTCCGCAGCAGATGGTTGAATGGGTTGTTGGGTTTCTACGGGCTTCGCCTTCAGCTTCTCAGACTTGTGCCTACTTCTCCTAACCTTCTTAGACTTAGGGTTGGCTTGCACAGTGCTTTCCGCCGGAGCGGACTCTGAGTGGGCCTGTGGCATATTCTTGTCCACTGGAAGTTTGACCTTGTTGGCGCCTGAGGGTACGACGGCAGGAGTCTTCTTAGTCTCAGATGTCTCCTTGACGGCTGGCTTCGAGATCAAAGGTACCTCGCCTGCTGCAACTTGTTCAAGCAGCATCTTCTGCTTCTCCCGACGCTTTTGTCTCTTCTTGGAACCACCAACTGGTACCTCAGGCTCAACCTTTGGCTTTTTCGCGACCTTCGGAGTATCATCCTCTCTCTTTCTCTTCTTGTCCTTCTTGTCCTTGCTGTCTTTCTTCTCTTTCTGCTGTGGAGGGGCTGGTGCGACAGGTGCCTTCTGAGCGACAGGGGCAGGCTTGACGGCTTCCTGGGCGGGCTTGACGGCTTCCTGAGCAGGCTGGACGGCTTCCTGAGCGGGCTTGTCCTTTAGATTCAGTTCCTTGACCTTGACGTCCATCTGGCGGTAGGGCTTAGGGTTGGGAGGAGTAGACGGAAGAGCGGAAGCAGTGTTGATGGGAGCCAAAGCAGTAACAGCCGGGCGCTTTTGACCTCTGCACGAACGTCTTTGAAGCTCAGGCCCTTAGCCTTGAGACCCAGAGCGTCGAAGTAGAGCTTGGTAGTCTCCTTGTCCAGAGTTGAAGGATTCTCAGAAGATGGCTCGCTGGTATTGGCTACCTTGTCGAAGAAAGTAGCCTTCTGAGACGGTTCGAGGTCGGTGAGAACATCTCGGTATTCCTCTTGCTCCATGCATTGCAGAATAGCCTTTGTTTCTGGATGGCTCTCGCCAGGAGTGACTCTCAATGCATGCAAATATCTGCTCTGGGCGGCGTGGTTGTCGTGAATAATGCGAATGACTTTAGCCGCGGCAGCGACGGGATCCTCTGGTCGCGACGCCATGTCGAGGAGATGTAGATTTTATGGATATGGTGATGGCAATGCGACTCAAATCATATCGAATAATTGTCGGACAAGATGAGTGGTAGTCACTAGTCAGTGAAGACGACCGAAAAATCCATGGGCAAAATAAATTTGGTCGGAGGTCTCGCGTTTCGCGCCGCCCCCACAGTTCCAACTCGGCTTTTAGTCCTCACTCCCGTTGTCAAAGTTTGTCACACTGCATTTAGTATTATATCTAGAATAGTCAGAGCAACTGGTTTGTGATTACATCTGTGGCTCTTCGAGACCAAAGAGACGGGCACAAGCTTGTATGAGGGATTTTCAGCACCCTGGTGGTAACGAGCCGGATTGACCAACCTCAGCATAGAAGAGTGCCTCTATCTTGTTTCATCACCTCTCAGGTTCTGATAAGAAAGCATTAGCAACGGTAACAAGACTCTTTATCAGGCCGGTGTGGTTAAGACGATGCAGCTTTTTGTCTAACGGTTAACTAAAACGCCCACATTGCTAAATCAAAGACTTGTTGGAGCATGCGTTCAGTGCCTTACGCCTTGTGCAAATGCTTCCTGTACTCTCTATCCATTATCCACAAAGAAAATCCAGTGTGCTAGAAATCAGACTTGGCTTCAGCTCATCCTTCGGTCATCGTTTACATGAAATCATCACTATCGAGGGTTAGCGTTCTGTGATTACACTCTGCACGGCATCAGATCGACTTACTCATCGAGACCATCATCGTAGGCGGTCGTGTCGGTCTCAAGGTTTCTAGCGCCAGCAAGAGTGGTCTTGGTCTTGGCAGCCTTGGACTTCTTGCCTCCCTTTGCTGCTTCCTTCTCTTCTCTCATCTTCTCGTTGGAGAGTGTGGTCAAGCCACTAGAGATCTTCTTGATCTGGTCGCTGGGGAGCTCCTTGCAGATGTCCTTGACAAACTCCTGCATGAAAAGGGTGTATTGAGCCTTCTTAACGTTTGACACTAGGAGAGGAGCGAGAACCTCGCGGAGCTTAGCGAACTGGTCCTTGGTGGTAGGGTTGAACAGAGGCATGGCCGAGAGGTCGATGGCATTGCCGGGCTGCTTCTCGTCGGCGACAGTGATGGCCTTGGGGTTGCTGCGGCTGGCAGGGACGCCGATACCCTCGAAAAGATCCTCAGCGTGCTTAAGGTCAGACTCCTTCTGCTCTCTGCGCAGTCTAGCCTTGCGCTCGGCCTCGTCCTCATCGTCGCTCTCAAAGTCAAGACCCTCCATTCTCTTGCGCATGTTCTCTTGCCTTCTCTCTTCTATTCTCTGACTCTTGGACTTGTGGTTCTTCTTTGCCTCCTCTTCGGCCTTGGCCTTTGCCTCTGCGGCCTTCTTTGCCTTTTCTCTCTCGACTTCCGAGTCCTCGGCAGCATCCCAGGAATCAAGGACCTGCGCGGGGGGTTAGTGGTTGTTGGGCAGCAAGACGTTTCGACATCGCACTCACGTCGTCCTCCTCCTCGTCGTCGAACTTGCCACGGCGGGCGACAATTTGGGGGGAGCCGGGGGCTGAGCCGCTAGACTCTTCGTCGTCTGTATTGTGAGTTAGTATTGTTGTGCAAAAGCGGATGGGCACGCGGGCGTAGTGGGGGCCTGCGACGTACCCCAAGAGTCCTTTGCCATGATTGCGGTTGTATAAAAGTGACGAAGATGCGACGGTAAAACAGGCGTCAAATAGAGAGCGGAGCGGCGTCCTTGGTGCGACGAGAGGGGTGGTCAAAGTGGTGGGATGACGGGGTTGGAGGGGCGCCAATTATTGTTCTCTACGGGAAAAAAGATGGTTGTTTGTGACTCGCTGCTCGTTTGGGTGACGAGCCGCCAAGACTCCGGGGAGATCGCAATACGTAGCAAGCAGCGCCCAGCCAGCCAGCCCAGCTTGAATGCACCCAAGTCGTCCCCAGCAATCAACACCACCGCACCTACCTAATTCACTCCCGACCCTCCCGCTTCACTCTCTCGCCGCAACTGCCTTTTTTGCTTGACGTCTTGACGACTTTCCTTGCATCTGACAGTGAACGCTTCCACGACTTCCCTTCTCGCAGGGCCGCCATTGCCCCAAGGCTCCACGTTCCTACACAAGCTCCTGATCCTGCCGCCGGATGAGGTAGCCGCCTACACACAACACCATGGCTGCTCTACCTATCAAGTTCACTGAGCTGCTTCAGGTACTATTCCTGCCTCTGTCCAATTGGCCATTACTGACAACTTTCGACAGCTCACAGCGCTCAACATTGACGTTCGTCCATCCGCCGCAATCCTACCCTCCAAACATGACTGACTTCGATCCTCTAGCCCAAGTCGTTTGGTTTCAACTCCTGTGTAAGACAATTCTGCAAGGCTTCCTATAACAATCGCTGACGCGTAGTGCAGACATTAGAATCAGATCACTATGTCTGTGTATGCGACACTGCCTCGGGCGAGGTTGTTATTGTCAACCTCAAGAACAACAACAGCGTCGTGCGTCGCCCTATCAAGGCTGACAACGCCATCATGCACTGGTCAAAGGACATCATTGCCCTACGTGCCCAGCAGCGCACACTCCAAATCTTCGACTTGGGCGCAAAGGCCAAGCTCAAGTCGGCCACCATGAACGAGGACGTCGTCTTCTGGAAGTGGTACAGCGATAAGAGCTTGGGTTTGGTCACAGAGACTAGCGTCTACCATTGGGATATCTTCGATGCTAGTCAGACCGCTCCCGTAAAGATGTTTGACCGCAACTCAAACCTGGGCTCCCAAATCATCAACTACAGAGTCAGCGAAGACGAGAAGTGGATGGTTGTTGTCTCTATCTCATCAGCAGGTGGTCGTGTTGTCGGAAACATGCAACTCTACTCTCGCGATCGTGGTATCAGTCAGGCAATCGAGGGTCACGCCGCTGCTTTCGGTACCATTCGCATGGAGGGTGCACCTGCAGACACAAAGGTCTTCACCTTCTGCAATCGCACTGCCACAGGCGCTAAGCTCCACGTCGTCGAGATCG